TTGCCCGCCTCCCGAGCGACATGATAATGCATAAGGGCCTCTGATGAAAAGCGCTTCGGAGATCCAATGACGCGGTCTCATCCAGAACAGGGGATGCATGCCATGCAGAAAGGCAGGAGCTTCAACCTTGGGTCAAACTTGGAGAGGCTGAGGGGCAGAAGTTGACTAAACAATCTCACTACAATATATGGAAGCATATCGAGAGTATCGCCGACTGTGCATCGGATTGCAATGCCGTGTCATCACTCGCAATGGCCATAGAACGGCATGCAGTCGCGATATCCAGCCATAACCTGAGTCTCGCATCCGTAATGGCTCGAGGGAGTCGTGGCTCTAGGTGATCCAGAAAGCTTCCAAAAGGAGATTCTACCGACTGTTGACCGCTTCCCCGGGATATTATTTTCATTGTCGTGGGACTCTATCAGCCAGGACCACAATCTGAGACTCTCAGAAGTGTCTCATTCGCATGTGGAAGAAAAGAGGGGCACACGAGCCCCAACCCGGCGCCAGAATCGAAGGGAAGCAGTAGAGAATGTGTAGCTCTGCGTATCTGGAAATGCCAGGGTGCTAATCATTATTGTCTGCCGTCCTGAGCCAGACAAAAGGAGCATTGCACTAGTGCCATATTCTTGATGGCGGATAGTGGCCCAGCCTTTGGCGTTTTGACAGGCAGGCATCGGATGCAATGATGCGTTGGCAAGTCTCTCACTAAGTGCGGTGGGGAATCCATGCCACTTTTTTGCATGGGTAACCGCTTCTGATGGTGGAAAGAAAGAAGACAGAGCAAAAAACGTTGATGATTGCAGATGGGGTTGCATGGTGGTCCGCATAGGTCAAATCGTCATGGTCACGTTCAATGTCGGCAAGACTGACTGCCTGCCTTGGGTACTTTGCAGAAACAGTTAGCATTGAATAGTACCCGGCTGTGACATGATTCAGGATCAGTGCCTCTGAAACCGAACTTACTTTTGCACCTTCAGTGTTAGTGCTGTTAGTGCATGGCGCAAGTCTGCCTTCTCTACCACTTTACTCCTCAGATTGAAGCTGCCGGGTCTCATGTATACGATTGACAAATAGGACATGGTATTCCTGGCATGGTTCTTATCTTTATTATGCACTGGAAGAATGGAAGCTAGAGCACAGGATGGAAGACTCATGCAGTTGATACAAAGTGAGTATCTTTCCATAGAAATCCATACTGGTGGCGATGCCCGAATCGATACTGAGAAGAATTGATGGAAAGAAAAAGGGGGAGTGAATAAGCGAGCGGCAATTCACGAGGAGAGAAAGGGTGGTTGATGTCTCGCTGCCTCGCTGCCTCGTTGCCTCTCAGGCACTACAAGTCCGTCTACCCTCAAAAGGCCATGGCCTCCTTTCTGTTCTCAGAACCCTGAAGACGAATGAGCATAGTCGAGACTTGATCAAATCAATCACTTGATGGCTACTAGCCCCTTCCGGTCAATTGTAGTCACTATCGACATTGTTTATGGTCATAATGCCCGTAAACTTAACTCCATGTACAGGATGTGACTGCCTAGAAGGAATGATTGTACTCCGCAATGATACTTACATTTGTTGTCTTCTATCCCTTGCTTGCTTCTACCTAGGATATTAGCGACAGCCCCATGTCTGCTATGTCAGCCATTCCTCCATGACTTTAAGCGCACGTTAACAGTAAGAATGTACAACTCCATGTGACAACAAGGGCGTTCGCACTTCGTAGTGTAACTTCATATGGAAATGGATTTACCGCATCCATCACATACACATTGTAAGAGTCTTGATTTCTTCGCTTCATCTGCCTTTTGCCATTTCTTTTCCCTATCCTTCTAATGTCTCCTTGTTTTCTCTTCTACAGTTCAAAAGGATGATTTTCATACCAGGCGCGTGCATCTTCCGCCGCCCTGTGGGGAATGACGAAGACCGGATGGAATGGCACAAGGCGGTCACTCTCCTCGAATACATTCATATCTGATCCTTGATCATTCGAGGTCAGATTAGGGGAATGCTTCCACGCGAATACCGAAGTGAGATCATCCTTGGAGCTTGATTCAGTACAGTAATGGTGATGCTGGACCGTGCTTAGGCCCACAAGGGCATAGCATGTATGGTACGAGTCCGGGTGTCTTTTAATGGTCAGCATATTCGTAGCCGGGAGGAAGAAACAAAAAAGAAAAGAAAGGAAGAAACTAAGAGGTGCTTGGGGGGAAAAGCATACTTTCCTGGTTTGTCTCGAAGTCCTCCATGCTTACATTGGCAGCAAGAGAGTATGTATCTGGTTAGACCCTCTCTACTGTAAAGATTGCCAACAGTCTCTTGCTCGGGGCTATGTCGAGGGCCGTCGAGCGCCGACTGAATCAGCGGCCAGCAATTTCCGACCCAGTGACTATAACACCCATCGACCAACTTATTGGTCCTCCCGGAGAAGCCTCCCTCGGGGGCATACTGTCGGGCAGAAAGCCAAGGGAGAAGTGTTGCAACATTCATATACCTGGCATACTCAGAATCCCGAGAAACCCTTTTTTTTCTGACATGGACTCTTACCTGGGTACAACTACTTCAGGTCGACCAAGGATGCATAGACAGGCCAAAGCACAAAAAGCATAAGCCCCATGCGCCTCCGTGCCCGGACTTCCGGAAATGCCACCCTCATATGTCTGGCCTGCAGTCGTAGGTGTCAGTGTCGATCGAAATGCCTCTAACCGGACGCCACTTACATCTGGATAGATACTCAGGAAGACCATCTGTGAATCTTTTCAGACCGTGCCGCCGGGCCTCTGCTTCCGGGGGCAAGTCAAGTGGCAAGTTGAGCAGTGTATGGACTACCATCGCGCAATATGCGCCTCTGAACTGGCAACTTAGTATACATATGCAGGAGAGGACTATTGGGGAAATCTTTTTACCGCACGTCTTCTTCCCCACCCTCACAGACGGTAAAGCCACCATCAGGCTGCTTCAATTTCCCGAGCCATCTCCACCTAATCAAGGTTGGTAAGGTCTCGTTTCCCAGAGGTGGTGCATCATGCAACTTACATTGCCTTCCGATCGATCAATTTGAAGGTCTCCTCACCACCAACCATCGCGATGGACAGAACCGCAGCATAGCTTGAAGCAACGTGCGACATCTGCCCATGTCCGCCACCAATTCCACCAGTGGGGTTCTGTGCAGCTTTGAATGTAGAGATGACACTAGCAGTTGGATTGGACTTAGAAAACATTTGAATGACCAGTGTCGCCACCCCGGTGCGTACAAGGAGATAGATTTGAGGCGCACTTACCGCTCACGAAATCTGGTGACATCTTCTCCAAAAAGAGAAAGTCCTGCCAAGGCCCAGTAGACCATCCAAGGACGACTGGCATCCATTGCAACGAAAGACGCCGGGTAGTCCTCCAGGGAATCGAAAAGGTAAGCAACATGGTCATCGCGTTGAAGCGCGAGTACTCCGTATCGATTGAATGGGCCTTTCTGACTGGTGTGGATCCCTTTGAGCAGTGGCAGACACCTGTCTATCGTTTCATTTTGGAGGTCGGTGGTCTCTGTGGTAAGAGCATCCTGAATCACAGGCGGCTCCGTGAAGAGCGCCGGGATTCCAGGATGAACTTGGCTTTCACCCATTTTCCCGCTCTGGGTGGACGATGAGCGGCCTTCGGGGCTGGTCACCGTTAAGGTGCGACTGTTTACCTGCAGGTTAGCGCTGGAAATGCGACCCTTTGGTTTTGCTGGTGTCGCAGAAGGCCCTTGACTGGTCGACGCAAAAACGACTTTGCGACGGTGTTTCCCGGTCGCTGCGATGACAGGCATGAACTGATCCAAATGGTGTCAGGACTACTCGTCATACACTCATTTATACTCGAGGAAGAGTATCTAGTTCTGTGCGATATTGCTATGCCAGTATCATTGTTCTTTTCTCATCAATGGAGATTGCATTAACATCGCCAGTCTATTGTTCCTCACCCTGGTCAGGTGACGAGCCCCTCATGACATTATTCGGCGGGCGCAAAAAAACAACAAGACCTCTTCCAATGATCTCTGCAACTTCCATGGCATGCTAACAGCATTATATTCTCTTATCTAACAGTTTCAGGGGAAGGACAGCGTCTTTTGTTCTGGAATCAAATACCAGACTTGTGACTGCTACCAAAAATGAAAATTCACGAGTCTCCGCGTGTTGCTTTGTCACTACTACGTACTCCGTATCTCCTGTCCAACAGATCCCGTGCTTACTACGTAGTTAACTGCCTTGCCTTCGCTTTCTTTTTCCTTTTTGCCTTAGGCTCTCGCCAATGTTGATCCTTCATCCTTGAACAGATCTACTTAGCCAGGAGAGGAAAAGCCGTCTCAAACATTCAGAAAATTTTGTGCTAAAAACTTAAATCAGCCTAGCTCACCACCTTATCTTTTCTGATGAGGGGTCATGCTGATCCTGTCATCACGATCCGAGGCTTCGATGCTCGTTTTTGCAACCCAATATGAATGATACATGGTCGAATACGGGATGCAAATTGACAGAAGCCTCCGCCAATGAGGAGTATGAGAGAAGAACAGATCATCTCTACCTACGGAGTACTCCGTAGGCTTTTCCCCTTTCCAACGAGACCGAAGATGCCCGGCATATGGCCTCCATACGATTATTACGTGCATTTATTCCCACAATACAGAAGGATTCTCATCTCGTCCGATTTCTAACTCGTCCGACAAGCTCGTACGGTATCAGTATGTACTACGTAGTAGAACCACAGCCATAAGCTCACGACTAGTTTGCATCTGTGCTTTGAACTATTGAAACGGAAAGCGAGAAAGTCTCCCGGCTCTCACACGAACTTCATCAGATCCCAGCCAAAGAGGTAGATCCCACGAACTTCAAAGTTCACACAGACAACTCAAACCTATGTGGTCCTCCTGATTCAACAAAGTCATTGCTAACGAAGCTGCAACGTCATCCTTTATATGCCTTCTGCAATCTGCATAAGCCATAGTATTATGGACGAGGAATGCGATTGACATGATCTACTTGCGGCCGCCAGCAGAAGGCTGCAAGTAAGAATCACCTTGTGGATGCTAACTAAGTCAGTATGTGAAGGGTTGAAGGTTGGCGAATAGAAGATTCGCTTACACTTATCAGAGTGGAGAGAAGAGAAGACAACAAGGTTACGGATCAACACTGATGCTTTTTCAAGGCGACGAAATCTACATACTAGTAGTACTGATTCAGTTCTCTTGAAACTCCTCCTTGCGCCTCAGCCGTATCTTTGCGGCGTGCATGGCCATGGCCCCGTGCCATCAAGTGTTGTCAGCATCTGTTGACTAAGTAGGTTGAGGGCATTCTGCTTACAGAATATGTCCTTTGATCTTGCAGGTTCGTTCAGAATTAGAATGTGATCTATCACCCGAATGACCATAAGCATTGAACACACAAAATTCTGTTCCAACAAAACCATTGCCTGGAATTTTTTCCTGCTGGGTGTGGCTTGGTAAGAGGCATCTTTGCTTGCCTCAAACATGTGCAAGGCACAGATAGATACCTATCTTAGCTAGTTATCTACCCTCCTTTCGAGTACAACTAAAGAAAGAACAACTGCAAGATCCACAGCTTAACGACTTGATCCATAAGTCCTCATCATCGCTATTCATTGGTCGCATTACTATTATTGCTTGGTATCACCTCATCAACTATGTATCAAGCGTATGAAAGCACCTTGTAAATAATACCCCGAGTTGGCGGACAGTGAGTGGTCTGACTTGAGTATTGTACGATAATGAGGGTATCATTACGTACTGAAAAGATGAGCCTATCCACGATTATGGAGCTACTGCACAGTCAGCCACCCTGGCTGCCAACGAAACCAAGTTCCAACGTGTGCAGCACCAATTGATTATTGGTCTATTTCCAACCCATCGCGGGCCATTGACAACTGGACCGCTTTAGTGGTATGTATGGCAGACAACACTCACATATGATCCATGATCATCTCATTTTCGCCCATACAGTTTCTTCTCTTGAACGCTGTGGGTATCAGGGTTATGTATGATACTGTATGTAAATAAACTGAGTATTCATCCTAGTGGGGTCTTTCCGAAGTAATGCCACGACCCGGTCTCATAATGCCTGCCATTCACATTACCAAAATTGAGGACTATCGTAGGTACTACAAAGTACTTACTATGTAGGTAGAGTCGAAGTTGTTAGTTGTTATTGTGTGTCGCGATAATAATACAATATCTGAGGTAAAAATATATCTGTCTGTAACTCTGTAATCTGTGAACCCACCAATAGAGATATTCTTGACGCCTTGACAGTTTCCACTGATCTCCGTTTCCCGAATATGATCCCGTGTCTCGTCCATGGAGTAATCCGTAGTTGGTTCCGTGGAACTCCGCTACCTACTCAACGGAGGAAGCTCGAATTCCTGTGTCCATACTCCCTCCATACTCTACTGTTTCACTGTTTGGTCCAACCTTCAACTTAATAAAGCGGATGCCTGGAAGAGGAGAAGATGATCTTTATCGCCAGTTTTATTACCTATATCGCTTCAAAAGTAGCTGACATATCAATGTGCGAAGTTGGGATAATTCTGTAACTACAGAATACTGTTGGTTCGATCGCTGTCCCACTGATAAACATGGAAAATGGCATGGATACTAACTGTACAGCGTACAGTAGTGTCAGTACCTACTCCGTACTTGCTCTGTACCCGCGTAGCGTACCTACTGCGTATGCTGTACAGTCTCCCGATGTCACTTGCCATACCCAAACCGCTCTAGTCCGGTAATAGAACTTCCTTGTTGAGAAACAATGAGGCTTTAGCATGAAACCGGCGTGGCATTTAGGTGACCTTCAGCCAGACCGTGACCAATCATCTCCCCCAATCTCGACGGATGACCATCAGCCTCTCCTTCCCCACCCCGTCTCCCCACCCACGATCAAATGGACCATGATTGAATGATTGATACCAATTACCAACCTTTGGAGAGAGTTAGTTCCTAACTTCCTACCTATCAGGCTATCCAATATCGGTACTAGCAATAACTCCTTCCCAGGATCCTCTAGCGCATCTCCGACAGACGCAGCTCCCGCTCACCGCTGCTTCGTTCCCCACCGCTTCCTCTATGCCTATGATTTTCCACCCTCTTCTTCCTCTCACACCCCCGGATTTTGGGCATTTTGCTCATCCGAACGGCCTTTGTCCTCTGCTTCTGCGACGAATTTCTTCCTCCCATTCTCTCTTACTGTGCACCTTTGTACCACCCATTCCTGTCTGATCTTTCGGTGTTGAGAACTTTCCTTTTTTTTATATTTTTTTTCTACCTCCATCTTTCGTAAATAGTCGGTCTTGAGGATGTCCAATGTTGATTTAACCACCGATGGCTTCATCGGTCTCGAGTCCGACTCGAGAAATTACATCCAGCCTCAGTCATGGCCCGTGGCGGTGGACCATCAGAACACCCAGCGGACAGATGGCTCGCGAGACATCTCTCCCCTGCAAACCAGCGGTCACGCTTATGAACACTCGATAGCACAGGATCCCAGTTTGATGGTCGATTGGCACTTCCAACAATTACAACCCCACCTCCAGTACACTCACGAGGATCCTTCGTCGGCTCAGCAGTTCGCGACATCAAGCTATGGAATGCCCATCCACTCATCCCCTGTGGATATCATGGCCGCACCTCAAGGGCCGATGGGCTCGGGCCTTCTGGAGAGCTCTTATATGCCTGTACCTGCGCCGGTCGACTTGGTTTCATTCGGCTTCCAGGATCTCCCCGCGGATCTCATGACTTTCCCAGACGGTCTCCCGGATCTATCATCGTACACGACACCACAGAACATGATCGGCAGCAGCTCCCCTACTGATACTTACTTAGAGGTACGGTCTCTATCCAGCAGCGATAACGGTTGGAGCACCATTGAAACCCGCCACCCTCACGAATTCATGTTCCCCGATCAGGGTATCTTCATCAACCCCACTCAGACGCTCCACGACCGAAGCCTTTCTGAGTCTTCCTACTCAACCTCGTACGGCAGCTTTGTTGAGATCTCGAATCCCATCAATTCGCCGAGCTCAGACACCAACTTTGAGTCTGCTTTCAGCATGCCGAGACGCGTTTCTTACGATCACACCTCCCACGGCTCGCGGTCTCCTACTGCAGTTAGCCCTGTTGCGATCGTGCGGCCGATGCCTGTGCCCTCGAAGAAATCAACTTCGCCCACAAGATCTGCTGGTACACAATCGTCATCTAGCTCGCCGCCGAGCAGGAAGCCCTCGCGCAAGAGCCCCATTGCTGCCAAGACTGCAGAGACTAAAATCCGTAAGCAGTCGCAGACTGGGAAGCCAGAGGGCGAAAAGCGGGTTGGAAAACGGAAGGGTCCTCTCAAGCCTGATCAACGGAAACAGGCGAGCGAGATCCGCAAGTTGAGGGCCTGCCTGCGGTGCAAGTTCTTGAAGAAGACAGTGAGAATCTCTATACCTTGTTCTGAGCCTTCGGTACAGTTGACTGACCATGAAACTCAAATAGTGCGATAAGGGCGAGCCGTGCGCTGGTTGCCAGCCTTCCCATGCGAGATTGTGGCAGGTTCCTTGCACCAGAATCGATATCAAGGAGATCGGGTATTTCATGAAGGATTGGAAGGCGGATTACGAACGTCACATTACTCTTGGCTTCTCTGTCGGAAACATCAAAGGATTCTCGGAGCACGAAAGGACTCTGTTCATCACGCATGGTTATGGCCAAATCCTTCCCATCAATGCTCGTGAAGTCTACGTTCGGGACGAACAATGTTTCAGTATCGACTGGGTTGAATCGATGCATCGCGATCCCACACAATATGAGGTTGAGACCGCCAAGTTATCGGCTGGAATGGAAGGCATCTCGCACGCTATGCTCTCTGATTATCTCGACCGTCATATTGATGGCAATGGTACTTTTGAGAAATTCGTGGATGACTATTTTGAGGGAACACCATTCCTCACACAGATGCTCAAGACCGCCTTCCGTTATTACTTCCGTACAAAGCTGCCAGTGATCCGAAAAGCGCTGAAACTGGTCATTGCCTACAACTTGACGCTCCATGTCACCATGGTGGAAGGGCTCGGTGAGGAAGAAGGGTTCCTCGGCAAGATTGTGGATCCTTCATCGAAATTCAAGGGCAAGATCATGGCGCCAGTCATGATCAACTTCCAGATCAAGTGTGCCATGGCCAATATGTGGCGCGAGCTGCAAAAGGATGTGTTGGAAGAGCTTTCCAGTCTCTTCTCTAGCGTATATAGCGGAGAGAAACTGAAGAACTGGCCTACCATCTTCATTCTCGCATGCATCCTTTTGGCTGTGTGGGAAGAAATGCAGTTTGACTGCCATTATCGCACTCCGGTAAGTTATGAGGATCTACAGCAGGCATGATTTCCCATGAATGAGAGAATACTGACCATCTCGAAGGATGCTGCTGCTGTGGACAAGTTCTGCAATGATATGGAGTCGACCCCCGTCGGAGTCATTGTTGGCTTGTTTCAGGCGATTTCGCAGAAACTTCCCGCTTTCACTGATTGGGAGACACAAAAGCACCATCACTTGTTGTACTCGAACCCGGATGTCTGCAATACTATGACCGAAGTCCGCGAGCATGTCAAGCAATACGGTAAGAGATCGATTTCTCGAGGTTTCAGTGCGTGAGATGGGAGGCTAATATGATTATCAGAGAGCTACCTCCGAAGCCGCTCGAACTCAAAATTCGACCGTAACGACTTCGACTGCTTATCGAACAAGTTCGTTTCGAGACTGGTTGTTCGCGCCAATTAGATGACGAGATATGAGGATGAGAGATCCATGACCTGCTTTTCAAACAACGTATTACGACCGCATCAGCGCGATATAAGCCCACATGAGACATGTCGACCTTGATATTTTACGAGTTTTCGCCCTTTGCCAAAAGAAAAAGCGATGACCATTCCTTACGATCTTTTATCCTCACTTATGTCTTATTTAACGGCCTCTTTCCTACCGAAGCTATCCTTTGAAAATCCTGTGAATCCTGGCCGACGGCACCTGTTTCTTCCTCTTTCTTTTGCCTCTCCTTCGGTGATATACGTTTTTCGCGCAGTGTTTCGACAGCGATGATGAGTATCACGAACGTCATGATATTGTATGGTCACGAGGAATGTCTGACAGCAGAGATGACGAGCGCAACTGAGTTGCAGACGTATGCTGGAGGCTAGTTCTCGCGTCATGTCGCTGAGTGTTGCATTCTGTTTTCTTGATTTAGCGACCCCTTGTTTTTATTATCGTGTTTAACTATGAGGACATTATTGACCGCTCCACAGAAGTAATGGGAGCTAGCGAAGCATTAAGAGCGTATTTATTTTGATCGATCATTGCTTGGATATAAGAGCGTTCGTGCCAGCATGTTAGTCTTAGATTTAAGTAATCTACGAGTCACGAAAATGATATCTATATTTATATACATATATCCTATGCATCAGCCTGCGTCTCGAAACTACTTCTCTTTTCCCATATCTTGCAGCACCATGCAGATGCCTGCTCCATGCAAGCAGGGTCTCACTGCACAAAGATGTTCCCATCCTTACTACAGAGTACCTACTGATACAGCTCCCCGTTCACAATGAGGAAGGTAAGTGCCTTAACGCCTTAGGCTCAGAAAAGCGGGGATCGCAACAAAAGGGCAAAAACTACCGATAACTAACCGGACGCGACAATCACCTGATCGGAGGCGCCCCATTAGTAGAATTTAGACTATCATTGGTAGCCTGGGGCCGCCGTTAGTCCTCTTTACTATCAGCTGAGGTGTCCACTCTGGTCCATTTCCCCCTTCTCTCCAGGAGCGATAAGGGAACGTCATCACTCCATACTGTTGATATGACGCAGTAGGATTCACGACAGGGCATGTTTGAAATTGTGGCACAGTACATTTTATCATTAGCGCATGAAAGCAGTGATTTTTCCCACATAATCTGCAAGAGGAGCTTTTGGCCCATAATAGGTTGAAATGACGAGAAGCAGATTAGAAGGGTACGGACCCGAAGAACCGAGCGGTCAGCGGTGGCGTCAGTGGCGGATCCGGACAGGAAGGGCAAACTACGGAGTATCTCGTCGTATCCTATTCCTAGATTCTAAGGTCGGGTCGATAAGGCTCATCGCTGAACGAACGGCCAGAGCCCAAATCTGACCCTCTGTTTATCGTCTTTATCGGTTCACCCTGGGGACTAGTAGATTTCGATGTGGATAGTCACTTCGTTCTTCGCGAGGATGGAGTGCTGGAGGGTCATCCCGTCCGCCTGGGATATGAGCAAGGACTACTGCACAGCAGTGAGGTCTACTATCTGATGCCTATCTTGATGGAATCCTACAACGGCCTCCTATTAGAAAAGAAGAGGATTAAGATATTCTCCTGTAATCAAGCCTTCTTATTATTAATCAGCATCTAGCCATCTAGTTACAACTTTGTGAGCCTGAGTCACCGGCCCGAGATTGATGACCAGAAACGCAGTTTTCTAGCAGTTTCCCCAAGGTAGTTGGTCTAGGTAAGTGTAGAAGAGGCAGACACATGCTGTGAATGGCTAGCCACCAGGGAAAGTGCCAGGCCGTGCCAGAAAACAGTAACGGCTTCCTCTCCAAGAAAAGGCCAAAAACTTACCTTGCGTCACGTTATCCAGCCTATCCCGTCACTGATTCACTGTCGCCGTTTTGGTCCTGGTCCTGGGCCTGACTAAGGCGCTTCGCCTCCACCTCCCTCCCCTCATCTCCCAGCAACTACTTAAGGCTCTCCTCCTTCCAACCTTTCCCTCTCCTCTTGTGTCATTTATCCCCTTCTTTCTCTTCTTCTCTCTTGAGAGACAGACCACACCTATCTTCTCAACCTCTTCCATATTCCTTTTCGATAATCATACCTTCTACTACTGCATATCGACCAACCTTCCCACCTCGTCTTCATCATGCAGATCTTCGTTAAGACTCTCACCGGCAAGACCATCACTTTGGAGGTCGAGTCGAGCGACACTATTGACAACGTCAAGTCGAAGATTCAGGATAAGGAGGGCATCCCACCTGATCAGCAGCGTTTGATCTTCGCTGGAAAGCAGCTTGAGGATGGCCGTACCCTCTCCGACTACAACATTCAGAAGGAGTCTACTCTGCACCTCGTTCTCCGTCTGCGTGGTGGTATGCAGATTTGTAAGTTCTCACACTTTGCCCCGAGCATTTGCCACCATGGTGGCTACTCGCATTCAGGACTCCTACTGATCCATCGTCAATAGTCGTGAAGACCCTCACCGGCAAGACCATCACCCTCGAGGTTGAGTCTAGCGATACCATCGACAACGTCAAGTCGAAGATTCAGGATAAGGAGGGCATCCCCCCCGACCAGCAGCGTTTGATCTTCGCTGGTAAGCAGCTGGAAGACGGCCGCACCCTGTCCGACTACAACATTCAGAAGGAATCCACTCTTCACCTTGTCCTCCGTCTGCGTGGTGGTATGCAGATCTTTGTCAAGACCCTTACCGGAAAGACCATCACATTAGAGGTTGAGTCTTCAGACACAATCGATAATGTGAAGAGCAAGATTCAAGACAAGGAGGGCATTCCTCCTGACCAGCAGCGTCTCATTTTCGCCGGCAAGCAGCTGGAAGACGGCCGCACCTTGTCCGACTACAACATCCAAAAAGAATCGACTCTTCACCTTGTCCTCCGTTTGCGTGGTGGTATGCAGATCTTCGTCAAGACCCTCACAGGAAAGACGATCACACTGGAGGTGGAGTCTTCGGATACTATCGACAATGTGAAGAGCAAGATCCAAGATAAGGAGGGTATCCCTCCGGACCAGCAGCGTCTTATATTTGCTGGTAAGCAGCTGGAAGATGGGCGGACACTCTCCGACTATAACATCCAGAAGGAGAGCACACTGCACCTGGTGCTGCGTCTCCGTGGTGGTTGTTAAGTCTGTTTTGTTGTTTCGCTCTCATTCTTTGATATAACGATGTTCTACGGCCCAAATGGCCTGCGCGGCGTTTGGATGGCTTTACGGTTTCTCTATTGATATGGCTGCATTGGGCATACCTCTCTTTCTTTTATCGCCATCGCTCTCGGCACATACATATTTAGCTACTATGAATCAATGAACCAGATACACCGATTCCTCATATACTGCATCTTGTCAATAGTTTGTAGCCACCTCGTAGGTCCTTTCTACTTTTGATTTGGTCTCCTGTCGATGGTATCCTCTTTTGCCACATCACACACGTGACTCACGCGATAAGCAATACAACTGGTCACTGTTGAGGTAATTCTCTCAAAGCTGCATTCATCTGCAACCCCAGCGATGTGAGCAAGCATCGGTCGGGATGCCCTCTTACTTTTATCATCTGGCGGTTGAATTGTTTGCTCGTCCTCAATCCGGTTTGGGAGGCGCCTTTCAGGGCGTGGACAATCGGTCCATCACCTCTCTATCTTTTGACTCCGCATGTGAAGCTCTACTTCCGTTTCAGCAGCGGGCACGACAGTTGAATTCAACGGGCCGTAACGCTTCTTATTCACCCACCGGCCAATCCAAATGTTCGTCCTCTTTGTTTTTCTGAGTTCGTCGACTTGTGGTTGTGGTTATGGGCCTGACAAGTACAGCAGCAGCAGCGAGTGCAGTGGCACCGGGTCACCCCACTACCTTCCACCCCTACACAATATCACCTACAGGCGCAAACAACTTCGAGAACGACCTTCGGCTAGACAAAGTTAGCATCGAATGCATTGATATGGTCCCCTCCGAACACGATAGCACGACGGCTTTGAACCGGCCCGCCAGGCGAGACATCAGACACAATCCCGTCGCCACGGGCATCGGCACCGACATCCTCGGCGGGCTCCGCACGAAGGGGAAATACATCCCGCTCGATCAGCAGACGTCCGAGAGCAGCTGGGGCATCGTACATCTGTACCGCGATGCAGAGGAGACGCCCTTCCTGGTCGATGAGGACTATCCGCTCGAGCTGAAGGGGTCCGCTGCGGCGAGACAGCCGTATGACCAGCTGGGTGGGCGGCACGATGTACCCGCCAGGGCACAGTCACCGTCTCTGCGTGCGGAGGGAGACTGTACGACGCTGTGTGTCCTTGCTGTGCCGTCGTACATGTCTCCGTCGGACTTTCTGGGGTTTGTGGGCGAGGCGACGATGGATGATGTTAGTCATTTCCGGATGATTAGGACGGCGCGGGCGAACCGGTACATGGTTTTGATGAAGTTTCGGAGTGGAAAGAAGGCGAGGGAGTGGCAGAAGGAGTGGAATGGGAAGGTTTTCAGTAGCATGGAGGTAGGTTATTGACGGGGCAGTTTCAACGTTTTACCCCTGATAAGTGTGTCCCAGGGTGATGCTGATGCTGACTGTGCTCGCAGCCGGAAACGTGCCATGTTGTCTTCGTCAAGACGGTTGAGGTCCAGGCGGTCCGTTCGGAGTCGACTGCGTCTGCTTCCCAGGATAATGCCCCTTTAGCACCACATATGGCGACCAGTCCTCAGCGGACGACTATATCTACTGCGAACCAATCGAGCTCGTTACCCTCTGCCACCCTTACTAGTAAACCTCTTGCACCTCCCACTCCCGCCCTCATTGAGTTGCCGACTTGCCCGGTGTGTCTGGAGCGTATGGATGAGACTACTGGGTTGTTGACGATCCTCTGCCAGCATGTGTTCCACTGTACGTGTCTCCAGAAATGGAAGGGAAGCGGATGCCCCGTCTGTCGATATACGCAAGATGACTTCCGCCGGGGCAGTCAAGGTGTGCCATACGAAGATGAGCCAGCTGAGTGTGGCGTTTGCCACTCTGAGATCAATCTCTGGGTCTGTCTCATCTGCGGGAGCATCGGCTGCGGTCGTTACGACGGGGCGCATGCTTCTGAACACTACAAGGAGACGTCGCATGCCTTCGCGATGGACCTTGCCAGCCAGCGCGTCTGGAGCTATGTCGGGGATGCATATGTGCACCGCATCATCCAAAGCAAGACCGATGGCAAGCTGGTGGAGCTTCCTGCGGCGGACAACAGCGCCCTGGACCCACCTGACTGGACGGACGCGGTGCCACGGGAGAAACTGGAGAATATGAGCGTGGAATATACGCATCTTCTGACCAGCCAGTTGGAAAGCCAACGCGCCTACTTCGAGGAGATTGTGGAACGCGCCGCTGACAAGGCGTCGCAAGCCACCGCTGCGGCTGCCTCTGCGCAAGAAGCTGCTGCGAAGGCTGCCGCCAGTCTGCAGGCGCTGCAGACGCAATACGACAAACTAGCTGCGGATACCGTGCCCGCTGTCGAGCGCGACAAGATCAGGACTGAGAAGCGTGCCGAGAAATTTGAAGCCATGGCGCGCAAGTTGGAGAAGGAGTGGCGAGAGGAGAAAGCTATAAACGAAAGTCTCATGAAACGGATCGAACATCTGACCGCAGAGGTCGCGGAGCTCAAGGCGACGAATACCGATCTGTCCGAGCAGAACCGCGATCTCACTTTCTTCATTAGCGGCTCGGAGCGGCTCAAGGATCAAGGTGATGATATCGTTCAGGGAACTGTCAGCGTACCGGATCCCCCGACCAATAGTAAGCGGAAGGGCAAAGGGAAGGGGAAGAGATAAGAGGTGGAGTGCCAGCCTCTTTCACTATTGTGGAGAGAAGTGATTTCACCATCGCCATCCTTGATTACGTTTTCTGAACGGGATGTCCTAGAAGGACTCCCTGGGCCATCAAGCCTCGGCGCGAGGCTCACAACCTTGACGCACCAAGAACTCATACTCGCTTTCAGGACAGTGCGCTTGATGAGCACCTCGCAGTCCTGCTTCAAATCATCTCACGAAAATGAAAAGACGGTGCAATAGTCGATCTTGGAATTGACATACTGGAAAATCGATTTTCTGGTGGAATATCTCAAACGAGCCAACCTAGCGAATACTAACGATAATCTTTCGAATATAATGAGGAATTCAATATGCAACTGATCCCCGTATCTTCCAAATCTGTGCGTATCATACAAGTAGCAATTTTATCACTATACATGTCCCAATCTTATAATGTTCACATCCCTCATGTCAGCTCCCTCATACCCCCTTGCGCACCGCCCAGAAATAATTCCCCCAACTCTCCGACCCAGGCACCAACTTCCACCCCAAACCAGGAAAGTACATCACCCCGGTACACTTCCACCTCATATCCCGCAGCGCCTCGCTCCCCGCCCGCACAGCAGCCCCGTCCCGCGCCCGCATCAGCCCCTCCTGCACCCACCCCTCCAGCTCATCCGGATTCACAAACTTGCTCCACTCATGCGTGCCGCGCGGCACGACGCCGATCGGCCACGGCGCCTCCGCAATTACCTGGTTCACCAGGAACGAGGGGAAGGTGCGCGCGATCGTAGACCCGATCAGCCAGCCGCCGGGCCGCAGCAGCCGCAGACAGTCCGTGAGAAAAGTCAGAGGCGACGAGCCTGCCGACGAGTCCACGTGCTCCAGGACCTCGAAGAGGGTGACGATGTCGAAGGTCTGCTCGGCGGGTGCGTCGGCGGCGTGCACCTGCGCGACGAGGTCCTCGAGCGTGCGGTTCTGGTAACTGAAGCGGCCGGTGCGCAGGTGCGCGTCGACCGTGGGGTCGAGGCGTGCGTGGTCGCGGGCGATCTTGATGAGCGTTGGCGAGGGGTCGAGAGCGGTGATTGAGGCGGCGCGCGTGTGTGTTGCTGGGGCGGAGGGCGTGGAGGGGATGGTGCGCGCGAGCGATTCGGCGAAGATGCCGCCGCCGCAGCCGACGTCTAGGTAGCGGAGGTTGTTGGCGGCGGCGGCGGCGGCGGTGGTGGTGGTAATAGTGTCGGGGTTTTGGCTGTTGAGGGTGGGTGTGCGCGGCTGTGGGAGGGACTCGGCCAGGCAGGAAGCGATAAAGTCGTGGCGCAGGGGGTTCATGAGATGGAGGATGCGTGAGGGGCCGACTGGATCCCACCAGCTGCTGGCGAGGCCGGAGAAATGCGAGAGCTCATTTGCAGAGACGGAGGAGGTGGAATGAGAGCGAGAGGCGCTGAGGCCGCGGAGGAGGGGGCCGACGGCGCGGGTTGAAGTTGTACGTAGGGAGTTCATGGTGAGAAAGAAGAACGGGGAGATATGTTGATTATGCGTCTTTAAACCTGAACTCGAGGCAATTGCAAGTGCTATGGGCTGGCCAGTGTCGATATCTACTTGGTGTGTTAGCTTTGTGGCTGCGAAGGAAGGACGGGAATCGCACGAATGGTTCTTGTAGGTCATATGGGCATTCTCACTAGCAGCTTCCTCAACTCATTTCATCATGCTGGCTTGAATGAGCTGCTGTAAATCCATTCTCAAAGTTGAGATGAAGCAATAATTCCAGCTCCGGAGTTTCAATTGTTGGAGAGCAAACACGCCAAGACTTCATGTACATTTCATTCAGCATAACAAATAAAGGGAGGTATTGCAGGCTCGCAACAACCCAGTGAAGGGCATTTGCAGATATAGAATAAATATAGCTTTTAGTTCCCCTCTAATACTATATAAGGATTGAGGCAGCTTGTTCTGACTGCTTCATTTGTTATACAGTTGCCGATGGTGAGCAGTGCATCAGTATATTAACACGGGAATAATATATAACTGGTACACCGACAACTACTTTCCATAGCTTACTGTGTAGATATGCAGAAAAGAAGAGGTGTGTCAGTAGACAGTATCCTTGTATCAGTCACACTAGAAAAACCATGAGCGTCTTCCTTCGATTTACATTCGACACCTCCTATGTGACCGATAAGCCAGAGATTCCGACAAAAGTACCATTCCAAGCTGCTGGTCCACAAGTTCAAAGCTCCAAAAGAGAGATACGAGCAGCTGACAGTATCCATCCCATGGAAAAGGGGCAAGAATACGAAGAGATATCTTCGATTCGATTGGCATCAGATTATCGGTACCCAAAGAGGAAACCAACCAGAAGAGTTCATTCGGCTTCTTTTGCAGCCTCCAAGTGGGCCTCTTGCTGGAACTGGAGGAGAGAATAATAACTAATTCTTCGCACCTTCCAGAAGTCTTCCCTTTCTAGCCAAACTACGAGATATTGATCACCTCCGAGCGAGTCAGAACAAGTTGTCCACTCCACCCGCTAAATACCCAACTAACCCTGTCCGTCGTAGAGTCTGACCGTGTGACTCTGCGGCATCATGGCAATCAGCAGCAGATCCCTCCCCTAAAAGACAACTCACGGGAGATTTGCCGATTGCGATGGTGACGGATTATCGGCCTCTGCACAGAAAGGCAGGTGTAGAGTGTAGACACTATCAGGCTAGATTTGAAAGGGAATATGGACGGTGTACGGAGTAGTGAACCACGCAGTATGGATGCCTTCAAGTGTTCGAGACAGAGGTCTCTTTCCCCGTCTCTCTCTGCCCGTCAGTCTCCTTCCCCTTCCCCTTTCCCCCCTTTTTTTCATCCGCGCCTGGTGTCTTAGTCTTCACCGAATTGAACTGGGAAAAGAGAAGCCTCGCGTGATACATTATATGATTGGTCTCTTTGCTGCGCGTGCATACAGGTTCGAGTGGGAGGCTACATCTGCTGTATGACTCTGTGTTGTGCTGACTGTCATGACAAACTGCTTATGCGCTCGACATGGATTCGTGGTGATTAAGGTCAGATAAACTCGCACTGTGGTACTTCAGAGAGTCGTACAGATGGGGGATCTGCCAGGAGCAACATGCAATCCCTACGACGATGATGAGGAATTATAATATAATAATAATCAAAAAAAAGGGATACGAAACTCAAAAGAACACAGTCCAGGTGTCCACCCATCGAAGTTTTCTAGAACATTACGGAGTCTGTACCAGTAGTCGAAGTGATGGAGGATGTCTCAATTATCTCAAGAGGGTGATCATCCTGGTGCAAAGAGGTATTTACCTATTATTATTATGACAAGTAAAATTACACACAGACCCATTGTTATTATTCATGATTTGATATTTTGGTCCTTGTATGATTGTATCAGGCTACGCCGCTACTATCAGTATCAGCCACCACAAGTGGGCTTTCTCTCCCATCATCCTTGTCCGCCTCAGGCCAGATTGGACGCATCGCTTGGAAACCGGAAACCCTCTCAAACTTTCAGGGAGTCCAAAGAGATGTCAACGTAGGTATCTAGGACTTTGATCCAATTATGGCATCTTCCTGGTAAAATGGGATTGCTATCATCCCATTTCAAGACCGACAGAGAGAGAGAGAGAGAGAGAGGTGGGGGGAAGGAAATCCCTCAATATCATGGACAGCAAGCAGGTAAGGAGATAATTTACCGCTCATCAGCCACATCCGACTCCATGTGCTTTGTCGTAAGATCCATTTCAAAAGGAGCAGGCTTATCCCATATGAGTCTACTCCGTATGAGAGTCTCTGGTCCTACTGTGTAGAATCTAGGTAGATACAAGGTTACCGGCTAGGACGGTGAGAAAAAAGGATGTACAACGTGGGGCTGGTGGTATTGTTCATTGTATTATTGTTGATCCAACCATCAACACGGACTTCTGCAGGACTCCAAACTGTGCATTACTATGTAATCATTAATAGTCTATCGGAGACTTGCTCAACTTAAGAGTATTCTACTTCCCGCTGTTCAAACTGTAACCTCCTGTGTCAGGATATCATCACCTTGCGAATAGTTATCTATCCGAATCATGTCCTCCCTGATTAATAATGGACTATGATACAATGTCAGCGAATAAATGTGACAAGTAATCGCGTTCAGCTAGTTACTACCTACTGACGGAGTGTAGGACAGTGGTTAGATGGTAATAACCCAAGGCGCATCAGAAGACTTCCACATGTTCCATGGGGGTTCCTAATTCCTTCTAGAAGGGTTTCGGAAGCCCGGACAGGTCTTGGCAGCCAACCGCGTGGCCCCGTATCATTTGTATGTCTGGTGAAGGCTGAAGCAGTCTAGCACAGCATCGAGGTGGAGAAAACAGAGAACAGGGGGGCCAATTATCGAGATTAAGGGCTTTGGATCTTCGACTCCAAGGGGAAAAGGACCAGGCGCCCCCCTTTGATCCTTTCAAGCCTATCGAGATGGAGGACGGGACCTGGTCCATGCGACTAAGACACATAGTCCGGCTTTACTGGAAGCACTAACAGACTAGTCATAACACTAGGCAATAATAGCCCACTTCTGATATCCGGCTTCTGCTGGTTAGTACGTCTTGCACAGTTGCACTCTTACCAGAATACCTGGAATGGCTGCTAATGTCTGTGATGCACCAGGCAGTATGCACTATGCAGTCCGACGTGACATGCAGATTCCGAACATCCCAATCAACAATAGTGGGAGGACCGGAAACTGATCTGTACTGTTTGTAGTATGTATGCACTGAGGTCGATAACCCAGAGGCATGAACGATGACGAGACACCCTCCGGGTAACTCCCGGCCAAGGAAAATGGCATGGCTCTGTTACCCAACTAGTGCCCTGTGCCCATCGTTCGAAACTTTCTAGAAGGAAACTAACTTTCCCGCCGTTGTCCTTCGCTAATCTGACGCCATGCTCGATGATTCCTCTGCTCGCCAAAGAGGGAAGCGTCCAGCGAAATTTGGGATTCTGCGATCCCTGAAGCTGGAGCCTTGGACTGGGGTTACTCCGTCAGGTTGTCCTATCATCCTATGATGCTCATTGCTCACTCGCCAAGTCATGTCAGCTGCATCCCGCCTTGAAATTACAGTAAGGAGGTCCTGCCTGACAAATGAGCGCCCGGAAAATTCCTCTTCTAGTCATCTTAGGTCTCCAAGGTATCGACGCATGTCGTCAGAACTGTGTAAGTGATTTTCCCATCCGTGCCTCACTACTCCCCAATTGCCGATAAGGAGAAGGTCGTAGGAGGGAGCCCACCCAGGAAGAGTTTCATGTGTCGCACATTATTATGACACAAAGGCCAGAAAGCAGGAGAATTGAGTGTATGGTTTCTTTCCCCCATCCCCCCCCCCCTCGTTTTTCTGGATCCGAGGCTGCATTGCATAGTCGCTTGGAATCTCCTTTTGTTCCCTTTTCTGTCTCTTGTGGCCAATTTTAGAGGCTACTGGGCAATGTCCTTTTTAAAAAGACTCTGGGGTAGACCGTTAAAAGTAAGCTTCTCAGGGGTTCATGGCCATGCACTTTGTTAATCTTGGTTCCTGGATCAACATTTCCGGTCTTGGTCCGAAGCGTTGACCCTTTTGTGTCATGAGAGCAAGCCTCCCTGTCGATAAGGAGTTTTGGCCACCACCACCACCACCAGGCAGGCACCAACGTCAATCACCGGGTTTCAAGGATTATATTGCATGGATGCTTATGATGTCTCTCTCACATCAGAAATCATCCTGTTGTCTTGCAATCTCGGCCTTCACTTCTCATCATTGTCCTTCAAGTTCCTAACTCGTAAAGATCGGCAGCTGTTTGGATCAAGGTACCCACCACCAGGGTCGAATCTCGCACGGCCAAGGGGACGGGGAAGACCACGTTGTGGAGCCGGTGAAGGTGAGATGGAACTTGGGAGTTGAAAGTTGGGAGAACGCTGATGGTGACCTTTTGGTGTGCCTCCAGCTTTCCCCTTCGAGGCTTGGAGCGAGGACCTCATAAGTCCTAAGTCCTAAGTCATAACTAAAAGGAGCCATGACTGATGAACATATGTAGCTAGTGGGAAATTGGAAACGTGCTGGAAGCTGTAAGTGCCAGTAGTTTCCGTGGGCTACTTTAGTGGCTACTTTTTTTGCTAAGTCCTGACTGGGAGTAACTAGTCCGGGCATGAAAAGGCCCCGTAAGAATAAAATAAAATAGAATAAAAATAAAAATAAAACAGTAGAAATAATAATATCAGCTTCATCATCATCTTTTTTTTTTTTTTTTTTTTTTTTTTTTTTTTTTTTAAAAAAAAAAAAAAACCCCCGTGCGATAATAATAATTCCTACTAATAATAATCATCGCAATTAAAAGGCACCGTATTAAAAATGTCGTACGGTGGTGGACAGTGGGAAAGAAACGTATGCATTCCTACTATTATTATAATGCCAACTTCCCTTCATAATGGTAATGACAATAATAACAGGGTAAAGTATTAAGTACTCGAAAGTTGCACCTACCACTATCTCTCTCTACTCTCTATATTCTTTGCTCTCTGCCCTCTATTCTCTTCATCATCTTTACCATCACATCAATATCATCCCGCTAGACGGACTCCCCCCCCACCACGTGGAAAAAGGATCCCTCGTCATCACTGTTTGCTCTTGTTTTTTTCCCCTTCCTCGGTTTCTGCATTTCCACTCCGGCCACCGCTCGCATTCCCTCTCACCTGCAGTCAGCTTCCAAACGCAAGATCCTTCCTTGGACGAAGTTTCTTCATTGTCGCCGACGGCTTGATCTCCTTTTCGATTGCTCGGATATTTGCTCGTCACGTACGTACTTCCCTCCTGGCTCAGTTTGCGCTCGCGTCACTCAGCGTTCCCCCTCCACTAGCTCGTGTGTGGTGCATGTGTGTTAGGCTGGTTGGCTAGCTTTCTACTGCGTGATTTGCAAGCGCTTTGGGATCGCTAGACGTATCAGAAATCGTTTCCTCGAGGCAGGATTTCAAGAACTGACGAGCCCCCTCCGTGGAAATTGATTCCTGCATCCGGACCTCGGGTGGCTCAGCTAGAGTAGTTCCAGTCTCCTTATCAGGATCGCAGTGCTATCGAAGATCTCTGCTATTGCGGAACATATAGGATCTGAACTTTGCTGACAATTTATCTCTGTCAAGTAGTCATCTTTGGTTCACCCCGCTATACAAAGTCCCTCCGGCCTCACCGACGCTCCTTCGTCCCTACAGGCAGCACGCTTTGCGCAAGGCGCATCGGAACAGTTATAACCAGCTTGTTTCTTCAGTGGTTGGATTCTTGTGCTCACTTGACCCTTGCGGCGACGGTCCATTACGACTTCGAGACGGCGCGAACCCGTGGAACATATCGCATCTTTCAGCGCGGCGCCAGATCGCTTAGAAATCCGGCACTTGTCCCTGTGTGTGTATCAGGCGCGGTTGCGAATTAATCGTGTCTGCGGCTATTTCGAAGGACTTGGACAACAGTGTCTTAGTCCATTCGCGATTGTCAAAGCACGACTCCTCGTTTTACAGGGAAGCTCTAGCACTGTTAGTGAAGGCTCAGGATTTAGCAGGGGGAAAGTCAAACATTTCTGACGAGGGAACTAGAACACTTGGGCTCGCTCCTCTATTCACACATTCCTGTGCAGAAGGTTGAAGAATTTGGCCACCATTCTTAAATCACGTCACAAGCAGTCGAAGAATAGTTTCTCTTGGGAAGTCAAGGAGGTACTTGTAAGTAATACCGAATTCTTTTCTATCTCCAGCACAGAAATGTGCTTTGCACCTGCCCGATCCCCTCTCTTCTGTTACCATCCAACATTTGCTTCATCACCTTGTATCGTGCTTCACTGACAGTGGAGAATACCCCCAGTACACGGACAATTTTCAAACCGTCCTTTCTACCGCAACATTACGACGTGAAAGCTACCGGGCGACTATTCATCTGCAGCCTTCGCCCCGCGCAAAGAGAGCCGTGGAGACGCATCTACGGCCACACATCGAGAGGTTTACCACAGGACATTCCGAAGTGTCCTTGACCACCGTTTCTCAGCTTGTCGCTGGGTCGGGTCATGGACATCACAACTATCTTAAACAGAAAAGGTTCTGTCGCCGCTGTTGCTGCGGAAGCACAGTTTCAACAGCAATTTGTGCAACATAACCTTGACTCGTCCTCTTCGCCCAAAATGAAGCCGGAGCCCGGTGTGCCAGAGGCTCCGGATCAACAAGTCCTCTCATACCCCCCGCATGCTCCCTTGAACTCGATGCCTAGCATGGTTCCAGACATGCGATATTCCCAAGGACAGCCAAACAGTGGTATGCCGCTCTTGCAGAATGCCTACGTTCCTGGCGTTTATACCACGAATGCTCAGATTCCCAATGGTGCCACTCCGCAGAGGGCGGACCCTCCACCCAAGACTTTCCACTGCTCGACGTGTGGCAAGGGGTTTGCGCGTCGCAGTGACCTCGCCAGACATGGTATGTAGTTAATAGTTATAATCTTACAAGATCCTTGAGTGGTTAATATCGGTATAGAGCGAATCCATACGGGCATCCGACCACATGCTTGCGATTGGCCTGGCTGCGGGAAACAATTCATTCAGCGCTCTGCCTTGACTGTGCACTCCCGCGTTCATACTGGAGAAAAACCGCACATGTGTGAGAGATGTGGCAAGGTAAGCATGCACAGACAGCGTTCATACTTGCAGTACTATTTGTTCGCTTGCTAATCCTGTACAGCCTTTCAGCGACTCGTCATCCTTGGCTAGACACCGCCGGATACATTCCGGCAAGCGGCCGTACAAGTGCCCCTATGCGAACTGCCAGAAGACGTTCACTCGCCGCACCACCTTGACCCGCCATCAGAACCATCACACTGGAACCATCGAGGAGGCCGCTGCCGAAACGGAAGCGAATTTGCGACAGAACAAGGAACGGGCGAGGGTTCCTGGTGACGGAGCTTTCTCTGAACATGCCTCAGTTCACTCTACACCTTCCCCTGCACACCATCCTGCAGCCAATCCACCGCCCGGTGATCTTCCTCCCTTGAATATGCCTCGCTCTACTGGTGATTACTACATGGGAAATGGATCTATCCCCCCCCATGTCCGTGGGGACTTCTCACAAGCTAGCCCCCGCGCCTCCCCCACTGCCACGTCGCCGTCTCTTTCGAGCTTCAGCAATGCGCCACATCCTCGACCATCCATGACATCTCATCCCTCTGGTTATGCGCCGCCACAACCGCTGGAGCCGCCTGCTAATAGCGACCATCGACCAAATAGCGTGAGCGGAAGTCCGCACATGACTAGCTTGGGTTGGGCTTCACCTTCCCACGGTAGCATTCCGTCTCCCGGATCGGTGAACGATTTCAATTATCCCGAGCCAAGTGGACCGGCTTATCCCAATTCCATGCCACCACATATGTATTTCCCGAATTCGACGATTAGACGGCCTGGAAGTACCGAGCCGGAAAATTATGAGATGAAGCCCAGACTGGGTGACAATGGTTGGTCTACTCCAGTCTAAGCAGCAATCAATAATTGGCTGCAGATCAGAGACTATTGAAACAGGACTTTCCCACAGTATCGAAGCGCCACGTCGGTCTGTGTCGGAAAACTCAAGTTTTTCCTTTGTCGCTTTCCTTTGTTATTTCCCCCTCTGTATCCATAGCCGAAGTTGTGTGTTCCCCTCAGTTGATTTCTTGCTTGACATCATATCCTGCATCATTCTACTCTCTACCTCACCCTTTTTTTTTTCTTTTCTTTTTTCCCTTTTCTTTTCTCTTTCTCATTTGGTATTACTTTGCATTGCTTACTGTGCCTGGCATAAGCGCACTGGAAGGAGTCCGGACGAGCACATATTTTGTTCCGGAGTTGGATTGTTCTCTCTATCTGTTTCTTTCTGTTTAATGTGCGACACGACCAGGATGAAGCATCAATATAGAGAGCTGAGACGGCTCATGGGCTAGGTTGAAAGAGGGGTTCGGGATATTCGGGTATCTGCTTTCGATCTGCGTTGTCATCCATTTCTGTGCTTTTGGATTCGCTTGCATGATCCCCCATATTTTAATATTGTTTGTGTCGCTGATACAATATTCCCCCTATTGCCTGTTTGTTTACTTGTTCCTTTTTTGTTTATGGATTTCCTTTGTGCCTTTGTGCCTTTTCGTCTCTTGTTTTCCTTTGTTCAAGCAATCACACCGCATTCCTGTAAATGGGGTTTTTTTTTACACATATCTGTATGTATGTATGTATGTATGATAGAAGCAGTGAGCAGAACCTAGCTAATGCGAAAGCTGCTGGATGGCTTTTGAAATCGAGATTATATTATAGACAAGTTGCTCCAGGCGCACCGTAGCAATAACAATGAAATTTTGATGAGAATTATTAGGTAGGTGTTTGTCTATCCATGACATCTGCATACACCCACCTACCTGTTCAGGTGTTCTGCAGCTGGAACCATATGGTCCACATTACGAATATTGAATCCCGAGCCCGGAGGCATTCACATCAAATCCACCCTGCGGGGGACACGAGCAGGTCGCCCGATTCGCAACACGGGAGAACAAAGCAGCCGCGAAGGAAGTGGACGACACGTCCTTATCGCGGGAGGAGAGGAGGCCGAAACGGAGGAAGACCTCGGAGATGGTCACAACGATGGAGATGAGAATCAGGACGATGATGATCCAGGTTTGATCTGTGTGAGAATGAGATTGAGATTAGCAGGATGCAGTTTGAAAAGGGAGCAATGGGGAGGGGCGCACGGGAGGTTTTGTTATCAGCGATGGAGTCGGAGAGGATCTCGGCGAGGTCGAGGAAGACGCGACAGCGTTCGTTGAGGACCTGGATGCGCGGTTTGATTTCGAGGTACTCGCGGACGGCGATGTAGAGCGGGTAGAGGGTTGGTTCGCTCTCCCAGAAGAAATTGGGGACGTCGAGCATGTTTGATGCTGGATCTTGTGGTTAGCTTGGCGGGAAACATGGTGATGGGAGAGAGAGAGGAAAGAGGGGTTGCGGGATTGTTGGTATTATTTGACTCACATAGATTGACTTCCACTCGGCTTTTGAAGAGCTTGCCTAAGATGCGAAAGACTTCTTCTCGCTTCATGCCGAGCTGGCCCGTCATTGCCAGTCTGCGCGGTATGTCCTTTGCTTCGGCCATCTGGCGGGCCATGACTTCTTCGAAGAAGCACAACTTGGTGCTCTGCGCGATGCCGTGACTGATGGCCAGTTTGATCATGTGGTCGCCGCTGCGCAGGGTGATCATGTCGTTATATACCCGTGGGCGCGAAATCTCAGTTGAGTACTCGAAGTGGAACTCTTCTGTCTCGAAATCCTCTTCGTCCAGAGGCATGGTTGCTAACGGCGTTCGGGTACCCGTGGCGGACGAGTTCGCAAATGCCAGGTCCGCAAGAAGATCCTTCTCTTGCCTTTCGGTCAAATTCCAGAACACCACCACGCCGTAGCTGAAGACGAACATCTCGGCGACGTCGTACGGAAGCCGTGTAGGCGCTGTTATGGTAACGGGGGATGCTTGCGCGGGCCGGTGCTCTGCGTCCGAGTCTCTGCTGGGCTCTCTGTTCGATTCGTCTCCGGAATGGTATGAGTTGTCATCAAACTTATGGATCAAGGTGCCATCTAACCCTGATGTCTCGTTGCCCTCATGCGAAGCACCGTGGTCTCCACGGCCACCGCCAACGGAATGCTCCTCTGCGTCCACGATATAATCGTCGTGACGATCACGGAGCTCATTTCTCTCGATTTCCTCATCCAGGAGCGATTTGCCGCCGGGCTTCTTCACCATCGGACTGCTTCTCACACGGTATCCCTCGTTGCCAGGTAGCAAGGGCAGATGGTACGCCGTATACAGACAATCATCGTAGAGTTTAGTCCGTCCTCCATGCTTGTCCTTGACAAACGCCGCCAGCGAGCTCATCCTATAGGCCTGAGCAGTGCAGTACGCAGTCACGCGCGCTAATTTCTCCGCGCGACGGGCCTTGGGCAACCGCTCCGCATAGCTCTTAGCCCTTTCCGGCGCCACCTTGCGACGGCGCAGCAGCTCCTCCTCGGCCAGCAACGGGGCAATGTCATTGTCGACGCCAAAGTCACCCCCAAGCCTCTTTTGCGTCAACAGCCTCTGTCGCAGGGAGTCGGGATCCATATTCCGCTCCTTCGCCAGCCTCTGCACGACTTCCTCGTCCACCTCCTCATCTTCATCCTCATCCTCCTCCAAGTCGCCCCCATCTACTCCCTCCGCCTCCGGAAGAAGCACAAGCTTCTCGCTGACCTTCGTTGTCCGCGGCGGCAGACGCGGCTGCGCCGCAAGTCGGCCCATCGACGCCGCGGTATTTGCCAACCGGCTCCCGCTCCCGACAGCGCCGGGACCGCCTGCACCTCCGCTTCCCCCGATCAATCCAGTCGCGGATGCTAGACGCGAGCGCGGGCGGGACTGTGTCGTAGACGGGGGTGGAAGACGCTGTTGCATGGAAGGGACATCTGAGGCGTACTGGAGCACGTTGTCGACAGTGATGAATCGTGTCCCGGGGGGTCGACGGGGTGGTTGGGATTGTTGCTCGCGCGAGTCCGTGACCTGGCACGCATCGATCCACCATTAGTCTGCCGCGTGCGGAGTTTGAGTACAAGGGAGGAAGGATGCCATGCTTACCAGCACGTGGGGGCTTCTTTGGCCCGGTACTCGTCCGCGGTTGGAAGACATGGTTGAGCGAAGTTCACGTTCGCTTTTGAATATCGTTTCTTTTCACAGGAAGAACTGCGGTGTGGTCGTCCTGTTTGAGGTTCCGTGTGATATCAATTCAGATCTGCAGCTTGAGCTGGCAAGCCTTGCATCTGCGAGCTCGACCAAGATCGTCGCTTGTCTAGGCGGCAGTATCAGTTTATCAATCGATCGATCGAATCAATTGAACAACAAAGCCTTCTTTCCCTCTTGACCGTCAACAGCTGCACAATAGCAAAATCAAATCATCATCATCATCTCCATATTACCATTCAAAACCAAGACACGGCCTCTTATCACTCCTGATAATCGATGATGAGAGCACAACACAGCTAACAATCGAAGAGAACCTCAGTTGATGTCCATCAAAAGACCTCCCCCATCGTCAAGCTCTGCCCACCGCCTACCAAAAAACTCCGCTAAGCTAGATCCAGACTAGCTCGGACACAAATAATGACGTCGTCGAGCTTCTTACCTGGGTGTATCATTGCGAACTTACCGTATGGGAATAGCGTATGGATACGGTCACAATACGCATACCAATCCTGGACAATGGGCGAGCCACGTGCAATGCGGTGGGGCTAGACCCAGTGTGGCTTAGTGGATTCGCCCTAGGCTGATCCGGGGTAAAAAGAGGTTTGGGCTTTGGCGTGTCATTGTGATTTGTGAGCCTGTGCCTCGTATTTGGGGACAGGGCCAAGCGGGTGAGGCTGTAGATGTCTGTGTGTGTGCGTGTGGTAAAAGAGGAACATATTAATTTCAAGTGGTAAGAATGGCAGATTCATTGATGACTGCATATTATTGATTAGATCAGAGCTATATCTTAATCTTACAGGCGACTTTTTCTTTTTTTCTTTTCTTTTTTATCAGCAAAGGGAGGGGTAGTAAGGAAGGATTCCTGAATAACCCGTAGTTGGTCATCCCGAACTAGAACCGGAACGGACTGGGTGCAGTCCGTCTCCAGCCACGAAGTTCGTGTTATTTTGGAGAACACAAGGAACACCAAGAGCTTCACTACAGAGTCTACTGGCATTCAATACCATAGAAATAAGTATTATTTGATTTGCAGAACGGCTTCACGGCCAAGTGTCTCTCACAAGTGTAACTGTATAGCAAAGCCGCTCTTGCAGTATGCTCTCTTTGTAATCATTACATGCATATGCTTTTCTGCACAATATGGTAGGGTCTGAGTATGCAAAATATGGGGCAAACAGCAAAAAGTCAGCAGGAAAAGCAGGGGATACATATGTATTATATGACGAACTCCTCGAAGCATGTTCAGTAAATTGTTTCGCTATGCTTCGTATGCAAATGAAACAGAACAAATGAAAAAAAGAGAAAATAATAATAATAATAAAAATAAAAATAAAAATGAAAATGAAAACATCATGGAAATATCTCACTCAAAAGTCATGGATCAGACACCTGCATCTGACTTCAAGGAAAACTGACGACGTTCACACAGATGCTTCGTAGCTCCGGGGCTCAACCATCGCGGAGTCGTCGGTGTTCGTCCCAGATTTCCTTCTTCATTCTCTGTAAACGAACATGCTGTCGTTGTAATCGCTCCAACTCCGCCCGCGGTGGGTCGGGATGCGAGGCCATAGTATCATGCAATGTACGATACTTGGCATAGTATTGCTTGAATTTTTGTGACTTCTCTCGTAATTGCTGCAGCAGCAACTCACGGCTGAGAGGTGGCGAGGCACTCCCAGTGCTACCACTCGAGGTGCTGACCGCCCGCCTCCTTTTATGTTCCAGGTTGGTGGCAGCACGGCCGGTTGCCTTGGAAAGAGTTGCAGGAGGTCGCTCTAGCTCGGCTTTGCGCTTCAAAGGGTTGACGGGTTCCGCTGCCTTTGGAGCTCCATTGATCTTTGGCCCCCCAACCGGTTGTTGAGTCGAGTGGTTGATGACTTTGTTCGGTTTCGATAATTGTGCTATAAGAGGTGAGGACGAGGAACTCGAGGAGTTATTTTGACTCGACGCACGGCTGCGGCTCTGGGTATCTAGAGCTTTGGCTGGAGGGGGGGATATAGAAGGAGGTGAAGGTTTCTGCGGCAATCGTTGAGTGGGCGCTCGTGCTGATGGCGGCCTCTTCGAAGCGACAGATTTGGAGGCAGTTTGAGCCGTGGATTCGGTTTTGGCAGGCAAAGCTTCGGGCTTGCTGACTTTGGGAGTCGGCACCGGAGAGGGATCTTTGAGACCGGTTGGTTTGGGCTGCTTAGCCTGAGGTTTGGGCTGCTGCTTCGGTTGTTCTGGCTTCGCCTTCTCTGGAGCTGGTGCATCCAGCATGTCTGTGTCATCATCGTCCGAGTCATGGACAAATTCAGCCGATTTGAACTTGCCATCCGGTTTTGATGTCGGCTTGCGTTCGGCCTTTTTGGTGACACGTCCAGTCAGCGTGCTGTTGGTAGCATTCTTGCTCTTGTTGACAAGGTTGGTCCGCTTTGTGGCTGGTTCTTTATCGCTGGTACGTTTATTTTGAGCAACCGTGCCTGATTTGAGGGCCGTCTTCGGGGTAAGGCCATTGACACTGGCCCTGTCGGTTTCATGACCGGTGGTGTCGCCATCTTTGCCATTGTCGTCAGAGGCGTGCACCTGTATTTTCGGAGTGAGAGCCTTCTTGATGGGGCCTGTACGCAGGTTCAATCGCGACAAGCACTTGCCCTTGCCTCTTTCCTCCTTGGGAAGCAGCATCTGCCATAACTTATCTGAGCGGGAGATGCGCAGCCGATCAAACGCCGATATGGCATTCTCGATAGCCTCTTGCCGATCCTCTTGAGAAGGGTACGGGAATTTCCAAACGTCCAACTCGCGGTATGTTTTATCTCTGAGATCGAATTTTTCCGGGTTAATTCGGTTTTCGGTTCCATATTTGCGGGCCAACGCCAAGCAGTCTTCGAGGGACGATCTTGTTTGGCGCGCGAGGAATTTGGCGGAGACAGCACGCACAGCGAGGAGGTGGATAAAAGGAATCTTGAGAGCATCTTGACGGGCACGATCCTTGGTTTGTGAAAAGGGAGCGGAGGTGGGAGTAAGCGGCGGTATAGGTGCAGGAGACCGGGTGGAACCCAATGCTGGACTCGAGGATAGGGATCGGTTGGCGGCAGTCTTCAACAATCGATCCTTCTCGATCTCCACCTTGGTTGTAGGCTTTCGAGCCAGAATAGCAGCTTGTCTGCCTGTGCTGGACCTGAGATCACCCGCTCGCAATGCCTTGACTTCATCAATGCTGGTGATCATGTGGGTTTTCTTCGATTCCTTCCCCCTCTCAAAGGCATTAAGGCTCTGCTCAAGATTGGCCAGCGCCTGATCAGTGGCCGCAGTGGCCTCCTTGGCCCTTTGGACCTCAAGGGTGTGGCTGAGGACGCCCGTAAAGTATAGATTTTCTTTGTCGGCGGAGCTTCCCGTGTAGACTTCGGAACGATGAGCTTCGGGGGAGGAATGGAAGTGCTGCGATTTGGAGCCATAGTAGAGTGTCGGATGTTTTCCTAACCGAATCCGAGCCGTTTGGTCATTCCGTAAGCTCTGAATGAGTTCATCAAGGGTGCTCTGGGCCAAATTCAGCCGCATGATCTGGGTGGGTTTTGCCGCGGCATCATTTCCGGGGTTGTCCCTGCAAAGGGACAACCCGGTCTCAGGGACGTCCAATGCAAGCATTTGGATGTATCAGGAGTTATAATGACACAGAAAGGGCCGATGGGTCTGAAACTCGTAGGGAGGAAAGGGATTGGGGTGAGGTGAGTGGTTTCGAGATCCGGAACAGAGGCGGTTGGCAGCGTGAGAGCTGCAGGTTAGCAGCCGAATGCACGAAAGGGCGATTCGGGACGATACGCCATAGATCAGACGACGGTCGACGACAGAAGAGACAACAGGGAGTTTGCATGAACAAAAGCAAACGACAATCGAAGGTCACCAAAACCCATGGCAGAGGGAAGGGTCGGTGGGCAGTTGTCGGCTTGAAGCTGAGGAGGGCGAGGACAAGGTTGGAGAAGAGGGAGGGAAAGAGAGAATGCGGAGGGAAGAGGAAGTAAGCTGAGACGATACCAGGCCGAGCAACGAGCGTCTAGGCGGCTTTGCAGCGGAGACAGACAAACAATAGTTAGAGAAAGAGAAAGAAAAAAGCGAGTGATGGGGAGAAAGAGAGCGAGGAGAAACAAAGTGAATGATGGGTGGGGAGGGAGCGGTATCATTCAGAGTACCCTTTCTGGGCCAAGTTTAAGCCGGATGATAGTGTCAGGCCCGCTGAAGGTTAACCCAATCATCCATAATATAGACTAGTAGGTAGTGAGTTTAGTCAGTTACTGGGTGAGACTGGAATATCCAGTAAAGGTAAATAATATCACGAGAATACTCATGATCATGATACCTTAATTATTATTAATTACAGCGGCTGACTTGTATATTATCATCCTCTCAGTTGTTATGGTCTGAGAGGCCGTACCTGCGGGTAGTAGTCCTCCAGTGCAGTACTTTGTAAATAGGTACCTTTGAGTCTAGTAGTAGTAGTAGTAGTAGTAGTAGTAGTAGTCCAGTCGTCCCTCTCATTTCTTTCTACTCTTTCAACCTTGCTGGTTAGCCACCACAACAATGGACTCAAACAAACGACTGTCGTAAAAAGGAATCAAAGGAGGTGTGGCAACGAAGTCAGGGCAAAACAACGAAGACATCATCATGAGAATCAGAAGCAATGGCTGTTATTGGCTGCTTGGGTTACCCAGATTTCATGGCCAAGTGGTAACTGTGCCTCAGGTACAGAAGCAGGTGGCATTATATTGGCAGCCCTGGTAGGTCTTAGGTACTGTATGGACTACATACGGGGGCCCATGGAGTCAGGTTGTTATTATTGCTAGCTTGGTCGGAAAAATAATTAGGAAGGACGGATTACGGAGTGGTTCCCCCGTACTAGTATGTAAAACAAGCAAGAGACAAATTTAAGAATACTGATTATATGGATCATGGAAGATATAAAAAAAAAAAGGTATCAGTATGACTACTTAGATGTACGAAGTATCTACCCACTAGGTAGTTTTGGAAGACAGCGTCTTGTACACGACTTTCAACAGCATGTATGGACTATGGACGAGGTACTAAGGATCTTAAATCGAATGGATATGGCGTCTTCCATCCGAAGGTACAGGTCTGGTACCTACTCTGGTTGGGTATTTACCTACCTAACACATTATTGATACGTAATGACGATACCTACCTACCTACCTACCTACCTACGGTACAGGTCCTAAATACATATGACGCCTCCCAGCCCTGGAATACGAATCCCTGCCAACGGTCAATGAAGCCGTTGAAGAGAGATTCATGGGACAATGGAACGATTCTCAGGTTTCATACCTATTCATGGGCACGAAGGATATTTTGTCAGCATTCCATCTCCATGGACAATTTGAAATCAAGGCTTTGATATCCACTTAGTCTTATTTCCCGTCGGTCGCTCTCAAACTTCAAAATGATCATTTTCTGGCACGGTCACTGTACGGCTCTGTATGGATACCCTTGCTCGCCCTGTAAGGTATTTACCAGCAGCCTGACTTGACTGGACAACGCCACGGACGCTATCTTACATAGCCAGAGTGGCCCCCACCTGGTGACAAGAATGGTCTCCACCGTCCGCTCCAGCAATAATAATAGGCAGGTAGTCTAAGGAGTAGTCATTCATCCACTTGGGGGGCATCGTTTCTCTGGTTTCCATGATCAACATCCATCGATGCAGAGAAGATGTAGATACTGTCGTTTTTCTTTTTCTGTTTTTTTCTTTTTCTTCTTTACCTTGTCCCCCATGCCTTTTTGACAAGGGCAGGGGAAAGATGCGATGCAGGAGAAGACGAATCGAACATATTATTTTGCCAGGGTAGGAGACTACTACGAGACCATCCACCCACCTCTCCGACGGAAGACTCCGTCGTCCGTACGGACCATTTAATCCATTTGTTCGTGGTAAAATAACCACTCTCGGACCAGTTCAAGAAGGGAAAATCAAGCAGAGAAAGTTAATTAAATGAGGTAAGTGCCCTGAAGAACGAAGTTAACCACTAAATCATTCACCTGTCTACATGCTAAAGTACGCCGCCCCGGACACCCTTGTCACGCAAAAACCTGCAATTTGTATCGGAAACCCGAAAGGGACCAGCTAGGTACCTACCTAGTAAGGTAGGGTATTACTTAGCTAGCTAGCTGGGCCGCAGATTGCTTGCCCCATATGCCCTCGTTCTAAGTACTACGTAGTTAAGGAAGTATTGTAGGCACTCGGCAGAGATGGGGATCTGGTGGTTTCATACATCCATGCAGCCTCCTGACCTTCTCCGACCTGTTCTTGATCCTCCCTTACGGACTACGGGAGGCAGATAGTTGGATGCCAAAAACGGAGCATGATCAGCGTTCAAAAGGGCTGGTGACTGGTGAGCCCTGGCTCAGCTTGACGGCAGATCATCCGTCCAGACTCCAGGCCTCGACCTTTTTTTTTTTTCTGGACTCTTGCGCTTGCTGCTCTCCCGGAGTATGTTTGTTGGATGTCTTCCCCATAAGTTAGAGCGCGAAGAGTAATGTAAGGAAGGTCAAGGCCTTGTCTATACTCTCTTCAATCTTCACTTTGCCCTATCGAAATCCGTAAAGCGATGCCGTGGATCATTCGGTCACAACCCCCCAAACATGCACATACATAAGGTAGCGTGTATCAACCATATTGATTCCTGCTGATGATGTGCAATGATCCAAGCCCCAATAATAGCCGGCAGGGATCTAGCCGAAACAGACCGACCTGGTACGTTGTTGGTCAACTCGGCGCCCAGAGTTCGATTAGATAGGAGATGCTCCTGTCCTGTCTGTGATTCTTTTGAATTAACTATCTACGGAGTACTTGTGTTTGTTTGACTTGGGTCCAGCGGGAAATTATTGGCGGTATTTGAGTTGCAGGCCATTCCAATCCGCACTGAAAGCAAGAAGAGTCGGAGCTGGTCCGGGTCTCTTGATGAAGGATTGGGCTGCGCCTATCGTAGCGGTAGGTACCCTGTAGAAGGATTCGGTATTCAAGTGGGGGATTGAGTTTCGACTTTCAAGTACGTGGGAAAGAAACACATGATTCTTTCTATCTTATACTTAGTTATCTACAGAATAAGCAATAATAAAATGTTTTAAGATACTAGACCATCTACTGGAGTCTGGAGGGTAATAATGTAAAAAAAGAGAATTAATACCCATTGTTACGTTGCAGGGCCAGTGGAGCGTTTCCTTTACGGGCATTTGCTCTAATATTATGCCAAAAGGAGGGGAAGAAGTCCGGAGCAATCAGCAACGAGCGACAGCAAGGACAAGGCGGTACTAAGAAAGTATTATCGACCACTATCTAGAGATCAGGAAAAAATAGAGTCGATACTCGATAGTGAACAATCGATCGTCGTGAACTATCAAGATCACATAATCAGAATCCTGTGGACTATCTAGATATCCATTCACGAATTCCACACGCAGCTATACCTTTCCCTTTGGAAGACAGCGTTCCTGCGATTCTAACATGTCGTATATACATGGTGCTGCTTTGCCCCCGAACAACCAGCAGTTAGTAGCAAACTGTTCGTCGTGTCCAAGGGCAAGGCACCTCACCTCGACCACGTGTATCTCGGCTTACACCTCCGCAATCTAATAGTCTAACTCGGCTGGTTCACAGGAAGATGCAAGGGAGCAAGCAAGCAAAGCAAAAAAAAAAAGAAAAGAAAAAAGAAAAAAGAAAAGAAAAGAAAAGAAAAGAGGATGACGATTTGGGGTGGATTTGCCACTGGCACTGGAGTACCTTTCCCTCCTCACGGTGGGACGTGGAATCAGCTTCCTGTACGAAGTAGATAGAGGGGTAAGAGCAAGTAGATGCACAGTACCGTAGTAGAGGAGCAGACACGAGGATCGATTGAATCTGTTCCTGCCTCTCCCGCTATCTACCATACGGAGTTCAAACATGAGTTGCGATGGCGATGCATTGGAAATCATATTAATGAACGGTATACGATGTCCCCAATCTCCGGGTACTTTCAAAAAACAAGTCACTTCCCAAGATAGACCACCTCAACACCGATCTACCCACCTCGTAGTTAACCCGTTCAGCTGAAATAACTCAAGCAGGTATGCGATGGCTGGCTGGCTGGAAGATTGTTCATTGGTGGGCCCTACAGAAGTGAGGGATTTTGATGATCATTGGTATATTGTAGTTACTACTCTGTACTATAAAGGTACTTTGAAGATACATGGTAGTTACCTGGATTAATCGATCTTAATGGAGCTTGCAAGGTACTGACATCTGGGAGACATGAGATGAAACGATACTGACGCCTTATGATCAAACCTAGATTTCTAGAAGCCGTCCTGCTCCCCAGAACAAGGTAGATAGATACCTTGGAAGCAAGGAATTTGGAATTTGCTGTCAAGTGCCAACACATTGTCACCGGAGATCAGTGGATGAGTCAAATGAGATAGATGGAGGGTGCTTCATCAACCATCAGACTACTGGGCTGAGATGAGTGAGATCGGGCTATTTGCCATTTTGCCCATAGTTGTAACTGATCCGGATGATGATGACCTCGGACTAAGCGAGCCACCAGTTCCACTTGCTGAATCAAGAGCTGTTGTACAGTGTACTTACTGTACAATAGTAGATAGATAACTCCGTCAGTACCCAATCACCCAGTCAGTGGTGCTGGCATCTCAGTAAAATCAACAGTGACAATTCCATCCCTGGAGGGTACTTAGCCATTACCTTTATTACACCACCAACCCTTTGCCCCTGTTTCAACTTTCCCTAGGAAAGCTGGTTTAATATAATCATCACAGCGAGCCGGCACAGTGCTCTAGATAGAGCTTAGGGTGCACATCCCAGGGATCAGCGTAGTAACGACTTCTAAAATTAAAACGTAGTTTTCTCATAAGTCCTGAAGCATGCCTTGAGGTCAGAGTCGAATGTACCAGGCAGCCCATTTCAAGACAGTCCAAGCCTCAGCACGCTGAATGCGCCTCATTGATCTATCCTCACTTGGTACTAGGCTGGTGCACTTACCTTCGTCAGTGGAATTTCTTACCAAACATCACCATCAGCCGCCTGCCTTAATTCCCAAGAAATGAGCCCTCCGTAGATTTAAGAGGATAAGCCGTAAAATATCACAAGTCATTGTACGGAGAGTACCTAGCGATACTTACCTACGTAGGTAAGAATCGCACAGACACGGCTGTGGAACGAAACGGAGGTACCTAGTAGGTACACAGGGTCTGGCCTGAACTGAGCCACTTAACCTTATATCTGGACCTACAAGACATCATACAATCTGAATCATGTACAGATGCCTTACTGTACCTACCTATACAGGAGATTCAGATACATAGCTCCCAAGTCATTGTTAATTTCACCACACACAGTAAAAACTGTACTCATTCTTGTGATGAGAAGGGATTCTGAGTTCTGACAGAGCATACATGTGCAATGGTCAGGATCAAAGGATTCAAATTAAGTTTTTTATCTCCCGGGTGACAAACAAGCCAGGCAGGCAAAGAAGCGAACCTCCACTGGCTTTTGGTATGTGCGCTGACAGTGCGAGTCTGTAGAGTGTAGTCTGTACCACCCCAGAAAAACTGTCTGATCCGTGTTCGTTTGGTTGTACAGAGTATAACCCTGACATGTACATGTCAGGTTATACAGAAGCGACCGGGTGTAGACGTGACTCCGGATCTCGAATGGAGAGAACTTTTCCAATTAATTTCAAGATTTACATGGCATGGGTAATGGACAGGTGAGTATCTACCTGGGTATATTTGCGATGACGCAAGGCGAGGGTGGAAATTTTGCGTGGTCATGTATCCAGGTGCCACAGACTTGTGCTATGGGAGCTACCTATGGTCCTACGCAAATTACTGGTTTCTAAAGCTGTGCTTGTACGATATCCACTCTCCTAGGGACCTTAGCTCAAGACCCGACGACCATCAAAGACTGAGAATCTTAAAACACAACTCATCCAAATGTAGACCATCCAAAGACCAATCATGCTCAAGGATATGCTAATAAATATAACAAACATGGATATCAGTACATTGGGGCTGAACCCCGCAAGTTTTCTCTTTTTGTGTATCTCGTCGTCACATATTAAAACTTTTCGCACGAGTCATTTAGCCAGTAACCTTGTAGATAGCCTCGGCAAGTCTCTTGACGTTGCCAGAGGTGATACCAGCCACGGAGATACGGCCGTCCTTGGTGGCGTAGACGGAGTGCTGTGGTGATGTTAGCATGTTGGAAATAGAATACGCGAAGTCGAGTGAAACTTGCCTCCTTGGCGAGAGCGTCCATCTGCTCGGGCTTCAGGCCGGTGTAGGCGAACATGCCGATCTATTATCAAAATCAGCATCGGCCCACATTCACATATGAACGAGCGGTTATTCTCACCTGGCTGGTGATATGAGACCAGTCGTGCTTGCTGCCAAGGTCCTCCAGGTTCTTCTTAAGGAGAGCACGCATCTCAATGATACGGTCGGCCATACCCTTGACCTCACCCAGCCACTGCTGGTTGAGCTCGGTGTCGTTCATGATGGTGGAGGCAATGCGGGCACCGTGGATGGGGGGGTTCGAGTAGAAGGGACGGATCAGAATCTTGACCTGCGAGTCGACACGCTTCTTCTCCTCGGCGTTCTCACAGACAAGGGAGAAAGCACCAACACGCTCACCATAAAGACCCTATACGAAGAACAAGATAATTAGTCTTCTAACGATTGGCCCCTAACAAAACGAAAATGGAGCTCTTACCATGTTCTTGGCGAAGCTCTGGCACAGAGCAATGTTGTGGCCCTCCTTGACGAAGTGTCTGGGAGCAAAGGCATCGCGATCAGCGTTACCGCTGGCGAAACCCTGGTAGGCCATGTCGAAGAAAGCGAAGTGACCCTTCTCCTTCATCACATCGCTGATCTGGCGCCACTGGTCCTGAGTAGGATCAACACCGGTAGGGTTGTGAGCACAAGCGTGCAGCAGGATGATGCTGTTCTCGGGAGCAGTCTTGATATCGGCAATCAAGCCGTCAAAGTCGAGGCCAATGGTGTCCTTGTTGTAGTAACGGTAGGTGGCGACCTCCATTCCGGAGTCCTTGAAGACGGCGGCATGGTTGGCCCAGCTGGGGGTGGGGAGGTAGATCTTCTTTGCGTGGGGATAGAAGCGCTTCAGGAAAGCACCACCGATTCTCAGGGCACCGGTACCGGAGATGGTCTGGGTGATGACGAGACGGTCCTCCTTGATCACGGGCGAGTCGCTGCCGTAGGCAAGCTCGGCGGCAGCCTTGGTGAAAGCAGGAATACCGGTGATACCAGCGTATTCCTTATCGAGACGGGAGGCGACAATCTTATCCTCGGCAGCACGGACCGAGGGCAGAACATAAGGCTTGCCCTTGTCGTCACCTGTTGACTCAGACGATAGAGAATCAGTAGCTGTACAGCCAAGAACATATAACTTCGATTGCGCAGCAAAATTTCAAGCATTCAATTTCCAAAAGGGCAATTTGTACATACGGTAAGCGCCAACACCGAGGTTGATCTTCTCCTTGAAGGTATCGGCCTTGAAAGCCTCGGTGATACCAAGAATGGCATCCTAGAATCAACCCATCACATTAACAATCGATCAGTCAATATCTCAGAGCGCGCGGAGTATATTACCGGAGGGCCCTGAGGAACATTGGACCAGGCAGAGGCATGTCTGGCACCAACGACCACGGTGCGCAGGCTCGCCTCGCGCGAAGCAGCCTGACGGCTAGCGACTCTGAGAGTAGACAACATTGTGACGTTAAAAGGGCGCTAAAGGAAGAGATGAAAAAGAAAGCAAGAAATTGATAGATCAAGGGGCCCTTAAGAGACAAGTGATGGAGAGAAACAGGAAGAGGAAATGGAGGGAAGGGGAAGCAACTGAAAAGGACATCAGTTGAAGATCGATGCTAATAAGTGCAGATCCGAGTCGGAGATACTGCGTGTGAGTTGTGTATTTTTTTTGACTCATGTGAATAAGAATAGGGAAATTCCGGGGACAAAAGCGGCTGATTGAGATTCGGATTGGTCACACTCTCCGCATATTGCGGTTAAATGCCTTCGTAAAAAGGACTTGCTTGAGCTGTCTAGGCTGTATTTTTCTACTAGTCTAATAGGTCTTTCTGAAGCATGATATTCAAGATTTGCGAATGATTTACACAGTTGAGTCAAAGTGAACTCAGCGAAGAAGCTCTTCGGTCACCGCGAGAATCACATTTCCTCGAATGCCTGAGGCCTCCCGCCGTGTCTCGCTGTGTCTCGCTCGCATCATCAGATGTAATCACGTGACATCCACATCCGGCATGCGATTGTCTAGCTTCCTCGATTCTGGGATCGAAGGCGCCGAATGCTCCGTGGGGCGTACTTTGGTCACATCCTTCTTCCATGGTCAATCAAATATAGTTGCAATTTGTAAAAAGGCGGTCTCCGTCAGTCCCGGGCCAGTGGGGTATCATGTTGTCAGTTGTATGGCTGGAGATTTATTCGTAGGCCAGACTAGATATGTTCATAGTCAGTTCGAGAGTCGAAAGTGAAACAGGGTCTCCTCAACCGCATGTTGCCAACTTGCGATGATATTTTGCCTCGTATCACGCAGGGCTCATCGTGCCATCGCCTCAGGCCAGCTTTCCGGCGCCCGCCCTCCGGTGAGCTGATTGAGCATTTTGGCCCACTGTCGGAAGCCTGAGGCAGGCATGGGTTGATCGTCTAGATTCTAGACCTGTTTCTTTCCCCCCTCACGAGAGTTGGAGTAAATTCGGAGTCTGCTACGTGATAGATAGATAGATAGATACCTTTCACCGTTTCACGTATGGACTTGCTCGTGTTCGAGTGATATGCAGATTTCCTCCTTGCGTCCGATGTCATATTTTCACTAGAGGAGGACGATGCAATTGATCTGGGTATTGATGGCTGGAGGAGGCTGTCTGAACTGAATCTATATATCGAGTATGCGACCTATGAGCTCTCATCGGCATTTCCCTGGCGATCGGTTAAATTGGCTCAGCTGGCGAGGATGGTCGACCAGGGCCCATGTTGTCAATCTACGGCATTGAGGCAATCCTGGTCAAATGCCTGACCTTGAAGACCCTAGTTACATCTCTAGAGTTAGCCTTGTAATTTGTACTTGTTCTGTGAGACTGTGACACACACTCTCCCGGGACTGCTATTTTCCATGAACTATTCTCATGTCTGGGGGGAGATACTGGAAGAAGCTCCACAATGTTGAACAAATGATGGCGTAGGAATAGAATAGTCCATTGCATAAAGTAGACTTCATGGTATAATCTATGGACACTAGCGTACTTTATATGCCAAAAACATATACATCATTAGGATCGCAATGGATACGTAAAAATTCCGGCCAGCCCCCGAGAAGCTTATCCCAATCTCACACCAGCTTGGCGGTTCTTGCGGGCTGTGGCTCCCATGGCACTGTTCATGCCTGTATGCTGACTGCTGTCCAGAGCACTCATGGCCTCGCGTTTCTTCTCCTCTTCAATCTTCTTCAACCGTTTCTCTGTCTTCATCTTGCCGCTACCTTTGCCGTGAAACTGGTGACTCAGATGCTTGAAGGCTTCCTTCTGGTTCATCAACCGGCCAAATTCATCCACATACTTGAGCTGCACGTCTGGTTTGTACTCCCGGTTGAACACTTCCGCCATATGTCGTGCATCCTGCTGGTCACGTTGCTTATTCTCCCACCGCGCATACTCTTCACGCTCGCGGGCCGACATCCGGTCGAGTTTACCGGAGGCACGGTCGCGTTCACGCTGCTGCCGAGCACGCTTCTCTGCTTCGGTCTCCATGTGGGTTTTCTCCTGAAGGAACCGTTGTCGGTCCCGAAGGAGGGAGTTGTTTTCGACCGCGTCTGTAGGTTTGACCAATCCGCGCTGTTTGAGCATGTTCAACGTAGCACCAAGACCTTGGTCTAAAGTAGATTCTTCCTCCAGTCCGGTACCAGTAATCTGCTGTGGCGCAGACTCTTCCCGCTTGATGCGTTCTTTGAGCTCTTCTTCATCTTCAACGTCATTGTACGATCTCTCCATATCCACGTCTGCACCTTCCTCTTCTGGTTCTTGCTTGACGCTCTCAGCCGGCGTAGTTGTTCGTCGTCGTTCGCGGCGCTCTGGAAGGGTTGGCTTCTGGAGGTTGGAGACAAACTCAGAAGTTTCGTCGATGACCAGTCCCGGCTCTTCTGTGTCTTCGTTGTCCATCTCCATTGGCGTTTGTGATCCCTCCTCCCTAAGCTGTCGTGCAATATCCTCAGGACGCACTTTCTGCCGCGTTTTGAAGGCAGCGCGTCTTTGACGAGTAAGCGAGGCTTGTAGATCGTCATCATCAACAAAAGACACATTCTCGTTACTCTCCCATTTTCGGGGAGCTGGAACAGGCTCTCCATTGCTGGTGTCAACTTCCATAGCTCCGTTTGGGATAGATTCAGCAGCAGGGAAAATTTCATCCTCGTCCAGGACCGCCCGTTGTCTGGTAGCCTTGGCCTTCTTCTTCTTTGGTTTCTTAATTTTGATCTCGCTCACATCCATGTAATCTGAAACCGGAGCCTCTATTGCACTGAGGTCAAGGCTGACGATGTTGTGTTTAAGCTTGTCTGATACCTCTTGTCGCTTTGCTTCTCGCTCTTCGGCCGTGGAACCCTGAGCGTCAAGTGTGAAGCGTTTGCGCTTCTTCCCATCAATTTCCTCATCATATTGCGCAAGGATCCCAGTATTCTCGGCCGTGGGATCATAGACAGGCTTACGCTTTTTCAATTCCAGTTTTTCTGCGACCTTCTCTTGTTCCCGTAGATTAACATTCTCCAGTTCATCGCCCTCCTCCTCGTTCTCGTCAATTGTCGTGTCTTTGAGGGTCAGGATATGTTCTTCGCCTTCTCCAAATTCGCCAACCTCATGTCCAACTTTCAAGCCAGCCAGATCGGCTGTGGAGTACTCTGCTGCGCGTTCACGTTCCTCCAGCTCCTCCGCCAGTTTGCGTGCGCGTTCCTTCTCGATCTTCTTTTGCCGCTTCTTTGCCTGCAGCAGCCACGTTTTCGTATCAACCTCCACATCACCAGATTCTCCTAGTGTAGACCCTTCAAGTTTGAGATCGCGTTGTGCGAGGTCACGAGCTCTCTTGATGGCGGCGTTCTTGGCTTCTCGTCGGCGCTTGACTTCCGCCTCATCTTGTAATTTCTTCCAGTTCTCTGAGGCAAGCGCTTGGCGCGACTCAAGTGTGCTTCCGGGATCTTCTTCGTTTTCGGATGAGGAGCCGTCTTTGGTTTCCTTGAACACAGGGCCAGAGGTGGCGTCGGCACCAGGAACGGGGAGTGGCTTCAACCCAAGTGCGACTCTGATTTTGTTATTCTGTTCTATGGAGAGCGCGTCCGCCATTACGGGCGAATGGAGTGTATAATCTAAGAATCTTGACTGGAGAGAAAGAGTTGCTGATAGAGGAACCCTGGCATGCGTAGATAAGTTCAACTATCATCAGTAACTCCGTCCTTTGGCTTCTCCCACCGCCATTACATAATTGCGTTCCAGTCTCGGTAAGGTTTAGCGCAGGAGAGTATTAGCGCGCACTTGGCGCCAGCATAAAAACCGGAAGTTTTGATTTTTCTTTTCCTCTTTTTCTCTTTTCTTCATCAACCGAACACAACGATCTGTGGCCAGCGATCCTGAGCATGGAGCAGCTCTTCTTCCGGGAGGAGCTGTCTTCGTGTCTCGGTTGATTGCTGGTCAGTTCGACGACTTAGGGAGCCATCACTTTTCGAATGGTGTCTATTTCCGGTCGACAGATCTAAGATCGAATGCTGGTGTCGGGTATCACTTAGTCTTGAGCTCCCTTTTCTTTCGGGAATTGGTGAGCTCGGCTGGAGGGCCTGGCGCCGGCGGCGTCATATTCCTGATCCCTTCACCGATTTGGCCGTCGGCTCGTGAGGTTGGGGAAAAACCATGACCAGCCAACATACCATATACTATTTGCTTATTTCTGCGTGGCTAGTTTTAAGTTCATAGATAGATTCATATGTCGTAGACGTTCAGCAGCTCATTTGCCCGAATTGTATGCTGCTCCAAGCATGTCATGTTGATTGATAAAGTGGTACTATACTTGTATAACAAGGGTCTACTCTGGTGAACTGGCAAAGCATCCAAGAATTTGGTTTGCTGTACGCTACAATCGCCGTATCATATCATCTCGCATTCACAGCAGCTTCAGATGCCCTGTGACTTGGTCCACCACACTCCTGGGGCCCAAAACACCCAATACCGTCCTGCTCCCGCTCGCAATTTGTGTCCGCCCAGCGTCCTGAATCACACGAGCGCAGAGACCGAGGCTCATCGCCTGCGCTTGCAGCAGTTGTAGTTCCTCCTCGGACTTGGTCTGCAGTGCAATCTTCGCTTGTCCTTGTCGCTCCCATCTCCGCAGGATAGGCGACTGTGGGTTATGCGCGATAAGGTACTTGTAGCAGGCGAGAGTCGCGTGCGAGCATTGAGCAGCGATTTTTCCTATACGAAGCATCTTGCGTTAGCTGTATTTCATATAACAGAATCCCCAATCGCGCTCTCCTCTTGGAACCGCAGTAGACAATAAAGAATGCCAAAAGATAGAAAGCCTTACCCTTGGTCATGCCTAGGTCTGTCCGAACCACGAGCACCAACTTAACTTCCTCGCTGTTGTTGTCGAAATTCGCCAGTTCCCCTCCGTCGCCCTCCTCCTCGCTATCTTCCTCATCATCCTCCTCCTCCTCCTCTTCATCAGAGGAGTCTTTTGGGAGTTTCACATCGTAGCTGTTCGGCCAGCCTTCCTTCTCCTTGGCGGATGAGAACAGGCCCAGAGACGCGCCTTGCCCGATGAAGTATCCAGCGATGCCCGCGAGGATAGCCGTGGCTATCACATAGGCCCCTGTTGTGGGAGGTGCGCGATCTAATTCGGCCATTTTGGGATGTGTGAAGCTGGTTGACAGAGCTGGCGAATTTTCGATGGGTATTCTAGCTTCCGCGGGACTGTGCCTTAGTGGTAAATTTAGGTCCATTTTGCGTTCAGGCGTCCTTACAGCTGCCTTGTCAACAGCCCACACTCCATTCTCGTCAAAGTAGTGCTTTCGATTCAGCAGGTATTGTCCTGCTTCATATTATGCATATTTCATGAGGTGGGATGCCGAATTTTTGGGGAAGTTACTGCTCACATGTACGAATAGGCGGCAATCTAGTCACTTGTGTTTAAGTACGGGTTACAGGGCGTATGCGATTATTCAAACCATTGTAACCAAGTGTATATTTAATCAAGAAACACCAACTATCCTATATATACATTTCCAACAAGTTGAGAAAACATTGTGACTCGCACGCGTGGCGATATCTAATTAGGACGATTGGCTCCAGCGTTGCCCACGCGACGGCTCCTACTCCAGAGATTAGCAAATGGCTCGAAGCGATATCAAGAAAAATAAAAGTGAAACTCACATCATGGTTCGGCTGAAGAAACTGATGAAGATCATGAAAAGCCAGCTAGGAACCACGCCGAAAGCATAGATGACATAGCCCACAGGAATCAGAAGGTTGTTCTGTGCCAGCCAGCCGTCGGTTGGGTGAAGGGCACCCTCATAGGCAGGGGTCTTCTCATAGGTCTTCTCGGAGTGGATCTTGTAGATTTCCTGCGGGGTCACAGTCGTCGCGTTCAAGTGGACGATGTGAAGAGGAGTAGCAGCACGTCCTTCTCCGAGCTGAGCCTGGGGAACCTTAAAGTACCAGACGGAGGGAGCGCCAGCAGACCAGGTGGAGCACAGGAGTTGGTCGGAGTCACAGTTCAAATAACCAAGGTTGGGCGAGGTTGGGTCTGCAGAGAACAGCAGGACCGATTCCTAGAAAAAAAATTTCACGTAAGCCATCAGCGCCTGGGAATGGTAGCCGCTTTCGCCGCCCCTAACTTGGAATCCTTACGTTGAACGCCTTATCCGCCGGACCACAGCGACCGAAGCATGTCTTGTTACCACCGGTAATGTACAAGAGCCAATCCTGTGGCTCGGAAGATGGCTCCAGGATAGACTGCCAGTTGCTCGCGTTCCAGGGGGTGACAGTCTTCTCCTGGATCTTCTTGGTCTGTTCGACCACCTTCTCAACCACTGGGGGAATGACGGGAGTTGCAGTTGGCAGGTAAGACTTGGCTTTGTTCAACCATCCCTGAACACGGTCCCCAAGGGGAACCTGCTCTTGCGCCGCAGCAAGAGCTGGGAGGATGGCGATGACCTGGATGAATCGCATGATGCTAGTAGCGACGCGTAGGTGTCAGCTTCACGCCGATGGAGAAACCCGCAGGAAATAACGTGTCTAGAATGGGAACAACGAACCTGGACTGTTTACGTAGACGAGAAGCGCACTTTGGAAGTAAACGGACGATTCAACAGGCCAAAGTACGGACAGCAGGTAGCTAGGAAGTCAGGCTCCTGAGTTGTGGAAGAAAGTGAAACAGCCACGATGGATGGAAAGTTAACTTAACTACCTTAGCCTAGCCTCCGCGATTGGCGACAGCTGGCCTGAGCGTCGGCAATACATACATAGCTACATACATCACCGGGAGCGGGGACCGACGACTACTCTCTTTCTCCTGTATGTTAGCAATTAATAATATTTCCGATGATCTGTTCGATGATCGGAACTAAGTGACTTTTATATTACAAGAAATTTTATTCACATGGATAGATGTCTCTCTCAAAATTATATTGCGTTCTCGTCGAAATGCCAAAAGTGCTCAAGCTGTGTTTTATTTACACGTCGGTACACCTCTGATTATGTCACCATTATCTACAAATCCTCATCATCCCTTTTCGACAACCGCTGTTCTAAGATAATGAGCCAGCGTTGAATGGCATATTGATTCTTGTAGTCCATAAAATCATGTGAGACTACCTAGCTAGATATGACCTTCACACCACGCGCGGATTCATGTCACCAGCACACTATCCGAGAAATGGGTATCCAGTGCTTTTCTAGAGCTTCTCCCTCCAGGCTCTGTTTGCTTCCTTCCAAATGCAGAAGCAACCAAAGGCGGGTAGCGACTTCATTCTATATAGGTACGAATTAAGGAACTGTTAGTCGTCATGGTTAACCACAAGACTTGATCGCCTCAACTTCAAAGTGCCGTTTGACGAACTGAAGCTATATCGCGAACCCATTACCATTATCAGACGCATGTCATATCTTCAGCTCACTTAGAAGGGAGCATCCATCTTCTACCATCCAATATCATCCAGTTAAATCTGCTGACATTCGAAGATGCGGCTCGACCGAGTACTCAGCTCAGGTCTGGAGACCTGGTGGTTCATTGCAACGACCTTGATTAAGGCCAGTTCCGGCGCTGTTCTCGGAGAGAGCATGGATCTGGGAATGGGAGCTCATGGTGAGAATCTGCGGGTCTCCGTTAATATTAGGGACTAAGTCTTATACTGGACCAGGTGTCAACCTAGCAAACGATGTCTCTACACAAAGACCTGACACCAATGCGGTTACTCGCAATATCACGCCGACCACTGTGGATTTCCCTATCTGTACCGACCTTAAAGGTCCACTTGCTCCATTCTGCCTTCCAGAAGATGGCGCGAATGTCACGGTTGACGCAACATACTATGTCACTTGGAATGCCGATTTTTACCCTCTCAATACAACGATCACTATTGAAATGAGGTATGCGAACTCTACCCAGGGAGATTCAGCCTATACTTCCGAGCGGACCGACAACAGCTACGGCTACTTACCTTTGCACATGCAAAAGGAGTGGCTTCAAGGAAAGCATTACAATGTCCTGACCCTTTACATTATTGAGCTGGATCCTACATCTGGCAATCGAGCGAGTGCTCGACAAGGGCCGACAGTGGTACTCCATCCAAGACCAGTTGAACACTACAAGCCTCCTCCTCAGATACCCTTCAACAAAAAGGCCTTGTACGTCGGGCTTCCTGTGAGCTTAGGGGTCGTTATAGCAGTTGTCGCTGGTTTGTTTTTCGGTATGCGACGAAGCAGGAGTATTGGACTCAAAGGTGTGGGTGCTCGATGCAAAGGCTATGGAATCGGAAAATCCAAGAGCCAGCGCATTGGGAACAAGAGATCCCTTCATACTACCGATTCGCTGTCCGCAATGAATAAATACGCAGACAGCTTCGATGAAGACTGTTCAGGGTTCGCGGGACCCGAGAAGTATGATGGGCTTGACCACAGCGCCAGCTTTGCCTGCAGACAGGAGGTGTCAAGGTTGAAGACATGGAGCAGCTAATGCAATGCAGACGATCCCCATGATTGCTTTGCGTTAGAGGTGGCATGCCAGCGACAGAGAGAGGGGTGTTTTTTCGGATGCTCTTTATCCAGATTCCAGAGCAACATAATTGGTGCGTGGCGGACCCTTTTGTTATATTCACGTACGACTAGCGAAGCTATCACTATCGGGTAGACCCTATGTGCTCTTCAGAAATCCTGCTTCTTTGCAAACAATTGCTTCTCCACCCACATTGATAAAGAACTTCACGGAATGACCTAGTCTTTAAAGATTGATACCGCATTGTTTTGTCCACCTTCGTATGAACTGCCTCGGATAGCTCTGACGTAGGGTATTCTTATGTATCCATATATTGCTGTCTGCCACATGCAGAAGAATATGTTATCCATCATCGCGCCTTTGTGTTCAATAATGTGGGGCAGTTCGACATTTAACCCTCGACCCCTCCAGAACTGTGTAATAGAAATGAATAAATAGGTTCTTGACGGTGTACTCCGAACAGCCAGTTCTTTTCGATTATCGATTATTCACCTCTAGACTCAATTGCTCGCGTGGTCACGGCGGAAACTCGTGATTTGGTTCGTTGCGCAGCCGAAGTTCTTCCAATCATCTTATCAGCTTTCCAAGCCACCGGGGGGCCGATGTCGGTTCGGCTTAGCTATAGAGGACTTAGAAAGGTACCTAACTACCTACGAATTGTTTTCTTTCACAAGGAATAAAAGAACATACACCTCCCTCACATTGATGACATGACAGGACATTGGCCACAGAAGGAATATCATCTCTGCCCGATGATATGTCTTTTGGATGGGTTAGCGCAAATGCAAAAATGAAGTGCAAGTCCAGGACGCATGTGGCGACCACTTTCCGCCCTTCAAAGGCGCCCCCCAAGCAAAGCCCCCAATAGCAGTAGTCATAGTATCGCAAAGTAATGAGTAATAATCCACTGGGGAACGATCTTCAGACGATGATGCCGGTTGCGCTGTTGGGTCCAGATTCCCCACACACATCCATAGTCCATACCTGGACAAGCAGCCTTCCACAGGGTCAATTATCCCTCTCTCTGTCTCTTTTTTTCTTTGACTCTTTTCGGCGTGTGAAATTTTCTTCGTTGCCCGCCAAACTTAGAGAGTTCCGCCTCCCCCTCTCCGTGCGAGTCATCCTCAGACCGCCCGCCCTCTTAAACTCCACCCACTTTTCCTCTTTTCCTGGCTATGACTCTTTCCTGCTTCCCTCTTCTGTGATTTCTATCTACACATATAAACTTCAATTTTCTGGAGTTCTGTTCAGTGTCAGTTCTTAGACCTCTTACATACTTACTGCTCGTTGCCATCTAATCATCGTTAGATCCGCCATATAGAGAGCTTCATATACCTCGATCAAATACTCCAGAAACCCCCCGCCATCAAACTTTCCTACACAATGTGCCCCGGTGCAGACCATGAGCCCAATGGGCAGATCAACGGCCAGGCCGATGCCAATGGTACGTCCATTGCATCAGAAAAACACTTCTTACTCTTGGCTGTTAGCTGATTTTATTCTGTTCCTTTTTTTCAGGTGCCCACCCCGGATTCACTGCTGTCGAGACCCGCCAGAACCCCCATCCTTCGGCTTCCCGCAATCCCTACGGCCACAATGTCGGCGTGACCGACTTCCTCAGCAATGTCTCCCGTTTCAAGATCATTGAGAGTACCCTTCGTGAGGGTGAGCAGTTCGCCAACGCTTTCTTCGACACCGAGAAGAAGATCGAGATCGCCAAGGCCCTGGACGACTTCGGTGTTGACTACGTGAGTCATAACTGGAAATTGTTACTACCACCGAGAAACATATACTAACTGGCGTATGTTATGTAGATCGAGCTTACCAGCCCCTGTGCTTCCGAGCAGTCGAGAAAGGACTGCGAGGCTATTTGCAAGCTCGGCCTCAAGGCCAAGGTACGTCCGCTTTGGTGACTATTGATCGGGATGTGTTTCAGCTCTAATCATCGACATGGATAGATCCTCACACATATCCGATGCCACATGGACGATGCTCGTGTCGCTGTTGAGACCGGTGTTGACGGAGTGTAAGACATCCCGTCGTTGCTGACCCTCTTAAGAATTTGATTCTGACCTTACTTATAGTGACGTCGTCATTGGAACTTCGTCTTACCTCCGGGAGCACTCTCACGGCAAGGACATGACCTACATCAAGAACACCGCCATCGAAGTCATCGAGTTCGTCAAGTCCAAGGGCATTGAGATTCGATTCTCCAGCGAGGATTCCTTCCGTTCCGACCTCGTTGATCTTCTGTCCATCTACTCCGCCGTCGACAAGGTCGGCGTCAACCGTGTTGGTATTGCTGACACCGTCGGTTGTGCCTCTCCCCGCCAGGTCTACGAGCTCGTTCGTGTCCTGAGAGGTGTTGTTGGTTGCGACATTGAGACTCACTTCCACAACGATACCGGTTGCGCCATCGCGAACGCCTACTGTGCCTTGGAGGCTGGTGCCACCCATGTCGATACCTCCGTCCTTGGTATCGGTGAGCGTAACGGTATCACTCCCCTTGGTGGTCTGATGGCCCGTATGATGGTCGCCGACCGTGACTACGTCAAGAGCAAGTACAAGCTGGAGAAGCTCAAGGATCTTGAGGATCTGGTGGCCTCTGCCGTTGAAGTCAACATCCCCTTCAACAACTACATCACTGGTTTCTGTGCCTTCACCCACAAGGCTGGTATCCACGCCAAGGCCATCCTCAACAACCCTAGCACATACGAGATCATCAACCCTGCCGATTTCGGCATGACCAGATATGTTCACTTCGCCTCTCGTCTGACAGGCTGGAACGCTATCAAGTCTCGTGCTCAGCAGCTCAAGATTGAGATGACTGACAACCAGTATAAGGAGTGCACTGCCAAGATCAAGGCTCTTGCTGACATTCGGCCCATCGCCGTCGATGACGCAGACAGCATTATCCGTGCCTACTACCGCAATCTCAAGTCGGGTGAGAACAAGCCTCTCCTCGACCTCACGGCTGATGAGCTCGCTCAGTTTGCTGCCAAGGAGAAGGAGATCGCTGCGAGCGGCGTCATTGCCTAAGCGAGTCATCTCTTCTTGTATTTCTTTCTCACTCAATTCCCATATTTCTTGACTGGAACGTCCATGTCCACGTGTTTAGAATTTTTGACCATTATTTTACAGCGATTCACAACCCGGAAGCTGTGTGGATTTCCTTATGATTTGATGTTTCTCTTACCCTTCTCTTTTTCAATTTTTTTTCATTTTTTTTTACTTATGTCTTGGGATGTTAATCTGTACTTGGGGCCCTTCAAAAGTCATTTCTGTCTCCCAAAACGGGAGAGATTGGTGTTGGGAGAGCGTTGATTCTCTCTACGCTGTATATAGCAGCCTTCTGAAAGGTTGAATGCATTGTCATTACCAGTGACCCGTTAGGTAATTTCTTGATAAGATAGCCGAGTGTACGGTACGGTAAGCTGCCTTCCGTATCTTAGTACCTAGGTAGATATGGAGATGTGGAGTACCATCGTCCTAGATTCTGTACGATGCCCTGCTATGGCTTCCTGATTTGTAACTCTGACTTGAGTGTTTGTACTCTCGCATTCTAAGACTAAATCATTGCTCGGCTGCAGTTTCTGAATTCGTTGCATGATGTTGTTAAGGGTTGCATTCTGCCATTTACATGTGGAGACGGGCCGAGGCAGCTTCAATCAGCGCTCTTTTTAGTCTCCGCAGTCAACTTCCTCAAACATCCGACTCTCCTCTCCAGTCAATCCACCTTCGTCATTGTCTTCCAGGAGGTTGCCTATCCTCATCCGCTCCCTTTTGGTTCCTAAATAGTCATTCGAAGATGGTTTCCTCGGTTCTTCCTGTTGCCTTGCAGAACAAACTGCTCGGCTACAGCAGGGCCCCCAACGCGCAGTTGGCCGCTCTGAATCTGGACCTGTAAGTGCATGAACATATGCAAGGCATCACCCCGCTCACGAGAGGATCATGAGATCGGGGATATCTACGAGAATTGGCAATTCTGATTTCTGACCTGGTGGACAAACGAGCCACAGCATCCGAAACATCGTATTCATACTCTTCTTATTCCGGTATATTCGCAAGACCTATTACTCTCTTCGCGGGTATGGCATTATCGGTAGCATTCGCAATGTCTACGCTGCGGTCCGACTCTTCTTCTATTCTATCTTTTTGCGTGCTCCCGGAGTGCGTGGCCAAGTTGACAAGCAAGTGTCAACGGCGATCGAGAGCCTAGAGAGCAAACTGGTGGCCACTGGGCCGGGCGTTACTCGGTATCTGACCATTCCGAAGGAAGGATGGACGCCCGAGCAGATCCGTGCCGAACTTGACAAGCTGGCGAACATGGAGCATACGCGGTGGGAGGATGGTCGGGTCAGTGGGGCTGTGTATCACGGTGGTCAGGACCTGTTGAAGCTCCAGGCGGAGGCCTTCGGGCAGTTTGGTGTCGCAAATCCTATCCATCCAGATGTTTTCCCTGGAGTTCGGAAGATGGAGGCCGAAGTAGTCGCCATGGTATGTTCCATCCATCTGGCTAGGAGACGGCGTGGTCTAACCTGAAACCCTTCAAAGGTCCTCGCATTGTTCAATGCCCCTTCGGATGGTGCCGGTGTCACTACCAGTGGAGGTACAGAATCTATTCTTATGGCCTGCTTGGCCGCTCGACAAAAGGGAATTACAGAACGTGGTATCAAGGAGCCTGAGATGTAAGTTCGGTCTTCTACGCTTCTGCCCACGACCGGAATCAGAATTGCTGATCTATGCAAACAGGATCATTCCTGACACTGCTCATGCCGCGTTCTACAAGGCCTGCAATTACTTTGGAATCAAGCTTCACCGTGTGCCATGCCCGGCCCCTGAATACAAGGTCGATATTGCTGCCGTGCGACGCCTGATCAATCCCAATACTGTTCTCCTGGTCGGATCCGCGCCTAATTTCCCTCATGGAATAGTGGACAACATTCCCGCGTTGTCTCGACTTGCAACTACTTACAAGATTCCTCTTCACGTTGACTGTTGTCTGGGATCATTTGTGATTGCATTCCTCAAGAAGGCTGGCTTCCCCTCCCCGTATGAGGAGGAAGGTGGGTTCGATTTCCGCCTTCCAGGTGTCACCAGTATTAGCGTGGATACGCACAAGTATGGATTCGCGCCCAAGGGCAACTCTGTGTTGCTGTACCGGAACAAGACCTACCGCAGCTACCAATACTTCATTTATCCCGATTGGTCTGGCGGTGTCTATGCCTCTCCATCAGTGGCAGGTTCTCGGCCTGGTGCTCTCATCGCAGGCTGCTGGACCAGTCTGATGAGCGTTGGCGAATCTGGTTACATTAACAGCTGCCTTGAGATTATCGGGGCGGCAAAGAAGTTCGAAGCATCGATCAAAGAGCATCCTGTACTGTCCAAGAATCTTACGGTCGTTGGCAAACCCATGGTCAGCGTGGTAGCGTTCCAGAGTCAAAACGGTGCTATTGACATCTACGACGTTGCTGACGGCCTATCCGCCAAAGGGTGGCACCTCAATGCTCTTCAATCCCCCCCTGCGATTCACGTAGCATTCACTATCCCAACAGCCGCTGCGGTGGAGAAGCTTACCTCTGACCTTGTTGACACGGTCGAGAAAGAGCTGGAGAAGGCTGAGGAAAGGAGACGGCAAGGCAAGGCTTACGTGCTCAAACGCGGCGATACATCAGCGTTGTATGGCGTGGCTGGCAGCATCCCCGATAAGAGTATTGTCAACCGACTTGCAGAGGGCTTCCTGGATACCCTGTATAAAGCCTAAGTGATATGTGGTCATTTGCAAGTTTTCCATGGTTTCCGAGGTGTGTCTGAGAGATCGAGTTTCATTTTCTCTCCTGATGGGTCCGGAACATTCTTAACAAAGGTGGTGGTGTTTGAGGCGTTCAAATAGGTTATTGTTGAAGCTCAGAATAATTGGACATACTATTCATTCTCATCACACCCTTTTAGTACATATAAACAAAACACCTGAGAAATCAAGCAGCAATTCGAAAATCCTGGTATAACAGTGCTGGCACAAAAGTATGTATAATACAGTAAAAGGCTGAAAAAAAAACGATGCAAGACGATGAGCCGTGAGGACGGTGGTGAGAGAGAATAAGGGCGAATTTCGAACATGCCATTTCTCTTCCGACGACTGCCAGGAAATGACTAGATTTCTGATCAGCGCAGGAAGCGAGTCACGGAGCACTCAAGGAGAAGGCTCCTTGTGGAAGTATATCCACGATATGCCGTCTGAGAGACCCTCACTGAAGGATCAAAGTAAAGCCTCTCCCCGAACAACCGTCAACGCGAAACAGACCCCAGCCCACATGGCCCAAACAATAAAAAGATGGCAGAGAGACCCAGCAAAAAAAGCCTTCTCGTTTATGCCGATCTATTCTCCGTCCACTCTTCATTTTGAGACCTTCTCAACATAATAGCCCGGGTCGGGTTTCCGCTCCAGACGGACCTCTTGCTGTGTGAGCCGTCTGTCCACCTCCTGGACCTCAACGAGCTCCTTGACTTTCATGATCTGACCGGCTACGGACTGCGATACTGGGTGGAAGACCGTCGCCATGCGCTTCTTGAGTCCGAGGGCCTTGAGCACGTCTGTTGTTCGACGGGGGAGACCGATTGCGGAGCGGATGAGGGTGACGCGGAAGTAACTCATTATGATTGATAGAAGGACTTGGGAAATCGAGCGGGTTGCTTGGTGGATTGAGTGAGGGTATGTGTGTAGAAGTGGATTAGACTCGATTTGTCCGTTCGGAAGTCCGTTATTTCACTTGCGGTCTCTTTCGGAGAGGGAGGAGGAAGAATGTGAAGTCTCACTGGACCTGGCTCAATGGGCGCTCGGGACCTCGGGACAGATGTAAAAGGATAAAGCGAGAGTGACCGCAGCGATGTTTGGTAGCGAACTGACAAGAGGTATCGTTCGAAGCTCGATTGCTCAGTTATCGCGAGATCGTTGGCAGCGGCACAGCGGGAATTTTGCTTCCCGATTCGGTCGGCCATCCGGGCGGAAAATCACGTGTCTGCGATTCTGCCAGGCGTCTTCCCCCAATGGCGGGCGGAATTGCTGGGGAGCTGCATGGTGTACTCCGTACGCTGTTACTTTGATCTCCGTGTATCTGCTCGCGAAGATAGTCGCTGGCCATCATTTCCGGCGTATAGAAGCTGGGATGACTTTTCCGCTGAGGCGTGCTGAATTGTCTTCTTGGGTCTCTTGTATGAATGGATGATTTAATTTCGGATCAGAGATACCCAGCGATAACGAGTACTCAACAGCTGCCCTGGCCCTCCACATTCCAGTCCCCGGTCGAAGAGTGATAGACCCGGTATAATTGCCGCCATTACTTCTCCCAAATCAAGTCACCCGGATACACTACAGCCTTGCCATACCCATTTATTTCTGATATATGAGGTTCCACGACACTCATAACCCCCTACCCTAATCCCACCTGTCCAACATCACAGAACGAGCCATAAAGCGAGATACGGAACACCCCTCATTTGAGAATCTCGCCCCCTACACATCTACAGGATGGCGCGGGAAGGAGACTCAGATGGCGCAATGGCCATGCCCCGATTAGACGAAATCCTACGTCATCCAGAGGATCTGGACAAGATTGCCGGCCTGAAATCGGAATACACGCGAAAGAAGGGGGCCGTCGATTCACAGCTTCGGGAAGGTCTCCGGAATCAGTTGGAAACGGTCCAACGAAGCATCAATGCACTCACGGAAGGCCAGCGCCAAGTCTCCAAGACCAAAGACGAACTCCAGACGATAGACAAGTTGTGCGCGGAATCGCAAACGAGCGTCGAGGACTTCTCACAGATCGACAAACTGGCCAAGGTGCAGAGGAACTTCGAGGCGACTCTGATGATGAAGAAGGGTCTGGAGAATTTCAGCGCGGACCTTGCGGAGGTCGAGGAGCTCTTGCGGGAAGACGACGAGGATCTAGAGAATCAGCCGAACTTATTACGGGCCCACATGCATATCTCCCGATTGAGAGATTTCCGAGATGAAGCGATGGATCAGATCCGAAAGGCTCAGGACCCGAGTAGTGAGGAAGCGTTGGCGGACTACTTCCAGGGCCTTGATTCGGTTATTGATTGGTTCGATGAGCATCTTGGAACAGCCTGCATGAATCTTATTCCGCTGGTGCAGACTGATAACCGAAGTATGGTGGTGCGCCTTGGAGTGATCGTTATGACAGAGGAGAAAAACGACGCGACTGTGCGCGCACTGCAGGAGGCGCAGAAAGACCATCAAGACCTGGCGGGCCGGTTCAAATCCATGAACATTGGACCTAAAACAGTTCGCGGGTACAAGGAGAAGCTCCTGCAAGCAATTGAGTTGTATGCGGAGAACCAATTCAAAGATACCAAAGAGGAGTTCCTGGGCGATCCTGATAATCTGGATAAGAGCTTCAAGTGGTACTTTAACGATCTTTTCTCTGTTCAACAGGGCATGCAAGCGCTTCTTCCCAAGAAGTGGAAAATTTACAAGACCTACACAAATATCTACCATCGAATGATGCACGACTTCCTCGTTGAACTCATCAATGACCCTGAGCTACCGGCGGATAACTTACTTGCCATCCTTCACTGGAGCGAGAAGTACTACAAGAAAATGAAAAAGCTTGGCTGGACGCAGTCCGAGCTTCAGCCAAATATTCTTGATGACCGTGAGCCTGAGCTCATACGACAGTGGCAGAACATCATCATCAAAGCTGTGGAGGAATGGATGGACAGAATCACCGAAACAGACAGGAAAGGACTTGTTGAGCGCATCCCCGATTCTCTCGATACAAATGCAGAAGGCTACTTCCGAACGAAAACTCTACCCGATATGTGGCGTATGCTACACGAACAAATCGTTGCCTCCGGCGCTTCATCGCGCACTGATGTTGTCGAAGGTATCATCGATGCCATGTTCCGAGTGCTCAAGAGCCGCCAGACCGGCTGGCAGTCGCTCATTGATGAGGAGAGTGCGAAGTATAAGGCGCCCGGTGGCGATCAGCATGAAGGACTTCAGCTACTGCAGGACTGGCTCATTGCTGTGGCCAACGATCAGATTGCTTGTATCGATGACAACGACGAATCAGCACAGATGGGATACCTGAGCAGATTCAGGCGTGATTTCGAGCCCTCTGTGGATCCAAAGTACATGGCATCACGAGCTCTGCCAGAGCTTGACGCTCTACGAGATGGCTATGTGGATTTGAGCACTTACTGTCTTACCCAGTTTGTTGAACTCATATTCGCCGTTGACTTCGGCACCACCATTCCGGATTTCTTTACTCAGAAATGGTATGGTGATTTCGCCATCAAACGAATTACCTCAACCTTTGAGGATTACATGACCGACTATGCCTCCGTTCTTCATCCATCCTTGACTGATATCCTTGTGGAGGAGTTATCCGACGAACTCCTGGTGCGGTACCTATCATCCATCCGCAATAAGGGCGTCAAGTTCCGCCGACACACCGATCCGTACACGGACAAATTCAAGGACGACGTCCTTACCGTCTTCGCCTTTTTCCAGAAATACCCCGACTCCTTTGCTTCAACGATCAAGCAAAAATGGCGTCTGGTCGACTGGCTGCTCCGCTTACTTGAAGCGGAGAAGGGCCCTGCTCTTGTTGCTGTATATGAGGACTTCAAGATGGAATACTGGGATCTCCAATTGTCATGGGTTGAAGCCGTTCTGAGAACGAGGGACGATTTCGAACGGAGCATGGTGAGCGCAATCAAGGCCAAGGCCGCGGAGTTATCAGTTGAGCGGGGAACGGAAACACTTATGAGTCGCGTAAGGTAATGAGGGCGGCTAGAATGTGGTCTTTATTTTGGGATTGATAGCATGGGAGCTGGTTTGCCTCTTTCAAGTCCTATGATGACATTGTATCCGGCATCCTCATTTTGGCCTTCGATGGTGGAAATTGCCCAGTCAGCGCGGCGTTAGGGAGTTTGTTTGGGTGGTGGTCCAATCCACCATGAGGATAATATCAGTGTGCATATACGGCCAAAAGGCAACACGGTATGCTTCAATTATAAGGGGATGTCATCTATATGATATATAGAATCCAAGACGCTTAGATTCTCACTCCTCCTCCAACACTCCCATCACTACTGATGGTGTCCCCATCCTGCTGTGAGCTAGGGAAGCTGCTCTCGGCAACCAGTGTTTCCTCGTTGGAGGTAAAATCCAAGCTTCGTTCAGTGACAACTCTATATTGTTCACCCAATCGCGCATTCATTTCACTATCATCGGGATCAAGCTTCTTTGCACCCATCTCGCAAATGCAGATAGTTTCAAGGGGGATGTCTTTCGCCCAAACAAAGGGGAAGGTGGCGGCCTCCTCCATAGACAGCTGTTTCTGTTTCTTCTTGGAAGGCGAGCGGCGTAACTCACCGCTACTGTCCTCTTCATTGGCTGTCGAGCTTGCTTCACTATTCGAAGATTGTTCTTTTTCTGCTTCTCGAGCTTGAGAAGTGATGGCAATGGCGGTAGCTCGCGGTGCTGCCCTCTGACTATCGATGTAGTAATCTCTATAGTGGACCAGAATATCCCGTGCGTCAAAGGAGTATTGGATTTTTCGGCGGTTATTGCCATTTCCAGAACCGCCGCCTGCTCGCCGGCCGCGGATATAGATCGTATTGACCACTGTAGCATGCAGGAGCAGTGGTCGAATCTTGGGTTTAGGCTCTGGTTGGATGGAGAGTGTGATGGTGGCGATAGGTCTGCCCGACTCCGAATGTCTCTTCGCGGTTTCATTCGCTAAATCAACAGGCATTTCGCTCAGGAGGGCTGAATTGTCTTCGGCTGAGACAGCTGAATGAGATGGCTGGCTCTCTGCTACTCCCGATTCGGCGATATGCATTGTGCCTGTCATGCTATCGGGAGCAATTTCTGAGTCTCTCTGTAGTGATTGAGATTCATTCTTGCCCTGTGACCCTCGCTTGTCTTTCATCTGCTCGCCCTGTAAGAAACCAGCTTCCAGGAACTTGTTCCGCAGCAGCACGCAGAACGGATAGAGGCGGGACGTGGAGTCTACTGGAGCGGCGTGGAGGACAGTAGCAGCGCGTGCTCTCGGGAGCGCATGTAAGGACTCAAGTGAGATTGTGAACGGTGCGTAGGATTTCTCTGAAACACCGACAGGAGAAGCATTGCCTTCATCTGGCTGCTCGGATCCAGGAAAGAGCTCATTCTCTCGGAGAGCTCCTGGGAGCTCCGATCGATTCGAAGAAGACGAGACCCTCCCTCTTTTGGACGAGCTAGGCTTTCTAGCAACATCCTCTGCCTCACGAATCAAGGAGACGAGATCGAGGGAGTGGAAGAACTCTATTGCCTCCTCTAGTCGTTTTCTTGTGGGAAGACTCATCACCCCAAGGGTCAGATGGAGGGTACCAATGGGACGTACGGCGCTATCGGGGATGAGTGGCTGCTCGACAAGAGTACGCTCTTGTGAAGGGTCATTCTGACTGGATGGGATGATTGCCTTGAACGTCGCAAGAGAGGACTCCAGCTGGGGTAAAGAGACGGCGTTCACCAGTGGGAGGCAGAGAAAGTGTGTCAGGGGAGGCCTTTTCTCTCTTTTTGGGCCGTAACGGTCTGTTCTGTTACTCTGAGACATACTACAGAAGCTGCACCGGACGCCAAATGTCGGTGGTAGAAGGGGCCTCAGAAGTCTGAGAGAGTTCATTTATTATGCCTTAAACCCATGAAAAACGAGATGACATGTTCAGCCGCCCCGCAGGGCAGTAATGACTTGGAGAAGAAGAATGAAGAAATCTATCGATTGAAAATTATTCAAAGGCACGATTGATAAGACCAGCAGCTTAGAGCTGATGATCGTCCGAACGGGAGACTGTGTTGAAGCTGCGAAGCTCCACAGCTAAGCTCCGACGAAGGAAGACTGATGTATGACATATGACGCACATCTTCCTCTCCGCATTTCCTCCATCCTCCCACCTCCTCTACTTGCGAAACCATATATCCTCTCTGACCATCAATCAAAGGCTCTGGATGTTCCATAATTCCCCGAAAATGCTCTCGCGCGTGTCTCGTTCCGTCCTCTCATCCTCCGTCCGTTCTCTCCGCGTCGGCCGGACTTCAGCAACTGCGCCCGCTGCCATCTACATCCAACACCAGGCCAGCCGTCCGTTTCAGCAATCCTGTCGAGGCTTTCAGTCTAGCCCCTCGAACCGCAAAGGCATCTTCCCAGACTCCGCCGATCCGCCTGCCCCGAACCCGCAATCGCATAATGTCGCTGGTGCGGCTGCCCATGTCACGGAGCCCTCACCATTGACTGATGGAGAATATCACGAATATGCGGAGCATTACCTCAATGTGCTTCAGAATGAAGTGGAAAAGGTGCAGGAGGAAGGATTTGACCTTGAAGCAGAGTACAGCGTACGTATTGAGCGTTTGTTCCGTTCTTCTGCGGGTTTCCTTTTTTTTTTCTTCGACTTTTTTCCACCGCTCGGCAGGAAGGCCCTTTTTCATCATTCCATACCTTCATAATGAGCAGTAATGTTCGGCTAACGCGCTGCTTATGCATTACCTACTTTATAGGCCGGTGTACTGAATATTATTGTTCCTGGTGTGGGTACCTACGTTTTGAACAAGCAGCCCCCCAACAAGCAGATCTGGCTCAGCTCGCCAATCTCGGGTCCCAAGCGGTTTGACTGGGTTGTCGAAGGCGACCAGATGCATGAGAAGCAGGACACACGTCCCTTCGTCAACGGACAATGGATCTACCTCCGCGACGGAACCAACCTGACTGATCTGTTGAATGCGGAGTTGACATTGAAGCTACCAAAGGATGTCTACAGTGAAATCGATGAGTGATCCATTACGGCGGTTAACATATACTGGTACGAGTGGATGAGGGCTTGTAAAGGTATGCCTTGGCAGTTGATATTCAGAACAGGAGGGTGAGACCTCGGGTCTCTCTATTTGGCATTCTAGTTTGGACACATTATTACCATGTGAACAGCCAATATCAAGCAAATTACCGGCATCAAGTGTGTTTTACTTGTTGCGCAGATATAACCACGATTCCATCTTTTGTGCATCACTTAGATAACCCTCTTAGCTCATCAACGCCAGCTCCAACGCAGCTTGAACGTGGGTGAGCAGGTGCATTCATTGCATAAACTCCGATCAGACTTTCTCCGAACCCTGAGAATATCATGCTTGATGCGGCGGGGATTGCGAATTTGATTGGATGCGGCCAGGTAATCCAACACAGTCATTTCGCAGTGATGGCGGATGTGCATCCATGTCCTTGAAATGTTTCATTTTAGAGCAACATCAACTGAGGGAGGATTGGCTTTGCTCCGTAGACGGCGAGGTGCTCTCCTTTCGGTTGGAGAACCGTGCCCGGTTCGAAATGGCGCGCTGCTAGACCCCTCGGGTGATAGTATATTTTTCCTCTGCCGGAGTTACGCTTGCACGGAGACTGCGCCTGGCACTGGCTGGTTACCGTCCTTGGGAAGATCAGACTGCAAAAGCAAACAGGGTCAGTACTCAGGGCTGTGATGTATGAGATTTTGAACAAGAGGAAACAGTTGAACGCACCGCATCAAAGATGACCCGGATCATAAGACTGCAACTAGGGCAAACGGCAATGTCTTCGCCGTCGCGCAAGTCATCGATCGCAATCTCAAATCTGTCGCCACAGGGGCACGGGTAGTGGTAGATTTGGAGGTTCGGATCGAATACCATGTCTTCAATTTCGATTTCATCGTAAATGGAAAGTGCTTCGTCGGCCATAGTTATCTGTTATGGTCTCGTTTGCGACTTCAAATGGAATGTACTATAACGATCGTGTGGCTGTGGGTATAGGCGGAGTGTTTGATAGTCACAAATCAACCTTTATCAATGGAAAAGTTTTGGTGGGAAGGTCATGTGATTGCGGGGACTCTGGATAGGATACTGCGGAGTGCAATTCATCAAACATATAAACAGCATTGCAGATATTCATCCCCAACAACAGCAAGGGTATCTCCAGACATAACATCACAAGAACGGCTCTAGCCATTCAGCCTTCTTATTTCCAACTTCACAGCTTCAATTTCTTTGATCAATGACCCATACCGCCGGGCGATCTCCTTCATTGGGCCGGATTCAAAGTGTTGTATGCCTCTAGATGGACGACTGCTATCAATGCCGGCAGAGTCCACACCCTCGTAGGCTTCCAATTCCGCGAGTGTTCTTTTCTCTTTCTCCTCTAGTCGCTTTCGAGTTTCCTGGAGGTGCTGGCGATACCGGGTCAAAGCCGCAATGACCTCAGGCGTATAGATCGTTCCCGCAATGTCATATTTCATAATACTGTTAAAATCACATTACACATTAGCCTTGCGAACTCCTTTCCACTGCGCAGAATAGTCCAGGAGCCGATGGGACAAACCTTAACTTCGCCTCAGCGCCCTGTGCAACCATAGAAAGATGCTCCGCCTTCGCCTTTGTAGCGCGCGAAAGCGCCCCATGCTTCGCGCGCTCAAGTAACACCACCGTCTGCTCCAGTATCTCAGCGCGGGTCGCGAGGACCTCCGCCGCTGTCGTCGCCATCTTCGTCCGAGCCGCCGGTAATTCCGCCAACTGCATTTGGCGCAGTGTCTGTATTCGCTCCCTGAGCTGCGATGCAAGCGGAGCCTGCGCTTTTGCCTTGGGTTTGTTAAATTTCGTCCGCGCCCGAGCACGCGTAGTCACCGTAGATGTGTGTGATGCCGCGGATGAGGGCACAGATGGGGCACAATCTGGGCTTCTTCCAACGTTTGCTATGGCTCGGAGGTCTTCGACGGCGGACGAGAGGGCATTGGAAAAAGGCAGGACAAGCGCAGGGATTATAGAATAGAAGGCGTCGACGTCTGAAGACAGGAGGGAAAGTGCTTGTGCGCCATCGTGGTCGTCCTTGTGGTCACCGTCAAGCTGCTCCGGCGACGATTCGAGATAGAGGATGATCACGGCCACAGGGTCTCGATACTAATAGATAACATATAGAATGTCAGCTTGACAGTTAGCTTTCCCAAAAGAAATACATCAAATGTAGCTTGTCCTGACATCATCTGGTAACCCACTATCAACATCGAAAGCCAGCTGTCTCAGCGTCTGCCTCTTTATTCGTTTCGCGGCGCGGCGCACTTGACAGCTCCTTAATTCCTAGAGATAGTAATAGAGAAAGAATGAGTCAATCCTGCATCGCATCGAATAGCAGCAAAGTTGGCCCTATTCACGCTTCCTCCTGATGCTCAAGGCAAGCGGCGCTGCGAACGTACTTCCAGTACCGCTTTTCTGTCCGGCTGCTCATCATTTGCCCGGGTCGAGCCATCAGCATTGAGCACAGCGGTTGTCAATTGTTGGTAAAGTTTTCGAAATTGCGGATTGTTTTCGAGGATGTCTGGATCACAGGGTGGAATCATGTTTGATGTGGTTTATGGTTTGGAAGGCTTTTGGAAGGGTGTCAGAGCTCGGAGGTCAATAACAATGGCTAGCCAATCCATCCACCGGAACGTGTGCACGTCACAAATCACCAGTATTCATATTTGGGAGCCCACAAACTGTTAACTAGGTATAACTGCTACTATCGTTATTGGGAGTATGTATTACAAAGGACTATGGAAAGTACTGAAAATCAGAGGTTCCCGCATTCATTTTCACATTTCTTTCATAATCATACATGGATCTGCTTCACTCACAATCCTTTTGCCAGCTAGAGACCACGACAGCGGACGTCCAGAGGGTCCGGAAACCTGCAAACCATGAACGCTGCATGGCAAACTCCCAATACCCTGAGCTCCTTGACTTTAAGCTCCATAGTGCAAGGATCTATGGTGGAGCTGAGCAAGAACCCGACGTCTTGCATAGTTGCAGAGCTCAAACCTCCTGAACTAAAAAAAAAGGGGCGGGGGGGAAGAAAAGAAAAAAAAAAAGAAAGGAAAAGAAAAACTCCCCGTCTCTGATATTGTCGCCAACTCGAGAAGGAACAGCAGAATGAGAGGATGGTAGAAACACAACTGCATTGAAGGGTGGCGGGGAAAGGAAAATTGCACGTTAATTGTCGCTCAAAAACATTCAACCCTATAGGCTGACCGTGTAATAGGGATTTTTCGAGGACTGTCTTCAGAGGGAAAGAGGCGGATAGGAGCAAAGATTAGAACCCGGAAGACGAGAGTAAGGCGTTTATGTACAAAAGACCTGAGCTTGATGTCAAGGTCAGACTGTCTTCCAGTACAAAATGATTCGCTTAAGGGCATAACAGAACGCCAAAGGCCATGCATCTAAGGGCATGAGCAAGAGTAACGTTCAGAGAAAGGCGGGAACAAAACGACCAAGGACACAAGTCACACCATGCTCCATGACAGAGAAGTGTTCGTAGCAAGGGAAGCGAGCCCGTGACGCTGCGAAAGCTATTGATTTACTCTTCCTCGCTTTCCTCAGAATCGTCATCTGAGTCATCGCTGCTGTCATTCGCTTCAACAGATGGAAGCAGGTCTGGAGAACGGCCGCCGCCGCCACCTTGGAAACGAGACAGATTGCTTTCGAGCATGTTGATTTGAGCTTCCTGCTCATACTTGCTCATGGGCTTGTTCTTCTTCGGCTTTGGGGCCGGTACGTTCGCTGCAGATGGTAGGACCATGTCCTCCTCTTCCATGACGTGTGGAGCATTCTTCTTGACGAACTTGAGGAGCATCAACAAAACATCATTAGGAAGCTCATCGATATCGAGTTCAATTTCAGTTTCTTGTGTACCCTAGTAAAGATGATTAGATCAAATCTTAGGTTGCGTAAAGGAACGGATGCGGCCAATTTACCTTGAGAGCTGGGACATTGCTCTGGATGATCTTGAGAGCTTCCTGCATCTTCTTATCCGGAAGACTGCTGATCCCGTTGGAGATTATCTGCTTCTCATGATATGTCACATAGCGCTGTTTCTCTGGCTTGGAGGGCTTGACAGACGTCTTCTTGTCCTTCTTACTCAAACCAACAGCAGTTGCGAGCTTCTTCGAATCCTTCTTTCCAGCCTTAGACTTGCCGACTTTCTTCAACCCCGGGGGAGTTTTCTTTTTCTTCTGTGTAATAGCTTCGACTTGGCGTGACATCTCCTCAATCTGCTTCTGCAGCATGCTCAACTTCTCGTTGTCATGATAATCACTATCTTCTTCCTCCTCTCCACTTTCCTCCTCGGAAGAACTGACGCTCTGGTGTTCGGGGTGGGGTTCGTGTGCCTCAAGATAACGGGACTTTTGAGCCCATTTGTTCTCAAAAATCTCCTGAAATCTCTGTCCAGCCATGTATGTAGGATCACCGGGAATGTTGAACTTGAAACAGTTCTTGAAGATCTGACGTACGTCGACCTCGAATTCCTTAGCATTCTCGTACTGACCGGTCTTAAGTTTTGACTGAACAGTAGAAAGATCCATTGGTTTCTTGATGATGCTGTGGTAGGTTGGAATGTTTAAAGCAACCGGGTCCACGGGGAAATAGAAAGGTGCTGCCCAGGTATAAAACTTGGGTTTGTGGAGCTCATCCAGGACTTCCTGACAGAACCGTAATTCCCACTGGAACTTCTTCTTCTTGGGTTTGGTAGAGTAAGGCAAATCGCGTTTGGGTGGATGGATTGAACGCTTAGGGCGACCGTCTGTGTTGGTCGAGTCACGCCGAATGAGAGGCAAGCCTTCCGGGCCCAAAGCGAAAGTCGTGGCCTGAGGAGAACCACCAGTGGGACGAGGAGCGGTCGGGGTTCCAATGCTGGTGCGCGGTTCCCGTCGGGCTGCTGAAGTCTTGGTGGAAGCCTTTTTGGACTTCTTCTCTTCAACCTCGTCAGGCTTAGGCAAATTGACCATTTGCTTCTCGAATGTGCCCTGGAGTTTCATACCCTCCTGGGACACCAGATGATCGGGCCCATTGAAAGTCACCGCGTTTTGAACCATCAGATGGAAATCATTCACTACGGCTTGGGCCGCCTTGTATTCATTGTTCTTCAGCTTGCGCTCGATCGTCCCGAGATCCATGGGATGCTTGATGATTTGGGGATAATGTGGGATATTCATCTTGATAGGATCGACAGGCTCTCGGAAGAAGCGCGCGTCATTCATGCGCTTCAAGCTTTGAATTCCTTTCAGAAGAAATTTATGTTGGACCTTGGTCATAGCCGCCTCACCATTGGAGACAAGTTTGGCAGATGACTTCGTCACAGGTGTGGGTAAGGAAGGAAGCTTGATCGCAGGCGCCGTCAATCCCTCTCCCTCCAGCTTGGTACGTTTGGCGGAAGGCTCGTCACCAGTATCGGCATCGCGCTCCCGAGATACTTTGGTGGGCGAGAGAGGGACATCTGGCGCGTCAGGCATGTCCTGATCAACGGCTTTCAGGGGTGGCACAGAGGGAGCATCCCGGGGAGCGACATTACGGGGTGCCATGTCCTGGTGAACGGTGGTAGAAGGATGGTGAGGGAGCTCTGTCTTTACAGTAGCAGAATCTTGTTCATTGTTCTCCACTTTGGCATCAGACGGTGTATCAGTTGGTGGCTTTGATACAGCTTGCGATGCCTGTGTTTCCTGAGATGTAGATTTCTCCCCCAGGTCAGTCGACACCGGTTTCTGTGCGACGGGCGCACTGGGTGTGGATTCGGCATTGGCGGAAGTCTTCTCTGTTGTGTCCGCAGTCTTGGGACTCAACGGTTTGCCTTCTGCTGCTGCTGTCGTCGAATGAGCGATCGCATCGGCAGGCGGCTGGGTAGGTGACTTCGGGGGGGAGACGGTGGTTCCAGCGCCATTTGTCAAAGGGGATTTCTCAGAAGCGTGACCATTCACCGCAGTGGGCTTGTTGTCCTCCACCGCCTTTTCTGTTCCATTGATGGGAGCGCTGGGCTGGATATCCGTTACGCCATTCTGGGGACTAAACAAAGGTAATTAGAACCTTAGCTTCACTCATATGAAGTCAAGCAAAAAGTGTGCAACACGCCGAAAACGTACCTTGTACGATCAACATCAGTAGCAGAAGCTCCATTCGGCGACGGCGGCAGTTGAGGCTTGTCCTCCTTGACAAGAGCAGGAGCCTCGGGAGGCGGCGTCGCCATTGAGGGCAGAAGTTATCAACCCTTCTCTGGGCGACCCGTAATACAAGGATCTAACGGAGCAGGTGGAACGCTGGTCTCAGTTGAGGTTTAGAGAGCGACAACAACAACAATAATGCACTGAATAGGTATTCTCTGCGCTAACACAGACTAAATGATTCGATTCGGTAACCCGTCAAGCAGCAAATCCGGTTAGATGACAGAAGACAAAAGGAGAACTGTTGTCTCTAGCGGTCGCAAAGAGTCGCGACGCCGTGGAAGTGTTGCAAGAAATACAAAAACGAAGAAGATTAGCGCGAGTCGGGAGTGGAGAATGCGACAAGGAGTAGATTTATATCGCCAAGAGGCGGTGACAGCTGAGTCACGTGGGCGGCAAGTCAGATTGACTAAGCGGGAGGCAAAGTCGGGAGCAGAAAGACAGAGCAAAAGGGGAAAGAAGAGGTAAGAGTAGGAAGAGCTGCAAGTCAGGTGATTGTCAGGCACTAGTGGCTCTCTCTCACACACGTGCCAGTTCAGTGCCTGAGGCAAGAAGAAGGGTAGAATAGGATTTCGGTTAAATCGACTCTCAAAAGCTGGAGTACCTCAAGAAAGGGAAGAGAGATTATTTGACAAGTGAAAAAAAAAAATAAAAGAAAAGAAAAGAAAAGAAAAGAAAAGAAAAAATAAAAAGAAAATAATAAAATAATAAATAATCAGCAGCTGCAGGGGCCGTGACTGGGATTATGACGGGAGAGGGAGAGCGCGACGCGAGACGCGTACTATGATGATTTGGGAGGAGGCAGGGAGGGAGTATCCAGATGAATGAATAATGCGAGGGCGGTAGCCACGGGTAACCGAGGATACAGGCAAGATCAAATAGTAGTATGATGAAGGCGGTCAAGCAAGAAATGGAAGGGGAGCGAAGGGTAGATAAGGGCCAGACGTGACCAGCGCGGGTGCAGGGCGCAGCTCTCTCAGCTCAGCTCCAGAAACAGAGTCTGAGAAAATCCGAGGAGGGTGCTAGAATCCTTAAGTACGAACGGCCGCGTCGCGCTCGTCCGTCCTCTGCCGCTAGCCCCATCTGTTGCGCTAGTCCCAATTATTCTAGTTCAAGCCATTTCACAGTTACTGATTGGCTGTGCGATGACGCGTTCTACAAGTTCGGGGATTCTATTGGTAGATGTCCGATTTAGTATGGATACTTCGTACCAGAAGTTTTTTTTTGGTCGGAACCATCACCCATCATCCACCATCCAGAAAAGAGAGGTGGGAAAATTAATAAAAAAAAAAAAAAAATATTGAGTCTCTTTGAGTGAAGTGAACAGTTGAAGCAACTATTGTTTTCACAATCATCATAGTTCGTATCGAGTATCATCCAGTATGTTGGATATCAAAAATGTATGTCGCTGTGGTCATGTGGCGAAGTATTTGTTGTTGAGGTCGAATATGACATACCCAAAACTTGTTAGGCATTCACATTTAGGGGGGGGTTGATAGGAAAGCATCACAAAATCCAGGTCTGAGGCTTACACAAGGAAAGATCCATGTGCTGGGTGCCCCTGATCAGGAAACACAGGGCTTAGCCCTGAACCGTTCCCCTTGCGTTGTATCAAGGCTAGCGTGTCACAGTGATGCAAGACCCGTCTGCCGCCAAGACATTCAAGTGCTGACTGCTGACAAACAAATCAGTACAGAGTCCTACTTCCTTATCTCTATTAGTTATTGAGATCGGATTCATCATCGCAACTTCTCGTTTGAAACTCAGCCATTTTTGATCTGAAGAGCAAGTGAGTCATCGTCAATAACAAGGGAAACGATATAACATGTGCCAATACTGTTTTTTGTCAAATTGGAGTAACTGTGGCGCTACCACACCCATGACATTTTACCCGAACTCGGTGACTTCTCAATTGGATAGACAAAGTAGATCTCTTCCTTGCAATCTGCAAAGGTAGAACCTAGAAATCTCGAAGCGCGGGTTATGTTCTCGGCCACTCCCCCTTGGCCTATCAACGAACAATGTATCGGTTTAAGGCATGCTGTTCCCTGCAAAGTGTTCGAATTTGTAGAAAATTGCGATGGACGGCGGCACACAGCTTCCTACCCAGTAAAGCTTGTGATAGCTGATAATTTGTCGGCCAACCACATAATAATTCTCGTTGCAGTAAGACAAGAGCGAACCTAGGTAATCGAGCATATCAAACGATGACGATGAGAGTGGCCTTCGAGAGCCGAACGTTGGCATCATCGACCCCTAGATATCTTCACCATTTCACGACTGAAAGGTTTTCCTGACTCTTCTGCTATCCAAAAAGATGGGATCCAGGCAAGGTTTCATATCACGGTGGCCAAGTCGAAGTTTCAGCGAGTGAGGCGACAAGTTGACTGTTAAAACCTCGAAGAGACATTAAAACGTTTTCCGTCATTGGGGAATATAGCCAACACATATTATCGCCATGATTCTGGACGTCAGTTTCGGTGAGGTTGAAGTCGAGTGAAATTGAGGTTTCGCAAGAAATGTATTGAGCTATCAAGAAGGGGCAAGAGCGGATTAGATAAGACCTCCATCGCGGAACTTTGCAGACACTTACCCGTAATAGGACTAGTGTAAATGGCTTCTACAGAACTTTTTTTCTCCTTCTCAGAAACACCGCCCAGAGACGGCGAGGATTTGCTACACGACACTCTCTTCTCTTCACTGTTGCATTGGGCATCATACTACTGGGCGTGAAATTGTTTGACTCTGCACCTGGGCCCTGAGTCCGTTCCACCTACAAACCTCGTTGAAAAATGGGTAAAAAGGCATCTCGCCCGCCCGTTTCGAAAACTTCGTCCGCTGCGTCGCCCGCAGTGTCTAGCCAGACATATGCCGGGAATAAATCTTCGATATTGAAAGCGTCATTTGCACCGTCCGAATATCAATTGGCGCTTTTTGCGTCTGTCATCCAAGGCCTCGATGCTCAGCACCTCCGAATCCATGACATAAACACCGGTCGGTTACAATGCGAGCATGTCCTTGGTCCCAAGGAGACAGTCACGTCTTTGGATTGGGGTTTCTATCTCGGAAAACAAAGGGACCGCGACCAGCAATCGAAAAAGAAGAGGAAGCGCAACTCTGATGTCAATGGGACGGCTGAGGGTCTTGAGCAAGGAGACATCGTCGTTGCTTTTGGTACGAGCGTTTCCGACATTCGGATGTACTCGCCTGCGGAAGATAAGGTCGTCGCAACCCTGGAGGGCGGACACGACAAGGGCATCAGGGACTTCAAGTTCACTGCGAACCGACCGGGTCAGGAGGGCTGGAGTATTGGCAGTGACAACAAGCTGGTGCAATGGGATTTGTGCTCTGGAAAGGCCATCAGGTGGGATTTTACGCCAAATAACGTCAACTTCTTCGAGTAGCTCCGACTGACAATATACAGAACTATTCATCTACCGAGCACCGGATACAGCACCCTTTCTCGCCCCGTCTCTTCGAACCCGCCCGTGATCTGTGCATCTCAGGCGCCACACATCATCGACATCGAGGAAGACGAGTCGACAGTATCTTTCCCTGCTATGCGCAACCAGATACGGGAAATTATCACTTCTTCCACGGCATCTATTGACTCGGGGCTATTTCTTGCCTCTGATGGCGATCGCTACATCAATGTTTTCGACGTGCAAGGCCGCAAGCTTGTGATGAACCTCGTGACCGACACAGAAGTGTCGTCGTTGGCATTGTGCACGAGCTTGGGACAGCAGGCAGGTGAAATACCGGAACTGGAGAAGCAGGTCCTCGCTGCCGTGACCGAAGATGGTACCATCGAGCTGTTCCCGAGACCATTTGTGCTGTCAAAGGATCAAAGTGTGAAGGCCAGTCTCAAGGCTAAGGGACGACAACTGACTAGGCGGGCGGAGTCATCCATCAAGATCACTCAATCCGAGACTTCAGACACCTCCGCCGCTGTGGTCGCCGCAGCATTTCAAGGATCCGATCTCATCATTGCTTGCGCTGAAGGAGGCATTGTCCCAGTTTTTGAGCGGGTCACATGTATCAATGCCGATACTGAGGAGTTGGCTTTCACGGGACTAAGGAAGGTTGCTAAGACAAAATCCAGCTCCGCTCTTGCGTCGGTAACCACAAACGGAGCTCGGACTGCCAGTGAAACTCATGTGGATGAGTCTCGGACAGTCGTTGAGCAAGGAGATCTTGCCGAAACCGATGTCGAGATGCAAGATACAAGAGATGATGCCGTACCGGCAGCTGATACTGAGGGGGAGGATTCGGAAGATGAGGACGTGGCGAAGAAACCGACAGACAAGAAGGCCCTCCAGCAGCAGAAGTCCAAGAAGGATGCTGATAGCGATGTTGACATGCGGTCAGATGGCGGAGATGAGGAGGATGAGGACGAGGACGAGACCGGAGAGCCATCTTTTGGTGAGCTCCTACGCGCTCATGCCTCCGAGGAGGTCGATGTTGAAGCCGAGCTCGAAGACGACGTCCGCATCGGATCTCTGGTTCCTGGGAAACCCAATGCGGCGGTTCAGCAGATCACCTCGGGCGTCACATTGTCGACTGTACTTTCCCAATCCCTCAAGACGAACGACAACGCCATGCTCGAATCATGCTTCCACACTGGTGACCTGACTATCATCCGCGAAACCATCCAGCGTCTGGATTCGTCGCTCGCCGCCACCCTGCTCCAGAAGCTGGCTGAACGTCTCTCCTCCCGCCCCGGTCGCTATGGACACCTTCTCGTGTGGGTGCAGTGGACTTGCGTTGCTCATGGTGGCGCACTCGCCGGCAAGCCAGAATTACTGAAGCGGATGTCTACGCTCTTCAAGGTCATGGACCAGCGCTCTTCCAGCCTATCCTCCTTGCTACTACTCAAGGGCAAACTTGATATGCTACATGCGCAACTTGGCTTGAGACAGTCTCTCCGTGGCGGGGCGGATGGTATGGATAGCGAGGATGAGGAGAACATCATCTACGTTGAGGGTCAAGAAGAGTTCGAGGATGAGGACAGCGATGCCGATACCGCGAAGCACGCGGTGACACCCCGAACCAAGTCGATACGCGACCAGACTTATGACGAGGACGATTCCATGATCGACGGTGAGCAGTCCGGCCGCGATGAGGACGATGACGAGGAGGATGAGGGCAGCGAGGAGGAGGATAACGACGAGGATGTGTTCGATGTCGAGGCGGAGGAGTCCGTTGGCTCTTCTGATGCCGAGGAATCCCTGGAGGAGGACGGGGATGAGGACGACGAGGATGCCGAGAGCGTGGGCTCAATGGCTGATTTCATCGCCGACACCGAAGATGAAGCATCGGAAGATGGCGGGTTGTCTGCCCAGCCTCCTCCATCCAAGAAAGCCAAGTTCAGTGGTGGAGGAAAAGGGAAGAAGGCGGGAAAGAGATAGATAGATAATACCCCTTTTCTTCTGCTATCGGGTCCTAATGTCTGGTTCTTGTTCTCAAATTTTCTGTGATCTGTGGTTTTTATGTGGATGGGGGTTTCGAACAAAAAGTAAAAAGAGAACTTTCATTTATTTTTCTGGGTTATCGCTGTGGTGTTCAGTTAACTGCATTGGAGATTGGAAGTTGTATAAGTGTAGCTATATCGACATACTAGATTCCATGTATATGTTGCTTATGCTAGCACCATCTGAAAAGTGTCCATCCACGGCCCTCGTCTCCAAACTAAGCTCCGAATTCAATCAGTATTACTGGTGGTGTTGAAAGAGCCCAGATATATATCTCCACCCTTCCCGCCCAGCACCATCCATCCTAAAAGTCCAGCTCCGCCGCATTACACGCACCCTTATGCAAAACTCGATGCCCTGGGTCACCATCCCCGTTTTTCAAAGGCACAACCACCGCGGCCGTCACCTCATCACTGGGATACGTCGTATAGTGCCCATCCGCACTGACGTCCGCCGTATCCAGCGCCAGGATCATCCCATGCTTGCCCCCCCGAATCCACGCCTCGTCCTGGGAATGCGGCAGCGTAAGATGCGCCAGTCCAGAGACAAAGATCACCCATCTTTTAAGTTTTTTTTGGGTGCGAAGGTTAGTATACATGTATACCCATCGGGATACAGGGTCCTACGTACTGTCTTGCAGGGGCATTGTGTCTCCCGCCGTCGAATTGTGCAGGGAGGATGCTGTAGGATGCATTGGCGCCTACGGGTCCCATGGTCAGTGCCGCCGTTCCTGAGATGCCGGGCTGCGTCGACGAGACGAAACCCGGCTCGAGGGCCCAGCATTCTAGGGTCGATTGGTTGTTTTGGGCGCTTAGGACCGTGATGTTGAGTGTTTCGGGGACGGATGCCACGGCTATGGCCGTCGTGGCGCCTAGGAGAATGGTTGAAGCAAAATGCAGAAGAGTGGCCATGATGATGATGAGGAATGAGATAAATGTAGGTGATCGTTTAATGATAATCAGTCTGTCACAGTCAATCAGTACGTGCCTTGCAAAAGGATCTCCCTTTGTCATGAAATACCCACTGACCTATTTAACATGATTAAAGGGCTCAGTGATAACAATGCACCACATAAATTAATGGTTTTTGGAATGTGTGAAGATTTCTACAGCCTTGCGAAGTGAAACATCTGGTAGGTTGATACTCAATGCATACTTACGGCATCATGCGTCTGTGATCACCAATCCTGGTCGATCATCAACATTGAATGTTCCACATTCAGTAGCAGCTAAGGAATAGCAGTTTGTCTTATTCAAAGTGAGATATACACAAGAAAGACTATGCTTTTCAAGGTACTGATTATTGGATAAGAATTCCCTAAGAATACTTGCCCTTCACACTGGATACGGATAGATACATTATCGACAATAGGGATATGAGCCAAGTAATAATATCCCTGGTGTGACAAGTCAAATCACTTGACAAGGATTCGTATCCTCAACGGATGATCTCGTCCCCTGGCTTCTCCAATCCTTCCAACCCTTCAAGGATTTGACTTCCTCCCAGAGGACCGCAAGTTGCTGTGGTATTCTTCTTGGAACCACTCCACACCTCATGAAATTTGACGCTCTGGTCGCTCGATGCAACGATGATGCATCCCTCTTCTATGGTACGAGAGCACCATAGCCCTCCTTCTTTTGCTCTTGGCCGTATAAGCGCCGGCCCCATCCTGCGTCGACCAGGCTCGCTTTGCCCACGCTTTTTGAGCCCACGCTGAATCATAGCCGCAGACGATGAAATGCTATCCGCATCATCGGGATGGTCTGGGACGAAGACGGGTAACCTACCTGGATAGCTGACGGCGCAAAGGGCGCGTCCACATTCTATAAGCCCGTCGTTGCGCACTCCTTCCCAGCTACTGCCATACGGGCCCCATGGAATTGCGGCAATCTGTTCGCAGCTTGGCCACGCGAAAACAGCAATCCGAACTGGATGCTCTGGCTGTGCGAACCCGAATGTGGCGACAATTTCCCGTCGCGTCTGACTCCAAATGAGGCTGGTCACTTGCGCATAGACATTGATTGTCGCCAGGCAGGCTCCGGAAGGGGTGTGGTAAAAATGGATGCACCGATCATTTGAACCTCCCCCGGTGGCCAGGAGCGACGGTTGCCATGGCGCGAATGCAATTGCCTTTACGGCTGCAGAATGACCCAGGCGATGTTTCTGACGATTTGAAGGTATAAACACTGTCCTCTCGCCTCCCGAGATGAGTGATCCGGTATGATTAAGGAGTGATGATGGCGAGGGTCCGGCACGAGAGGCCGACCATGAAGGCAGTAGATGGCTAATCAGATGGCGCCGACTAAAAAGATGTCTGCCCGCACTCACAGAAAGATAAGACAAGGCGCTCTGGCATTGCATGCTTATAGACTGACAGGCCTGGGCTGACTTGCAAGGCTTCGATGCACCGTCGAGCTCGCGCACTGGCATGATATCACGGAGTTCGAAGATCAGACAAGCATTATCGTTTCCGCCAGTAGCCAGATAAGCCCCACCTGGTGACCAGACTATGCCACAAACTTGTTGCGTATGTGCGCTTATTTTTGCGAGTAAAGTCATGGCTCCGTTCCAGCAAAATTGGTCATGAATTCCTTCATCCGGCCATTCCACAGAATAATACCAGATATTACCAAGGTCATCACCCACAACAAGATCCTCGGTATCAACTTCAACGTGGTGGAATCGTTCTGATAATCGGCGTGTTTTTGTCTGTCGGAAAGCCACGCAGGTTATACTGTTCGGATGGCTGATTTCAAAGCGCACTTCAGCCTCAAACACGCCCCATAGGGTCAGCATTCCACTACGCCGGCCAACAGCTAGAATGCTTTTGCCCCCATCTTCAGAAGAGAAAGCTAACGAAGCCACGTAGTTCGAGGGATGCTGTTCTGTGAATGGCGGATACTCTACCCCAAAAGCTTCAGACCACAGATACACATGATGAGCGAGTCCAACAGCCAGAACCCCAGCAGTGGGCGAATATGCTAGTGTTGAACAATAGAAGTCATCTCGCAGTAGAGGGGCATCCAGGATTCGAAATGGACGAGTCGGCACTATGCCTTCGCCACCCTCTCTTGCAGGCATTGTGGTCCCTATTAAAGCATCACTATTAGCTTGTCACCCCTTCGCAACATAAACCTGGCTGAATACACATTCGCTCTGAATATTTGGCGTCAAAGGTCCTACCGACCAGATAAAGATGCATTGGTATATGTCATTATATGTGTCAGAAATCCCTCCATGAATGCCTGAACCTGGGATGGCTTTGTTGAATCACTAATGAAGGCAAACCAGCCAGAAACAAATGATGCATAACTTATTTGGGCACAAATAGCTCTCATCAAGATTTCCTCTCGCCCACCGATAAGGATATTTTGAAAGAGAGAAGACTTCTGCCCCTGGACTTACATTGGTTCTTCTCACCCCTTTTCCAAGCACTGTCTTTCCAAGTCAACGGAGAGAATCGTTCATAGTCAGGAGAGGATGGACTTGGATAAGACTCAAGCAGAGGCCATAGTCTGCAGTTTAACAGTCTAACTGTTAGATCAATATCCAAAGCCAGCGCTATCCTCGACTCGTGTTTTTCTTGTTCTTCAGATGACACAGTTTGAGGTAGAAACCTAGCTGTGTACATAGGAGCATTTGTTCGACTTGCCGCAGGTCCTCTTCTACCATCGATATTTGCCATAGACCTTCGACCTAGCATGGCGGATGTTCCACCCACGTTCCATACTGCCCCAACGCTGACCTGTCTAAGAGGGTTTCTTAGTTCACGCGCACTGCTGACCGTCGGTGTAGTGTCGCTGATGAGGTGAGGGACGTAATGGGAGCTGAATATTCGATCAGGTTGAATCCTTGGAATTTTTGCAGATCTACGCGGCCGTGTAGGCATGAACGGGTCTGCTCTCGGTGAGCGTCGTCGAAAAAGCTTCTCCTCAGGGGACAATTTTTGGGCGGATTTGCCCACTCGCAGTGTCGTCGACGAAGGTTCAAAATATTCTCGAATAGGTATGAATCTGTCCGGTGACTTTGGACTCCTCGCAGCCTGCCCTAGTATAGCAGGCTTTAGATGCTGTTTGGTCCTTCCTCGACCTCTTTCACTAGGTATTTCAATGATTGGAGACAGTTGCCTTGTCGACTGGGATCCTTCTCTTTCAGTGGCATGTTTCTGCTGGACATCATCAATAGGATAGCCACCTGAGTCCGAGTCAGACGGGCTATCGCTTGCTTCGGCCAGCGATGGTATAAAAGAGGGTGATTGGGTAGTTGAGTTGGATAAAGCCAAAGGTATAGTAGCAGAGTTAGCTAACTGTAAGGACTCGCGGTCTCTGCGGTATATTGATTGTATCTCAAGCAAGATACTGTCTGTTGCCGAGAGTCCTGAGCTTCCTGACAAACGACATCTCGAGCGAGTCATTCTGCAATATAAGCTTAAGACGAAATGTATAGACTATGAATGCTGTGCAAAGCTGTGATAACTGCAATAGAAAAGGGAGTGGACAACTGTGCCTCCTGAAAAGTACAAGGAGACGCAAGTAGCAATCCAACCAGCATTTGAAAGACTTCCACCCGATTCTCTAGTGAGATACAGGCGAGATGCATTGAGCTGAAGTATGAGCCGTCGTTGGCGATGGGTTCTTGTATGGGGACACAGCACGTGACTGTTCTGGATTTGGAAGGAAGCTTTTGTCAGAGCAAGTGTTACATCTGCTTCACCATCAACATGTCAATGATCGGGGAGAAGTTTAGGAGACAAACGAAAGCTTTCGCACCTAATTAAATTTCTAAAATTCATTCAATATGGCCGGTGTATGTCTACAACTATCTGACTCAAACCCGTTGCCTGAATAATCAATCTAACATCCGATGCCGTAGCATGGTATTCCCCGCTACAGCTCATTAGGAGAGCGATCGGAAGAAGCTCTCCAACAAGAACTACAGAAGATCCAAACTTACCGTGATTTGGACAGACTCGTTCGTGATAAGGTAGATAGCGAGGCTGCTACTGCCCATGCGATTCCTCTCACCTCTTCCTGCTTACATTCTCAGATCACATCCGCTAATGATGTCGAACAGATTGCTGAGCATGAATATACGCCTGGAACACTGCAAAAGATCTCCGACTTATTGAGCCGTAATCCAGAGTATTATACTGTGTGGAACTATCGACGAAAGGTCCTGCAACATGAGTTTAAAGTCGCATCGTCAGGTCAAACCAATGAGGCTGCGACGGAACAGATAGCAAATCTAATCAGGAGTGATTTGCAGTTCCTCATACCTCTTCTTCGAAGCTTCCCCAAGTGCTACTGGATATGGAACTATCGCATGTGGCTTCTTGATGAAATCAAACGATTGCTCCCTCGGTCGGTGGCTCGAAGATTCTGGCAAGAAGAGTTGGCCCTTGTGGGTAAGATGCTTAGTCTGGATAATAGAAACTTCCATGGTTGGGGCTACAGGAGATTTGTCGTAGAGTCTCTGGAAGAGCTCGCACCCGAGGATCAGGAAACACAGAGCATGGCGCAAGAGGAATTCGGCTACGCGAAGAAGATGATAGGTACTAACCTGTCTAATTTTTCTGCTTGGCATTATCGCACAAAGCTCATTCAGCGACTTCTGAACGAGCAGTCAGCTACTGACGAGACTCGCAAGAAGATGCTTGATGATGGTCAGTTTCATGTTCTTGTTCGAGGCTGCATTTACAGTGCTTTCTAACCGATTTGATAGAGCTGGATCTCATCCACCGTGCTCTATGCGACCCTTACGACCAATCACTCTGGTTTTATCACCAAAATTTGATGTGCACCTTTGATCCTTCGATCTCAGACCAGACAATGGCGCCCAACCTCAGTAGGGAGGATCGGTCAAGGTACCTCCGCCAAGAAATTGACGAGATTCAAGAAATGCTTGACGGAGCAGAGGATTGCAAGTATATCTACCAGGCATTGATCGATTGTACGCTATTGGCAACAAAGGTGGAGGGGGCTATGTCCAGCGCAGACAAGGAGAACATTTTGAGCTGGCTTTCCGAATTGAAGAAGTTGGATCCGCTACGCTGTGGGCGATGGTCGGATTTTGAGAAGTCACTCTACGTCGAATCATGAATGGCTCGATCGACCAAACGTGTACATAGAAACCTGGGGCGTTCAATATGATCCCACCCCACCTAATATTTCTTGATGACTGACTTGTGGAGGTATCTTAGTAGGAGGGATACGATTTAGATAACAGGTGGCAATAGCAACGGCACTGTGTATGACAGATTACAAGTATCTATGCAATGAGCCAACATTTAAGCGGACTTGTAGGATCTCCAGATCATGGGTGATGAGGAGAGCCTATCTTCACGGCCCCAATAGAATCACGATGCAGAGCAATCATTTCTGTCTCCTTGAGATATCTAGTCAATCTAGTCTATCCAAGATCTCCAGACTCCAGACTTCAGAGCTGTTCCTGGATTTGTGGGCCAATCCAGCGTTAATCCCACGGTCGAGGCCCACCAAATGCCAATATAATCATAACGAGTCTTGGCTTCCTCCATCAAAATAACGATAAAGGAGGCTCAGGTCATAGACTACTTCTAGATAAAATGGCAAGCTGATAGAATGTTGTGTCTTCTAAATTTAAGCATCTACAGTAATCAATATCTCTCCTTTAATTTGATCAACCCCAGTTTTCAGGAATTTCTCCGGTGGCTTTTGAGTCCGTCCCATTTCCATCCAACCTCCGCTCCCTTTATTTTTCGGACAGCACTGACTGTCCCCTGTTCAACCCCCCTTCTTCACTCTCCCTATCATGGGCCTTGGTCGTCCTGGTCTCTACCTGCTCACATTTCCAAAACTCAACAATCCTGATACTATTCAAAAGAGCTACTAAACGGATTTATTCGACTCGCCTAGCTGGCTCCAGGCGGTCGAGTACGCCATGTCTTCCAGACGTGATAGTGCCGATTACGACGGAGTGAGTGTTTCCCCCTCAGTATTGCTTGTCATTGGAGAATTCATCGCTAATCATACTTCCGACAAGGCGTCTTTCGACGATGCGACTGAAGTACAGGATTCTACCATTCACAACCTCTCCCTCTCCATCCCCCAGAGTGCGTCAACACGTTCCCTAACAGACAGTTCTCCGAGCGGCTCAGGCGCCACCCCCCAATTTACCGAAGCGCCTTCCTCCCCCCCCGGTTCTCAGGACGAGAAGCAGAAGCAGAAGAAGGATGATGATGGGAATACATATGATTTAAAGTCGGAGACGCAGTCAGAGGCAGAGGAAACGCCTCGCAAGACCAAATCACCAAAGTCCCCCTTGTTGACGGCTCACCGGCTATCGACGACTTCCCTGGATGAGGTGAACCTTGCCACCAATCATTTGGATGATGTTGCACTGCAGAACCACGATCTGGGCCAGGAGCCCCTGGCCGATGCTCCTCCGCTACCTGCCAGAAATTCCACGTCTTCAGCTGCAAACATGTCCATTCAGGGGTTGTCCGGCAATCTGCCTCCGGTTCCTTGGGGTTCACCACCAGTGAATAAAGCCCCGGCCCCAGCAGCGCCAACGCCCGCACCAGCTCCACCCATCACAAGGAAGCTCACCGGTCCATTTGCTTGGCTATCCCGGAGCTCAACAGCGAGCCGCGAGGTCAAATCGCCTCCTCCACCGACTAGCCGTCGAAACACTGCCGCGTCTGTATCGACTTTATCCAGTAATCCCGAGATGGCGCATCGCTTACAAGATGGCGAGGATATTGATGGATCAGGGACCAGAAGACCTAGGCGCGGTAGCCTGAAGGATCAATTCAAATTACTCAGGATGCGGGATGAAGGACTAGTTTCGGAGAACGACGAAGCAAGTGTCACGTCAGGACGGGCAAGCATCAGTCACTCCGCTGGAAGTCCTCCACCGAGTATTCCCGAAGAAGAAGAACATGTTTCTCCCCCTCTGGCATCGCCGCCTAATGTGCCAGCCACGATCAACCCCAGCCTTCCTCCTGGAACAGTTTCGGGATTCTCGGCCTCTGCGAGTGATGCGTCCGCGCCAGTGGACTGGGAGCTCTGGCAGCAACTTGTGAATCATGGCCCGCAAGCGCTTAAAGGCGCGAACTCGGAGGAGTTGAATGCGGCCATCAAGCGAGGAATTCCACAGACCATTCGAGGGGTGATCTGGCAAATTCTAGCTGACAGCAGAAACCCAGAGCTCGAGGAGGTCTATAGGGAACTCGTTGTTCGTGGCACCGATAAAGAAAAGCAACACCTGTCTAATGGTACAACGAACGGACTTGGAGAGCGGGAGTCTCTCGCGTCTTCTCGCTCGTCTGTCCGGTCGGAAACATCAAGCTCAAACCATGGCTCTTTCCCCAGTCCATCCCAAGAGATCGATTCCGAGAGACTGGCCAAGGAGCAGGCGGCCAACGAAACAGTTCGTAAGAAGAAGGCTAAAGAGGATGCCGCGGCTCTTCAGAAGCTGGAGAAAGCGATTCGTCGGGATTTGGGCGCACGAACCAGCTATTCCCGTTACTTCGTCTCTCAAGGCAACCAAGAAAGCCTGTTTGGTTTATGCAAAGCGTATGCTCTCTACGATGAGGCTGTGGGATACGCACAGGGGATGAACTTTATTGTCATGCCACTGTTGTTCAATGTAAGGATTCTACCTGTACCGTGCTTCGAGTGACAATTCGCATCGTTTCTGACTTGAATGTGTCATATGCAGATGGATGAGGCGGAGGCTTTCACGTTGATGGTGAAATTGATGAATAAGTATGGACTTCGGGAAATGTTCATCCATGACATGCCTGGTCTTCACCGCAGTCTGTACGTCTTTGAACGTCTCCTTGAGGACTGGGAACCAGCACTCTACTGCCACCTTCGCCGGCGAGGCGTCCACCCCCAACTCTATGCAACTCAATGGTTTTTGACCCTTTTCGCCTACCGATTCCCTTTGCAGCTGGTCCTCCGTATCTACGATCTTATCTTTGAGGAAGGCCTCGAGAGTGCTATCCTCAAGTTTGCCATTGCCATCATGCGGCGCAATGCTCAGACTTTGCTGACAATGAAAGACATGACGCCTTTGACTACTTTTCTCAAGGAGCGCTTGTTTGACATTTACATCGACAAGCAGCCATCGCCATCTTCACTGCTCGAGTCCGGGTTTTTTGGTAGCTCCGGGGCTGCGGATAAGGAGGTCTACCGTGCCGACATCATGGTGCAAGATGCCTGTGCGATTACTTTGGCTCCCGAGACAATTCGTGCCTACACTGCGGAATGGGAAGAGAAAGAACGAACGGAAAAAGAACGTGAAGCGGAATTGGACAGTCTCCGGAATACGGTGGCCAGCCAGAGTGCTCGGATCCGATCGCTAGAAGAGCAAGCCGAGGCATCCGACAAAGAGCATGTACAGCTTGCGTCTGAGCTCGTTCACATCAAAGTGGAAAACGAGGAATTGACTGACATCAATGATGCTTTGAAACTCCAGGTTACCGAATTGAAAATCGTGGTGGACAAGCAACCGGCGGAGGTTGAAGAGAAGCTTCGCACCGAAATGGACCGCATTATGAAGCGCAACCTTGAGGTTCAAAATGAGAATCGATCGCTGTCTGAGCAAATGGCAGATATGGAGCGCGAGCTCGTAGAGGCGAAGATGAAATGGGCGGAGGTAAGACACTTCGATAGATGGGGTGGACGTCTTGACCTAACATGATATTGTGCAGATCCACGAAGAACATGAAAATTTGAAACAGAAATGGAGCGATCTCCGCAAAGCTTTGGATTAGATTCCTGGAATATTCACTTTTTCGGAGCGCAGCTGCTGATTGAGTCTACCAAGATCAAGCGGTCTCAATTTCTGTGAAAACGTTTTCGCGTCCTGATCATCTCATTTTCCTGCAGCTCTCGTGTTCTCTCATGTACAGCTACCGAAGCCGATCAGCCGATCATGTTGATCTCATACTGTAGGTCGACATGGGTTTCTCATCTGGCTCAAGACAGTCCAACGGGATGAAGCGTTGTACGATTTATATCCCTCTTTCTTTGACCGCTCGTGAGGAACCCTTGAGGAAGACCTACGAGCACTTTTTGTTCTCATGACAGCCGGCTTTTCCTGCTAATGGAATCTGCCCCGCTCCATTCATACCAACTCATAGCCCAGATGACATTGTTTTCCAAACACGCTTTCCGCTTAAGTGGCGGGATTGGTCTGGATTAGCTCTCATACACAGAGGCATACTTGACGTATGCCATGTATATCACCAAAACAAGTATCATTCATCGATGTGTATTGATCTCAGCACTTTGCGCATCGTACTCTCTATACAAGCATAACTGATACTTCTATTATTGCCTACCCAAGCACCATACATTCATTATGATAAGATAAGAGAAAAACGAGCCCCTCCCCCAAACAAGTTCAAAGAACACTCTGGAAGAAAGTCGTCAGAGCGTCCTGCTTAACCCCGTCCACCATAGCCTTCAACGCCTTGTGCGCCTCACACTCCTTGTCGTAGTACTCCATATCCTCCATGGACGCAAAGGTGGTCTTGACAGAGATATTGAAGCCCTTGTTGCGAGGATCAGGGAAGGACTCGCCAGCCGCGGCGTTGAGGATATACGGCTTTCCATCCTACCAATCTGTCAATAAAAAGTCCACTCCACTCCACTCCAACCACCCCCCAACCCAGATTAAGAAAAAAAAGAAAAAGAAAAAAAAAGACCATAGCAGACGTCAGAAATATACCTTGACAGCCGTCTTCGCGAGGACCTTGTACTGCTCCAGGAGACGAGCGCGGTCTTCGGCCTTGGGGATGTTGAAGAGAGTGATGCGCTCGATAGGGGCCATTTTGGTGATTCGGAGCATGCAATATCCTGGGAAAGTGTGTCTGCGAAGTAAGGTATGGATGAGACTTGGAGGAAGGAACGAGGCGGGTAGATGTACTCTGTAGTTTGTCCGGATACACAGACGGATATCCGCTATCGGATAGATATTGTCGGCTATTTGGGTGGTCTTCCTGTTAGATACTATGTGGAGGATATCCGTGATATCTTTGGCGGGAAGGAGAGAAGCGGGGGTTGACTACTTAATGCCGAAAATTATCCATAGAGGGAGCAGGGCTAGTATAAAATCAGTATCTATATACTAGATATTGGCTCTATCAGGTCTGATGTTATTACACCGTCAGAATAATGCGCTGGAGTATCAATCTGGAGTCTCCCATGAAGCCAAATTTGAGATCAGGGTGCTGGAGAAGACGGAATTCCCCCGAAGATTGCAACTACGTTCCGCGCTGGGGCGAGCGGAACCAGCCCGTAGAATATGATGCCTTAGTGCCTTGGTTCTCTGTGATGCACTTGTTATGTTATGGTCATTCATTTCGTCCCTCAGCATGATCAACTGGCCATGTGGGTGGAAGATTGACCAGCGACAATCTTACAGAGTCTGATGCAAGGCCATCGCTGATGGTGGACCAGATTCTTCTACGGCATCTTTTCAGGGGAATGATGCCTGTAACTTTCCTTGTTGTGTCTGAGTGAACGATGGCCATTGAACAACACCATGGATCGACGAAGCAGGTAGGAAGAGTGAGACTTTGAATCTGGGTCGGTAGCTCAGCGTATTGGAATTTATTTCTATTAGGATCTAATGACTTTTTCTAGTTATCTTCTAAACTTAGACTCCTCAAAAAATGTTCGGAAGTAGCGAATGGAGCAAAGCAATAATTGACTTTCAGAGATTGCCTCTACGTGCCTGTTCTCGCTCGAAGGCCTCGAACAAACTTTTGAAGTTCCCAGCTCCGAACCCGTCAAAGTTGTTGCGTTGGATCACCTCGATAAAGACTGTGGGCCGATCGAGCACATGCTTCGAAAAGATCTGGAGCAGATACCCCTTCTCGTCGAAATCCACCAGAATATGAAGCTTCTCCAACACATCGATATCCTCATCGAGTTTCAGGCCAGTGTGGGATAGGCGCTGCCGCAGATCGGTGTAGTATGTGCTGGGGACTGCGAGGAAGGACACCCCCGTTCTCGGAGTCGAGTGACGGCTGTAACGGTATCGTGGGTTCGGAAAGCGATATGCTGGACACCTGCGCCGTTATAGTAATTCACAAACCTACCAGTGGGTCAGCTTGTGATTTTCCTGTAATGGGTACTGACCACGCAGCGACTTACTCCTCGATCTGCGACTTTTTTTTGCCTTGAGCCGGTCATTCAAGGGCATCGGTGTTCCGCATTCCTTGCAGACAGCCACCAACCACATATGGCACCCAGTCGGGCTTGTGACGCATTTTTCCACAGTCCCGGAAGATCTCATTTACTCCTGACATTGTGTGGCTGCGTGTTTGGTGCGATTGACCGCCAGGAGCCTTGTGGTTCAAGGATTGTTACAAGAAAGCATCAGTTGTGTGTCGCACCACAGTGTCCAGCTATCATTGCTTGATAATCAATTGCCCCTTTGAAACTATTCCAAGGAATCGTGTTGCTCAATAAGTCGAAATCGTCCGCTGGTACTTGACAAGGGATGACATTCTTATCACATTCGGAAATAATAGGATGACTGCGGGTATGATCAAGCAATCCGTCCCATTCCAACTCGTTTCCGAGTAAGACATGGTGCGCCTCGATATTTGGGTATATGTATGTAGTCTTGGGAGAACCTGGAAAGCGAGACCCTGTCTTGTAGGTTCTCAGGACCAAATTGAGATTAATAGACCACATTGTGTCTGACGTTCGTGGACAACGCATGTCAAGGAGGTCGGAATCTCCCATCAACTATCGTTGACAGGCTCCGGTCGACTCTTGAAAAGGAGCTTATACTTGATGATTTCCACGACCTCCAATTCCTCATTCTCGTCTGTCGCGACTTCGTCACCGCGGGCGCTGGCCTCCTTTTTTTGCTTTTGCACAAGCGCGAGTGGTTGCACCAGCTTCTTCACTTCCCCTGTCATGCGCTGATATCGTCCAACGTAGAGATATACCCGCTTCATCCACTTCGTGTCGTCTGGAGCCTGCGGCGAGTAGTCCGGGAAAATGAGTTTGCCGATGGGTGTCTCGAATGTAATCACAGCCGTCGAACCATCCTCCGCATCGCCTGGATGCAAATCTGCGCCTTGATCATCCAAAGATGGAATGTTGATGGTGCCTTGTAGTTCGAGGATTGCCAGGCCCGATGGTGTTTGAAGGAGCTGGGGAAGTGGGTTGTGAAGGGAAGTGGTCGAGCTGGACACGCGAGGATGGAGGGGTATTGTTGGCATTTTGGCTATTGATCTGGACCTCTTCGGGGTATTATGGTAGTATAATCCCAAGATTATGAGCAGATGTTTGGTTCACCGTCTCGATTCCTTTTACATAGGATAGTATATGGCGATCTACTCCGTAGTGGTGGCTGGTTCTTTTGTCCTGTAGGATTTTGACGTGCCGCTAACTGGTCCTTATCGATAAAGATAATGATAAGGATATCAGTGCCTTAGTTCTGTAGTGAATGTAAGCAATTGAGGGATATCCATAAGGCCGTAACATCAATTAACATCTTGACTTGAGCCTTCTTAGACTGCAGATCCATGTATTTGAATCTTTATAATGGCTTCATATATTTAGGGAGCTCTTTGTGGTTGTAATCTAGTCTTTGGCCTTGAGAATCCTAACTGATCAAAAAGTATTCATTTTTCTATACCTCTATACATTCAATTCGGCCAGAAGATGGGTTCATTCATGCTAGATTGTGCATTGTGAATGTTGAATTATGTGATCTCAGGCTCCCATGATTCACTGTGTGTAGTGCTTGACAGAAGAAGATCAACCAAAATAGTCATTGCCTTCACTGAGTTCTAACTGAAGCATCCATCATCGCTCACCAATCTCCCCTATGCTTTCTTCTGTCGATTTTGTCTTACTTCCATGTCTTGCAAATCCAGATATCTTAGTTCTCTTGCTCTCATTCTCATACCATAACGCATCTGCCCTTTTAGAGGCCTGGTACTGAAAAAAAGAGAGTATCGACTGGACCTGAACTGTAGCATACTTTACTACTGCCTTCAGGTAAGTTTGGGATATGTGAAGTCAAATCTCCAAGCACCTCTTCAATTCTATAGAGTTCTATATGGAACTGCCGGCAAGCTCATGTTGGGAGCCATCACATATAAGTCTGACTGGCGTACATTGTCATGCTCGTCGGATGGAATCGAGTCTCCTGGGGTTGAGATGCTGAGTTTTCTCGTGGAGATAATAACAGAGTACCGCTTGGGCTCCAAACGTCAGATAGGCTAATGATTGGACTTAGGGAAGAGGTTTGCGAGGCCAACGGACTCAGTCTTCAATATGGCCTACACCGATTCGAAGACGTGGATCTCAAACATAGCGAGAGAGTTTGATCGATTTTTGAATGCTCGCAATAGCAACGCCCACATTGCATCAAGCTCTCCCAGTGCCCCACACCCCTATCGCGAATGGGTCGCCTACCATCTTTTCGTCAAGGAGGGTGCTCAAGAGGCAGAATCGAGACAGCCTGAGCGCAAAGAGCCGCAACCGAGCGAAGAGGACAAGCAAACCCTCAAACCCACATTCGCTGGGAAATCCTTCACAGACCATCGATCTCCCGTGCTGGCCATGGAAACAATATGGCTTCCCTCCACAGAATTCCACCCTGCGAAGCCTGTTGCGCCTTGGCCCTGTAATGATGAGCTCAATAGCGAGGGCACGCTGAGAGGCCTGTCTGGTTACTCCCGGTTCCTCCCTCTGCCTAGAGTGCCCAGCAACGAGACCGTCTACTGGAGAAAACGAGCCTTGATCACTCCGTACCCGTTTGACACCTTCGGAAAACCAAGTCTGCAACGTACCGAGGAAGCCGAGACAGACACCGCGATGTCATTCCTTGTTGGTGAGGCAGTGTTGAGGGAGATAGATGGATAATTATCATCAGCGGTAGTGTTGGATGGGCGTGGCTCGAATGCGGAATAAGAACATTCAGAATAATTTGGAATAGTTGGACGACGAGGCCGAAAACTCTGATTTCCTCCAGATGTGCTAAGAATGATATAGAGTGTTCAATGCTCCTGCTGACTGTATAGTATTTATCGTGTTTCCTCGTGGATGCAATTTGACTGGCTAGAAAACAGTGTAGTCAAAGTTGGCATGCAAGCTTTTGTGGATACCCAAGAGGAGGAACAGTTGCATTTCCAACAACCACTGCTAGATTGTGAGCAAGGTTGATACTTGTGATTATGAGAATCAAACTCGTTTATACCAATGAGCCCCGATGTATTGTTCTTATAAGCACAGTGATTTATGTGCAATCACAGTTGATGCCGAGGAAATACAGAGGGAGGAAGCATGAATGGTTCCTGCTGTCTCTCATGGAACAAAAGCTTGGTTTTGGCAATCAGCCATCACAGAGATGTCTTGTGATAACATGTCTGTTCTAGGTGATTGAGACCCTCTATTGCTTCCTGGACCATCTCCTCCCCGGAAGACCCGGCAGGCCCTTGCAGTTTACCATACCGCAAATCACTCAAATCACCCACTGTGGCGTTGAGTTCGGAGAGTACTGTAGCTGCGTCTCGATCCACTTGGGATGCTTCATTTTCAAGATTGGTACAAGCCTCCTCCATCGCGGAGAGGAGGCTGGCAGTTGAATGATATTCACTGGAAGCGGCATTGGTCTCCTGTCCGAAGAGCTGGACATCCATCTCCATCTCCCGCTGGTCATTTGCGTCCATTCCATCGACTCCTGTTTTCAGGATTGCTCTCCGAAGCTCGGCTTTTTGGGCTTCACCCTGATGCACTTCCCTATCAATGTTCCCATTGACAATGTCCATATCTTGTTCTCGCAGCTGTTGAAGTTCCCTGTACAGTACTCTAATATGTGGGTGAGACCGCAGTCTTTTGGGAAACAGCTCAGTGAACTGTTGTAAGGAGATGACTGTGGGCAGTGATGCAGGGGACAGGAGAAAATGGCTCAAAATAGAGGCCTCGGATGGTGCCATATTGAAGGATCTCAAACAGATGACGGCGATGGCGCGGCACTTGTTGTTGTCCTCCTTGTCTTTTATTGTGTCTCGAGGAAGAATTTGTGTTCTTAACTCGGTCCTGTATCTCTTTTGCTTCCTTTTACGATATCAAGCCTGATCTTTGTTGTTTCAGGCCAATAAGAAAAAGGCTGAACGGGATCAAGACGCGTCCTAGTCTAGCCTGAGAGTCTGGGAAACATTCAAGAGATAGATTGAAACCAAATATAGCCAGCTCCCATGTGTACTTATCAGAAGCGACAGCTAAAACATCGTTATTTTTTCTGCAATTAACATTCAATATTCAAGGGTTGGTTGATGGGAAGGTGATAAAATCCCGGTAGAAAGATACTAGACGCGTATAACTTTAAAAGGGCGTCGGCCATTTCGGGGTTCCGCTTCCATTCTCTCTTTCGCCTTCCACTTCGCCTGCTTTTGTCTCTCCTCAACTTGTCTTACCATCTTTCCAGCCACCAGTATAGTACAGGGCTTCTCTTGTCTACAGAGCGTCGCGTTATAGCTGTTTCATTGACGCTTCACTTTGCTTGAGGTGGACGAGTCGTGTTTTCCAAGAAACTGCTTGACCTCTTAGCTCAAACTGCGTGCCTCATAGGGAGGACTATCTCCTGATATACAAGACTGGCCTCGTCATTCGCAAATCTCTTCTCTCATATAATTTACCGGGGAGTGGACTTGTGACTCCTGAAGTGTATCTCGTTGTCTCAAATCCCGCAGCTCATCATACCCTCGGTTGCGTTGCTGGAGCAGTCGCAAACCCAAGATTTATCTTGAGTCCGTCCGCAGGGTATTTGTCTGCTTGTACAGCTCGGAGCAGTGATACAATAGTATCACGGTTCTCCCGTCCGATATTTTATCTGGGCAAACATTCCGTCTCTGGCTGGCACATCATCGATCTTCGGATCCTCCAAAATGGCACCAGCTGCGCTGTCTACTTATCAGAAAGATGAGAAAGTCCTCTGCTTTCATCATGAGATCTTATATGAAGCAAAAATTCTTGATGTGAGGCAGACCGATCCAGAGGATAAGAAAAGCCCTTTCGAATATCTAGTTCATTACAAGGGCTGGAAGAACACGTAAGTACGGCTTCTTTATCATTTTTATGAGGCGCGCTTCCCGTGCCCGCCCCTCTCAGTTGAGTTGAAATCCCCCAAATCTCTCTACGGGGATTCCTTTTGCACCCATTCTTTTGGCAAAAAAATTCGTGTTAAGAAGAACGGAGTCAACCCTTCCACAGGCAAAGATGTGGTGTGCATGGGTAGCCATAGCTAACCCGGCCTTCTTTCTATCTACAGCTGGGATGATTGGGTTCCTCAGGATCGACTTCGCAAATTTACGGAGGAGAACAGAGAACTTGCTACCACCCTCCGTCGCGAGGCCGAGGCTGCTTTCCGTCAAAAGAACACAAAAACTCCGCTTAAGCGGAAGGCTGGATCCGATCGTGGGTCTGTTCGCGATAGCGAAGAAAGGCAAACATCGGTCCCTGGCCGTGCAACGAAGAGGGCCAGAGACAATGAAGTCGAGAAGGTATTTCATCTAGATTAATTTCACCCATGCTGCTGCTGAAACAGCCCTACGATATTCTTCGTCAAGGAGGCCGCAGCTTTTCTACTCAGAGTACAATACTTACACTATGCCTACAGGAAGAGCATTTCTATACACGGCCTTCAGTGAGAATTGTCATGCCAGACAACTTAAAATCACTCCTGGTTGATGACTGGGAGAACGTGACGAAGAATCAACAGGTTGTAGCTTTGCCAGCGAAAGCCTCCGTCAACCAAATCCTTGAGGACTTCACAGCGGAAGAGAAGCCAAAGCGTACAAGCTCAGCTGATCTTGATGTCCTGGAGGAAGTGATAATGGGCATCAAAGAATACTTCGATAAGGCTTTGGACAAGATTCTCCTATACAGATTTGAGCGCGAACAGTACAAAGCGCTCCGCAAGAATTGGGAGTCAGGATCCGGGGACTTTGCAGCGAAAGGTCCCCTGGATATCTATGGGGCGGAGCATCTAACGAGACTTTTCGGTATGTTTCCTACGTGTTGTTATGCGGTGTTATATCACTAACTCGATTCTTCTAGCCACGATGCCTGAACTCATCGCGCAGACCAATATGGACCTGCAGTCGACAAACAGACTCCGAGAAGAGCTGTCTAAATTCACTCTCTGGCTGAGTAAAAACTCAGACAAGTATTTTGCCACGAGATATATGACCGCGAACAATGAATACGTCGAGAAATCAAGGGGCAATCCAAATCCAGCCCCTGCTACTGCTCCGACGAAACTCGTTTGAGGTGGATGATGTTTGTTGTGTCGTGTCAAGGTGCCTTATGGCACAAAGGAAGCAAGGTATGTCTGGCTCGGCTTTGTTTGCTTGCTGCCTCTCGAAAGGTACCGCGTTTGCTCGGATCAAAGAATGAACGATAATCGGTTATGGACATCGGTTGGTTTCTTGTTTTGGGCTTGTATCATTAGATCTAGGACTGGCGTTGCACCTGGGATATGTCGCCCCTTTGCGTCTAGTTTTGAAGGATAGCGGAAAGCTTGTAGGAGCGAGGTTCTATAATATTTTCACACAAATATGGCTTGCCTTTGTATTCATATTGTACGAGATCACATCTCTTCGCCAGGTATCTACAATTTTATCAAGGTACCAATCCAGGTATCGCGATTACCATCCAAGACGCAAAGAAGCGCACAGTAGAGCTCTACGCAACCAACTGTCTAGCATCCTCAACTGCGCATCTTGCCGCCCGCTTCAGCTCCGTCTTCCAGTCCGTTTCGCGCCATCGCGTCCACGCACTCAGCCCTTCTGGTGGTTGAATACTCAGCGTATCATAGCCCTGTTTGATGATGCGATGAACTTCCCGCGGTGAAAGATTTTTCTTCCGAGCCGCCGGGATCGGTGTAGCCTCGCCGTCCGTTTTGGCGCCCGCGTCAACATTCTTGTCTGGATTGAAGAGGAGAGTGTAGAAGTGGGTTGAAACGGAGATCAAGGTGTCGATAGCGGCGATGTGGATGTCCTTGCTGGTGGATATTGTGGGATCGGGAATCTTCGACGTAGATGAGGTGGGGTGTTTGAGGCAGTAGACGTCGCGGAACTTGGTGATGATGGGGCCTGTTTCGACCAGCTTGTAGAACAAGTCGTCGTAAGACGCTGGGTCCGGGAGGAAGGTATCGCCTGCGGAGACACAGAATGCCACCAGGTCTACGAGCGAGGTCGCAAGAGTTTCGGTGTTGGGAATGCTGGACAGATCGGATGCGTAGGTGGTCAGGAACCGCATCAGGGAGAGCAAGGTGCGCCAGAGTTCCGACCAATGGTATGATAAGCGGATTTTGTTCATCGAAAGATAAGTGAGTAGTCGAAGGAGAATGGCGATGGAGTGACTGGAAAGGTTGCACGCTAGGGTTAGCTTGGTACGAGCTGATAGTCAAAAGATGAGTCCGCTTGCCTATAGATGTTGGCATCAAGGCGACGCCGGAGGTTATGAGAAATCGTATCAATCATAATGTCGAAGATGACTGTTGCAAGAACTCGCTCCTCTGTAACCAACGGAAGATACGGCTGCCTTTGCCGGCAAAGGCGCACTTTCCTTTTCTCTGTGTCGCTGCAGAGCTGCTTACATAGCGATGAGTCTTCTGAAAGGATTCGGAGAGTAAAGAGGTTGAGCTCTGCATAGTGCGAAACCCGAGGAGTCCGGTAGGCATGCTGCAATATATAACTGGTTACGGATAGAAAGCTCGCAAATGGAGACTCCTCACTCTCCTTATCAGGCGATGAGTTGATAAGATGGTGACCAAAGAGTTTATTCGCGTTGGCAAAGTCGTACGTAGGTAGTAAAATTGCTGCTTGTTGAGCTGGCCTGGTTCCCGTTAGCCTGAGAGACTTCGAGGTGTTGACTCGCGGCTTGAAAAGGCTTACAGAGCTGCGAACATCTCCTTCGCTTCCTCCGCGTTCGACGCATTAGGCTTACTTCTTGCACCTGGAGTGAGTCTCCCAAGTCCGAAGAAGACCAAAGTGTTGGTCAGCGTCCAGCCTTCAGGGGCATCGTCCTGCACCGCAATATAGCCATTCCTCAAGGCGGTGCAGGAAAGACCCACTCCCTTGACGATTTTTTGAATACTCGACTCGTTGACAAAGTCATCGAGACGCAGCTGGTAGGGATTTTGAAACTCGAACCTGTTGTAGTTCGCCAATAACCCAAGAAGAAGAAATGGCTCGAATATCTGGATAGGGATATCCGTTTCATTCACAAACTTCTCTGGGTGTTAGCTATAACTACTCTTGAGAAGAAGTCGGGAGGTATGGAGTGTTCGAGCAATCAGACCTTCATTAATGATGGGAACAGATCCCTATGTGTGAAGTAGGAGACAAGACTAGTCTTGTAGGCTCCACTGGTCAGAGCGATGGCTGCTCGAATTGCTTTGACGCGGAATTCAACTGAGCAATGGTTAAAATACACGGCTAGATATGGGGGAAGCAATTATTTCTAGAGCACTCACGGCTGCCTCCATTGCGAATGATACCATCAAGAACAGCGACAAGGTTCGAAATAACGTGGTCAACCTCATCGAGTCCGGCTAGGATGGTGATCACATCAGAGCTAGGATTGGTGTATTTCTTTTTCAACACACAAGCTAGAAAGACCGTCAAGGTCTGGTCAATTCTTTAGAGATTGAAGAGCCACATGTGCACTCGGGGCGCTGACCTCTAACGCATAAGCATTGACGGGGCTAACCCCAGAGTCGGCCTCCTTTATGGCCCGAACAAAAAGCTGCTGTGTTTGAGACTGATGGAGAGTTAGCGAGCGCATTCATGGGGATTTCATCTCGATTATGCTTCAATACCTGCAAATGAAGAGTCTCGTCGGCACCTAGTTGGTCTAGAATAGATGCAAGTTGAGGCCGATCAGGCGGCAACAAAAAGAACTCTCTCCAAAATCCTTCAGATGGTTCCGTAAAATCTGAAGCCTATGATTTACATCGTTAGTATAAACGATGAGCGAATTTGCCGACATGGACATACTTGGAAGAGGTTCTCGTATAGTTGCACGATCTTGGGCTTGAAAGTCGCCGGTCTACTTTGCTGGGTTAGGGGGGATTCCATGGTTGTTTAAACACAAGACTTGACGATCTGCGAAAAATGCAAGATCATTGCAGCAATACAGGGGGGTTCAGGACAGAACAAGCGATCTGGAAAGATTGATGTTTCAAGAATCTAAAACCATATAGACAATAATAACTGGAACCTGTAACACGATTGAAGCACAGGTGGTCAAGGCCATAATCATCACTCCCATGAGGCCAAGTATGGCCCGCCCAACCAATAGCACCAGCCACACCCAGTTGTCAATAGTACAAGCCACATCTCATCTAAAACTCTTTCGAGATGCTATTAATTGATCCTTTTGATATTGGTCCTGAAGAATCCGACATATCTTGTTTATTGCATTTGACCCAGGATATACAGAGGTAAATTACTCCATATACGTATTACCTTGACCAAGTTGACCTTTGGGACTGTCTGGATTACTACTACGAATCAAACATTTATTATTATTATCCGCATCTTCAAGTCTGAACCGGCCGAAAGCGATTCAATCAAAGTATCAGCGGTGATAACAAGCACATATCACCGACAGAACTAGTGGTCCCTTAAAAAAACTTTACTCCGTAGACCATCAACTTCAGAGTCTGGAGCACCACTGGGGGTTCTTTGAGGCTTTGACCCGTTCAGAATTATTGAGGCTAACACTTACACTTACGGAGTACACACCACAACTCAGGCTGAGGTGGATTCGGTCACCTGACTTAGAGTGGCGCCACCTCCAGACTGACTGAATGTGTAGAAACACCTCAACACTGATTGGCTCAAAGCTGCATAATCCATGCCAGTCTTTGCCGAGCCGCCGACTCTTTTCCGCCGACTCGATCTCCATCACTGATGACTCTTTCGCTTCTCAAACAGCAATACTACCGCTATTTCATGAGAACATATCCTACTCTTGCTCTTCTCTCAGTAATAGAGCGTACGCATCTTTATTCTTCAATATAGACTCGTCCATCATGTCCCTATACAAGGTTGCCATGCATTCTCCAGTGACATCATCCGCCACGATGTTGCGTTGTGCGAGCAAGCCATTCAATACACGATGCGCGCAAGCAGCTCGCAGCTTTTCCTCGCTTGGTAGCACATATCGGTCATCGAAGCGTGATATGCAGACCGCCACTGCATACCGTCCTCATACTCTGCCGGCCTCGTTTCCTCCCCTCTCCCGAAGTGCCGGCACTCCAGACACCTCGATCGCTGCCGAATTTCCGCCTATGTCCAATACCACGCTTAACAAGCAAGACCGGAATGGATCCTTCTCGAACGTGAGCCTTCGGGAACAGGAAGCTCAGAAGTCCAGACCGGCAGCAACCCCGTCGCTCACGGGCTCGAAATCCGCAGAAAAGCCCCGAAGAAAGTTACGGGCGAGGAAGGCTGCTATGAAGTTGACACCGATTGCAGTAGAGCAACTACACAAGCTTCTGTCACAGCCGGATCCTAAATTCATTCGCGTGGGCGTCAAGAATCGCGGTTGTTCGGGGCTCGCTTACCACCTTGAGTATGTGGATAAGCCTGGCGCTTTTGACGAGGTCGTGGAGCAAGACGGTGTAAAGGTCTTGATCGATAGCAAGGCTCTGTTCAGCATCATCGGCAGCGAAATGGACTGGCAAGAGGACAAGCTCAGCCGAAAGTTCATCTTCCGCAATCCTAACATCAGTAAGTTGCCAGTTCCCCGTCCTGTGCTGTATCTACAGTTCAGCTAACGTCTCTTCGCAGAGGAGCAATGCGGATGCGGTGAATCATTTATGGTTTAGATGGCATATCTAAATTCCTTTTCTTTCATCTGCAAATTATCACGGATCACATTTACGGTGCATTGGATGGCGTTAATACGGCTGGCTTTTCGCTTTTGCTCTTCTATTCGATGCTGGGTTCGTCCCATATGATTCCCGGGCTTGTGGCTCACCCTCTCTTCGATTTATATGCTCTCATTTTGCCACACCTTCTGTTGGAAGCTGGGTTCTACGTGCCTTTACGAGGTCAACCATTGACACGCAAGAATACTCGTTGATATATGAGTGAGATCTCATTAGTCCTTATTTTCTTCCTCCTTCCTCGGGATAATTCCCCGTTGGAATACGCAAAACCGTCGGTGTTCTACTGTGTTGTACATAGATAGCTTTAGCCAAAACATAGAACAGATTTGAAACAGTTTAGTGTCGCTTTGCTGTCTACCGCCGTGTTATTATGTAGTAGCTGATATATCACGTGGGATAGCGGGAAGCGGTAATCCACTGATAGTCGTCATCTCACTCCATCACTTTAGTTGCCCTTTCTCGCCAGGCAGTACTAAATGATACAAACAGGAATGGAGAAACGTAACACATTTTATTTATGATTCTGCTAGATCGAAGTTGATAATTTGCACATTCTAGATCCCTTCCTTACCAGGCATACAAGCGACAATGACTTCTCCCTCATTTCTAACCCCAGACTCTATATTGGACAGAGATACCGCCGCTGAACCACTTTTCCTCACGATTCGCTTCTCCGCATCGATCCCCGATCTTCCTCTAGATGTCCTATCCCCGGATGTTACCACGGCCGCTGGCCTAAAACAATTAATCCGAACTCGTCTTCCTCGCGATCTCTCGTCACACCGTCTGCGTCTGATCTATGCTGGTCGTGGTCTTGAAGATGCCACACCCCTCAGCGCCTCGCTCAAGCTCCCTCCTTCGCCTTCCAGGACCCCCATCCCGCAGGAAGATGTCGCCGCTGCGAAGGGGAAAGGGAAGGCGCCCGTCCGAGAGCAGCCTCGGCTCTATGTCCACTGCTCGATAGGCGACATCGTTCTATCCGATGCCGATCTCGCGGCCGAGGCTGCTATAGCTACAACGCTGCAGCAGGAGCAGGGGCAGGAGCAGGAGCAACCAGATGATTTCTCTTTTTCGAAGAAAGGGAAGCAGCATCAGCGGCAACCGTCACCGCTGCGGTCTACAACGTCTGCTCCGCGCGGTTTCGACCGCCTACTCTCGGCTGGGTTTACTCCCGCTGAGGTGTCGGCGCTGCGTTCGCAGTTCATGGCTATTCAGTCTGTATCTCGGACACCGGATACTATGCCGACTGGGGCGGAGCTGCGCGAGCTGGAAGATCGGTGGATGGACGAGGGGTCGACATCTATGGGTGCCGGGTTGGGAGGTGGAGGGGAAGGAGCGTCCTTTGCAGATGATGATGGCGGGTTCGGGGCCGGTTCCCGTGGCGCTATGGACGATATGCTCTGGGGTGCTGTGATGGGGTTTTTCTGGCCTGTGGGCTGTGCGATGTGGCTGCGGAGAGAGGAGGGCGTCTGGAGCTGGCGGAAGGGACTCGCAGTCTTTGTGGGTGTGGTCGTCAATGTTGCATTTGGGGCTATGCGGATTATGAACTAAACCTCTTCTCGTCTAAAACCAGTTGGCGGTCTGGATTTCCCTCGTTCTTTTTGTTATTAATGATACCCTTGTGCTCGAAGATTGATTGCATTGAGCGACTAATTTGAAGACGTTGGCTATATATGCAACATGCTGGGTTCTTATTAAGATGGCGGATGCTATCATACAACGATTCATAGGCAAGGGTGTCCGGAAGCAGACACAGAGAAGTCGTAAAGAAGAGAATTGAGAGAAAACGTCATAACAACGCCAGCCCCAAGATCCAACGCTCAATGGAATTTGCTGTAAATGACAGCGAAAATCAACAGAACCAAAACAGTAATGATCGCAATCGTGATTATCCGATTCGTAGCCATCCTATAGCACGAAGAAGGGTCAGCGTCAGCAAACCGGAATCAAGATTCCCAAGTGCTTTAATGGGCGTCATTACCTACGGGCCATGCCCCTCAGTGTCTTGATGCTCGTGTCCACGTATCCCTCACTCTGCTGCAGTCCAGTCCGTGCATGCTCGATGGTTTGCCGCTGCTGGTACAAGTCGGCCAGCGTATTGCGGCCAATGTCCTCCGTTTCAAGCGCAATTCGCTGGCTCTCTTGCAGTCGGGCAGAGCTTCGCTCTAGCCGCTCCGTGCCGGAAAGAAGTTGCTGTCTTTGCTCCAGGTGTTCATCTTGCGGCTCGTCTGTGTAGCGGTCGCCGAAGAGCGCCCTCCGGTCATCGGAAAGGGATTTGAGTTTCCGCTTCGCTTCGTCGATATCGGTGGCATAGTTGCGGAAACGGATGTTGACTTTTGATCGAGCGGCTGAGGGAATGTTCTGCTTCTCCATGCGCATTTGATCGAGCTGTACATGTCCAGCGCGGGACGACGGATATTAGCCCGCAATTGAGGACGTCTAGAATATACATCAAGGTGGGACTAACCAATTCACCCGCCTCGTCCAGAGCCCGCTCAGCCTGTCTGATTGCGGACTTTCGTTGCTCTCCACTCGACTCTGCAATCTGGTCCAGCTTCTGGCTCAAATCGGCCTGTACTAACTTCAGCTCTGTCTCGTAGCTGCTGAACAGCTCGGAGCCGGCATCGGTATCTAGCGGGTTTGACATCTTGACGGTGAACGAGTGGTTCAACACAAAAGATTGACTGGGCGTATCTGAATCGATTCAAGAGCAATAGACTTGGTGCAATGAGCGGGCAAATGTCGTTGATAAGCCGGCTGCGATGGGTCTTTCCCGCCTTATCTTCGTGGCGGGTCCCTTGTGACTGAAGATGGATGAAAGTGGCTGCCTTGCGAACGGAAACGGTTGCGAGTCAAAGACCGATATTGCTCGATCTGCAGTTGGAAACACACGATATCGATATAGTACTAGAATGACGCCTAATAAAACAGAAGCAACGATGCGGAGTATCTAAGAGGCTGGAGATGGCGACTACTACGATGACGAAGGTACACTGTTCGGTGATTAGCCTCATGCCAGCCATCAATGAACACGTGACGCTGGCCGAGGGCTGGGAATGGGATAGTAAATCAATTGTAGTGAGGAATTTGGGTTCTACACTCAATACTCTGTTGATGGACTAAAATATAGCTATGCCGTCTCGGTCCTTGTCTGTCCCTGAAAGTAGCTTATTCTCCCTGATCGCTATTGTAATGAGTAATCTTCTGTTCTCAGTTCAGTACGTATCGATTTGCTGACTCATCCTTTATTGTTCCAAGTGATACCATCTGGCATCTGACGGGGTCACACATCGATTCACTTCCAAGAGGAGAAGCTGGCAGGTACAGCAACACATGGCGAATAGTACTCACTGATCTGCTGTCCTATCGGGATAAATATAGCTCCTATAGGGCTCTCCTGCAGCTGCGGACCTCTGTTCAATGACGTATCATCGTCAGGTGTGGGAACGAAGCTCGTGGACGATCCTGGCCATGGACTATAAGAGCTGAACTTCCGAGGCTCTAAGAGTCACATTCTTTCTGCCGTCAGCGAGCACATGAGTGCGACTAACTCTGTGCCATTCATGTGGCTCCCACTATCTCTGTTCGAGGTGGGAATACACCCATATACGACTCAACCTTGACCACACAGTTTCACAACCTAGATTCGCTGCATTGAGGCAGGGACTACAGAATCGATAAACTATGATTATCGATTCTTACGAATCCTTAATTGTTGAATTGCACCATGTCTTCTGCGCAGAGCAAAGGCGTCGCCATCGGAGGAGGAGGATGCGCTGGGGTCACTGCACTCTATGCATTGCAGAGGTCTCCGCATGATGTACATCTTTTCGAGGCCTCGCATAGTCTTGGTGGACGTATGAAGACGATATCAATCGAATTTAATGGGAATCGAGGTGAGCTGGATAAGGAAACTCCGATTCTCAATGCCACGGCTTCTCGTCAGTGTATTCTGCCGTGAGATCAACCTCGAGTCTAATGATAATTAGCTAATCTTGCTTCTCTTCTTCGCTATCTGCGAATCTCCGTGTCTGCAACTTCCATGCAATTCGAGGTGACTGATGGCATTCGCTCGGCGCGATGGAGTAGTAATTTGCTGAGAGATCTTGCCCGTCACCCAGCGCTTCTCCTCAACCTAGATACATGGCGCATGTTACTTGATATTCTGCGGCTAAAGTATATGAGCGTGGACCTACCGTATAACAGGCGTATGGGCAGGGGGAACGAGGTGTTCGGTGTGGAATCAATCCCCGTCACTACTTCACACGTGAGGGATACTCGAATACCTTCTACACGAACTCTTTGTTGCCACTGCTATCGACTCTCTGGGGTAGTAATGCAAGCAAGATATTGGAATCGATATCTCTCAAGGCCTTTTTTTTGCAGCCTCGCTATTCACGGAGCGCTTTGTGCTCCACAGTGCCAGCTAGAATGGCGGCGCATCGATGAGGGAGCTCATCACTTGATCCAGGTCATGGCCGAGAGTTTCTCATTCGAAAAAGTACACCTTCGAACGAGAGTGCAACGGTTATCTCAGGGGACGGAGAGTCAGTTTGTATTGCTAACACACGATGGGCAAGAAAAACATTTCGACCACGTCATTTTTTGCCATCCCTGGAAATGAGATTCTTGGGCTCTCAGGCGCAAGCCTCACAAGCCATGAAAAAGAGATTCTGCATAAATTAAAAACAGCAAGACATATTGCGGTCCTTCATTCCGATTCATCTGTGAGTTGCGCATCCCCAAAGAAGATTTATGATCATACCGTCACCTCGAGGATACTAACAACTCTGTCTCAGAGCATGTCTAAAAACGATCAGTCATGGGCCGCCAGTAGTTCCCTCGCAACAACTAAGAATGCTTCTCGAGATTGCCCTGAACACTTTACTGGCCACTTTTCGTCGCTCAACTCATGCATTAGCCATGTCGTAGATACCCAGCAGTGTGACCGACTAGGGCTTCGTGACCCGTTGCGAATCACTCTGAATCCATTTACTCCACCGGATCCGCGACTTGTCCAAGGAATATGGGAATTCACCGACCAGGAAATCAGCGCTAGCACGTTACGAGCGCAGAGCCTTCTGCCTTCTATCCAAAACAGGCGCGGTTTGAGCTTCTGTCTTCATTGGACGGGAAGAGGGTTTCTCGAGGACGCGGTCACCTGCGGTCTTACCACTGCGGTTGAACATCTCGGAGCCGAGATGCCATTTGATTTGGAGGTCCATCAAGATCCGTTGGACGCGGATGAACTGCTGCGATTGGACTTGAGCCTGACAGATCATCTCATTCGGACTATACTCAGTCTGATGCGTTTTTACGTCCTCGTCATTGAAATTGTGTTGCTTCTGTTGGGTTCGTTGCGACGATCTGTGCTCAAATCGCGATTCCACCTATGGTTGAAGTTGAGAAAGATGAGAACATGACACGCCTTAGTTTTGTGCTCTACTTTGTGCAAATACCGGCAAGATCCAGTAAGCCAAAAACTCTACAGCTATACAATTTGATATGGTTTGACATACTACGTGAAGATGATGTTTTATCACTGAACAGCTTGTAAAAGTGTCATTTCCATTACGTTACATGAATTTGCAAATCGACTATAGTGTACATCTTCAGGTGACTTTGTGAAAATGCGCTACATGTCGAATTCCTCCGCTTATACCTAGTCCATTAAATTATAAAAGGAACTTGTCACTATCCTGGCTGACAATGGCGGCACTTCTCTTTGCGTCGAGGAAAAGATCCTCGCACTCTGCAACATCCGCCTCTTCAATGCCTCCTGGTCGTCCGTTTACGCGCGCAAGAATGCTGGCGGGAGTGAGCAACTGCAGAGCATACCGCAAGCTAACCTTGCTGCCATGCTCCGCAACCTTGTCGAGAGCTGGGTCTGTGATGTTAAGACCTTCTGTCTTGGCACGCAAGCGAACAATCGTCTTGATCTCGTCGGGGGAGTAAGCATGGGTAGGAACGATGAGGAGACGAGCAAGCAGATCCGGAGGAACTCCATGAGCGGCAGTGACGTCGTCGGTGCCGCGGATCACGGTGTGGCCCCGGTTGGAGGCAAGGATGACGATAGGGGAGATACTAGACTCGAGAGCGCGGTTGAGATAGGTAAAGCATTCGATATCAAGCATATGAACCTAAGGTGTGTCAGCAGGAGTACAGCATAGACGAAAGAATGAATAGAAGTACCTCGTCGATGAAGAGAACTCCAGGAACGAGCTCAGCAACACCCTGATCGATGTATCTGTTGACGACTTTGTTGATCTCCTGGCGCAGCTTGTCCGTGATTTCTGTCTTCTTAGGCTTCATGAGCTGTCCCATCATGCTCATTACATCCTGTCCGCCCTGTGGCCGTGCATTGGCCATGTCCAGATCGTGTAGCGTCACATCTTGCACGATTTCCTTCTTCTTGTGTACTTCTCCCTTCGGTACGGGAACGTATTCCTCTGCTTCAAGGTCAAACTCGGTCGCATATGCGTCAGATCGTCCAACTCTCTTGCAAGCGCCGGTATTCGCCTCGATATAGATGACATCTCCAACAGTGACACGCTCTTTTTGAATGGCTTCGTAGATGCTAGGGTCCAGGCGCAGCTTCTTGGTGCCTTTAGCCGACTTCAGACCGATGATCAAATGGCTGATTGTACGCCCGTAGCCCCCGAGAGGATTTTCAGTTTCCTCGGGCGTAAGCTCTGTGACTTCACCTTCGTACACCTCCTTCGTTTCGCGAACTCGTAAGCCTGTCCCATGTTAGACTTGTGGAGAGACTCTCATATCGAATACGTAAATCATACCAATCGCTCTGCGGAAGTTTTCCATAAGTGCCTCGGTTTTTTTGACCTCAGCAGAGTATATCTCACTACCAACGATCGGGCAGAATGGCACCTTGGTACCCAGCTCTTGTGATACAGCCAGAGCAAGCGCTGTCTTTCCGGTTCCTGGTCCACCTGCAAGCAGAACGGCACGTCCTGCCATTTTCTTCGCCTTGATCAGATCTACCACGACACCGCACGCCTATGCATAATCAAACCCCGTTAGTTCACGATCAGATCGCATCGTCAGAAGGAAATCTTGAGAAGGGGCGCACCTCGCGGGCAGATGCCTGTCCAACAAATCCATCGGCAGTTTGCTCAGCAGTACCATCTGGACGCAACCCAAGGCCCTTGATATGAGTGTGTGCAGCTGTCCTATTCTCGCGCGAATTGCCCTTCACTTCGCTGATCTGAACCATGGCGCAAAAATCGTGGCTTCAATGGAAGCCAAGAAGTAATCTGGATGAGGTTTCGAGAGCAAATATAAGTGTGTTCAAGAATAAAAAGTGAAAGAAAATGCAAAATGCTAGAAAAGAGAAGCTATATGAAAAGAATCAATGCTTCTTAGTCCAGAGTGGTGATGTCTCTGGCCGAAATTCCAACGCGCAGTTGAAAGGAATCGAGCAATGATAGCGATGGGTTGCCAAGGCGGTCAGCCTCCAACAGAACTACCCAAATTCTTTCCGCTTCCTGAGCATGATTGCTATGAGTGGATCGGTATCTTGACTACGATCATTTTTCGTGCAGGCCGTTTGCCGGCATCTTCTCACCTGTTCCTCTCACCTACTCTGCCTTTGCTACTATTGTTTTCATAACTCTTGCTATCGCAATGGCAGGACTCCAAAGTCGCTCCGCCATGACCCTCCCCTGCACCCTCTCCGCGGCTTTTCGCAATCTCTCGTTAGCGATCCCCAAACGCTCGTTTTCTACGACACCGGCCACGCAGAAGATCAAAAAATTACCGGATTATATTCCTCCTTATCCTTATGGACCCAACTACATTTTCAAACAATCGAATACCGGTCTGTACGGTGGTGCCATGATCCAGTTTGGAAACAAGATCTCAAAGGGTCGGAACGAGGGTAAAACTCGGCGGTCCTGGAAGCCAAACGTTAGACGGAAGAAGCTCTGGAGCGAAGCTCTCGGAGAATTTCTCTTTATCAAAGTCACGCGTAAGGCTTTGCGAACAATCTGGAAATCTGGCGGTCTCGACAACTACCTTTTGGATGATCGGCCCGGCCGCATCAAGGAGCTCGGCATGTTCGGCTGGGAGTTGAGATGGAAAGTGATGCAGACACCAAAGATCCAGGAGCAGTTCAGGGAAGAGAGGAAACGTCTAGGTCTTCCCGAACCACCCTCGTTCGAGGAGTGGGTGCAGCAAAAAGAGGCGGAGATCAAAGCCAAGGTGGAGGAGGAGACCAATATTAAAGAGGCTACGAAACCAATATACAACGAGAAATTGTACTAGACGAAAGCAAGATGCGGATGGGAGTTTTCTGATACTGCATAACATCGACAGTCGATTCGTTTTATATTGCGTTGGCCAAGGATTGGGCGTCATGTACTATTATCTTCGATTATTTTCTGGCATCGCATTGTGCACCACTGCACAGAGGCGTCGGGAGACAGCTTGTTTACCAACGATTTTATTTTGTATTATACTGCTACCAATCCAATCATGTTTGGGCCATTCAGGAATCAAAACACCTAGGAGGATAAATGCAATGGAACAATGAAATATATATATCGTGTTGAACAACACAACAATTGCGGAACACCGCATTGGCGCGGCAGTCCTCGGATATCATTCCTATGATTCGTCTCAATGATAAGAGCTGACATCGTATTATTTTAACAATGTCCACATTTTGCTCAATGAAACTCTAGCATATTGATATAGGTCCAGATTGCGACTGGAATGTACCTGATGAAATGTATCGGACCAACGATGATCCGCAACTAATTTCCGGATTCGGCAGATTGGCCACCTCCAGGTACAACCATGCAATCTACAAAGCTCGTCCATCCTTAATGGAGCGCATGCTCCTAGAATGTCCTCGTTGAATGCTATCCTGACATTTTCTTAGTCGCCCGACTAGTCAGTCGCTGGGGACAAATAATCTATCCGCAATGCAGTTCGCTCTGCCTCCTAGGAGGAATCCGCATACTTCTTCATATGCCCGCTCTCCCAGACTCTCATTACAGCGCAGGAAGCAACTCAAGGCCGCTGCCATTCTAGGCCTTGCGCTCGTCACGATCTTTTTTCTCCTCACATATCTGTCCAGCTCCAGCGCAGCGTCTATATCTGTCTCTACTGGGACGTCAAGTGTTGTCATTGTGACGGTTCTAGACCGGGCCCGCTTTAGCGATGATTACGTCCAGAAGATCATTAAGAACAGAGAGGATTATGCGAGCCGACACGGTAAGCGAACCGCGAGATGCGCTACCACACCTCTCCCCGGCAACTGACCTCCACTTGTCCATCTACAGGCTATATCAATTTCTTCGCATCTGTCTCCGACTATGACGCCGCCCTGGACAACGCTCCGCGGAGCTGGGCGATAGTCCCAGCGATTCGCCATGCGATGGCATCTCACCCTCGCGCGGCCTACTTCTTCCACTTGGATCCCCATGCCCTGATCATGAACCCTAGCAAGTCTCTGGAGTCCCATGTTCTCGAGAAGAACCGGCTTCAATCATTAATGCTCAAGGAGACTCCTGTGGTGCCGCCGGATAGCATCATCAAGACCTTCTCGCATCTGAAGCCAGATGACGTCGATCTCATCATGAGCACGGATAGCGAGGATCTCAACCCGGGTAGTTTGTTGCTTCGACAGGGTGAATTTGCGCGGTTCTTCCTTGACCTCTGGTTCGAGCCTTTGTATCGGAAATACAACTTTCAGAAAGCTGAGATGCATGCTTTGGTAAGGACTGCCCTATGTGATGTTTTACATGCTTGCTAGGAAGACCACTGACTTGCCCAATCTTCAAGGACCATATCATTCAATGGCACCCGACCGTTCTTGCAAGGTTGGCACTGGTTCCTCAACGCATTATGAATGCTTACAGCAAAGATTCTTCAACTGCCTCTGTAGACGGCACCTACAAGGATGGAGACTTGATCATTCGATTCTTTGGATGCGATTCCGACCCCAAGCGCAACTGTGAGAAGGAGATGGATCCATACTACAACCTATGGGCTAAGAAATTGAAGAGTGGATAAGCTGCCTCTCTTCCTGGGCGGTACTAAATCACAAGTCTTGCGTAGTTTTTTTCATTTAAGTTGAGATTGGTGTTTTGGGACTGGGAAGGATCTTTTATTCGTGGCGTCTTTTCTTTCGATCGCCAACCTTGTATGATAGCAAGTTGTCTCGTTCATCAATCATGAAACCTGATATACACAATTAAGAAAATTCCTACCGAATCAGGTGGGCATACGGGTGTCTTGCGCCCCTGAAGATGGGAACTTCTGCCTCAGTATTGTTCCTCTTGACGAGCACTTCCAGTGATGCCGATAACATAACAATGAAAGGTCGGCTGAAAATAGAATTTCAAGCTTCTCAAATCCGCTGCCATATCTCTGCAGGGTTGAGTCTATTCATGATAGGGTTGGTCCATCTCCCGAATCGCATCTAGAAGATGCCGGGAAGGAGGACTGACCTCTTGCGCTTATACTTGTCACCGAACTCCTTGCGATACCGACGCTCCTTCTTGGCTGCCCAGCTAGCCATCTGCGCACCGCCAACGGCGATGAACAAGAGCACGCTCCAGCTCAGTCCGCTGACCAGGTAGACACCAAGCCAGGCAATGATCTCGAAGAGGTAATTGGGGCAGGTCACCAAGTTGAAACCGAAGCCGGACGGGATACCTCGCTCGGTGGTACCGGGCCGCCGCAGACCGCGCAGCACCAGGTGCGTGTTCAGGTTGGCCAGTTCACCGAAGACGAAGAGGGCGAGACCGCTGTAGAGGAGCGCCAGATTGGGTTTGCTGGTGGCAGCCGAAGCGTCTGGGCGGAAGACCCAGTACGCGATGTTGAAGCCGGCCAGGACCCAGTAGTGGGCGCTGTTCTTGAAGATGTTGCGGGCGGGCATTGTGGCATTGCTGAATCGGTGGATGAAGATCGTCTCGAGCTCGCGCTTTGCGAAGTGGATGCTCAAAAGGCCACAGACGAGTAACTGCAGGTCGGAAGGTTCGGGAAGGGGTTGGTCAAAGTTATAGTAGATGTATGGGCGCAGAGGGAACAGGAAGAGAGCAGGGATGAGAAGGGGGCCGAGATATTCGATGATGAAGACGGTGCGCCAAGCGATTTGAGGACCTGAACGTGTGTTAGCTCTCATCGTCATTAAGGGAAATGTCTTATCACCCGCTTTACGTACCTAAATCCTTGACATGAACCACACTCTGATTCTTGAGTCCGATATCATCGACACTGGTCGCTTTCGAGTTAGGAACAACTGTGCGGTCGCTCCCCTTGGTAATTCTCAAACGGTGAACGGAGAATCCCGAGGCATTGGCCAGGGCGTCATAGATCTCCTGGGTGGTAGCATTGGGGCCGATTTGAAGTTCTTTCGGGAGCTTCCTGATGGGTTTTCCTGTAGCAGAATCAGTGATCTGTATACTCTTCGATAAGTGTCGAACGTCAAGTGATGCAAATGCTGCGGTGGTCGTACCTCGAGGCTGAACCACCAATGTGATGGTTGTCGACGCCATGATAACTGAGCTTCCTAAGTATCTTTCGCAATTGTCTAGCAATGACGGGTGTATTTTATGATCAATTGAGAGAGGAGCGACAATGGCCACAGAAAGAGAGGAAGCTAAGAAATCACCGACGATTGATGAATGATGATGATGATCCAACAAAAATTCACCCCAACAAACAGACTAGTTGATCCACTGCCCGCATGTTCAAACACCTCGGCACATGGCACATCACGTGATATAAGACCGATATGGTTGGGATTCGTGAATCGTGATGATGGACATCCAGAAGTCCAGCGAAGAGTCTGAGGTAGCAGAGAAGTTCGAATTGGCTGTGGATTGATGCTGGAGCATATGCATTGACTTGGCATCTCAACATCAAAACGAAGTATACCGTTTGGTGAAGGCATATTAACTAGGTACATTGGAAACTTCCCTACCACGGGGATTTTGCTTCGACCAAGCCTTTGACCACCATGATTCCGCTCGTTTCATTGCTCCATATCGATCATCCAGGACTTTTTTTATGTTCGCCGGAGCAAACATATGAGGACTTGGATGCACTTCTCGAGGGATCTAATTGGGAATGAATGATTCCCACTTCGTTCTTTGTATTATATAGAGGACTCTAGTTTACTCTACTTCCGTACAGTAATAATTGATTACCCAGATTTCCAGACCCCAAATCCCAAATGTGCCCAGTCCGCTGCGAGGCTGTGCTCACTAGATAAATAGATAGTGTGCACGACTCGTAATGGTGTACTCCGTAGTATCAGCATATATTGGAGGTGTCAGCGCCGACTGAAAAGTCCACTCATCCACCGTCCACCACTCCATCACAAACTCAGCCAGCCTTGTTGTTAATTCTTAGTTCCAGATCTAGGGGACAGGGGGAGACTAACTAACTCGAGTCTCTCGAAAAATCTAGTTGCATTTTAGCGGTATGAAAGCTCACACCGTCTGTCGGCAGCAGTAGCCATTCCTAGTCGGCTAATATGTAGTGGGCTTGGCAGCCCTTGAGCAACCTATGAGCTGCATCACGACTCACAAGGCGGACTGCTGACAGCACTTGTCAGTTGTCACAGCTTACCTTACCTCCGAGTCTCCGGGTTCTCGCCAATAACCGTTTTATTTTTCCTCGACCAGTCACGTTAGTTGATTATCATCCCATTCCATTTGATTGCGAACTCTCCAGAGTCCAGTGTCACCACCCGAGCTGAAGCCCACCAGGACGCAGATCACCCGGACAGTCTTTCCCAGAACCAAGGGGATGGATGACTGTGGGCTCTGGAGCTTCCAGTTCCGGGCGACCTCCAGCAGCAATCAAGGAATCAAATGAATCACCGTGGGAATGTCCACATTTTCTGGCCAGAGTTTTATGCTCATAGAGTCATAGTTAATCATGGATGATGGATCGTACTTTGCATAAGCCACTAATCAGGTACTAGGGCATCTCCGAAAGGTTATGCAGCTCAATGCGTTCTGATAATCAACCTTTCGGCTATTCCGCTCTCCAAATTGCTGCAGCTGCGCCATTGATCATGGTCTGGACTATTTTCTCAGCCATGGGCAGCGACTCGAGCTGAAAAGCCAATCTTAGCTAGTCTTCTAGCGCTTGCACGAATCAGAATGCCATCCCGCGCACATAGTTCTGTGGGGCGTTGATTTGCCCGCAGAGATGGCTAAGTATGATGATAATTATGGAGATGATGATTGCTGACTCTCTTCACTCTTGGGTCATGAGCGAGGCTCCTTCAGCCGCAATTTCCCCCCCCTTCCCCTCCCCCCATAAAATGGTGCTGGCAGCCGGGCACTGTTTGGTTGTTCAAGGGCTGAAATTATAGTGTGAGATAATCCCATACTTATTCCACTCTTGCCCCCAGAATTCCTGTGTTCACAGACCATATACCTCTTTTGTCCTATACGTTGACTTGGACATACCAGAGTCGTCTCTGTATGTCTCTTCGGTTGTATTGATTTGTATAAGTACTTTGCTGGGGTTTATATAGCACTCATACCAGTGTTCGCTTGGTAAGTACCAGCCATTCTACTTGAACAAACAACATGAAGGCCTTTGGGAACAAACTGCTTGGAACCCAGGCTAAAGAGCCTGACGACCACCGCTGGATTACTCAGTACTGATATGATTGACCAGTTTCATTTTGCATACTACCCGCAGCAATGTCTGGGAAACGAGAGGAGTCCACTAATGGTGGAATTGGCAAGACAATTGCTCAAATTGAGAAGGTCGTTACTGCCTCGCTACGGCCTCTGCCTAGCAAAACAGGAGATGGTACCTATGTTACAGAGGCAGTCAAGACTGGACTTCTCAAAGATCTCAGCCATGTTGATTTGGGCGATCTCAAGACACTCCTAGAGGTCTCCAAAAGTGCTTTGACCGGAGAGGCCGTCGACGATAAGAAGTATATTATGGAGCGGGTTGTCCAGGTCAGTTGGTTGACTGTGTGTCTAATAATCAGTTCTGATTATGTCTCAGCTTGCTGCTGGTTTACCGTCGACATCTCAGATCGGTAAAGACATGACGAATACCTTTCTGACCACCCTGTGGAACGACTTGGAACATCCGCCGATTTCGTATGTGATCCGCTATCACTTGTCTCTTCCCCAATCTGACTGGTATATAGTTACCTCGGCAGGGACGCCATGTATCGCAAAGCGGATGGCTCAGGAAACGTATGTCTTGAGAAAGCGCCCAACTAGTGAAGTCTACTAAACCAGAGACAGAACATCCTCTGGCCCCATATCGGTGCGGCTGGCACTCCATATGCAAGATCTGTCCGGCCCAAGACTATGCAGTCTCCGAATCTACCAGATCCCGAAACACTTTTCGATTGTCTACTGGCTCGGAAAGAGTATAAAGAACATCCGAACAAGATATCTAGCGTGTTGTTCTACATTGCCTCTATCATCATTCATGGTAAGCTTGGGACACATGAATGAAAGATACACATGACTGATTTGTTTGCCAGATATATTCCAGACGGATCGTAAAGACCCGACAGTGAGTTTGACCTCTTCATACTTGGACCTTTCACCTTTGTATGGCAACAACCAGGACGAACAAAACCTTGTGAGAACATTCAAAGATGGCAAGCTCAAGCCTGACTGCTTCTCGACAAAACGTGTTTTGGGCTTCCCACCAGGTGTTGGTGTTCTCTTAATTATGTTCAACCGTTTCCACAACCATGTGGTCGAAAATCTGGCGTTGATCAACGAAGGTGGCCGATTCACGAAGCCCCAAGAGTCTGATGCCCAGGCTTATGCGAAGTATGACAACGATCTTTTCCAGACTGGTCGACTCATCACATGTGGACTCTATGTCAACATCATTCTCAAGGATTATGTCCGAACTATTCTGAATATCAATAGAACGGACAGTATCTGGAGCTTAGACCCACGTGCTGATATGAAGGATGGACTGCTCGGTGAGGCAGCTGCTCAAGCGACCGGCAATCAGGTCTCAGCCGAGTTCAACCTTGTATATCGCTGGCATTCGTGCATTTCCAAGCGTGATCAGAAATGGACAGAAGATATGTACCAAGAGGTGTTCCCTGGCCAGGATCCCAGCAAGCTACCCTTGCAGGACTTTATGCGAGGACTTGGCCGATGGGAGGCAAAGTTGCCAGGAGAGCCTCAAGAACGACCATTTGCTGGCCTACAACGCAAGGCGGACGGCTCGTACGACGACGACGATCTGGTCAAGATCTTCGGGGATAGCGTTGAAGACTGTGCAGGTGCTTTTGGTGTGTTGCACGTTCCGACGGTCTTTAGGAGTATCGAAGCGCTTGGAATTCAACAAGCCCGTTCCTGGAATTTGGCTACCCTGAATGAGTTCAGGAATTATTTCAATTTGGCGCCCTACAAGACATTTGAAGAGATCAACCCAGATCCCTACGTCGCAGATCAGTTGAGGCGACTCTATGACCATCCCGATCGCGTTGAGATTTATCCAGGTATCATTGTTGAGGATACGAAAGAGTCCATGGCCCCGGGCAGTGGTCTTTGCACGAATTTCACCATCTCGAGAGCTATTCTGTCGGATGCAGTTGCTTTGGTTCGTGGTGACCGCTTCCATACCGTTGATTTCACACCGAAGCACCTTACGAATTGGGCATACAATGAGATCCAGCCTCAGGAATCTGTTGATCAAACCCACGTCCTCTACAAGCTCGTTTTCCGAGCGTTCCCAAATCATTTCAAAGGCGATTCAATCTATGCCCATTTCCCTCTTGTCATTCCGTCTGAAAACAAGAAGATTCTGACCAAACTGGGAACTGCCGATAAGTACAGCTGGGACCGACCCAGCTTTACTCATCCGCCTCAGTTCATCAACTCTCATTCTGCCTGTATGTCCATTCTTGCTGACCAAGAGACTTTCAAAGTCTCTTGGGGTAAGAAGATTGAGTTCCTGATGCGCCACAATGATCAACCTCATGGCCGGGATTTCATGCTATCTGGAGACAAGCCACCTAACGCCGAGTCGCGCCAAATGATGGGTAAGGCTTTGTATCGGAATAAGTGGGAGACCGAAGTCAAGGATTTCTATGAGGAAATTACCCTGAAGTTGCTGCACAGGAATTCTTATAAGCTCGCTGGTACCAATCAGGTCGATATCGTTCGTGATGTTGCAAACCTTGCCCAGGTCTATTTTTGCGCTTCCGTTTTCTCGCTGCCTTTGAAGACAGAATCAAATCCTCGCGGTGTTTTCACAGAGTCGGAGCTGTATCAGATCATGGCTGTTGTCTTCACATCGATCTTCTATGATGCAGATGTTTGCAAGTCTTTTGAGCTCAACCAAGGCGCTCGGGCCGTGACACAACAGCTCGGCCAGTTGACAATGGCCAACGTTGAGCTCATCGAGAAGACTGGTTTCATCGCCAACCTGGTGAACAGTTTGCACCGGCACGATGCTCTGACCGAATATGGTGTCCACATGATCCAGCGTTTGCTTGACACCGGTACACCAGCGGCTGAGATTGTCTGGACACACGTTCTACCAACCGCTGGCGGGATGGTCGCCAACCAAGCGCAACTGTTCTCGCAGTGTCTTGATTATTACCTGTCGGATGAGGGATCTATCCACCTACCCGAGATCAATCGGCTGGCTAAGCAGGATACCCCTGAAGCCGATGATTTGCTGTTGCGATAGTAAGGAACACTGTTACTTACATTATGTAATACCTGCTAACAAGCCATAGCTTTATGGAAGGCGCCCGACTACGGTCATCCGTCGCCTTGCCTCGAGTCGTGGCACAGCCAACCGTTGTCGAAGACAATGGTCAAAAGGTCATTTTGAAAGAGGGCCAGCATATTCTTTGCAACTTGGTAAGCCCAGCTCGAGCTGCCAGACAATACAAAAGGCCTACTGACAATTATCTCAAGGTTTCGGCGTCCATGGACCCAGCTAGCTTCCCAGAGCCCGACAAAGTCAAGCTTGACCGGGACATGAACTTATACGCGCACTTTGGTTTCGGACCGCACCAGTGTCTCGGAATTGGTCTCTGCAAGCTCGCATTGACGACAATGCTCAAGGTTGTAGGGCGGCTGGATAACCTTCGCCGCGCGCCTGGAGGCCAAGGCCGCTTGAAGAAGCTTTCTGGTCCTGGTGGTATTGCGATGTACATGACCCCTGACCAAAGTGGTTTCTTCCCCTTCCCAACGACTATGAAAATCCAATGGGATGGTGACTTGCCCCCCTTGAAGACTGAATAGGGTGACACCGAGAGAACGATTCATCTGTTGACTTCAATGCTTGCTGGAAGGGCTTGTGGTTTTTTGATGGAAATTTTGATGCCGTGGAACGTCTCTTTTCGCCTGTATATAAATAAATTGTATCTGTATCCATGTCTTTATAAGCAGGACTGTATTTTGTCAGTACGGTTTCGTGATTGTGTCGGGTCGAAAGAAGCGACCTTCGCAGACTCCAAATCCCGATGAGTATAATCCTCAGAATTTTAGTATCCAGAGATTGTTTCCGGGCAGGATGACATAGTCCATATGTTGCAGATGACAAATTATGCATGAAAATTGTCATTAATATTGGCATCGTAAGTCCTGGTAGCTTGAGATTTTTGGCATCCTTGTAAGATGAGGGGCTTCTGGGGAGGTACTTTCCCAGCCTCATGTCAAGAGAAACTAGGGAAAGGGTACGCCTGAGTGTATTGTCCGAAGGCATATAATGTATTGTTTAGGCTCAGAAAATCACAATTTCAGCCTTAGTGGTTTTACAGATCATTTTTTACATAATTCAAAAGGTCTCTGTGCCCTCATTATTGGCATACCAGGTAGCAGTTAGGTAGGCAAATCAGTTGTTCGGTGGGGAAGAACACCCGCTCCGGGCTGTTCTCTGCTTGGGCTTGCAACAGCCAAAACTAGGTCAAGTAAAAGAGCGCCAGAGCTCCGTCCGTCATCTGGATAATTTCACGAACCATCTCTCGACACCGAACCCATCCTTCTTTCCACCCTTTTCATCACTCATTCTCCATCCCACTGTAACCTCAAAGGGGAATTCTCATATCTCTTTCTACAGTATCGTGCCTGAACAGGTTGTCGGAACCTCAGAGAAACGACCTGCACCTTGTTTCTCCGATCTTCTGCTGCCCATTGGTACTTCAAAAGCTGCAACCTCTTCATCCAGCATCGGTCTCACTTTCCCCTCACTTTCGAGCCTCCCTACTGAAGAATAAGGAATTTTATTATATTCGACCCTCATCATCTTGGCCTGGAGCTTGACTCTCTGCCTCCCGCACTTTGACTTCCAATTTTGGTGAGGAAGGAAGAGGACCTAAAACGTCATAAGGCTTCTTCGCGATAGTCTGCGCGTCCAGGTCTTTACGACCAGCACCCCCCACCCCCCACCCTCGCTAGGAGGAGCAACTTCTGGACTTACAGAACCTCCTCATGGTTTACTGTCTACCTTAAACCGTCATCATGGGGAGAATCAAGAAAGCGGCGAGCCAGAAGCATGAGGCGACAATTGTAAGTTTCTCACCCCCGCTTGCTCTTCCAGCATGAGGATGAAGGCTGACGAAAAAATTTCCTCCCCACTATTCTAGTCACCGTATCTGACGGATTTCGTTGCTCGTGCCACGAGTGTCCCGATCCCAGAGCTCCCTACACACCTCAACACATTCTCACGTCTGTGGCCGTTTCCCAGAGGCGATCTCTATCACTGGATCAATGTGTTGAACCGGTTCGACGAGATTCTCGCGTCTGTCATCGAGAAGTATGCTCTTAATGCGGGTCCACAGACCAAGCCTTTCGGCCGTCACGTCCTGGTTGATTCATATGCGACTGGCGAGAGTCAGACTAGTCCCGAGGATGCAGACACCAAGCTGGATGCTTTGGGATATGGCCCAGAAGGAGATAGAGAGCTTGTGGAAGTGATTCTCGATTTCTCTAGACTTCTGTTAGAGAAATGCGGCAATCGTAGCTTGTATAACAGCAGCGAACGCTTAGGAGAACTTTTGAACACCACTTCGTTTACTCTTCTTCAGTCAACTCTTCGTCTGTCCCTTTGCTTGGCACAAAGATACCATTCTCGTCAGCGAGGTGGCTCCCACCTTCAGCAGAGCTTGCTGGCAGCCCACTATAACATCGATCTAGAAAAGCTGCAGAAAATCGCCGCACCGATTCCGCGCCCTTATACGTCTGGCAAGCCATCTGGTGGTGCTGCTACCGGGGCTAAAGGCAAGGAGAAGGGTGCTCAGACCAAAAATAATGCCAACGATCTCATCTCGATCACTCGGGAAACCGATGGCTGGGATGAGTGGGGTCATGTTCGTTTGATATATTACCCATCTTCTTCACCAGAGCCGGTTAAGCAGGCTTCTGAGGCTCCAAATGTCGGACTTCCGCCGCAACCTCCGACTACACCAACACCGCTTCGGAGGAGCCACACCCATCCTACACCCCATCTGACACGTACTACGATCGTGGATGATTCCCCGAGCTCTATTACTAATTCTCCTTCCGGGAAGCCAGAAGAGGCATTACGCGGTGGGAAGATCCTGGACATTCCTTACGCCAAGATCTCTTCTTCGAAGGCCGAAGACCTCCTTGCTTCGCATCTAGGTGAGCTGCCCAACGAGTCGAAATACGAATTGCTTCATCGCATCCGTACGGCTCAGGGTCTGGTAGCATCGAGCTCTAGCAGAGAAGAAATTCTTGCCATCAGGCTTCTTGCAATCACGAATCTTGCTTACGTTTATCCGGAGACACTGTTCCAACAAAAGATCCTGCAATATGACATGGAACAGCCAAAACGCCTTCAGCTTGCCTTCCAGCTTGGTGAGTTAGTACACCTAGGTGCAAGTGGCGACCTTCCGGTCTCGCGCATTCTGCAGACTATTGGTCTTTATGCCCTCGATGCCCTGGCGAAGCATAAGTCAAGGGCCATTGACGTATGCGCTGCGCTGAGCGTCAATGTCAACCATGGAATTCTCATGTTCCTCACCCGCAAGGTAGTCAACGAGCTAGCGTCTGAAGAACGCGATAAGGATGAAGCCTACCAGGACGAATGGCGGGATGCTCTACTCGCCCTCCTGCGCACACTTCCTGGTTCAAGCACTAGAACTCCCGAGACGCTTGTCTCTGCTGGGTTGATTCCGATGTTCGTGGACATCCTGAATCTTCGGACTGAGAAGGCACGTCGCGTGTATTCTCGGGTCATGGAATTCCTCGATACTTTCGTGCATGCAGTCCGCGATGCTCTCGCCACGCTCACCAACGCGAAGGGATTCGATGCTATCTCTGATCTCATTGACTATGAGACCAAGACGTCCTTCGAGAGTGTTTCACGAGGTGAGGGACTTCCCCCGCAACACAAGACCCCGTCTATCGATTACCAGATTCCATACTTTCAGCAACAAACTTTACGGTGGATGTTCCGGTTTGTGAATCACATAATGCAACACAACGGCGGCGGTTTTGATAGAGTCCTACGAAACTTGATCGATTCCCCGCAGTTGTTGACCTCTCTCCGTCTCGTATTTGAGAATGCTCAGATATTCGGTTCACATGTTTGGAGCAATGCCGTCAACATCCTGAGTAGTTTCATTCACAATGAGCCTACCAGTTATGCCGTTATAGCCGAAGCTGGCCTCAGCAAAAGCTTTCTCGAAGCTGTCACATCCTCTGAGATTAAGACTGTTGAAAAACCAGCCGTCGAAACTACGACCGTTGAGTCCACCACCGTTGAGAACACAACTGCTGAGACCATAGTCGCCGAGACCACAGCCACTGAGCCTGAAATTCAACCTCAGGGTCAGCCATCTTCCGCAGGGAATGGTGCCGACACTAGATCATCGGCCCGTGACGGTCAGAACACCCGAGAATACAGCATGGCACGGTCGAAAGATGCGCGCCTTGCCCCGGGTATCATGTCTGCTGCAGAGGCTCTGTCTTGCATTCCTTCTGCTTTCGGGGCTATCTGCCTCAATTCTTCTGGTCTTGAGTTGTTCCAATCCTCGAACGCCTTGGAGAGCTTTTTCGAGATTTTTGAGAATCCCCAGCATGTCAAATGCCTCAAGGATGATCACAATCTCGTTCGGGCCCTGGGCACGACCTTCGATGAATTAGTCCGACACCACCCCGCATTGAAATCTTCAATTATGACTGCTGTTATTGTGATGGTTGCTCGTGTTGGTCTCCTCTGCAAGAGCAAGGCCTGGGCATACGGTATGGGAACCAAGATGTGGGTGGAAGGTCCTGAAGGACAGCCCACAATATCAGGCGATCGGTCTGTGCTGGCCTTGGAAATTGGCGCCCCTGCCGATGCCTCACTGGACAACATGCGAAACCTCGGTATTCGGGAACTGACCTCCGCTACACTTCCTGATGGTGGTAAACTCAATCTAGGAGACTTGAGCCAAATCCTTCCGTCTTCGTCTGATTCTGTGGAGCCCCAAGATCAGGATGCGGCTGGCCTCACAGTCACTGATTATCTCTATCCGGTCGTGCGATTCTTGGGTGCATTTTTCGAGAATCAAGCCAATTGTTCCTTTTTCATCGAATCTGGAGGAGTTGAATTCGTCCTGGATTTTGCGACCCTGCAAAGTCTTCCGTTTGACTTCCACAATTCAGATGCCAACCAAGAGCTTACCGTGCTAGTGCACATGTTGGCGGAGACGAAACCCCATCTGGTTTTGCCATCTCTTCTTACTCGTGCCGAGACCGCTGTTAATAACCTTGCCGGTTTCTGGTCTGAACCCAAAGATTCGGGATTCTTTACTCCGCTGATCAAGTCATCCATCGATACCGAATCAGAATCCAAAGGCAAAGAGACTGAACTCGTTGCGAAAACCAACGGAACGTACTATGCTAGACACATTGCGGCTACTCTCGTTCTTACGGATCTGCTTCGTGAGATCTTCTCTATGCCTTTGTACCAGACTCGGCCTAGCCAACACACTTCCGCTTTTGCACAAGTCAACTTGGCCGATCGATATTGCAGCCTCGTTTCGGCTTTGGGAAGCTTGCATGCCGCTTGCGTGTGGGAGGAGATCCTTCTTGAGAGGAATATTCCTGCTACCTGGGATCAAGCAACAAAGGTGCAGGCCACAGCTGGTGCCGAAAAGTCCAATGAACCTTCTGGAACGCCTAATGCTGAAGGGGGCTCTGCTGAACCTTCACAAGAAGGCGCAACTACCATCGCGTCTGCCCCTGAAGACGTTGCACAGGATACCAAAGTGAGCACAGCCAAGGTGCCCGAAGATGGTGTAGCTTTCAAGAATGTGCGGGCACTTCGCTATCTTCTTAGTTCCCTGCCTTCTTCGATCACAGGATTTTTCCACAATTTGGGACTTGGCCTGATAGGAAAGCGCCGAGTTGACTCGTACCAGAGACAAAACGCGACTCTAGTAGCGGATGCAATCTCAGGGGCGGTGCTTAAACAACTGCAGTTTGGTCCTGCAAACTCCAGCGATAGCACTAAGCATCGGTTCGCATACCTAATTGTGATCCTCTCTTCATTCTCACATTTGCTGTACGAAGGTATGTTGCATTTCCTAGGCTCCTAGGAGATTCTCAGGGCGTGGATCTTTTCCTTAGGCCAAGTGCTAATTTCCATTTCATGACAGCGACGGCTGAACGCCCCCACTCGCACTATCTCACTCTTGTTCTGTTCGCCTTCAAGAGGCAAAATGGCTTAAAGATTATGAAAAATATCTGCGATATTTTTATGCGCGAGGTCAAGGCCCTTACCCCGCCGGAGTCTGTATCCGAGTCTGAGAGCGATGTCTCGGCACGGCTCACATCTGCTTATGGTGGCATCAAAATCATCCTCTCCTTTTTCGCTGAGTTAGCATCGGGCAAGAATATTGTGGATTCCAGCCAGACACAGACCATGACAACCGGTGATCGGGATCGAGATCGACCAGATTATTTCCAACCCGGCCAGTTCTTGGTTGATCTTCGTATGGAGATTTTGCCTATGGCTCGAGAGATGTGGAATTCCGACTTCACGACACAGTCATCCAGCTCTGTAGTCAAATGTCTTGTTGAGATCCTGCGTTCTTCTCTGGATGGCGAGTACGAGACAGGAGCTGCTCGGCGCTCTGAACCACCACCTTACTTGGCAGAAGCAACAAAGAAGAAGGTCGTGACCAACAAGGATCGTGTCACTCATCTGCATCAGGATAAGGGCTTCGATAAAGATCTGGCCACAGAGGCTCTCTACCGCTGCAATAACGTATACCTTGCTGCGGAAGAGTACTGCAAAGCTCAAAACTGGCTGCTGGCTCCACCAAGAGTTCCGCCAAATACAGAAGACATTGACTCCTCTAGTGGCGAGACATCCGAAGACACCGCTGTTGGCGATGCACCACCTTTCAATAGCGGCTTTCTGGAACGTTCCACGCTCGCCATGCTTCTAGCTCAGGCATCAGGCCGATCAACAGACGATGATTCGCGTCAACAGCATGATGAAGGCAGGTCCGACGGCGATCTCGGAAACGGCACCGAGTTCTTGGCTAGAGCTTTGACGCAGATCCTCAATGATGAGCAAAACGCAGGGACTGATGATCGAGAGGGGTCCTCGTACAGGAACATTCGTAGCACTGATGCTCCTGGTAACTCGAACTCGTCCGAGAATCAGAATCAGTCAGCAAACGCATCTTCCGAGCAGCACGCAGATCAGACCCCAAGGCGACGCGAAATTACAACGGTTGAAGATTTAGACGCTGAACGCGAAAAGGTTCGCTCAAATCTGATTGAGCGTTGCCTGGACGTTCTGAATGAGCATCACGACGTTTCGTTCGAACTTTCTGATCTCATAGCGTCCGCAACAAAAAAGCACCGTGATCCTGAGAGCTTTCGAAGGGAAGTGGGCGAGATCCTTGTTCAGTCATTGGTCTCATTGCAGATGGAAAATTTCCAGGCTGCTGGCAAAAAGGTCGCAGCTTATGCTCATCTGCTTGCCTTGGTTCTCCAAGATAGAGAAATGTACAATGCTACTCTGGACGAGCTTAAGGAATGCTTCACAACCTTCCTTGGCTTTATCAAGGTTTCTCCCGAACAATCAGCAGACGAGTCCTTCCCTTGGATTGGACATGTTCTTTTGATCTTGGAAAAGTTGCTCTCGGATGATGCGCAGCCACCCCAAATTCGCTGGAACATGCCGGATGGTAATAATCCTACCGGTGATGACGAAGGACCGGCGCAACTTGAGGAACCTTTGGTCTCTCTCGATCAGAAAACCCAACTGTACGAAGCTATTATTGAAATCCTACCTCGAACTGGGAAGGATGATACCCTGGCTCTCTCAGTGTGCCGCATTCTTGTCATTCTCACTCGGAACCGCAGTATCGCCACTCGACTTGGAGAAAAGCGAAGCTTGCAGCGCCTATTTGTGATGGTCAAGCAACTTTCCAGCTCTACAAATGAGAAACTCCAAAGTGCTTTTATGTTGATTCTTCGACACATAATCGAAGACGAAGACACAATTCGACAAATCATGCGGAGCGAAATTGTGGCCAATTTCGAGTCGAAATCTTCTCGTCAAATCGACACTACGGGCTACGTTCGACAGATGTATCACCTCGTTCTGAGATCACCTGAGCTCTTTGTGGAAGTTACCAACGAGAAGTTGAAGTTGCAGCGGTATGATAACCGTCAACGCCCTCAAACCCTGACCTTGAAGGCGGATAAGATAAGTGATTCCGCGGCTTCTTCATCGAGTCAAGGAGGGTCTGAGAGCACGACTACTGATAAAGCTCCCGCGGAAGCATCTCCATCGGAGGACAAAGAGAAGGGCAAAATTATGGAGCTGAAGCCACCTGTTGTGGAGAATCCTGATGGTGTGATCCACTATTTGCTCTCTGAACTTCTGTCCTATAAGGATGTCGACGATAAAGAAATCGCAGTTGAGACTACGGACACGTCTGTTCCCGATCAGTCAGAGACTCAGACAGATGTGGAAATGTCGACAGATGAGCCCTCCCCCTCTGTCTCCAGCAGCGACTTACAGGGTGCGCGTACTTCCAAGAAGACAGAAAAGCCCCCCTTCAAGGCTGATGAGCATCCTATCTACATATACCGGTGTTTCTTGCTTCAGTGTCTGACGGAACTGCTATCGTCCTACAATCGGACCAAAGTTGAGTTTATCAATTTCTCTCGCAAGGCTGATCCTCACGCCACCACACCATCGAAACCTCGTTCAGGTATCTTGAATTACCTTCTGAATGTTCTTGTGCCTATCGGTACCATGGAACATGACGAATCGGTCTCTTTCAAAAAGCGAAGTAATACTTCTGCTTGGACAATGCGCGTACTTGTCGCTCTGTGCACCAAAACGGGGGAATTTGGAGGTCCTGGAAGACGTCGCAACGATCGAAATGCGACTGAGGAAGACGAGCCTGAGCTCACTTTTGTCAGGCGCTTTGTCTTGGAACATGCGCTGCGGGCATACAAGGAAGCAAATATTTCGAACGAGCCATTGGATATGAAATATTCCAGGTTGATGTCACTCGCGGACCTATTCGACAAAATGCTCAGTGGCTATGCATTCGTTTCGGGTGACACTGCCTTCCCCTCTTCCACCAGACAGCTCGCAAAGACCATGTTTGAAAAACATTTCATATCCGCTTTGACCGCGTCCATCGCCGAAATCGACTTGAATTTCCCGACGTCCAAGCGGGTTATCAAATATATCTTGCGTCCTCTGAACAAACTTACACAGACGGCCGTCATTCTGAGTGAATCGTCGGACATTTCTAGCCTCGGAGACACGGAAGATGATGAAATCTCATCCGCTACATCGGTCTCAGATATTGATGATGACCGTGAAGAAACTCCTGATCTCTTCCGTCACTCGACATTAGGAATGTTGGAGCCTCGTCATGAAGAGGAGACAAGTTCAGAGGAATCGGAAGAAGAAGAAGACGATGAAATGTACGATGACGAATACGGCGACGAAATGGATTATGATGAAGATATGCCAGAGGATGATGGAGAAGTTGTCAGCGATGAAGAAGACGATATTGAAGGTATCGGACCTATCGAAGGCCTTCCTGGCGATTCTGGCATGGACATCGAGGTTGTCATCGACGAGGATGAGGATGATGAAGACGACGAGGATGATGATGACGAGGACGAGTCTGATATGGATGATGATGAGATTCTTGCTGGTGAGATAACTGGTGACCAGGACAACGACAGCTTGGAGGAAGGTGATGAAGATGAATGGGAAAGTGAGGATATGTCCGAAGATGATGAGGAAGCAGAGATCATGAACCAATTCGAAGACGAACTCGCCGACATCAGACAAGCGGACCATCGTGGTGATGGCCAGCGGTTTGATGACTTGTTCCGTGTTCTGAATGAAGCTGCTGGAGGGGTCGAAGATCTTCAGGCTGATAGTCTCGGCGATGTGCATGATGACATGGCCGATGATGATCTAAACGAAGACGACGGTCAGTATCCTCTTGTAGTCTCGAAATCTTGGGAAATTCGCTAACATGGTCTAAGATGATGAAGAAATTGATGAACTTGAGGAGGAATTGGACGCAATGGATGACGATGAAGGGTCTTATCAAGGATTTGATGATGGTGTGTTGACTTTTCTTGTCTCATGAACACCCAGATAAATTTACTAAAACGTCTTCTGTAGATGACGATCTCATTGACCCATGGGGTTGGGATGGTGACGAGGCTGCATTGCATCGTGGTCATCACCAACGATTCCGTGGTACCCAGCCAGCTTGGGCTGCTGTTACCGGCATGATGCCCAATCGCCATGGAATTGTACCGATTCAGCCCTACCGTTTCCACCGAACACAAGTCCCGAGTCGCGGCAACGATGACGGCACAAATCCTCTCCTTGTTCGAACCGATCGGGGGGCTGAGACCACAGGTCAACCCCGTGGGCCTGGTAATGAAGCTTTTACCGATTGGGTTCACGGCATGGAACCTATTTCTACAGGGCGTCTTCTTCCAATGGACAGCTCTGTAAGCTTCATGAATGCAATCATGCAAGCCATTTCTGGTCAATCGACCCCAGGTTTTGGCGTAATCACTCGTCCCGACGGAATCCATGTCCATGTCGACAGACGGGCTATCTTACCAAACCGCAGTATTCAGGATATCTTTGGTCTCGGTAGGCCACAAGCTCCTCCCGCTCGGACTCGTGACGATCCATCCCAAGCCGTAAGCTTTGCTCTGGCGACTACCCGAAGCCGTTGGCAGGAGGAAGCTCGCATTTTATTCAGCAGCACTTATGTCGAGAAGACACAGCGTGTTGTAAACTCCTTATTGAAGATACTTGTTCCTCCGGCTATTGAAGAGGAGAAACAACGGGAGAAGCTGATGGAAGAAGAGCGCAAGCGACGTGAAGAAGAACGAGCCGAGCGTGAACGTCAAGAGCGCATTGCCAAGGAGGAGGAAGAAAAGGAGCGGAAACGGAAAGAGGAGGAAGAGAATGCTCGGCGACAACAGGAAAGGCAACAGCAAGAGGCAGAGCGTCAGGCTGCTGGGCTGGTTTCCGAACCCATGGACGATGTTCAGGAGACAGCTGCCGGTGAAATTACTGAACCATCCGCCCAACCGGAAGCTGGACCATCGGAGCCTGCTCGCCGAGTGCATACAACAATTCGTGGTCGCCAGCTTGATATTACCGAACTGGAAATCGATCCCGAGTATCTCGAGGCGCTGCCTGAAGAACTCCGTGAAGAGGTTATCATGCAGCAGCTTGCGGAACAGCGTTCGCAGGCTGCCGCAGCTGGTGAAGAACCTAGCGAGATCAATCAGGAGTTCTTAGAAGCTCTACCTGCGGATATTCGTGAAGAGCTTCTGCAACAAGAGGCTGCGGACCGTCGCCGGCGCGAGCGTGAGAGCGCACGCAGACAAGTGCCCCCAGTTGCTGCTCCAGCTCATGCCGAAGAAATGGATGCTGCCAGCTTCCTTGCCACTCTAGATCCCTCTTTGCGACAGGCTGTCCTCGCTGATCAGCCCGAGGAAATCCTTGCTACCCTAGGACCCGAATTTGTTTCGGAGGCACACGCTCTTCCTGGAAGACGACTGGCTCAATTTGGTGATATCACTCGGGCTGATAATCGTCCTCGGAATGAGCCAGCTGAAGAACAGGAGTCGAAGAAGCCACAAAGGCGCCAGATAGTCCAGATGCTCGACAAAGCTGGCATTGCTACCTTGCTTCGATTGATGTTTATGCCACTCCAAGGAAATGCGCGCCATCAATTGAATGACATCCTTCACAATGTGTGTGAGAATCGTCAAAACCGCGTTGAAGTCATCAGCCTTTTACTTTCTATTCTTCAGGACGGAAGTGTCGACGTCACCGCCATTGAACGCAGTTTCTCTCATCTCTCGTTCCGTGCGAAACCCGGCTTGATCCAGAAGACACCGCAATCCGCCAAACGTAACATGGCTTACCAGACATCAGCGAGTGTCAGCAGTGAAGTTACTCCGACCATGGTCGTACAGCAGTGCCTTGGAACTCTTTCTTTCTTGTCTCAGTACAATCCTCACATTGCGTGGTTCTTCCTTACCGAGCATGATCCTTCTTCGACATCAAAGTTGAAGTCCAACCGCAAGGGCAAGGGCAAAGAGGGCAAGGCTAGCAAGTTCGCTCTCAATGCTCTGCTCAATCTCCTCGATCGCAAATTGATCATGGAGAATCCAAACTGCATGGAACAACTTTCAAGTTTGCTAAGCAGTATCACGCAACCACTTACCTTGCTTCTTCGTCGCGAGAAGGAAAGGCAAGAGGAAGAGGACAAAGGTAAAAAGACAGATGGGGCGCCAGCGGAGGAGCCTATCCCTGATCAAGGACAATCTGCTCAGCCCGCTGAGCCAACCGGTCCCAGCGCTGATACAACCATGACAGACGCCCCTGCGGCTACAGTTGAAGCTACGGAGCAACAGGCTGCAACTGCGACTGCACCTGAAGACGCTGCCGCGGGAGAAGTTGAGAAGACAGAGGCAGCTCAAGAGACAAGCGAAGATGGGAAGCCGAAGAGGAAAATCATCGAGCCTCCCGTTGTTCCTGATGAGAACCTTCGCTTGGTTGTTCACATCTTGGCAGCTCGCGAATGCAACGGGAAGACTTTCAGAGAAACGTTGTCAACCATCAATAATCTTTCGGCTATCCCGGGTGCCAGGGATGTGATTGGAAACGAGCTTGTCAATCAGGCTTTGAGTCTTTGCACCACGATTCTGACTGACCTGGATGAACTTCTTTCCCATATTCACCAAGCCCGAACAGGCACAGATATGCAAGGCTTGGCTTTGGCGAAATTCTCACCGGCCAGTTCCGATCAAGCGAAGCTGTTGCGTGTCTTGACTGCACTTGACTATCTGTTTGATCCCAATCGTGCCGACAAGGTCAAGGGCTCTGAGCCTGAAGCCACATCTAAGGATGATGTTCTGCAAACTCTGTATGAGAGCTCGACATTTGGGCCTTTGTGGACGAAACTGAGCGAATGCCTGACTGTCATCCGCCAAAAGGAGAACATGCTGAACGTGGCCACCATTCTACTTCCCTTGATCGAGGCGTTGATGGTTGTGTGCAAGAACACGACATTGAAGGATACCACCATCTCTCGAAATAGCCGTGAGCTGTCTGTGTCTACCACTTCGGCCGACAATGGTGTCAACATGGAGAGTCTGTTCTTCAGATTCACAGAGGAACATCGCAAGATTTTGAACGAGCTTGTCCGTCAGAATCCCAGGCTGATGAGTGGCAGTTTCTCTCTATTGGTTAAGAACCCCAAGGTTCTTGAGTTTGATAACAAGCGCAATTATTTCACTCGCAAGATTCATTCGCGCGGTGCTGAGCCTCGTCACCCCCATCCTCCCCTCCAGCTTTCCGTCAGAAGAGACCAGGTCTTCCTTGATTCTTTCAAGTCCCTGTACTTCAAGTCAGCGGATGAGCTGAAGTATGGCAAGCTCAACGTGCGCTTCCATGGTGAAGAAGGTGTTGATGCAGGGGGTGTAACGCGAGAATGGTTCCAGGTTCTTGCTCGCGGCATGTTTAATCCCAACTACGCATTGTTCATTCCCGTGGCTGCCGACCGTACCACATTCCATCCAAATCGTCTGAGTGGCGTCAACTCCGAGCATCTGATGTTCTTCAAGTTCATCGGACGCATCATTGGCAAGGCTCTGTATGAAGGCCGTGTCCTCGACTGCCATTTTAGCCGGGCTGTCTACAAGTGCATTCTCAGTAGATCAGTCTCCATCAAGGACATGGAAACGCTCGATCTCGACTACTACAAGTCGCTTTTGTGGATGCTCGAGAACGACATCACCGATATTATCACCGAGACTTTTGCTGTCGAAACCGATGATTTTGGCGAGAAACAGGTGATTGATTTGATAGAGAATGGCAGCAACATCCCAGTCACCCAGGAGAACAAGGAAGAGTATGTGCAGCGAGTGGTGGACTATCGTCTGGTCAAATCCGTCAAGGACCAACTTGACAACTTCCTCAATGGTATGTTCCAGCACCCTTTGGGATTGGTTGATTATAGTAGCAACTAACCATCTCTGCAGGTTTCCATGAGATCATTCCCCCAGATCTGATTTCAATTTTCAACGAACAGGAGCTCGAACTCCTCATCTCCGGGCTTCCGGAGATTGACGTGGATGATTGGAAAGCCAATACCGAGTACCACAATTACTCTGCCTCGTCACCTCAGATCCAGTGGTTCTGGCGCGCTGTCCGCTCCTTCGACAAGGAAGAGCGTGCCAAGCTTCTGCAGTTCGTTACTGGAACCAGTAAAGTGCCACTCAACGGCTTCAAAGAACTTGAGGGCATGAACGGAGTCAGCAAATTCAACATCCATCGTGACTACGGCAACAAGGACCGTCTTCCAAGTTCTCACACGTGTTTCAATCGTAAGTCTATGCGTTCACCTCAATACTCTTGAAGCTGCAGAAGCTAACTCGACCGAACAGAGCTTGATCTTCCTGAGTACGAAAACTACGAGACTCTGAGGCAGCGTCTGTATACTGCCATCACAGCTGGTAGTGAATATTTCGGATTCGCATAAACTGCTGACTTGCCCTTCATCCTAATTTCGTTGGTCATTTTATGGTTTACACGACGGTGCATGGTTTATCACCCGTCTCCTGTTTGTTTTTTTCCGGGACCCCGGAGCATTTGACGGCGTTCAACATATGCTCCCCTTCTTTTCCAGCATGTCTGTATTATTTCCGCGATCTTTTCCGAGGACAGTACTGCACGGGGTCGAACGAGTTGGATGGTCGCTGAAGGACAAACTACCAGTTGAAGTGCAGGTCAACTGGGGTTCTGTTACCGAGGCTAGGACATCTTCCATTATTCTTGATTCATGTATTTAGGCTACCACCCCTAGAATTAAAAATATTTGTTTTCATCCCCGTCATCAGTGTCACTCCGTAGTGATTTGATGGTAGAGAATATATATTGGTCTTATCATGCGCCGCCTATCATCTTATCTGGCAGCTATCAGCTGCAATCATCACTCTATCTCTGCAGCTCTTGCATGGTTCTTCCCCGGTATCTTCTCCTATTGTGCAGTCAAACGATCCCTATCAAGTATCACAAACTGCATATCATGCGTATCTTCCTCTTTCTCCAATTCTTGTATAAAAACATTCCTCTTTGAAATGCATCGCTTATCCTATCCATAAGGCGGTGAGCCAAAGTGGGCCCAGGTAGGCAGAAGTCACGGGACAGGACCGCCTTTGGCTGGAGAAAAAAAGTTCGAGCAGAAGTTGCCCGCGGGGCATCTATCGGGTTTCCTCCATCTTGCTATTGAATCAAAAGCGAATAGTGCTTTGGCATGAAAATCTGTCCCTCGTCCTAATCCCAACATACTCTCTCGTTCTTGGCCCTCCTTGTCGTCTCCTCGAACCTAACCCCGCAATCTGATCGCGTTGCGTCGATTCAATTTTCTCCTTGCGCCCGCGTTGAATCACATCGAACCTCCGATATAATGGCTACAAATTCGATTAAGCTCCTGACTGGCAACAGCCATCCTGAGCTTGCCAACTTGGTTGCTGCTCGGTATGCTGTTTTCTGATGACCTGTTGCTCTCCAGGCGCAATGCAATGACTGACGGGATTTTAATACCATAGCCTCGGCATTGAGCTGACCAAGATCATGGTTCTGCAATACTCGAATTCGGAGACAAGTGTTACGATCGGTGAAAGCGTACGAGACGAGGATGGTACTGTCTCCCACTCCCGTTTTTCGGTGGTTTCAGACGCATAGATTTGGACGTTGAATTAACCTGCGCGTTTTCTCTACTTTCCGCAGTGTTCATCTTGCAGTCTACGAAACCCAACGACATCAACGACGGATTGATGGAGCTTCTGATTATGATCAACGCCTGCAAGACTGCCTCAGCAAGGCGCATCACCGCTGTCATCCCCAATTTCCCGTACGCCCGCCAGGACAAGAAGGACAAGAGCCGAGCCCCGATTACTGCGAAGTTGATGGCGAACATGCTGCAGACGGCTGGCTGCAACCACGTTATCACCATGGATCTCCACGCCAGCCAGATCCAGGGTTTCTTCAACGTTCCCGTTGACAACCTGTATGCTGAGCCTAGCATGTTGAAGTGGATCCGGGAGCACCTGGATGTGAGGAACTGCGTCATTGTCAGTCCCGACGCTGGTGGTGCGAAGCGGTAAGTATCTGAACATTTCCTAGCATCAGCTTTGTGGTTGTGGAGGAGATATTGATCATGGAAAATAATAGTGCTACCGGTATCGCTGATCGCCTTGACCTGCAATTCGCTCTGATCCACAAAGAACGTGCCCGCCCCAACGAAGTCTCGCGCATGGTTCTCGTTGGAAACGTCAAGGACAAGGTTGCCATCATCGTTGACGACATGGCTGATACATGCGGTACTCTCGTCAAGGCTGCCGACACGGTCATGCAGCACGGTGCCAAGGAGGTCAACGCTATCGTTGTCCACGGCATTCTCTCCGGCAATGCTATCGAGAACATCAACAAGAGTTGCCTGAACCGCGTTGTCGTGACCAACACTGTACCCCACAAGGAGAAGAAGGAGCTGTGCGACAAGATCGACACCATTGATATCAGCCCCACACTGGCTGAAGCCTGCCGTCGTACACACAATGGTGAATCCGTCAGCTTCCTGTTCTCGCACGCTGTTGCGTAGATACATTGAGACACAAGATGCCAGATGTCTCAGAGAGACGTGTCTCTTATAGTCCTTTCATGAGAGTGAATTGGTTTCTCTCTAGATTAATCTGTGTACTGCCTTTGGGCTTCTTTCCTTTTTCTTTCATTTATGAACGTCATCAAGCAGCTTGTTTGTTCTTTCGATTCGACTCCAGACGGGCGAATCAACACGGGTTTTCTTCTTTTCGTTTTGTTTTCCCCCCCACCTCAATTTCTAACAACTATAACACGAATATTTTGACATGACACGAGACGCAAAAGATTTGGCGAGGGAGGACGAGGCAAAAGTTTCAAGCGCATTTGCTTAGCATTTTCAATATCCAATTGACACGATTTTGTACATATATTACCGGTTAGAGAACCAATGCTTCAACTTCTTACATTGAGTTGCGCTATGTATTGATATGGTGGTGTTGGTGAATCGCCCTTTGGCATGGTTACCAAGTGTACTAAGTTGGTGCAATACTACGCCGGAGTATGAGGCTCAGTCCCCACTACATGCTGATCCGAATATGTCAAGGGCTGGCAAGAGGGTGAACCATCCATAAGGTCTAAAATCCTCGAGTCGAATCGCAACAGACCAAAACCCCCCAGGAAGCATAGAACAAACGTTTTTTAGAGAAAAAAAGGGCTTCATTTCATTCAGGTAAGCAGTGCGTAAGGCAGTCCACGGAACCGTCACCACACCACATCAAGTGCTGCGAGAGGGGGGAGGAGGGAAAGGCTCAGACACAATGGCAGGCAAGACGTCAAGACAAGAGGACGAAGCCAGGGAAAAAAAGATCACAAAAAAAAAAAAGAAAAGAATCCTTTAACATTTTTTTCCCATGCACTCCGTGTAAAATGAATTCTTGTATTGAGTTTTTAGTTTTTGGCACACCCAGGAGCGTGCCCGGTTCCGCAGACGCTCTTCTCCCCAAGGGTCCTTCTCTTCACTTGGGTCGCCCCTGCGTTGAACTCAAAACCCCCCTTTCCCTAGCCATAATAGGAGACGTAACCCGACCATTAACCCCCGGAGAAAAAAACATTTACTTTCTCATCGAAGACGCTCTCCGCTTGCGGAGCTCGTCACGCTTGGCCTTCTCCTCGTGGACACGGTTGGCGAGAAGCTTAGCGTAGTCGTTACTGTTGTCCACGATGTTAGTACATCCTAAGGATTTGGATAGAATGAGGGAGGGGGTGGAAAAGAGAGGGGTAAGCTTACGCAGCCTCGCGGGCAACCTCAGCGCGGCGGCGCTTGAGGGCGATCCTGTGACGCTTGCGCTGGAGACGCTGGGGAGTAACCAGGCGCTGGATCTTGGGGGCCTTGGTGTAGTCGGCCTTGCCCTCACGGGTGACGGTACGGCGGATGACGAACTTGCGGACATCATCCTTCTTGTCGAGACCGAAGAAGCGGCGGATCTTGGTGGCACGCTTGGGGCCGAGTCTCTTGGGGACAACGGTGTCGGTGAGACCGGGGAGCTCAGTCTCGCCCTGCTTGACAATGCTCAGGGCCAGGACGGCAAGGTCGAAGTTGGTGATGGCTGTGAATGACGCGTGTCAACAACACTCAATTCTTTCCATTTCTCGGGCTGTTCTTCTGATAAGACGGTTCGAAACATACCACCACGGACACTCTTGCGCTTTCTCTCGCCAGTGCGGCGGGGGCGGTAGCAGCTGTGGCCATCGGCGAGGAGCAGACGGGTACGGGTAGGAAGGAGAACTGAAGGATTTGGTAAGTTTCTGAACGATCCTGTTTTTTCCTGTCGTGAAATTCTGCGGTCGTTACATACCACCCTGCTTCATGGGGAAACCTGTTCAAATCAAATGTCAGCACAAAACCCCCTTATGCAAACGTGCTGAAAGATCCACAATCTGCACACAAGTAGGACATCCGGAGTCGTACCTTGCTTGTCGTTACCACCGGTGATCTTGAAGATGTAGCCCTTGAACTCATCACCGAGGGAGTCGCCGACAATCTAATGAAACAAAAAAGCCCCAATCAGTCTTCTATTCTCATATTCCAAGTTCCCATCGCTCTTTCCGGCTGCCGCAAATTCTGTTGTCTGATTCGGAATGCCGGTACTTCAAAAGCAAGAGGGCTGGGGGGGTGCTAACTTCGGTTCCCATGCGCTTCTCCATGAAGGGACGAAGCTTGCGCTCATCGTCGACCTCGATGATTTTCTGCGACCCATTGGCCGGGTAGGAGATGTTGAGCTTCATCTTGACGGGTGTGCGCGGTCAAGACGGAGGCGCGGGTTTGTCGACAGGTCGAGGTGGTTCAGGTCGTCGGAGGTTCGTTCTTCGTGGGATTTTTTGCTGTGGTGTAGCGAGATTTCCTGTGTGGGTGGCTGACTAAGGTGCGCTAGCCGGGTTGGGTACAGCGCCTCTCGGTAGGGCTTCTTATGTCAGCCCCTCTCATCTCTAGTTATGGACGGGCGGACTTGTTTACTTTCGATACGTTCGAGAAAATCACACTGTGGAAGTTCGATCTGTTGGTTCATGACTCATGGAATACTTGTTATCAGTATCTTCTTCGATGGCGCTACTGTAAAAAGGAGTATGAGCGTTGGAGTTGTTGGGACATTGAGCTTGAGCGATCTCTCCTTAGTATGGAAGAGGGTACCTCAGGCACCAACAAGTACGGAGTACTTAAAAATCGAGTGCGGAGTATCCCTCTCACTCCCTACTTCATATTCTTATCCCAAGGGTCAAGACATCTCAATGTGATCAATAGGGGATGATGCAAATAGTGCGCGATGCCCTACTACCGAACACAACTCTCGATGCGTAGCTATCTAATCTCATTGTATCAATGGCCCAGATCTCATGGTTCAAGCCAGTTCAGGATCCTGGTAAAGGGTAAGAGTTATTCTACCATTGTTGTCTTTGATTATTGGCTGCTATGTTATCGGTCAATATACTCTTAAGCATGGCGCAATCCTAGTCATTTGTGGAATGTCCGACTGGACTATGGAGAAGTTTCTCGTGCTTCAGGATATTGATGCCTAAGGTTCTCAGAACTCCAGTGAGGCCAAGGATAGTACTTGTTTCTCGTGATTTATGCCGTAGGCATCTCATCCCTCCCATCCCATACCATAGCATAATTGCATAACATGATTGAAGAGTCTTTCAGGTAACATAGTAGTAGTAATAATAACGCTATGACTGCATACCATCAACTCTGGAGTACATAAAGTTTGACTCCCAGGAGCCCAAGCCTACTGTTTGGTGCGAATTGGCGTCCATTATTGTCAAATTAGATTACAGACAACCGCAAATGATATACATTTATGCTGAGACAGTTGGGGAAAACATCGCACTATGACTACGCCATATCAAGACTGGATAACGTCGATAGTTGGCGCAATCTAAATGTTCGCGGGAGCCCCGGTCCTCGTCAGCCATCTATGATTGTGATTACTTGACAGTCAGTTCGCTTGAGGATCCATTGAGTCGTGGAAGTAAATTAAGGCGAGCCGTTTAAATAGATCAAGATATTAGAAATTTATTGAAGTACGATGTTCATATGTGCACTATTTACTCTGTAATTTTGAGACCTGCAGATTGTTGTTTCGCACGCGACTGGTTAGATACTCCGTTGCCTGCGTCTAAAATGACTTGCCGCGCGGCCAGCCTTATGGAAGTGCAGCCAGCATCATACCTTTTTTTTTTCCTTTTTCTTTTTCCCCCTGGTACGTACTATGTACTTACAGTACACACATTTTTGAACAGCTTACTTTATGGCTTTGGAATCGACACATCATACAGTGCAGGTTGAGGACTATTAACACTCCCACTCAAATTGAGGTATCCTCTTTATAGTTATTCCTTCTATCTAGCTATAAGCCACCCCCCTGTTCTTAGCGATTCTTCTCCAAGTTCCAACGAACATCCACCCCCCACTTGGGTTCAACTCTGAACCTATTATTAATGGGTTTAAATGCCCGCCAACTAGTTTGCGCTTTTCTGCCCTTTTGAACCAACTTCCAAGCCGGAACGGAACGGTATCGCCGGAGATAATTATAATAATAATCATAATCATCATCATCATCATCATAATTATATTGATTGTCGCCCTCGCTTTCTCTTCTGCAACTTCCCCAGTCCTCAACTTGCTTGTCTCGAGCATTATCAATCTCTATATAGTTAAGTCTATATAGTCTCAACATTCGCTCCCCGGATTATGAATTGACCACCCGTCCGGCTTGCGTTTGCAGCTCGAGATCTCTCCCCTCTCCCCGTTATTAGAGCAAGGAGTAAGAACACGTTCTTTCGTTCTTCTCTCCACACCAGCCCGCCACTCAGTATCTAATACATTCTTCCTCCGATTTTACACCAGGATCACTTTCAGTTTTAGGAGGCAGAACAAAGAGAAACCCGCCGATCCTTGAATACATCCGAGGTGCCGGTTCAGCATCATCTTTCCAAACGGCCCCCTTTCTCCGCTTTGGGCTTATTATTATTATTATAGATATTATCTATCTATCTAATTCGTTTTTTTTTTTTTTTTTTTTTTCTTTGTCATTAGGCTCCTCCCCTGTCTCACTTCTCGACGGCTTATCGCGATGAGACTCTTCAACCGGCTTTACGCCCTCTGTGCCTTGGCACTATGCAGCATCCTGATTTCATCATTGTTTCTCGCATCCCAGCATTACTATCGTCGAGTGGTTCCCGCTCATTCGCCGGCTGTTGAGTTCGACGCCGCGAACACGTTTGATCGGAGATTGGTGGTCTTTGGCGATTCGTGGAGTGACAACAATGCGGGTGAAATTCAGGGATCGGTATGGACCGATTGGCTGTGCTCCCTGGTAAGCTAGCGACCACCATCCTTTGTCTCTACTACGAGCTGAGCTGGAAAAAGAGAGGGGTGCGGCAGTGAAGCTAACAATAACCCAACCTAGTACGAATGCCATCATGAAAACCTGGCGCAGACGGCCAAGTCGTTGCGGGGGAACTACATTGGCTCCGTGGTGGACAATTCGGAACTGTCGGGCCCCATGCTCAACTTGTACAAGTCACCGCTGGCGGATTTCAAGACTCAGATGAGTCAGTGGACGGCCGCCGAAACACTAGTCTTGCAGTCGTTGTCCGACGACGAGACTTCCTCGCGCCTGAATAACACTATCGTGGTGGTTTCCTTTGGTGTTTGGGACTTGTGGAACATGGTCGGGAAGAGCTACGAGGAATCGACGGGACTGATTGACCACAGTATTCAAGTTATCATGGACCAGCTCAATGTGCTGTCTCACCTCTGGGGCGCAAACGACCTCAATGTCATTCTCACTTTGACACCGGATGTCACCTTCCTGCCTGCATTCAAGCCCACTGCCGATGAGCGTGTCAGCCGCCACAAGGATACCGTCAAGACTACAGAGTACTGGAACAGCAAACTCCGGGAGGCAGCTGAACAATGGGATCAAGGCGAGATCTATCTGTTCGACACCAACGCATTCTTGGCGGACCAGATCCGAGACTGGCAGCTCTTCGCAGCAGGGGTTGAAGAAGCGAATGGGCTCGGGCGCAATCAGGACCCGGGCTGGGAGAACGTTGAGGACGCATGCGTCCAATCTGGCCAGCAATGGGTCATGGTTTCGAAGGAGAAACAGTGCTCCAAGCCCGACAGGTATCTGTTCTGGTGAGTTCGAAACTCTCTACGCCTCATTATGGTTGCCGGGATTTGACGTGACGGGTCACTGACCACACCTTCCAGGAACGAAATGCACCTTGGCCCATCGGCGCACCGACTTATGGGAACAGAAGTTTTCCATGGTATCGAAGAGAAGTGGCTCAAGTAGAGCTACCACCTAGGTAGAAGGCCATTCTCCCAATGATTCACATCGTGCTGGAACCCTCTTTTCGACATCTTGACGTAATGACCAGCCAGGGGTTGGAACGGAGCTGACCAGCTGCGTCCCGACACAACCAAACGCTCACAAAGGCGTTGGTGATGAAAGAAGGATAGAGGGGAGGAGATCGACCTTACGTCAGCGGAGACGGTCGCAAAGCCACCTATACTTCCTGCAACTATGATTTGGGGATCAGACTGGGACCTGATTCATTGTTGCTGAGAGGGGCCGGGTAGCTTTCCTTGTCTCGTTGGACGAGTGCGGAAGAGAGTCTGCCGGACCTACTCTCGACAAAGCATCATAGTCGAGATCCCAGTTCCTAGCCAAGGTGGTATTGTCTCGTTGAGAGGCAAGCAATCCCTGCTCCACCTGTTTCAATATGCAACGTGACTGTGGGGTGGTAGATCGGAATGTTGATCGACAAGGGATCAAGAAAAAAAGAAAGGGTCATCGATCCTGGTAGTTATGACAGGCCTTTGACAGGTCTAGGAACTGCAAGCTGTAACATCACCATGTCATACCTAGTAATTATCAGCTCCATAGTTCCAGGGTTCCAATTTCAAATCAGTGAGGTGTCTGGGAGAAGATGGGGCCACGGAAGTTGTTGAGAACTGAAATCACTCTAGGTCCGAATTGTCTATCTAGTATCCAGAACAGGATAGATACTGGGGGTGGGGGGGGGGGGGGTCAAATGTACGAGGAACAGGGGGGCTTCTCCTCGTTTCCCCCAGTCAAAAAAGGGTAGAACAGTACAAGGTTAGTTTTCTTTGATTGACATGTTCTTTGTTCTTCTTAAGCTGTTGGAAGGCGAACAAAGGGGGGTTTGTGTGTGTTAGTTTAATTAGCTGGAAGAGTGGGGGGGGGAAGATGTAATGTGCACGGGGAGAAAGGCTAAAGAGTCCAACATGCCTCAGGCCGATTGATATCTATCAAGCTGTTCTCAACTTTAGTATGGAGTATCTACCTAGTACTTTGTTCAATGCCTTGAACACTAGACCTAATTAGGACTAGTGGCCAAGCTTCCATAGGGGCACACCAGGTGACTTTCCCGTGATTTAGGGCAGATGTCATCATGTCACTGGATGCTTGTGAGCCAATCATTGCGGGTGTTGGTGATGGTCCAAGCCGCATTCAGTGATTGGTCCAGTGCGGGCTTTTAGTTGACGGCACGCCGCATGCGGGCAAAGAAAAAAGCTCAGACCGCATTGAAACCTACTTACTTAGGTTACCTACTAGATACTCTATCGACACTTCCAAGTTTACTCCAGTCGCCAACTATCTATCTACGAAGTCGTAGATATCTAACCAACAGCTACTATCACAGTCGAAGGGATCTGAATCGTGATCTTGCTCTTAGCGATCACAGTAGCGCTGGAGCTCGACGGCACAGAACATACCTCCCAGTAACTAAGCTAACGACTGCGAATTACCCACGGAGGATAGTTAGGTAGGTACCTGGAAGTACCTCCACTCGGGTATCGTGCCTTAGGTAGCAAGGTAGCAGCTACCACGTTCTCAGCGCACCTACAACAAGTAAGAATCATCAATCCATTCATTACCCTCTGTAGATGTCTAGAACCTCCCCCAGGAACAGCAAGCACAATCGCTTCAACAAAAAAAAAAAAAAAAAAAAAAAAAAAGGATCCCCCCCATATTTCCTTTGTTAACCGTGGATCATCTTAAACGATAAGCAGGTAGGCTAGTCTGCTAGATGGTAGACAGCTACTCTGTCAAGAAAAGAAATACAGTCACTGGTCCAGATCCAGGTCCAGGCGATCAGGTTCCATCTCGTTTGGACCCTAGTAAGTCATAGTAACTACTACCACTTGTGACTAGCAGTTGGGAGCAATCCGAGGGGCTATGTATCATCCAGCCAAAGAGACAAAGAACGTGGTTCTCAGGGTTAACAGGTAGATCCATTATCCAACCGAACAGGGGTGGTGTAATAGGTCCAGGGCTTTCCAGGATCCCAGAGTCCGAAGATAGATTTAGAACAAAGCGATTTGGAAGGGGAAATTAAGGATAACTATCAAGTCAAAAGGAAGCGAAGCGAAGACAAGGATCAAGCGCCAAAGGGCACGAAGACAAAAAAGAAACTATACAGACCTCTCCTCCTCCTCCTCCACCTCCTCCTCCTGCTGCTGCTCTGAGCACAAGCAAATTAACCATCTGACAGCTATCATTAAAAACAAAAAAAAAAAAAAGAAAGAAAGAAAATTAGATTGAAAAAGAAAAGGGAAAAAAAGCAAGAAGGCAAATTACGAGGATTTATATCGTTTCTTTTTAACCTTATATCTCTTAATTCATTCATTCATTCCTTTTTCCTCTCTTTCTTTCTTTCACTTCTTCTTTGGCTCTGCCTCCCATTACCCCCCCGGGCTTTTCTAAACCAGCTTCGCCCTCTTTGCTCTTTCATCTAATGTCCTTTTCTTTCAGCTCAGCATCGCGACCTCCTCCCGGCCCATCATACGGCGGTTTCCTTATCACTTTCTTAAATGTCTTACGATCGAGTTCTCCCCAAACCTTCTGCTTTGCTCCATGACGCTCCTCCAGTCAATCTTCCGAGACGGTCTAGCAACCTCCTCGAGCACAAGATCATGAACGACGAGGCCGCCAAGGTCGCCATCATAGATCACCCTGTCGACACTGCTTCGTGCAGGTTCGCCCCGAGTTTACCTTCAACGGGGCTGCCGCAGGTGCATCTCTCCTCGCTCAATCGGGCCAAGATCACCCTCAATAAGATTGCTTCTAACCCGCCCACCGACTCTGCCAACCTGGGTGCACCATTGCCCGCGAGGACTATGCCGCTGCGAGAGCGCTCGTCACAATCAGAGAGGTCCTCCTCGTCTAGTCCGGTGAAATCGACGGCGTCAAAGGATTCAGTGACGCACTTCTGTCTGTGCCAACCAGATCCCAAGATTCCCAGACCGCGAAATGGTAGGCCATCGTATTGTCCGGGAACTGAGTACTGTGTGAAACTGACAAGAAGTGACGCAGCTTTCATCCTATACCGCCAACACTATCAGGCCGCGGTAGTGGCTCAGAATCCGGGGCTGGCGAATCCGGATATCTCCAAGATCATTGGGGAGCAGTGGAGAAAGCTCCCTCAGGAGACAAAAGATGAATGGAAGGCTCTTGCCGAGGTACGTCGTTCAGGCCTCAGTTCTTCTCTCTTCCCGCTCTTTGTTCCATTGACGGTGACTGATTCTCGCCCGCAGGAAGAGAAAGCTCGCCACCAGCAGCAGTATCCTGAGTACCGGTATCAGCCGCGCCGCTATGGTCGGGATGGAAATTCCCGTTCCATGAGTTCTGGCATTAGCCACAACCCACCAGGCTCTACCGTTTGTACTCGGTGTGGAGGTCGTGTCATGACCCCGCCTGTATCACCTGAGGCACCGTTCACCCCCAATGGATCCTCCAGTGGCGTATCAACCCATCCCGACGTGCTCGCGGCCCGAAGTTACCAGTATCGAGCCAGGGATGGAGATAGACCAGTTCACCCCATCAGGGTTGCAAGCACTGGTGAGATTCGTCCGCCGCGTCAGCGGCAGTGGGAAGAGAGTGGTTGCCGATCACCAGACTCGAAACGTCGCCGATTTAACTCACAGGTGCTGCTGAAACCGAATATCCATCGAGATCGAAGTCCCGAGTCGCCGTACCCGATTTCCCCTTATACCCCCCGTTCAGATGTGACGCAAGCTCGGGCTCTTCTTCAAATGCCACATCCTTCTAGAGCAGCTCGACAGAGTAGGGAACATCCTTCACATGACCCGAGTCTGAGACTTCCACCATTGCAGACCAGTACCCCGGTGGCAAGCTCCATGACGCCAATCACCCCCTTTCCGCAAGAAGGATCAAGTCTTGAGGCCATGGTCATGAACATCCCATTCATCAACAAGATCAAGTTACTTTCCAAAATATCGCCTCCGCTCGTGCCATCTTTCCGTGATGGTTGCTTTCAACGGCGGGGAGTCGTGATCGCTGTGGACGGACAAGATCCGTTGCAAGTGAGGGCAGTCGTTGATTACCTCAACCGTCTCCTTCAGAAAGAAGGCAAATATAACCCCCAGGTCTTCGAGGGTCCCGATATCCGCCCACAAGAGTCCCAGGCTGGCCAGATGGGGGATGCCACCGTCGACTACCTCAACACAATTTCTGTATGGCATCGCATCTCCGATGCGATCTCGAGCTTCGTCAAGCCTGCGAGTGAGTCTCCGGGATCGAAATTATCTGATAACGATGCCGCTTTTGAAGTCTCACCGAAGACCATCATCCCTAAGACGGCTGAATTGAAAATCGGTTCTCCGGCACAATCCAGTGAGAACGGATCAGATGCCTCCTCGTCGGTCTCCAGTACCGGACTCTCTCCCGTCCCAATTGCTCTTGTGCCGCGCTATCAACTCACCACGGCAGACGCGTATGCCTGCTATGTACCAATCAGTGATTCCTACGCGCCACTAGACCATTGGCAGTGGATGGCCTCGCTCTGGCGAGCGTGTGTCGGGCCGGACATCACTGTCTATATCCGGGATTGCGAGAAGGATGAGTTGGATCGCTTCGGAGGCAATCCGGTTGAGGTTCGTCTGCAAGACGCACGGACTGTAGTTGTGCGCCGAGTAGTGGGTTCTCAGAAAGATCTAGAAGAGAAGGCTCTAAAACGGGTTGGTTTTGAGATCGAGGACTTCCTTACTCAATGAAGTCTCTTGTTTGCTTGTTTTCCTTATTTTCTTTCTCTGGCGCAATTCAACGGATTACATGGAGGTGGCTTTTTGTTTGCAGTCTAACATTTAGCATTGTTCCGCTCGGATGGAGGCTTGTCTGTAATTTTGTGTCATTGCTTTTCTGCTCTTGTTGGGATGGATATATATCTCTGTCAGTGTTGTCACATTCCATGGTGTTTGACGGTTGTGACACTCATCGCCTTTTACCCATTGCCACTATCTGGGTCGACGGATTGGATAAATAATAAGTGAAATAAGTTAAATTTGAATGCTACTAATTAATCAAATCATATTTCTGTCCTTGAACTGTGTAAGTTGACTTTAGAAAGGTGTGTACGGAGTAGTAGTTCGCAGTTTGATACTCCTGGTGAGATAAGCAAGCCAATATAACCCAAATAGGCAGCATCAAGAGCGGTCAGCGCCAGCAGCCAATCAGAACATGATTCTATCTGCGGAGTTGATCCATCGCTGTTATCGCCGCGTCAGAGTCGAAGGAATGCTTCACTGCGACTGAGGGCAAGGCTGAAACTTGACAGGTCCAAACAAGAGGATGCCGCTGGGTGATGAGTAAACTCAGGAGTGTGGACGGAAGTCTGTGATGTCGCTTCTTCTCTTTTATTTCCCTTCTCATTGAAATCTCTTCTGCGCATGAAGATTTGCATGCCTGCTGGCTGATAGCGGATTGTGGTGATTCGGTTCTGCTCTGAAGGTCGAGTGACAGGAGAAAGGGCAACACAAGTTCAAGGCTGGAGATACTGGGGCTTCAAGACGATGGCGCTCAGTGAGCTGGATATCTGACCAGGTGTTGCATCGACTGAGCCGATTACGATCGCCCATTCTTCGGTTTGTTCCTTCTCCCCCCCTCTCCCCCCGGGCGACCCAAGCACCTATCACGATCTTCGGTGCTGGTTCAATCGCGAATGAAGTCGTGTTTCTGTTATCTTCTCGAGAACTAATGGAATACCTTGTGCTAAGCAGACCATGATCTGTCCCACCCACCATACCCCTCCTGCATCGATGGCGACCCTCGTCACTACTCTCACATCTTCATCCTCGCTCCCGGACCGCAGCAATCAGAAACTGACCCCCGCGCAGAAGTTCAAACAGGAGAAAGAATCCTTCCTTCGAAACCTGGATCCATATGTTGCGGTTGGTGTTCTGAGGAAACGTAATTGGAAGTACAATGTGGACCAGGAGACGATCGTGGACCTCGAAGATGACTATCCTGCCGAGGAACTTGCCAACCTAGAGAAGGAGAACTGGTTGCGGACATTCGAGTATACCTACGTGAGACATCCCCAATGGTGCTATGTCCGTGTCTATGTGTTGCCAGATGATGCTGGGCACAAGTACATTCCTCGCTCGAACAAGGCCTTAAGAGCGGCCCTAAAGACTGTCATGACCAAGGTTGATCGGTCGGCGGACGCATGGGATGGGTTATTCCGCTCAGAACAGAGTATTGCTGAGGATATACCCAATCAAAACGAGTTTGAAGAGGAATCACTCTATTACATCTTCAACACTTTACAGAACCCCGAGCCGCGAGTCGAAGACATGAAGGACCCGTACGCGAGACTCGCTATGGAACAATTGCTATCATCATCATCACTACCATTATCATCCGATAAAGATACGGAGACCGGCCAAGATCTCAGCGTTGTCGGCTTGAAGACCCCTCTCTACCCGTACCAGGGCCGTTCCGCGGCGCTCATGGTTCAGCGAGAGGTGCAACCAGCGCAGATGCTGGATCCCCGCCTGCAAGCCTTTCAGGGCCCCAGCGGCCGTGAATACTACTATGATGACAAAAAGGGCATGATATACAAAGAAAAGAAGTTGTACTCGGAAACTTGCGGGGGCATTTTGGCGGAGACCATGGGCTGCGGGAAGACGCTGATTTGTCTGGCTGTCATTCTGGCAACTCGCAGCCATGTTCCAGCGATACCACCACTGTACCGTGAAGCAGTGGCTACTCGGGAGAAGTGCGCATCTCTGGTAGAAATGGCGGCGGCAGCTGCGGGCCAGTCCTCAATGCCATGGAAGAGCCACTTTGATCGACTCGGCCGTTCTGGTATGGTATATACGAGGTGTATCAAAGCTTGCGAAGAGAATCGCGGCGCTTACAAAATCCCGCCACCTCCAGTACGAAATGCTAGTCGCACGAGCGCGGCATATCCAAGACCCTCTCTTCAACGTGTGCGACTCACATCTGGGACTCTGATTGTTGTTCCCCCCAACTTGGTAGACCACTGGGAAGAACAAATTACGCGGCATACTCAAGGGCTCAAGGTCCTTATCCTACGAAACCCGACGGACGTGACCCCCGATTCCGACGATCTCCTACAATATGATATTCTCTTGTTCTCAAGATCGCGGTTTGACCAGGAGGCTGGCAAGTCAGTCGACAAGAAATGTGGCCCATTTAAGCCCACGGAATCTCCCCTGTTAAAGCTTCACTGGCTTCGCATCATAATTGATGAAGGTCACAGTGTCGCTGGTTCGAGTAAAAGTAACAAGACAAACACCGGCGTTCTCCTAGAGCAGCTACGCGCCGAGCGCCGATGGATTGTGTCAGGAACGCCGTCCCGCGGTCTTTACGGTGTCGAAGTGAGCATCGCCTCACGCGAGACACATACCAGCGACACAGACATGTCTGAGGCAACTGATGCTGTTCTCAAAAGGAAGAAGAAGGTAGAAATCAGAGACGATGATTACATCGCAAGACTGAAACCAGTGGTCGTCCAGTTTTTCGATCTCAAACCGTGGTCAAATCCCGTTACTGACCAGGCTGATTGGACCACGTACACGAAGCTTGTAGGAAAGGACGGGAGCCGTCGAAAAGTGCAGTCACTCCGAGTGATTCTCCAGAGTCTTGTTGTGCGCCATCGCATGGATGTCATCCAGACTGAAACCACACTTCCAAAGCTCCATAACAGGGTGGTTTACTTGGAACCCACCTTTTACGACAGGTTGAATCTGAATCTGTTCATTTTCATCCTGGCCGTTAACGCAATTACATCAGAACGGGAAGGTAAAGACTACATGTTTGATCCTAAAAATAAAGACCATCTAAGCACTTTGATAAGGAATCTTCGACAAGCCGGTTTTTGGTGGGCAACCTCCAACCATGATATTTCAGGGGCCGTGCAAAATGCCCTTGAATATATGGGGAAAAATCGAGATCGCATGAATTACAATGACATCGCAATGCTCTGTGAGGGCATGCAGATAGCTCACAAGGCGCTCGCCAGCGAGGCCTGGAATGCATTTAGACAATTGAACGAGTTGGGCGTCTACGTCCAGGACTTTCCTGACCATGCTCGAGGCTTGTGGGCACTGCAGCCGTCCAAGTCAGACGTCGAGCCACTTCTCATGGGGATTAGCCAAGCTTGTCGTGCCCAACAATTCGTCAAAGAGCACCTGAAATCCTGTGATCCAGCGGAAGGCCTTGCTGGAGCTGGTATCAAAGCCCGCCGGGAATTAGCCAACGCTACAGAAGAAATGAAAGGCAAGTTGGAGTTTGCAACCGAGAAAAAGACCAGAAAGAAAGCCGGAAAGAAATCGTTCTCCAAGGGTCTGATGAAGTCTCTGCCGCCAGACTCGCCTCTTGCACAGACAAAGTTGGTCGCCACAACATCGGCCAAAATGACTTACCTGCTCAATCGAGTTCAGGTATTGCACACGGAGGAGAAGATCATTATCTTTTATGACAGTACAAACTCCGCTGTTTGGATTGCAGAAGGACTCGATTTGCTCGGCATTGAATATCGCATGTACACCAGTACGCTGACCCCTCAGCAGCGCTCGAGCTATTTTAACCTGTTCCGCTACAATGAGGAGATACGGGTCTTCTTGATGGACCTGAACCAAGCATCTCACGGTCTTCACATCGCGAACGCCTCCCGTGTCTTTTTTGTGAACCCTGTCTGGCAACCGAATATTGAGTCTCAGGCCATCAAACGAGCGCATCGAATCGGGCAGACTCGGCCGGTGTATGTGGAGACCCTGGTGCTCAAGGATACATTGGAAGACAGGATGTTGAAGCGCAGAAAAGCAATGTCTGACCAGGAGATGCAAGAAGCGGAAAAGGATCCGCTCGACGACAACGCTATTAAGTCCATCATCCAGAATGAAGCGTTCATCCCAATGATTGGAGATGACAGGCTTGCCAACATCGCATGGCTGAGCACCCCTTCTGGCTTCTTTGACCGGCATAAGCTGCCGATTCCTGACGACGAAGAGGATAGTGAGACTCCTCGGAAGCGAAACCGGCCCTCGCGGAACAACAACGGTTCAGACGGCGAGCTGGATCTTGTCACGCCTAAGAGACGAAGGGCTCCAGCCGGTCTGGAGTTTCTCTCTCCGGAAGGTATTCTGATGACTCCCGCGAGACAGTCGCACTCTCCCAGATCGCCCTCGTTCGTGGCCAGCGTCGATCGCCAGAATAGTGGTACCCAGGGGGCATCTGGGTCCTCTACTGATCTCCAACAAAGCTCAGGATCAGGATCCTTATTTGGCCCTTTGAAAGCTGAGAAGTCTGTCGGATCTCCACAGTGATACTTTTACCATGTACATTACTTCCATTTAAGCAACACTAGTGATGGCTAGAGTCTTTTGAACGAATTTATCGTACATTTAGCGTGACTACTTAGCGCTCTCCTGCTGAACCCATACGCTTGATATGAAGTGACCACACTAGACAAAATCCCCACCACGTTCTTGACATCGTCTCTGAATCTCCAGAATTGACCGCGGTTGTGGGGGTTACTGAAAAAGGAAGTCGTCTACACCCCGCCGGCGGAGCTCACGTGATATCGCAACATCGATTAACAACATCAACTTTTGATGTGGAACATGTAAATAATGTATCCAATTACCGATGATGGCTGTCGATTTCTCTCGTACATACTATTTGGGTTGAGACATTCGAGTACCAGTAGATAGCTGTTGAGTGACAACAGTCCCAGCAACGACGCCGACCCCACTATCAGCGACTGATCGGTCCGACTTACCCCCCAGCTGATGAGACAGCGCCTCCAAGACCCAAAAGACATAATATAATATCTCATCACCCGATTGCTTCTACCTTCAAGTGTACAATGCATTAAACTGAACTACTCTACTCGAACCATACGTTCCAACCCTCCCCACACAACGGAGCCATCCACCGAGACGAAATGTCCCAGGTCACCATAGTCGGGATCTCAGGCCCGTCCTCCAGCGGCAAAACGACCCTAGCGCGTCTCCTGCAGAGCATCTTCTCGCACGTCGACCCAGATCTGCACACCTTTATCATCCACGAGGATGACTTTTACCTCCCGGATGATAAGTAAATCTCCCCTCACCCCGCTCCCCACCCCATTCTCGATGAAAGGAGCAGCTAGCTAATCAGCACAACTCCCCCCCACCAAGAATCCCATATACAACAACTGCCTCCGGCACCACAGTGCAGGACTGGGACACCGTCGAGGCGCTCGATGTGCCCTTTATGGCCGCGGCGCTGGCCTATGTCCGAGCGCACGGCCACCTCCCGCCCCGCCTGAAGAGCAAGGAGGATCTCAACGAGGCGTCTGACTCGGGCGTGCGCGAGGAGACGGTCCTAGGGCTGCGGCGGGACGTCAGCGCGCGACTGCAGCGGGGCCAGGACCAGGGCCAGGGAAAGGGCAAGCGGACGCTAGTTTTCTTCGAGGGGTTTCTGCTCTTCAGTCCGCCGGGAGCGGAGGTGAAGGAGCATGTGCTGCGGCCGGTGCATGAGCAAATCGATGTGCACTTGTTTCTGCCTGCGCCGTATGACTTGGTCAAGGGCCGCCGGGAGAGTCGCAGTGGTTATGTGACGATTGGGCCGGCGCCGATCCCGGCTACTCTGCCGCAGAGGGGATCGCCGATCCCGGAAGATGTGAAACAGCATGTGGACCTGGAAAAGGAGGACGATGCACCGCCGCAGAACTTTTGGACCGACCCGCCAGGTTACGTCGACGATATCGTCTGGCCGCGATATGTTCGGGATCATGCATGGTTGCTGCTACCTGAAACACCCTCCCCGGCTGATGACTTGCAGGAACTCAAGAGCTTAGATACCGAGGACCTAATCAAGAGTGTGGGGCAAGGGGTGAACTTGAGAGATGACGCTGGTGTTATTGTTGCCCCGGGGAAGGGAGCATCACCCATGGCTGATGTACTAAAATGGGCTGTGGAGGAAGTGATCAAGCCATTCGAGACGGTGGGATGATATGAACGATAATCGTCAAATTGAAGAAATATTGCATTGGAAACTGAATTCATATGACTACTTACAGTACCCAAGCTCCGTACAGTCACACCGCCAGCCTTTACCACCCATCCAGGCTCGAACCCACCAGGACTGTGACAATTTCAATCGATGAATCTTAAAGCTCATCCGGAATTGGACCCCTCCAACCAAGCCAATAATCAATTCTGTCACGGAGAGAGAGAACAGATTGATCTCCCGGCACTTTGGAAATCGAACCAGAACCCTTCACTGAGGTGCCGACCAGCTCTGACGCCTCCTGGATGTCTTCCGCGGCTGGATGATTCCCATTTTGAGCCGTGTTGGTCTTCGAACCCTGCTCAAAAGATTCAGGCGATTGGCTCTCAGTGGCTTGCTCTGTGATGACATCACGTTTAGACGGGGTTAGCTCAGGACCCGTGCCTCCATGACTAGGACTTGCCCCGAAAGAATTCAGATCCACAGGCGCGATGGGGGGAGGGACATTCAAACCCGTTTCGTTCAGAGCGCCATTGAACGCATTAGAGTAGGTAGGAGTATATAATGTCACTGAGATTATACACCAAATCACAGAAACACAAAAGGTTGTGATCAGGTATTGCTTCCAGTATGTGAGAAGTTCAACCCGTGAGTCCGTGATCGATGTCCTCAACGAAGGATGGCCCATCTCAACAGGTGAGTCCTGTTCTTCAAAGGGAAGTTCTGAGGGTTGTTCAGGACACCTGTCATCGTCTTCCGCGCTTTGTTTCTCTGTGCTGTGTTCCGCTTCAAAAGCGTTGTCATTGCCATCATCCACGTCTGTCAACCTCACAGGTTCGTGCCCTATTTTTCGGCGGAGTCCCGCCTCCAACTCGGTAAAGATTTGCCGAAGATTGTTTTTATTACTTTCGCAAGAAGTTGAAGAGACAGGATAAATCCGGGGCAGCCAGTTCATAGCTTGACGACCACGAAGATTGACCTCCCAAGTTATCCCAAACATTTCTAGATCTCTAGGCGAGCAAATCACTTGGATGTGAGAGACACCAATTGCATCATCCCTTGCCTGCAACTGAATCATCTGGAGGTCCGTTTTCTGAGACTTGAGTTGGCAGCGAAAACAGCCCTCAGGACCGCCATCTAAACGGAGGAAAAAGCAGCACTTTTCTGCCCAAAAAAAACGGTTGTGCAGCCTCAAGGAACACATCGCTGTGTATTTGACCACAATATCGGGCCGAGGGGCTTTCCCAGGCCCTTCTATATTGGCAACGACTGTATGTTCGGCTCGGATCTCCTGATCTACCGTGAAGTCTTTGACAATACCGTAGAATCTCTGGTCACAGACACGTAGAGGAACGATGAGGTCTCTTTGGTTGACAAATTCAGCGCAAAAACAGTTCTCAACAGTCTTGTATCTCTGCAAATTTGTCGTGCGAAATTCTAAGCCATGGTTCTCGGGCATGAGGAATACGAAGAATGCATTCTCGCCTGCCCTCATTCTGGGAAGGCCTGGTATAACCAAGTCATTCCAACCATTTGGATTCCCGTTCTCAAGGAATACGGAAAGTGTGACGGCAACCTTGTATGTCGCTGGCCTGACCTTTGCAGGGTTCCGAATAAAGATGATTCCGCCATCGATCTCAACTTGAGGCTTGCTCATGCCAGGCTGACAATCATCACAATCGCATGATGGGCGATGCTTGTGACCACTACCTGGCACCCAAGTAGTAGCGTCACCCTTCGAGACTGGAGTCTGCGGTGCAATCACGTCTTCACGCGGTGGCGGACTCGAAGGTTCCGGTGTAGTAGGCTTTATGGCACTTGTTGTCGGTTGTTCGTCGGGTTCTAAATCAATGAGATGACTATCTAGGAGCGTTTTCAGACCAAGACTCGACTGAGATGAATCTCTATCTGAATTAGACTTGGTGATGTTGGTCAATTCGGTAGCAACTGATTCAACCGCCTGGGAAGGATTTGAAGTTGTCGCAGTAGTGGTCGTACTGAAAGAGCCATGGCCTTCTCCCTTGTCATGGGGTGGCTGAATTTTGATTGGCTTTGTAGGAGTGGGAAAATCTCCATTTTCAGAGAGCTGCTTGTCATCCAAAATGTTCGAGGTAGGTCCAAACGTAGGGCTGGAAGATGCTTGTTTTGCTGGGTCATTCTGCAGCCGAGAGACCCGCTTGGGAATCATACTGTGCTTTCTGGAATGTCTCTCACAGAAGGCTCGTGGTGGAGACTGATCTAAAATAGAAATGGCTCCCCTATCTGTTGTCTTGCATGGGGTTCGAACTGACCCGTCATCAGACTCGGGGGTCGACTCGGCAGCGCTGCTGTACTTACTAACAGCGCTCTTTGCAGAGGGTTTCCTACTAGGAGTCTTGTTCTTTTCTGAATCAGAACTGGAATCAGTAAGGCATGCATCGGAGGCACTCCTCTTCTTTCCCAGGTTCTGCGTCCTGATCCAATCAGCACATCTTGCCACGTTCAGGTGCATTCCAGATGAGAACCTGGGTGGAGAGAAGGAAAGCGACAAAGACCCAAGTTCAAGGCTGTCCGAAAGCCTCATGGAATTCTCGGTGGTTGGCGTTGTCTCTTTCGAAAGACCAGTAGATGATTCCTTGCCTGCGGTGCTGAGTCCTTTTGCCGAGATACCTACCGGGAATGTAGAGGGACCCTTGGCTCCATCATCAGAAACCGGGGCAGAGAAGGCAAACAATGGACTCTGAGGTGAACTTTCACTTGAGTGATTCTCCTGGCCCAGTCCATCGGACTGAAGGCGAACAGAGAAGGCCTTGACCAAGGATATGCTTGTGGATCTGGTGTTGAGAAGCTGTAGTTCCGTATTTGGCACACATTGAACCTGTGTGTAGAGAGGATCAACAAAACACGGCCAGTAAGAACTTTTAGAGCCTCTCAACCAGCGGGGATAGGCGACTAAGAAACCAGCTTACCTCGAGCGAGAGTCTGAGATTCACTGGATCGAGCTCATCGCCGCTCCAGGTACCTCGTATCTCCAGATTGCTGAACTCGGGGGAGTGCTGTGGAAGGGGGTTCAGATGGTTCTCTCCTGCATCTATTGTTGAAGCCATGTCCTCTCTGCTTTATGACCTATTCTAGTTCAAACTAGAAATGGGGACGAGATCTAGCCACGACAACAGTGATTCTCAGATGGGGGAGTTGAAGAGGGAAGAGAAGAGGTAACTGGGGAGAAGGGGGGAGAGGATGAAGGAGGTGAAAAGAAGAGAAGGACGACGCATGCTGGTCTGGAAAGAGAAGGCGTGTGGTGTTTATACTGGCCTGACCGATGACTGATTCCTCAGGCACACAATTAGGCACGCAATAGAGATAGACAAAAGGAAGTATGCATACGACCAGCTCTTTGTCTTGGCCTGCATGGTATGCCCTTCTTCAGCTTGTATTACCCTTTCTTCCCTTCCGCCTCTTTTGTAATCAGTCTGTTTCCATTGACATCGGTCATCAGAAAGATTGAAAAGATTCAACAGCCGCCTCCAAAGGCCGTGGGAGCAGGTTAGATTGCCAAGTTTCCCTCAGCCAGACATGAAGCGCCTGCTTTGGTACAATCAATATATACATAGAATATCGAACGTCGCCCTTCAGACGCGAACAATAACCGTGAAAGCAAAGTAAAACTGAAAGTAAAGATATCAGAGAGAGGCCCCGCTAGCACGGTTACTCCTGTTGTGTCCCATGCGCCATGTATAGCCTGCCAGCCCCCGATTCTGTCCCGTATAACACCCGTCCATCGGTCTATCCAAACCAGGGAAACGATAAAAGTAAAGATAAAAACAGAAAGCAAAAGTCGACAAAATCCTCCGAGACAGACCCTCAATTCCCCGAGGGCCATTTTTTAAAAAGAGTAATAAAGGTGGTAGAAAGACATCAGTTGAAGAAAGTATGAGAATAGTAAGCCATGACCTCGTTCGCCGAATTTATCGGGGTGTCCCATTATGGGAACCAGGGTGGTCAAAGGTGCCCTGGCCAGGTGCCGTACCGTATCGATCCCCTTCGTTCGATCCCATTGGCTGGGATGGAAGAATAGGAGTTGCACCTTGTGACGCTTGGTCAAAATAGCCTCGCGTCGCTGCGCCGTTGGTCCCTTGGGGATAGTTGCGATTCCGTTGCAGAGGTGGTAGGATCGTGGAGCTAGTTTGATATTGCTGCGATCGTGATTGAGGGTAGCCTTGTGACATCATGGCGCCTGTGGAATCCGCGGTCTGTTTACGAAGATGGCTATTAGTTCTCATCCATAGGGAAAAGCCATTGGCTCATGGGGATGCTGTACAGGAGTTCCTGGCTGGTTCATCATTCCCAGAGACTGCATTGTGGCCTGCTGGCTGGACCGAGATTGAGCTGCTGGATCCTGCATCTGAGTAACCTGAGCCGAGGACGGGATACCGTACGAAATCTGCACATCGGTGTCAGTAGAGGGTCGCGTTTGTGCCATGTAACCGGACCCCAGAGATTTCAGCGCAGACGTGAAGTTTTTCTGGGGAGACCCATAGGATGAGGGAGGAGTCAGTGTAATTTGTGGGTGACAAACCGCATAATCAGGTACTCCTGCATGTCCCGTGGGATATCCTTGCATCATGGGGTTCTGGTAGGTTCCCGGCTGGTTTGAATACATAGTCGCGGTCTGCGGATATGCGTCTACCTGGCGTATTCGGCCTTCCGCATCATACATGCCTCGATTCCCATAATCCACTGACGTGCGCTGACGCTTGACCGGTGTTCCGTAGTATGTGTAATCTCTACTCGCTGCCGGATAACCACTGAAAGCATTTCCGGGCATCTGCATCGACGAGCGATCCGGGGAACGTGGAAGCGGCTGGGCATATTCATCTGGCCGCGGTGGCCGTTTCCTGACGAAGAAAGGTTAGCATATGTACTGAAAAAGGGCCCCAGCTTTAGTGTCTCGGCGATGAACTTACAGAGACAAAGTACGAGGCTCCTTCCGGATTCTTAGTTTGACACCCTGGTCTGCGAACGATCGTGATAGGAAAGTTGATTCTTGCATCCCCGGGAAAGTCTTCGATGGAGAGACTATGTTGTATTAGCGTACTGGATGAACACAGTATCCAACCGGGGCGTGGAACAGTCCTTACCAGTGAAGCGATCTGAGATAATGGATTTCAAGTAGGTCACGACGTCCCTGTGCACAGAAGTTAACCTCCCGTCCTTCTCCTCCAAAAACCCAGTCACCATAGATTGCTCACTTTCGCATCTCAAAGAGCGTGAACTTCAGCCGAAATTGTCCTTCCATTTTGACAGACAGGTCCCCAAACACGAAAAATCCACCATCTTGAGCCGATCAAGTCAGTGATTGTGAAAGAGACGAGTCCTCTCCATACGAAGCCACGCTTACCGTTGTTATCCACATCCTTCAAACGGTGAAGGGAGGAGACCAAAGTGCCTGCCAAAGCCGTACTCGGCGGCACGGGAACCGGTTGATCTTCATTGCCATCGTATAAGCTGCAGCACATGAAGTAATACGGACTCTGTAGGTAATGCCTACACGGACGGGATTAGCTGTGCAGTTCTTCTCTCGATCGAAACCCCGTCCCTCGGAAAAGCCTTCAGTTGTTACTTACTGAGCAAGATAGCTCCCTTCCTCTCGTACCCGGAGTTGCACGATCGGAGGTGGATCGACCGGCTTGCGTTCTGTGATAATCCCGGCAAATGTCAGCACCCGGCCATTTCTTGACGTTCGACGGACCGCGCTCCCGCGAGCATGCGACGCACCTTTCTCCTTCCCACCAGCCACGCGCGCCCGGTCGGGCTGCTGGCGAATGATCAATTCGAAGTCAGAACTGGTGTTGGACAACATTGTCAGTGGGAAGCCCTGGACAGCTGAGTAAGAGCCGAGAAGACCATTCCGTCGCGAGGAAAGGCCGAACTCACCTCTGAGATTCGCGAGAAAGAGAGGCGTCTGAAAACGTCGACGCACTCATCAAGGCGGAGGTCTGTGACAAACAACCACGTAGAGTAGAGTCAAAGGAACCAAAGACTGGTATATCCGAAAGAGGAACGCGTGACCAACCACGAATTGACCGGACAGGGTTCACGCGAGGGAAGATAAGGCTTGGAATAGAAGCACAAGACAAGGGAAAGGATCTGTCGTTTTTTTTTACAACAAATCGGCAGCGAAAAATGAGATAATAGGCAAGTCGGGTTTGGGTCTTTGGAACCTTGCAGCGGGCACTTGTGGTTCAAAGGAGCACTAGAGTGAACGGACGATAGTACCCAGTGGGGGAAAAGGGGAAGGTCAAGTCGTCAAGAGGACAAGGAGGGGAGAGGGGGGGGGTATGTCTGGTTAAAGATGGACACGCCAGAAGAGTATGATTGATTGATGATTAGTTCAAAGCTGGAGCAGGACCAAGGACCAGGTACCATGGGTGGAGCCTGAGGATGTGGGAATAGGCGAAGACACAGCTAAGTACCTAGTAGTACTTCCTTACTACCACTCCGGATGCGCAGAAGCTGGGAGCTGCTAGGTAAGAGAGCAACAACAGCCAGCAGGAAGAGTATGTAGTAGTAGTCGTCAGTGATAGCGTGCTGGGGGAATTGATCTTCCTTTGAGTGGCTGATGTAGTCTTTCTTTTTTCTTCCTTTTTTTTTTTTTTTTTCTTCCTTTTTTTTTTTTTTTTTCTTTTTCTTTTCTTTTCTGTTCTCGCCTCTCTTCCTATCGCCTTCCGATAAGCGTGATGGAACAGGCGGGTTTTACGAAAACGGCGCCGAAGACACAGCAAGAGAGATGGGATGGTGTCGTCAGAATGCAAGCGGCAAGAGCCAGCCGAGCACGGTTCCAGACAAACCTTAACCGGAGCAGGTGCTAATTTGCTCTATAAAGAGAACAGTGGAAGGTGGTAGTCGGTTGGTTGGAGTAGTAGCAGTAGTAGTAGTAGTATCAGTTGCAGGAGTTGGTAATTCCGGCCCGGACGTCTTGTCTTCCCTTCTGCTGTGCTTTTGGTTGGTGATGTTGTAGTTGTTCCGTGAAGGGAGAAAATAGCGAGAAAACGAGAGGGAAAAAATAAGGTATCAACTTGACCTTGCCGACCGTCGATTTTCTTGACGTTTCTTTTTTTCCCCAACTTCGAGAGAACCTTCTGCTGTCTCGTTCTCTCTCACTCTTCGTGTTCGTCACGAGATTCAAGAATCCAAATGAGATATGGAGTAGAAGGGGTGGGAAAACAAAAAAAAAAAAAAAAAAAAAAAAAAAATTAACCAAAAAAATAATAATAGTAAGTCAAAGAATAATAGCACGAAAAAGCTATTGGGTAAGATTCGGGCGGGATCAGAAGACCGCTCAGCTCAGACGATTATTGATTTGGTGAAAGAAACAGAGCACAGCTGAACAATGGGTCAAAGTCGCCTCCGACAAGAGAAACCTGTGACGCACAGAAACTCCCTGTCGAGTAGAGGACCAAGAGGGGCGGAAAAAAAGACGAAAATTACTCGAATAATTAGAAGACACCGAGCTGAACCATTAACCAGTTAAATGACTGGTGGAGTAGTACCAGTCCTCGAACGCAATGCCCGGTCACTTTTCGGTCGTCGAGGTCTTTCTGGTCAGCTGTCGCCAGTCAAAGAAAGACTCGACCACGGTTGAGCAGGCGGGCTAAGGCGTGTATCAGTCTTGATGATCCGACAGGAACCGCAGAACCGCAGAAAGAATGACGCGCACATTGGCAGTCCACCAAGCAGAGATCGAAGCCGCGGGTGAGGGTTGTCGGTAGATAGATAGAGATGAGACAACCCAGAATCTGAGATTCAGTTCAGAGACCTGCGCAAGACTCAAACCTTACCCTCGTCTAGGCCAGATCGATTGAGAGGTCGATCGAGCTAAGCATGTAATCCACCGCGCCTGCGGCAAACCACCACTCGCTTCCCCGAGTGAGACCAAACCCACAAGCGCAATGGGGTGGCCTCTTGCGCGGAGATGGAGCCGATTATGCAAGTGATAGACCCGTCCTCCTCGCTATCTAGACGCCGCACAGGATCCTCCGGCTCTTTCGCAAACGCCAGGGCCGCCAGGCGAGGTTTTTTGTTGGCCGGTGCGCGCGCCTAAACATTCCAGTTAGAGTCTCGTCTCACCAAAGTGCATCGCTCATTCGCTCCCTCGACTCTGTACCAAACTTTGATTGTCTCTTACTCCGTAGAGTCTTAGGCTTTCGCGGAATCGCGCTCGTAGATCCCTTAGCTTCCTTTTTTGTCTATGTTCTCCTCCCCCTGGATCCGAATCGTTCCTTTTTTTTTTGTCTGCAGACACTATTAAGCTGTCAACAACGCATTCATAGTGTCAAAACACTCAGTACCAAGGAAACAGAACGTACCTTGCTTCCCTCTTGTTCCCTGATGTCGATCAACAGGTTCCGTGTTCCATGGGGATCACGATCCAAGGGCAGGAAATGTTCACTTCCGGCAACGAGGGGACCAGGGCACCACGTCGTGGCCCACTCGCTCTTGTCCCTTGAGACCCTCGACAGATGTTAAAATAAACAAAAAAGAACAACACCGGTGTCTCTACCCTTCTCCTGCTCGCTCAGTGAAACTCAGGTGATCTTCGTTGCACGATTCTCGTGTTGGGCTTCTCCCAGCGCTGAGCTGTCGAATCCGCTTGTTCGTCCTCGAACGAGGTGGGAAATGTGCTCAGGTCACGAGATGCCAACGTGCCTTTCTCTTCCTCCTTCTCGTCCCGGTAAATGGGCTGAAGCAACTCGGGCGTGTCGTCTTCCTCTCCCTTCACCTACGCTGCTTCCGATTCGATCTTCGTCAAATCAGACCAGTTTCTCCTGCTGGACGACGCTTCTCCACCTCCGACGGCAACCTTCGCTTGTGGATGAGGGATGGAGGAGGATTCGAAGGTCAAGCGACAACAGGGTCTCGGGTTTGGGACAGAACGATAAAGGGTTTCATTTTTTTTTTTATAACCTGAAGCAGAAAAGTGGGAGCACGGTACCTTTTTCTTATTCTTGCAGTGTGGGTTTGGCAACGAGGTCGGGCTCCCAATCTCACTTTACTCCTAGCCGCTGCGTCCTAGAGATCTAGCTTGGTGGATGCGTCACATAATTGAGGTCGATAGTCGCATACGCAGGCATACACACAAACCACTGCGCTGGGAGAATAGTTCAGCTCTGACGCATGGAGCTAGATGGATAGATGGAATGCGAACAAAGTTGAGGGGAGGCTGTGCACTGTGCACGCGATCGATTTTCTGGTAAGCTGGGCCATCGATTGCAGTATGTGGTTAGGATCTGAGATGCGTTCCAGCAATTGAGATGCTGACCTTACTGAAATAGTGTTGAACTACGCTGTCTCGCCACCGGAAGACCTGCAGGTACTTCATGCACGCTGTGTCTGGCTCGTATATCAATGGTGCGACCGAGGACCTCCGTATTACACCCTCCTTTTCTCATTTGGAACAAAAAGGGCTCCCCTCCAGACCTTCAAGACTCAGGCTCTGAAACTCCCGCGTACAGCGTCTCGGACAAATACGGATCCTGCAGCTGCGCCTAGCCGCATTCGCCTGCAAAGGTACTGGGAGAAGGAAGCCGATAATAGCAATCTTCACAATCTACTTCAGGCCTTCAAATGAGCTGGTCTATTGCAGTGTGGGAAAGATTTCGTTCTGCAATGGAATTACCACTTAAGAAGATGAAGGAACGGATGCATCATTTTTCGCAGACCCGGGAAACCAATAGCGACTCAATATGCGGACATCACAGGGTCAGCCTAGAATGTGCGCAAATGAAGATATTGTCATTGGTGACGACCACGCAAGGGTGGTATCGACCAATCTCTGCATATGTAAGATCCTGGGCATTAGACGTGAAGGGCGAATGGTCGTCCAGTGGGGCTTATGACATTCAATAACCATGTCCCTAAAGGATGATCGCAACTTTGGAGCGTGAGCAAAAGCAAAAAAAAAAAAGAAAAAAAAAAGAGGTCAGACAAGGGCGAGTTCATTCGCGGACTTGCACATTGCGAGGGTGATAATCTCGCTCGAACTCGGCCGTGAGACTGATTTAAGAAACAAGGTTATCAAGCACTGACCATTCAATTCCTGTCCACCATTATTTTCAGCCATCCCCGGAAAGATGCGCAAGCGTCCGGCTACCCTTGGAATCGCCCTTTGCCGTTGGTCGAATGCTCTTCTGCCGACTGGTGCACCGTATCAATAGTGCCACGTTTCAGTGGCGTAGTGGACGAGCTCACTGGATCAAGAGTTCAAGACTCTTGTTGATCGTTGGTTCCATGGGGCGCACTTATGGCGTCGTGTCTCTTTGGGGAGTCTGCAGCGTCCGGAAAACAGCTCCGTCCAGGGCTCTCTCCATCGCTATGTACCGTGAAAAGCTGACCGAAAATCAATTGGATCGGCGTAGGGTTGGTCGCTGTGTGTTAAGAGATTGTGATTCTGTCGCATTTCGGTCGCTCATGGAATCTAAAACTCGGATGACGGAGATAAGCTAGGTGCTGCGAGGGAAAGTGATAAGAAAAAGGGGAAAGGTAAAAAGGAAGAGGAGAAGAAGAGAGACACTCGGCTACGGAAGACTGGTTGAAGTACACTGACTGGCATCTGTTTTTGTCCTCCTACAAATATTATGGTGGGGGTTCAAAAAGCTGCAGGATGAATTGTTGCCGAACCTATCGGTCCCATTTGGCGCCTTTTTCTCCTCCATCATGACTCCTCCCGAGGTCATCTATCTACGACGGCTAGCTGTCCTTGGGAGAAGCAATTGAGAACCAGAGGTCGTCCAGAAACGGCTTATTGGCACTACATTTATGCTTATTCCAGGACCGAACACGAGTTCCATGTCTTTGCAGGATTGTGACCCATGGTCTGACACTAATTGTCGAGGCACAATATCGAGGATTGGCATTGTTTCTGCTCACTCTGTAACTTCAGAATAGTGACGGCGATACACATCTTGGAGCCATAATGACGTCTCAACCAAGTCTGGCAAGTACAGATGGTCGGATGGACGGACGAAGTCTGCACCTTGCTCCGCGATCTTCGAGAGACGCGCAGACACCGACTGTCACATTTTGTTCGTCGCAGAAAAAGAACGTCGTCTTTTTCTTACCCTTTTTTTTTTTTTTTTTCTCCCTACCAGCAAGTGGCCCGTGTTGGGTTGAAAGCTCGAAACAAGCGAGAAAAGGAGTCACGGAGACTTTCTCCAGAAGACTTGCGATTGAAAAGAAGCAAAAAAAAAAAGCAATCTCTGTGAAGTGTGAAGTTCACATGGTCACACCTTCTTGTGATCTTGAGGGAGAATGATTGACATTCGGACCGTGTACTATGTAGATACTTACTTACTGGCCGGGTTATTGGTACAATTCGGGCTCTCGACAAGTCGAAGGCAACTGACATTCCACGAAGAGCCACCTGCTAATTATTGACTTGCCTACAGCAATGGCTTCTTGACTTCTGAGACCAGTCAAAGAAAATTCCCCACCCCCTATGCATCAAAGCATCTCGAAAGTCCACCTCGGCATGCTAAGACAATAGTCTCCATGGGTAGTGTTTGCCTCCTGCACTTCTTGCAGTTCGATGCCAGTCAATTCCTCTTTTTGCTTCACTGTACGGAATACTTTGTACTGTGCGTTAACTGCGTTTAGTCCATATTTGCATTGCCGTTAACTACGGCCGACCAAACTTAAAACCCAGAGTGATTTCCTGGGTTTCAAATCCCCACAGGTACATCCTGCACAATGTGCACATACCATCCATACATACTCCGTAGCTGGAGCTTGGTGGTACTTTTGTATGCAGCCCAAGAAGCTCAGAATTAACTGACCACCTGGCAGATCAGCTAGCATCAACCGTCTTCCTCAGTTTCTTCCTCTATTCTTCATGGCTTATCTCGCATTTTCATCTGTCCCAAGTCCCAACCTAGTTGAGTAGACGCAAAAGTCAACCTTGAAGCCAACATAACCAACATCTGTCAGCCTTCATAGCGTGCTATTCTTTCATCAACATAGCTCTTCCTATAGTACTTCAAAGTCACCCTGAGCAATAATTTTCATTCAAAGATCTGTATTCATTTGTAGATATGCGAATTATTCTCCGCAATAATGGACAGACGCCGCTTCCTATGTGTCACATGCCCTACGTATGAGAGGCACAACTGGCCCATCAGGCTTTATTTTTCTGCCTGTATCTGGGAAATGCACCCCCCAAAGGTCAACTATCACATCAAGACAGAGACTTAAGTAGTCCGTACTTGCTGAGTATCTCCTCGTTGATAACTAGACAAATATGACCACTAGCTGATCAGCCTAAGGCTAGAAGCGCGCAGCGTAAACATCGACGGCTTCGTTGGTTTGTCGGCAGAGAAACAAGACAATTGAGTACATTACATGTGGAAAGGAAGGTCGCGAAGATCGGGTGAACAGGCAATCCGGCAGATCTCGAAGCCCGCCATGCAGAAAAGCGACAGGGATCTCTAAGATAACAGGACATTCATAGAAGAGAAGAGACGAGGGAATAGGCGCGTGCGCCAAAGGCGCTGTGATATCAAATGATGGCCGGAACTCCGGATGCTCAACCCACTCCTTGCTCGATGAGTGATACATTTAGGAAAAGAAAACAAAAAGAGTATAGAAAAGAAGGAGAAAAAAAAAAAGGAGCCAACCCCAACCTGCATAAACTCAATAACGCCCGATGCTAAATGCGTCGTCAACCGCCATGAAGGGTGCCGTGTCCTCTGCTGCTCGTCATTCCTTGCGATTTTTTTGGCCTGCTTGAAAATACATCAGCTCATGTCTCCATGATCGCGTCCCCATCCGCATCCCTTGCAGCAGGCTTGTTTTCTTGCGCCGTGTCGATCTCCTCCGCTGGGATGGTCACTTCGCTCTTTTCCACTACTGATTTCCGGCTTGTGGACCGTGATAGTTTCCCTCGGTTCTCGACTCCTCGGCCTTTCGATGTGATTCGGGGTTCGGAATGAGGGAGGTCCCCGTCCACTATCTTTGGCATGGAGTCCGAGATCTCGGTGCCGTTGGCAGGACCGGGTTCTATGCCGTTCCCGATGTGGTTCAGAATTTCAGTTTCCGGGTCTGCGGACACCTGCTGCGAAGTGTCTTGTACTTCTCCGGGGGCATCTTCTGAAGTCTGATGATCACCATTCACGAATCCATTGGTCTCCCCATTAGTCGGCTCCGGAGCAGACGAGTCAATGGGCTTCGCGCCACGTCCGCGCCGGGTACTCCCTGGATTCGCGGTAGGGGTCTCAGCGGCCAACGTAGACGCTCGCCGGGGAGTCCCACGACCGCTCGTGCGAGCAGTTGTGGGTGTGATTGCCACTTTATTGTACATAGACTTGCTTCCAAACGGTCGTCCCGGTTTTCTCTTGAAGATGGGAGCCTGAACCGGAGGATAAATTTCAAATCTAGAGGGCGGAATCCCTGCTACCGGATTGGACGGCGCATCGGCACTCGAGCTGGCTGTAGCCGTTGTGCGATGATGGAAGCCGTTAGTATTTGAGAACCCATGTGTCGAGGGAGGGCCGGCGGGCTTGTTCAAACGATTATCGGACTCGGTATGTCTGATACCATTGACAGGTCGATGGAGAATTCCATTGAGACGCCCTGTAATCTGTTGCTCTTCCTCGCTCACCATCTGCTTGGCCCCTTCGCCCTCCTCCTCCTCCTCCTCTTCCTCTTCCTCTGGATCTTCTCGCGGAGCAACAGCATGTAACGGAGCTCGGTCAAATTGGGACTGGTTGCTCCGACCCATGATATAAGGAGTCCAGACTAGAGCACTAGGGTTGAGTTGAACGTAGCCTTTGTCCTCCCAATTTCGAATGCACTCTTCAAAATAGCTGTAATTGAGGCGCAAAGCGTACGTTTTGGTCACCGGATCTCTGACAAGGGCACGTAGCCCTTCCAATCCAGAGACCACATCATCAAAGGTCATTCCTGTTCGCTCTGAGAGCTCCGCGACGCTGATCGGAGTCTTCTGATTCCGCAATTGATATGATAGAATGAGCCGCCAGTAATTTCGGTAGGATACCAACCCCATATCGGAAAGAGGCTTCTCTGGCGACCCTGTCTTGCCTTCAATGCGCGTAAGCAAGTATGAGAAATCAATGAGAAGGTTGCCGTAACCTTTCCTTTGGTGGATAGGGAGGGTAAGGATGCAAGAGACATTGTTTGCTGAACTGGGTCGTTTCTCTTTGCTGAAGTACCCAACGAAGTGGCACCCCAAGTCGTCAAATTCGGTCATGACATAGAACAAGAATGGTTCAACATCATAGTATAGGGTCTTGGACCCTAGGAACAGTTTGGCAAGCAAGCAAAGATTCTGGCAGTATACTGGATTTTTTCTGCCGTCGACTTCGAATATTGAAATAGAACCATCACGGTAGATCTCGTCCCCCGGAGGATGCTTGGCAGGGCATTTCAACTTGTGCCGCCAGGCAACATAGTCTGAGTTCATGTATTTCAAGCAAAACTCACAGATATAGAGCACCCGATTGCGACTGTACTCTTCGGGATATGGCGCTGCATACCAGGTCTCGATCTCGTATCCTCCAAAGTTGATGTACTTGATCCTCGATGGAGGGCCAGAGACCTTCTGAGAAGCGTGTTGGACACTTTCTCCTCCACTCTCAGCCTCCATGACTCTCCTCTGCCATTCCTCTTCAGCCTTCTGCCGTGCGACTTCAAATCTTTCGCGGTCGACATGGGTGGGCAAGGTTCGAGAAGTGTCAGCATCCGTTTCTGACAGAATGCCACCGTAAGGTTTTGATTTTGATTCGTCCGTCTCACGATCATTGAATGAGTAGAAGGGAGAGATGTAGGGCGCGGGGGGGATGGGAGCAAAGTGCGACAGTGGTTCTTGGGCCACCGGTGTTGGTTTGGGGGTTCTTCTGCCTCGAATTTGGGATCGGCTCCGAGAATTGAGGATTTTTGACATTTTGGTATCATTGAGCCGGAACGAGATGACAAGTCGCCCAAACTGCTTCAAGACTATACGACAATTGTCTTTTTCCTCGCCACGAGTGCGTCGGGAACGAGTTCGAACTGGTGACAGAGTATCCACGCCTCCGAAGGCATGGTCTCCGGATTCAGCCCGTGCAGAACGCAATGATGATTGCCGGCGCCACTTTCGAAGAACAGGCGTATGCTCGCCTGCCTCGGTCGAAGACGCTTTTCTCTTTCGCAATGACCTTGAGCCGGTCAAGAGCTGATCGTTAACGTCCGTGGTATTGAAAATTGAGTGGAAACCGGACCCTTCCTCGCCAGTGTGTGCTGGTAGGAGCTCCCGGCGCATCTTCTTTTGGCGGGGGATCCGCCGATTCGCATCTATCTGTTCGGTAGTTGGCTGTAATTTCTCCCGAACACAAGTCGGGCATCTCCAGGAGGTAGCATCTGCGCATTTTTAGTATAAGTGCGACATGTGGTTTACTCAGCCTGAGGAGACAGCCTTGTTGTCAGACATACCTTGTGTGTCATCCAGCGCATTCTGTTCTCGAGCACATTGTCGATGGGCTATCGAGCGTCAAAATTAGTAACAGTCGTTGAGGGGAATACGAATTTCGACTCATGCAAGGACCAATTATAGGGTGGTGAGCCAACGTACAATGATCACCGCAGACAGCGCATGTTAGATATTCTTCAAACTCCTCGCTAGGATCATGATCCTCATCTTGATGACAGAAGCTATATTCCTTGTCAATACTGAACGCAAAAGGGGCAAGAGAGGCCATTGATGACGTGAGCAAGACTTACATGCAGTTCCCACGGACGGGTTGGTCTCCTTCTGCATCCTCCCTGCCATTGCTCTCCGCTTCCCACTCCTCTTCGCCGGCATCCGACTCCGAACTGCTCGAAGAGGAAGCCGATGCGTCGCTATCGCTCTGGTTGTCAAAGACTGGATCGCCTTCCCCGTCGGCTGTCGCCGAAACAACATCTTCATTGTTCTCAACAGAGCGTCTTTCATCGGGCACGTTCACAGGTCCGACCGATTCAGCGCCTTGGTTCTGGTTATCGCCATTGATAGTCAATTCCGTGTCTGGTTCGCCCTCCGCGTCGAGATCTTCATCGTAATCGGCATCTTGGTCTTCGTCAGCAACTTCCCCGGAGTAGGCCTGGTGAACCGCATTCTGAAGCTGCTGATCCATCTCATAAAGGTCTGTCTCCTCTTCCCCCTCTGCGTCCTGATCACTATCCACCAGATCTGCTGGAGGCCTTGCCTCCGGCTCCTCGACGGCCGGCAGCACGGTTGCCGGCATGGTGTAAGTCGCTGTGGTCGCCAGTTTGAGCGATAGTTGTTCAATCGAATAAGGTATGTTTCGCGATGTCTCGGTCAAAGGTTGAGGCTATGGAAGCTTCCCGCTAGGGTCGACAATCATCTGGCGGCGCACGAAAGGGGCATCGGGGATAGTTGATAAGCTTGATTTGAGCAGAGGAAGTTCAAGCTCTAACAGCGCCAGTATGTCAGGTCGTACTGGAAGATGAAAATCAGGCAGTATGGGCCAGGGCGCAAAGAGAGCAATCGTAGATAGATTCCGATCTGAGGCGCTGGAAGGGATCGGCAAAGGCAAAAGGCAAACAACGCGTGTAGCAGAAGAACAGAACCCGCGATACCAAAAATCCGACTAATTCTGTAGGAGTAGAGCAAGCTTAAACGCGTATTTCCATAGGAAGAACGCCGACCGTGGAGTTATTCAGCCTTCAACCCCATCTGCCGCCGCTTCACGCCCCTTCTCTTGCTGTGAGGTTCATGGAGATTGCTGACTCAGCCAGATTGACCCCGACCCGGCTAAACCGCTTTAGGACGTCCTCCAGACCTCGACGTCGGCGGATTCCAGCGGGCACAAGAATCGCTGCCGGAAGACCTCTTGACGTTTGAATACAATTGGAACAGTCAATTGACGTTCGAACTGGATTTCAGTTTTCGCTTCCCATCCTGAGCAGTATTCTCATCCTCCAAAATGGGTGTCCCCTTCGAAGCTCTTATCCCCTATGGGATCATTATCGCTGTGTGTAATCCCACTTCCCGACCTCTCCGACTCGACTTACTGACTGAACATGGCAGATGTTCGGCGTTACCGGTGCTGGTCTCACTGCCGCTAAATACTTTGGCAATGAAGGAAAGAAGGCGCGGTGGAACAAGGATCTGTGGGATAGAGTAAGTACTTTCTGGGTTTGTGACAGGTGATCTGGTTTGAAGCAGATGGCTAATATCGACACAGCAAAGTACGTGATTTCTGATGCTCGCGATTCCTCTTCCTCCTCGTTTATGGGCCCAATGCTCTGAGAAGCAACAGCTGACCGTCTCGACTGTACAGTGATGGAGAGAGATTTGCGAATCACAGGGACCTTGCGCGGCCAGTCATCCAATGCCGTAGCACCCAAGGGCTTCGACGTCAGCAACCCATGGAAGGTATGCTTTGTTTGAAAGAATTGACTCCTTGGGAAATGACGGGACCATGCTAATGTGCCTTCCAGCTTGAAAAACGGATTTTCTAAGTCACGCCAGCGTGCCCCCGCATCATGTCCCCCATTTCATCTTCCTCCTGCCTGCATCTTTCTAAATCAATATCCACGCACTTTAGAGCAACGTCGTTTGTACAATATTACTGAGCAAGCGAAACGCTGCAAAGTAGTCTTCAATTGCCAAAATTCCTATCTGATCTGAGATACCATACCCTGAATTCCTTCCACCTCATAGTCTTGGAAGTGCATGTTGAAATACTTGGCCAGAGCTTGTCTCCGATCGTCTTCGGTTTCTATCGTGACCAGAATCTCTGTTTCACTGCCTAGTCGTCTCTTCACTTCTTTGCCAATCATCACATATATTCCCTTGGGCTGGAACCCATCCTCTTCCAGGATTACCCTGGTACACACAAAGGCCTGCGTGAACCAGCTGGTGGGCTTGTTGCTTGTGGCAAAATTCATTACCGCAAAATCCTGCGGTAGATATTCATTCTCCGAAAAGGAATATACCGGCATCCATTCGCTCTCTGGATTGTACCTGATCTGGTAGATCCAGACTCTCTGCGTTTGGTCGACAAAGTCCGGAATACTGTCTTTGATGAGGCGCATTTCCCCTGGCGCAATACCAATTGCAACCGTATCCTCTTCCAGCGGAAGTGGACTGGTAGGCCCGTTGTTTCCAAAGCCAACGTCAATCTAAATGTCAATGGTGTCAGTGGGCAGTGTCTGAGAATATGACGGAGTTTCCCTCCCCCCTAAAGACCCATACCGCGTATTTCCGGCCGTCAATAGCCACTATGAGGATCATGTGTCCACTAGGCTCATATGTCAGCCCTGTAGGATCAACAGTAGACAACTATACATACATCGACAGGTACCCCACCGCATCTCTGTTTCCAGTGGCCGCAGCACGACTCACTCGACCTCCCGTGGGATAGACACGGTATCCGAGAGTCCGCAGAACGGTGAAGAGCAAATTGGTATTCTCCATGCAATAGCCATCCATTTTGCGCACGACTAGTTTCTCAAAGATGCAGGACGGGTGGATGGAGACTGTGTGGTGTTGGGAGTAATGCAGCGAAGAATTACCCCAGGGGATGGCGCCCAGGTGTCGCTGCTGGATCTCCGTCAGTGCAGCAAGAGGATCCTTCTGAATACATTGTTGGAGGAGTTGCAGTCGAGTGCTTCCCGCCGCGCTGGCGGACTCGGCATACCCAATGCGCTGCAGGTAGACCTCTAACTGGTCCGCGGTATATGAGGGTGCTGGGGATGCCATGATGAAACAATGCGCAGCCGGTAAGGGGTCCGACTGGTTATGCACAAAGCATGAAGAACAGTATGGGTTCACTCAGGAAATAAATCGAGATAGTTGGATATACAGTATTTGTCGCGAATTTGTCAGACGGATGGACCCAGATGGAGGCTGGAGCCCGTGGGTCGTGAAGCCACCAAGATGACCGGGGATTGGCTTCTTGGACCCTGATACGAGAGAATAAAATTATTGAAAAGCCACATCTCGGATAGCTATCCAGGCAAGATGGAAGAGATCCGACACATTTGATGCTTTTCGAGTACGTACTACGTAGCCGGTTTCTCCCCGTGTTTTACCCCACTATCTCTGGGTTGTTGCGATGTGCAGTCTGTAAGGAATATTCCATGTGCAGGAGATGACAGTGGATTCAATTCAATCTCGAGACCCAGACCCTCTCAAGTGGATAAAGAGGCATATATATCATAGGACGGGATCAACTCCTCTACAAGGGGGTGCTGACATCTCGAAGGTGGAAAACTTATCAGATCCTCGGCTATCAGGAGACTGACATTTGATGTCAAAAGAGGACGATACTACACCAAGTAGACAGAGACTGATATGCAAGCCGAACCTAGAGAATAAGATCAACAGCAGAGCCTTTCTTGACCAACAGGATCATAAGCCAGGGAAGAAACCAACCCAGAATGACCCGACTGCTCCGATGAACGGACAAACGGATTTCTGACCTCAATCGGAATCTTCATCCCCAGTCTCACTTCATAGTCACATGGATTGCGCACTTCATACTCGTTCTATCACCAGAATTGCCTCTTCTCGCATTGTACCTACCTCCCACCAGATATATAGATCACTCCCCGCACCCTTCTTCCCATCAAGACGCACCATGTCCAGCTCAATCGAACAAAAACTAAACGAGCTACAAAAGTACTCTGCGTGTGATGTACGATTACGTCTCTAATCCATCTACCGTCCCGTCTAGCTCTATTGACTACACCAAACGTACTAACTACACCCGGCAACCAGGTCTCCGACGCCCTCCTCAAACTGCAGAAACTCCCCCAGGGAGCAACAGCACGAGCAGGACACCTAGCAGACTTCAGTAAGACCATCTCCCCCACCCATTCCATATACACATAGACATATACATATCTAGCTGACCCACCAAGCCCCCTTCTCCCCCACCATCGGCCACAACACAACCAACCCCAAGATCATTGCCCCGGCCTCAACCTTCAGATTCATCCCCAAGAACGACCCGGTCCCGGCTAGCGCCTCCCCAGACGAATCCCACGGCTTCCCGCAGGGCACACACTGGGTCGACTTCGCCGAGCCCGGCACCATCGCCGTCATCGAGCAGCCGGCCGGCCAGCACTGCGCCGTGCTCGGCGGCATCATGGCCGTGCGCATGAAGCATCTCGGGGTGCGCGGGGTGCTGGTGAACGGCCGCGTGCGCGACCTCGCAGAGATCAACTCTTGTCGGATTCCGGTTTGTTGAACCCCTTCTTCTTCTTCTTCTTCTTCTTCTTCTTCTTCCCTGCCCCGCCATGTCATTTTAGATGGATGTGCTGAGTAGAGTAGGTTTGGGCTCGGGGTACCTCGACCGTGGGGACGGGCGCAGAGGCGAAGCCGGGAGCGAGGAATGTGCCGGTTTCGCTCGGGGGTGTGACTGTTTCTCCGGTGAGTTCTGCTTTTCCCGTATCTTTCTGTGGATGGGGGACTGGTGTTTTTTTCAGGGGCTGATTGGAGTTGCGTAGGGTGATATCATCTTCTGCGATCCGTTGGAGGGTGTGGTGGCTATTCCCCGGGATCTTCTTGACCAGGTGCTGGAAATTATGCCTAAGCTGGTTGCTATGGATGATAAGGTCAAAGAGGCGGTGGTGGAGGGGATGAGCGTCTTTGATGCATTCAAGCAATTTCGTACCAAGATCTAAAAACATGTTGACGACACGGAACTAAGAGGATAGTGTTTTTATAGACCTTGTATCTATTTAGGGATCATATGAATGAAGACAGCTGTCATACTTCATTGGTATTTCACCACTATTCAATACAATAATCAAGAAATTGGGAATGTAAAGCAAGGACCTGTGAGTTCCCTATTATGGTTGGTTTTGCTGTTCTAGGTATATGGTTCTTGCCACTGGGAAACACTGTAATCTTGAATAATGCCTTGATTCTAAATAGCGAGATGGAAATCATGCCTGAGAGGCTGCCATTATCATAGTATTGTCTACTCGAATTCTTTGAAAGATTTAGAAAAAAGGTCTGTAGACAATACAATGGGGTCATAACCTTGGATTATCGCAAACTGAAGCGCAGCACTCTAAGTGCTTAGTACTCAGTTCGAACCTCAGGATCAACATTATGCAAGGCTGCAGTGATCTCTGCCCACACCTTCTCCCTCACGACCGCCGCCTCGGGGCTTGTGACGATTTGGCCAGGGCTAAAACACATATCAGCGGCGCGAACTATCAGTGTATGCAGCACCTACATCAACAATATCCTGTTTGGTTTGACTATATGCTGACCAATGCTTCTAGCCTCAGGCCCATTATCAGTAGTGCTTTTACAGACAGCTCTGCAACCTGACGCTGGTCCTTTTACATCAATCTTTGCATTGGAGGTCTCTTTGCCCTGGTGTTCCTTTTTATGATCCCGAATGTGGACCACTGCTTGACTCACTGAGTGCTACCTTAAGAACTGATGATTTGAAGGCTATTATCAACGCAATTACAGATGCACTGGTCGTGGATCTAACTGCAGGATGTATTGCTGTTTTGGTGGCTATTCTTCTGTGACGCATATAGATGAGCCAGACTCATGGCGCGGTGGGAGGTATGTGAGAGGGGAATCATACAGTAAATCTTGAGGCAGTGTCTTTGAGTAGTTTCATACAAGGTGCTATAGAATTGATAGATGTTATGCTGGGTTAGACTCAGTGTAAACTTTTACTGGGTATGCAGTCTTCATTGAACATTGTGTAAAACCGCTTGATAATCTCATGGCGCTTAAAATGCATCCATGAATATACACTGCCGCTTTAAAACATGACCAAGAAAATATGATTTAAATCATCCGTGTCTACATATATGTACTGGGCAGAGCCGCCCATATCCCCCAAGTCATTACATTTCTATAGACTATATATGCCTGATTAGCCATGTAATACCATCGCTATATAGGGGAATGCAGAAGAGAAGAAGGGGCAAAAAAAAGAAAGAAAAAAAAAAGCAATGAAACCAGCTCATTCGTGCTTTTTATTTATTCGGCAACCCAGACCGCGGCCATACCCATACCGGTACCAACGCACATGCTCGTCACACCAACTTTCTTGTTGGTGCGCTTCAGCTCGGTGAAGAGGGTGCTAATCTGTCTGGCACCGGTGCAGCCGAGGGGATGTCCGAATGCAATCGCACCACCCTTCGGGTTGATCTTCTCTTGAGGGATGCCGAGCTCGTTGACACACCACACGCACTGGGAGGCAAAGGCCTCGTTGATCTCATAGATGTCGACTTCATCCTTGGTGATGCCGGCCTTCTCGAGGGCGACGGGAATGGCGGCCCAGGGGCCGATACCCATAAGCAGGGGCTTGACACCGACAACGCTGGCAGCAACGTACTTGCCGATGATCTTCTGGCCCAGGCGCTCGGCGGTGGACCGCTTCATCAGCAGAACGGCGGCAGCACCGTCGGAGATCTGAGAGGCGTTACCGGCGTGGATAGAGCCGTCCTTGGCGAAAGCAGGGCGGATCTTGCCGAGGGACTCGGCGGTGATGCCATCCCGAATGCCATCATCGGCCTTGACGGTGATGGTCTTCTCCTCCCCGCTCTTGGGGTCGGTCCACTTGACCTGCAGGGGAAGGATCTCCTCGTTGAAGAGACCGGCCTTCTGGGCCGTGACGGCCTTCTGGTAAGAGGAAGCGGCGAAAGCATCCTGAACAGCACGAGAGATGTTGCGGTCCTTCGCCATCTGCTCCGACAGGACACCCATGGGGACCTTGCAGTTGGCGGACTCGGGGTGGCTCTCGAGAAGCTCGGAGAACTCGGTAACGGCACCGGGGCTAGATGAGCAAGACTCGGTCAGTGGTTGATTCATGAAAGGAACGTACAAAGGGGCCCGACTCACCCGTACTGAGAGGACATGCTCTCCACACCGGCACCGACACCAACCTCAATCATGCCGGACTTGATAGCATTGGCAATATCAACGATGGCCTGAAGACCACTCGAGCACTGTCTGTTCAAGCTCTTGACGGCGGTCGACTCGGAGAAACCGGCAACAAGGGCAGCAGCACGGAACTCAGTGGCACCGCCACCAGGAGCAAGGACAGAGCCGACAGCAACATCCTCAACGGCCTTGGGGTCGATGCCGCTGCGATCGATGAGACCCTTGAAGACACCAGCAAGCAAATCAGCGGCAGCGGTGTCCTTGAAGCCACCCTTTCCACCCTTGGTCAGAGCCGTGCGCAGGGCACATGTGACGACGATATCATCGGGATGCTTCTCGGTGAGGGCGGCGGCACCCTTCTTGCCTCCCGCAGTGAAGTGGGAGGAGACCTGAGACAGACGCTGTTGAGCTGCACGATGAAAGAACAACGATTAGTAAGATGAGGTTTGTCACTTTCCCATCCACTCACCAGTTCTAGTTCCGAGGCGACTAGAAAGGAATGGATGGTAAAAGGTAGAAGAAGAAGGTCAACTTACCAGAAGACATGATGACGTCAACAAAAATCAAGGGTATATGAAGCAGAAGAAGAAGAGGGTAACAACGAAGAAGCAAATAATAGAAGACTTTCAAAAAGGAAGTATGGAGTACAGAAAGAAGATGATACTCTGGGATCTCCCCTTTATAACCCCAGAAAAAGCCGGGGGCGTTGGAGAAGCTGATCGGTCTTGTTTCCTTTTTGTACATCCAATGATCCAAACCTGTGAAAGTGCCGAGGTCCAGTCGCATCAATATTGTTCCGAGCTGGGCGGCAGTCACGGGATCTCCGGCGAGAAATGTCTGATTTGGGCCATTTTCATGTGAGAATCAAAGAGATGATCTTCTTCTGGGTGTCGCAGGTGCCTAGGCTGTTAGCTGTGGTTTGTATGTATATCGTCATTGATTTTGACCGAGTTCTATCTCTCTCTCTTGGTGATGGTTGCATAATGGTAATAATAATGCAAGAAGTCACTGCATATATATTGCAGATCGTGTATATATATACAGAGTACACTATGGAAGAACGTTCCCAGTGTAGTAGGTAACGGCAGCATTCAGATCATCATTCTGATTACTCCAAGTTGGGTCTCTATATCCAATAGTCATAGATCAACTGACTCTATCACAGATCAGTTCTGATCTCATCAATAATGGATCACCCTGTATCCTGTACCATAGTCCTCTGAGCTGAGCGGAGAGTCTCGGCGGTGGAATCTCCGACCACTTTTTTTCTCTCCGCAATACTTGAAGATCAACAATTACTACTTATAACAGTCACCATCGTACAGTCGTTGCATTCAACGCCCCGCCACGCAGCTTCTATACCTAAACATCTATATCCTCCTCTACCCTCCTTCATGCGCCCCAGCATTCTCCGCAATTTGGCAACAGTCACCGGCGCACCACCAGCGCGACTGACCATCTTCCATCCCTCCACATCATGGACCACCCAACTACCACGACATGTACGATCCTCCCTCACCCTACCTAACCCCCCCCCCTTCTTCAAAAAAAAAAAAGCCTCTAACGATCCATCGTATAGAACACCCCGACTCCCCCCTCGCGATCTTTCTCCCAATCTCTCGCGACAACCTCCTCCTTCTTCCGCCTAACCTCCAAACCCACCACCGACACCACACACACAGTCACAGCCGCACCCGCACCCGTACCCGTATCCCCCTTCTCTCCCGACACCGACGATGTCCTCCCGGACTATAGCGCCTACAAGCCCAAGCGCCAATGGCCCCCGGACATGTCGAAGCTCTCGCCGAAGCACCAGTTCCGGCTCGAGCGCAAGTACCGGCGCCGCGCGGCGCTGAAATACGCGCGGCCCAAGTGGATGAAGATGACCAAGTTGGCGCAGTGGGGGATTATCGGATGTGAGTTCTTCTTTCCTGCCAAAAGAGAAATGGGGAGGATGGGGCTGGGGAGCTAATGGATGGGGTTTTAGTTGTTTTGATATATGCGTTGTTGTTCATGGAGTGGGATGAGAGGGGGAGTCCGGTGGAAGAGGTGAGTTTGTTCGAATCGTGTTTGGAGGCTGTCTAGTGTCATGTGCTAATATGGGTTGGATGCTAGATTCGACGGGCGTTCTTCTCGGGTCTCAAGGAGACGTTTTCTACCCCACCGCCTCCTCGTCCGGTGAGAAGGGCGGATGATACTGCTCGGGAGTAGAGATGGAAGCCTAGAGAGAAGATTGATGTGGATGGGGAGGATTTCTACCAACAGAGGGGTGTAAGATGAATCTATGTACAATTTCCAGACATCTGTGTATATTCACTGGACCAAATATGAACCAAACCCTTTCCTACAGAAGAAGCTACGGACATCTGTTCAAATATAAACAAAAAGCGCATGCTGCCTGGAATGTTCTCAGAGCAAAGAGTAAGATCGCATCATGATGGCCCCGTTTCTTCATTAAATCGTCGCGTCGCGGCCGGGATGCAGCGGAAAGAAGCACCCAAAACACCAAAGGAATGCCAGCACCTTTCAATATCCAATGACTCCGATGAAACAGAAAAAATCAAAACCACAAAGATTAGGAACGAGCGAAAAAGTCTCTGGGGATCACAGGGCAGCAGTAAACAATGGAAACAGACAATAGAATGAACCAATCCCAGACGCCGATTCATGACCACGTAAGAGACAACCTCATGGAAAATAGGTTGTCTTCGAATTGACGAACAAGCACGAGAAATAAGCAGATCAAAACACGGGGAAGGAGATTCGTCAGGAAGTACATCACAGCCAATTGCCAAAGTCCTCGGTCTTTTGAGAAATTTGGCCGCTGGAAGGCAGATCAAGCGCAAGCTCTAGCCTGGGTGGCTTCTCCTCAAGAGCGCTTTTCTTAGGACTGCCAGGACCACCAGCCTTCGTCGGTGACTTGATTGGCGACCCCGGCTCAGGTCGAGGCGGCCCTTCCCGAACAAACGTGTAAGGCCATCCGTCTTCCACAGCAGCGGCAATCCAGGTCCGCAAGCAATCGTGAACGGAGGCGTAGAACTTCTCCTTGCATGTCCTCAGACTGCCGCCCATCACCTTCTCAAACCCAGACGCCCGAAGCTCTGAGCGTAACTGATTGCGCTCTTCCACCGACGGCAAGCACGCAATGAGACCGTTCACAAGGTCTAAATGCGCTGCAAGGTAGTTGGTGGCATCCCATTCAACACCCCCTACATAAGGGGCAGCGGGAACGGGCGGCCGGGGTACCGGAAAGTGTCTTCCTCGGTAGCTTTGTTGTCTCAATTCCGAAGAATTCCCATCTGATTTCACGTGTGGGATGACATTGAGATGATGAAGGAAGATCCAAAACACCTCCTTAGTCACATTACTGACTTCCTTGCACCACACACGATATGGGCGGGATTGATATATGTTGGCGATAAAAGAGAGGGGTTGACTCTCTTCTGGGGGAGTGGGATCCCGCAAGTACGACAGGATCCGTGTAGCACAGGCGGTTGCCGCGTCGTCGGAGGTTGTGGTGGAAAGTTGAGTGAAAAGAAGGTTCATGATGATACTGCGGGTCGTGTATTCACTCGGCCCCTTCTTGTCCTCATCGAACAACATCTTCAGCAGAGCTGGAAAGAGCTCAGCTTCGATTCTGGTCAAGTGCTTCAGGGCAACGGAGGTCGTGCCAAGTGCTTTCAGGCACAAGAGCGTTTCATGAAGTAGCGTGTCCTCGTGTTCCTCCCTGTTAAAAATTAGTTTTGTCACAAACTAAGAATGGGACAACAAGGGGATTCATACCTCCACTCAACCTTCATAATCCGGTAGAGCAGCTGGACAATTTCATCCATCCCTCCATCGGCAATGAATGTGTCAACCCAGCTAACAGTCTCATTGCGCAGCAGGATCCGAAGCTTGTGGATCTTTCCAACTTCTATCATTTCCGGTTTCTGTATTTCCCGCAAATAGTGGACAAAGTCCGAGGGATCCGCGGCGGTGTCATGACAAGCGGTAGCAGAGAGAGAGGTTGTGGATGTAGATGGAGTGAGGCTCTTCGATAGACTTGCAGGTTGGGACAGATCAGCAGACTTTGGGCGACGGTAGAAGCTTCCGCTTTCTGGCCGCTGCTTCTTTCCAGGCGAAGAGCTACCTTTGGAGAAGGTGAACCCGCGACTTCGAGACCGCGAACGCGATCCTTTCCCATCATTGGGTTGCCGGTCGTCCTTCTTGTCACTTTTCCGGCCTCGACGGCCAGCACTATCGTTGGTGGAAGAAGTATTAGCACTGTGAGGAGTGTTGTTCTCTGCTCGGTCCTTTTCGATAAAGTCGGCTTTAATGTTGGTGTCTAACGCCCTCATTTTATCCCTCATATTGTGCGGAATATTTCGTGCGTCCTATTGCAGTAATTAGCTTCTATGTATTTCCATGACGATCCGGATCCCTGTATTTCGAATCAACTTACAAGGAGCTTTTCGAACTCGCTTTCCAGGTCCTTGGCGTTTAGGCGTCGCTGCAACTCGGCCTCTTTTTCCTTTGCATTGAATGCAGAAATCGCCGCTTGCACGCGGGATGGCTTCTTTGGACTAGCATCCGGTCTCGTCTCTGGTTCTGGTTGCGACCCTGACCTTGACATGCGAGGTCTTGGATGATCTTTACTGGACCCGATCTGCGGTTGATCAACCAAGATTGGCTTTTCAGATGGCACAGTCTGAATGTTCCCGAGAAGCTCCCTCACCTTTCGATTACCTGAAAAATTATCGGACTTGGGACGGGGTTTGGGGTTCGGACGGTTGGTGAGCGAAGGCTGTTGGTAATCATGGAAGTTCCGTTGCTGCGCTGGGCTATACGCCTTGGGTGTGTAAAGGGAAACTTCTTCTTGCAAGTTCCTGCGCCTCACTGGGGATTGCGGGACTTCACCTTGACCATGAAAGGACCCAGCCCCATACTGGGCCCAGACGGGAGACGGCATGTTGTCAATCAGATCGGATGGACTTCGATTTTCCTTGTCACGTAGATCTTTGGAACCTTCCGCTTTTCTTCCCCTCTGGGAACGCTTCAGAATGGCACTGAGGCTGTTCGCTGATTTTGCCTTTTTGGGCTTCCAACCCGTTGCTTCGTCCTCCAACGACTCACTTGTCTTGCTCTCCTTGCGCTCCATATAGTTCCTCAAGGACTTTAGAGAAACCGTGCTTTTAGTTTTCTTGTGTAAACCCCCCTTCTCAGACTTCACGGGTGACTTCTGGTAGAATGCCGTGCCATCCGCTGCATCACGATTGTGAGCTCGCTCTGCCAACGGCTGTTGGTTGAGAGTCGGGTAAGCCTGATCAGCCGGGGACCAGGATGAGCTTTCAGCAGCTTTGCCTTTGGCAACGATTCGGGGGTTGATGGCATCGTCGGCCGACTGGTTTCGCCGATGGGCTTTGGACAGCATGGCTCGAAAACCCAGCTTAGTCGGACTCCTGGTGGCATCATCGAAAATCTCGGGGGGTTGCATGTTGGGAGCCATTACTGTCGCCTTTGACCAGAAACTGACAACAGGTGGGTGGTCAGAAATGGGGAGCAATGAAACAAGCGAGAGCAAAACTCTGCAGGGGACGGATAGATACAGAGGACTTACGGTGAGAAGATACTCCGATCGCAGATGGGAGAGAAGCAATGTAACCACTGAATTGACAGTAAAAAAGAAGAGACCCAAGTAACCAGAACCAGAACCGCAAAATCAGAAATCGCAAGAAAGCAGAAACACAAGGCAGAATGGAAGGCGACAAGACATTGACAGATTTGATAGGACTCAATGGGGAGGGAGGAGGACCGCAGGAAGTAATAGAAAAAGCCGGCGACACGAAAGGATCAAAGGAAGAGCAACAGCAACAGCAACAGCAACCAGCAACGAATGACCACCGGGTGATGACGAGGTCTCAGGTGAGTCTAAGAAGATGACCAACAGGCGCATGCAGCACTCATCCACCAACTTTATCGACCAACGCCGTTGCACCGTGGCTGGAAAGGAGCGTGGTGGACGGAGTAAACAGAGCGTCGACAATGAGGTTGCTGGGGGCAACGAGAGGGGGACAAGGCTTATCGATACTTGTATGTATGTACTCCTATGTACCTATGTAGGTAGATAGATAGCTACAGGGATCTCGAGGTTTTTATTTTTTTTATTTTTTTATAAATATAGTCCTCTGTCGATACTCAGTAGATAATCAATGATAGTACTTTGTCACTAAACAGTTGTTGATCTCATGCATTGTTGTCTTTTTTTTTTTTTTTTTTTTTTTCGAGGTGGCTGGACACAATGGTCGGTACTACTACGTAGGTTATTGTGAGGTATCGACGAAGTAGCGATGCTGCTGCTAATGATGAAGAAATTCGCCATCAGGACCACCAAGGTCCTCTAGACTACGAAATGATCTGATCTGACTGAGCAGATCGGGTCAATTGGCCTCTTTTGACCGAGTATTGAGTATCTAGATTTTCTACTTGACTCCATACTGTTGAACTTGTCTCGATGCACTCCGTAGTAGTCCAGGAAACGCAAGCGGACTGCCAAGGCATGGCTTCATCCGCAGTAGTTTTTTTGGTTCGCGGGGGAGAAATCGACTAGACAACTAGACAGGTTGTTTCCCCTCATTAATAATAATAATATAATAATGTTGAGACAAGAGACAAGAGGTTAATCTACGGAGTAGGAGGAGTAGTACTGTGTAGATAGATAGTAACTACTAGTAGTCTAGATAGAGGGTCTTGTCCTCCAATTCATTCATCTGCATTGCTTGTGTTTCTCAGTTTTCCTTTGGTTGACCTCATTCTTTGTACCTTAAGCTTAATCGCCTCGTTCCTGACGGACTGGAATCTGACTACCAATAATCACTACTAAAAATTCACACGCAAAAAGACTACTACGGAGTAGATAGGCTACCATGCCGTCATTCCCTCTGAGGCCTCGACCTTCATTGCTTCCACAGTGCTATCATCATTTGGAAAAAAATACATCATCTCTCTACCCATTCGATTCATGACTTGAATTCTCTCGATTTATTTTGTCTGTTCCTCGCTGTTCTTGCTTCCCGGCTTGGAAGCGATCGTGATCATCGAAGAACTGCAATCGGGTAGTTTCGGGCAGCCTTCCCCACAGGTCTCAGATGTGATCCGACATATTTCGACCAGTCCAGATTCGTCTGTGAGATATATTCTGTCTATCATCCGCAGTTCCGCACATCGGTACTAGTTGGTCTCTCCATGATAATTGGCTTGTGACTTGTATGAGCTGCACCGTGACCAAGAAAAGAAAAAAAAGATGAATTGTCCCTCGCGAACCGACGATACTCTCGACCACCCGGATTGGAATCAGAATCCCCCGGCGCTAAATGCAGATACAACCACTCGCAATGACTTCAACGGCATCGCCAATTCCAAAGTACACAGAAACCATGCGTCAGGAGGAGGTGGTGGTGGTGGCCGAGGAGACGGTATTATGGGAATAGACTCTCCGTCACCTAACGGAGAGGGACATGATCCTGAAATCGTGGAAACAAAAACCCCAGGCGGGGTGATCTCTGCTGCCTCTGGGGACGAACCACCCCAGACCAGCAGCGGATCACCCCGCCGTTATTTTGATTATTTCACAGACATGATCACCGCCCGACTACTCCATGTTACTTCGAGTCTCATAAAATTCGCGCGGTTCGTGGGCCCCGGCTTTCTCATCGCCGTGGCTTACATTGATCCCGGAAACTATGCTACCGATGTCGCGGCTGGTGCCGAATTCCGATATGCTCTGCTGTTTATTGTCCTTCTCTCCAATCTCTTTGCGATCTTTCTGCAGTCATTGTGCATCAAATTGGGAAGTGTTACGGGTCTCAACTTGGCGGAAAATTGTAGAGAACATCTCCCAAAATGGGTAGTGATCATTCTCTACATCTTGTCCGAGGCCGCTATCGTTGCAACTGACATTGCCGAGGTATGCAGTGGCGTCTTTGATCTTCCAATGCTTTGCAGCATCGCTGATTTCTATGTAGGTTATTGGATCGGCAATCGCTCTCAATCTTCTGCTGAAGATTCCGCTAGTCGCTGGCTGCGCAATCACGCTTGCAGACGTTCTCATCCTTCTCATCTTCTACCGACCCGATGGGTCCATGTGGGGGCTGCGACTGTTCGAGTTCTTTGTCATGGGACTGGTGCTGGGGGTGGTGATATGCTTCTGTATCCAGCTCTCCCTCATCAAAGACCAATCCATTGGCGACGTCTTTCGAGGTTACGTACCATCCTCTGCCATTGTCGAGTCGAAGGGGTATGTGGTGTAACTCGTGATGCTTTCAATACGTGCACTAACCGGAGATTTCTCTCATGCAGTTTGTATCAGAGTTGTGGTATCCTTGGTGCCACCGTCATGCCCCACTCCATATTCCTGGGTAGCGGCGTTGTCCAGCCACGTTTAAAAGAGTTTGATGTCATGAAAGGTTATGCGGATCCTTCAGCATGTCTCGGAAGTGTTGGTGGGGAAGTCGAATACCGACCATCCATCCAAGCTATTCGAGGCTGCATGAAGTACTCGATCATAGAACTGACACTTTCCCTCTTTACGTTTGCTCTGTTTGTAAACAGCTCCATCCTCATTGTTGCCGGTGCCTCCTTGTATGGAACTGCTGGAGCCGATGATGCCGACCTTTGGGGCATCCATGACCTGCTTTCCAGCTCCATTGCCCCCGCCGCTGGCTTGATCTTCGCGTTGGCGCTTCTCCTCTCGGGAATATCTGCGGGGATCGTATGCACCATGGCCGGTCAGATGGTGAGCGAAGGGATGCTGAACTGGACTATCAAGCCCTGGCTCCGCCGACTGATTACTCGGTCCATTAGCATTATCCCCAGTATCATCATCGCAGCAGCTGTGGGAAAAGAGGGGCTGAACAAGACCCTTACTGCAAGCCAAGTAGTTCTGAGCGTCATTCTCCCCTTTGTCACGGCTCCTTTGATCTACTTCACCTGTCGCAACCGATACATGACTGTACCTGCGGATCGAGTTGGCGGATATGACCCAGACATGCCGGCCGAAGGAGTCAAGATGCGCAATAATTTTCTGGTTTCCGTACTGGCGGTGCTCATATGGCTCGTAATTGCCGTGATGAATATAGCTCTGCTGGTGCTCGTCGGGATGGGCAAGGCTTGAGCAACCGCCTCATGAGCTTGGGTTTGGATTGAGGTATCATTCGGATGGGTAAGGCTTGAGCAACCGCCTCATGAGCGTGGGTTTAGATTGAGGTATCATTCATGAGTGGTATCAAATAGAACGTATAGAGATGCTACGCACGTAAATCATAGACAGTTTGATAATAGAAACGAACTCCCTGGAACTCCATTGCTCTCATGTTTTCGCAAGATGTCGGGGCTTGATGCATTAGCCCAGACCACCAGCAGGCTCCTTGACCTTTGCTTGCTCGGGAGGCTCATCGATAAACTGAGGTGGCACCACCTCGTCCTGCATGAAGCTCGGCATGGCACTCTCGCCCATCGCGCTCTCAAACATCGACTCCTCGCCCAGCGCCTCGAGCTCCGCATCGAGCTCCGCCTCATCCACGTCCTCCGGGATGTCGTACGCCCGAGAGATACTCTCCTGGATCTCGTTCCCGATATCCATCAGATCCGCCATCTCATCCTGCATGCGCTCGATCTTGTCCACGTCCACCTTGCCATACTGCCTCTTCAGCTCCTTCGTCGTCGTCTTCATCGCGTCAACCGTCGTCATCACGTTCTTCAGATTATCCTGCATCATCCCCGCCTGCTCCATGTTCCACGATTGCTGCGACAGCTGGTCACGCTGCGCCTCGTACTGCTTCCGCCGCTGCAGCACCTTGAGCGCCTTCTGGCGCAGCGCGTTCTTGCCGGGCCCGTCGCGCATCTTGGCGATTTTGGCCTGGTACGTCGAGAGCTCGGAATTGAGTGAGGCGAGTTTCACGTCGATGCTAGCGACGCGGTTGTCCACCTGTGTGTGACGGGGCGGGGATGTGGTTAGATTGTGTTCATGCGGGGAAGAGCGGGTTTTCCTCGCTGGCGGGAAATACGTACTTTGGAAATAGCATCGTCGAGCGTGGGCTTGGGAGCCGTGCTTTTGGTCCCGAATAATCGGTTCATCTTGTATTCTTTTGGTTGTAGATAGGATGCCTTGTTGTGCTTGGTATTCTCAGGTTGGTGGGGAGATAGCTTCTGGATAGTAGTACGTAGTAGTACGGAGGTACTCCGTCGGGTATCTCTAGGCTGAGGGCAAACATGTGTATGCCAAGGTAGTGGCTGGGTTGCCGCCTGAGAATCGCTGGAGAATGTTCCAGGCTTCTGGGCTACTCTCGCAATAATACAGATTACAGAGCTGCAGATACTATTGAAAATCCAACGAATTTCGATATTATCTATCTACCAGATCCCCATCCTACTAGACCCGGGCCTGGGAGAAGAAATGCATCCAAATCAATTGAGGCGAGGATGGAAGCATATGCCGGGCACGTGATTGATTGGGTTGATCATCCGTTCGTCAGGAATCAGGCATCAAGGCACAGGGGTCCTTCCCAGGCGGATCTTATCATCTGACTTCAACAACGATGCAACAAACCCGGATCGTAGTGAAAGGATAGTATCTAACCTATTATTCACAGCACCCTTCTGGATAGTTTCTATTATAATCTGGCATCTCGTAATAATCATAAGCAACCTCAAAGCACGTGTGACCACGTTGGATCATTGCCTGCGTGGGCTGACGATCTGGAGAGAAACGACCTCCATCGACCTCAGTTGCACGTAATAGGTATCCCATACTTATCCACACACACAACTGGGTATGGCCAGTGCGGTACCGGATACATTATCTGATTTTCTCGTCAACCCCGACAATCTTGCAAGGCGCATTCATCGGGCGAAAACCTAGGTCGTGTGAGATATCCTCAAAGAAGGCACCAAGTTTTCTGTCTGTTTCCAGCTAAAAAAGTAAGGGGACGGGCAGGTCAGCACTGAGCAGCAGATGACCTTGACTACCGTGAACACGGACTCAAATTCAATCTCTTGAGGATCGACTTGTATCAACTATCAACCGTCAAGACTCTTGTGGATTAGATACCGATGTCTATCTATGCTCATAAAACTCATTTCACCTTGATCAAACCAACGTGAAACGAATCTGTCGCAATCCATACCACCCCTCTTCTCGCTCTCGCCTAGAGACCGCGTAGAATTTCCCCGCCGCCGCTTGTCGGGTTTGTTGGGTATTTCCGCTCAGCCTGTGTTCATCAACCTTCCCAGGGATCAAAGTTGCCGGCCGATCCAGACGCCGCCGCCAGCGCAGCACGTCGTTGTGATCCCTGATCATCAGCCGTCATTCTGATTCTGTTGACTTTATTCTCTGCGACCACTATCGGTTTATCATCTTCCCTCCCATTATTCGGACGGTCTGGTTGAAAGCCTGTGCAACAGGTTCCTGTGCCTCTCGAGGGCTTTGGGCTTACGGTCTCAATTCACCACCACCACCACCTCCTCCTCCTCCTCCTCCAACTTGTCTGTGCGCTTAGGAGGAGTCTCGCATCACATCTTTTTTCCTCTTCTTTGTCACTCCCTTATTGTGAGGTCTTCAAGGTATGATCTGTGTCTCTTGTAACCCCATTGTGGTCCTTTATCTCTCGGCGTGGTCTCCGCCCCCAACATCCCTTCCTGCGACCCTGTGTGTGCCCTCTGCGCCGGCAGTCTCCTGTCCCTTGGGGATAGGAATAAACATCCACACCCTCCCAAGACTTCCGTGATCTGCTCAAATTACTATCCCAATGATATTTTGATTGGTGAACAATCGCTAACCTGGTTATTCTCGACACCTAGCGCCTGGACGCCCCGACCGCATTGATTCGCGAACCGTTTTCATCTCCTTCAAGACGAACGTTTTGAGTTTCACGAAGCGACTGTTTTGGACACATCTTCTAATTAACAGGAGTTATTACCTCGCATTGACCAAATCAGCCATCATTCTCCACAGCGCTGTACCATAGACGTCTCCGTTAACGATTTTCGGAGAAAAGTATCGAAAAAAGGAAAAGTACATCTTTTATCTTGTCTGTTTTCCATGACTATTTTCTCCCGGATCTACCGTTCAATATGTTTTGGCGCTTCGGGGGATACGCAAGTATCTCTACCATCGACTCCCTGCTTGACAAACCTGATGTCAGTCTCGAAGAGCTCCTAGATGAGTCAGAGTTGATCCAGGAACTCAAGCAACAAAATTCGAAACTTATAGAATATCTACGGGAAGATAATGTTTTGAAACGCCTTATGGACTATGTGATTGCACCCAGCCTGGTGAAGGACGACGATGACGAAGACAACGATGAGGATGACACAAATGACGCTAATGCCACTCGAACGAGCGAAGAAGTTCTCGGTGATGGACAGAAGAATGTTGATCCGCTAAAGGAGATCTTAGACCCCGAGGATTTGGATAGGGTGGAAAAGAATCGTCTCAAGCACGCTTATATCGCGTGCGAGGTTCTATCGTCGGAGACATGGTCGATACTGGGATCTATAATGGCAAACACCAGTTACTTGCGCGAGTTCTGGGGTTTCCTGAGGAGAACGCCGCCGTTGGATCCTATCCAGGCGGGATATTTCACGAAAGTGAATGAAACGCTGTTTGATCGAAAGACTGGCGAGATGCTGGAATTTTTCAAGTCCTTAGACGGCATTATCCCTGCAATCCTTCGGCATATCGACAATCCCATGGTTATGGACCTTTTACTGAAGATAATCAGTCTGGAGAAGTCCGAAGGCGGCCAGGGGATTGTGGACGTGAGCTCTGAACAATATCCTTCTACTTTTTGGCATGTTAGCTGATATATTGGCTTAGTGGTTGAAATCGCAGGATCTGATACCCATTCTCCTTTCTTTCCTGTCTCCAGAGCACCCGGCTTCCGTCCAGACTTCGGCAGGAGACTTCCTCAAGGCTATCATCACCATCTCCGCGAACGCAACTCAGAATGACCAATCCTGTATTGGGCCCAATAGTCTCACTCGCCAACTGGTCTCCTTGCGATGCTCAGAAACCCTCATCAATGCTATGTTACGAGGCGGGAACCCATTAACGGTCGGCGTGGGTATCGTAATCGAGGTGATTCGAAAGAACAATTCGGATTATGACCCGGAGACTCTTGGTGGCACTGACTCGCCCCCATCGACATATGACCCTATCTACCTGGGCCATCTGTTGCGACTCTTCGCCAAGAACATACCTTATTTCATGGCGCTAATCAAGAGCTCAAAGCATACGATCAACGATGGCGGAGAAGTTAAGAGCGTAGAAAGAGGGCAGCTGAACAGCGCATGGGGTGCCAAGATCGAGCCATTGGGTTTTGATCGGTTCAAAACATGCGAATTGATGGCGGAGCTTCTGCACTGTAGTAACATGGGTCTTTTGAACGAGCCCGGCAGTGACGAGTACATTCGTCAGAGAGATGCTGAACGGGAGAGACTGTCTCGCGAAGGCGCATTCAACCTGCATAAGGAGGAGGTATCGGTTCTTGAGGGCAACGATTCTACCGCAGATTTCATCAACGAATCTGTTATTGATTCAGGCTCACCGGAGGATTCTCGAGTACTTGAAATGTCCAATACAGGCGATGATGGCTTCGAAGATGTCGATTCCTCAGGTGTTCTGATTGATAAGGAGAAACTTGCCGACGGTGAAAATCGGGCAGCTTCAGAAGGGAAGGGTACGACAAGCGGCTTGGAAAAGAAGACGGATGACAAAGATGAAGGTCATACGGAAGACACAAAGAGAACGGAAGAAGCAACTACCGCAGGGACGAACAACAACCCCGAGAAAACCCCAGTTTCGGATCTCACAAACCAGTTGAATGCGATGGATTTGGAAGGCAAATCGACCGCAAATGCAACCACTGTGAAAGAATCCGCGAACAACGATGCAGTTCAGACCACTGAGCAAACGTCTTCGAACCCCAAATCGATATCGGGACCACAATCTTCGGCGAAGCGACAGGAATCCGAATCAATAGCTTCAGATCCTGATACTGCTGGTCAGGTCGGGAATGCGCAAGGCTATACGGACTCTAAATTAGACCAAATATCTTTAAAGGACGAAGAGGAGGATTTGCGGGCGCACATCAATCCTTATGTTCAGCTGGACCCGAATGGTCAACCTGTGGTGGGTGATTATCTCAAGATAATGTTCGTGAAGAACCGGGTTGTACCGACAATACTGGTAAGTCACCTTCAAATTAGTATGCTCTACACAGATGCTGACGTTCAATGTCATAGGATTTCTTCTTCCGGTTTCCCTGGAACAATTTCCTGCATAATGTTGTATACGATGTTGTTCAGCAAGTGTTCAACGGGCCCATGGAGCGCGGTTACAATCGATCCTTGGCCATTGACCTGTTTGAAACTGGTCATATTACGCAAGCAATTGTCGAAGGACAAAAACGCAGCGACGAAGCGCAACGGGCGAGACGCATCAGACTTGGCTACATGGGTCACCTTACACTCATTGCGGAGGAAGTGGTTAAGTTCAGCGAACGCCATCCACCGGAGCTGCTGTCTCCAGATGTGATGGAAAGTGTCTTGAACCCAGAGTGGATTGACTACGTTGAACAAACTCTTTCTGAAACACGAGAGCGTGACAACGCCATCCTCGGCGGGGTACGGCCAGACATGGCGATTGGACATCGCCAGGGCATGCTCAACCAAGGTCAAAGCATGAATACCTCATCGGCTCTCGCTGAAGCTGGCTTGAATGGTGGCATCGGCAATTCAGGCTTCCAGAACTTCGATATGTTGAACCAGGGCAGTGTTTCTGGTGGTGCTTTTGGCCTTGGTGGCGGTGGTAGTTCTCTCCTCAGTGGCTTCGGCAGTTCAAGTGACGACGAGGATGAGGAGCTGGAGGAACAGGACGACAGAAACCTGAATGATTCATCCGCAGAAACCGGTTCCGAGAATGTGGGTGCTACTTTCTTTACTGAAGTTGACATAAGCGATCCCTGAGGGCCTGTGCTCACTCACGTTGAATACCTGCCTTGTCCCCCTTTCTATTCCTTTCCGCGGTGACATTTATACTCCACGTCAACACGGCCGATGAAGGGCTGATGCGGCATGGATGCTGGGAGGTGAAATGGATTTTTCCAAGATCATTTCAACACGGAATGCAAAGAGCATGTCTTCGGCGCTTCTTGTCCATGTATCAAATCATTCAGAGGGTTGACATTCCTCAAGGCCGTGTGGCATCCATCTTGAACTGACGGGGTGCCTTTCGGATTGGCTGGATATATAGTCCTTTGCCTGTTCTTCGATGCATTGATATACCAAATTCTGCCTCATGTGTCTCCACTAGTGGGCCCTTCGTTTATGACGGCAGATGATGGGACAATGGAGCTCCCAGAGTCATCCATCATCCCTGATTCTGCTAATACGTGGACTGCATTTTATCCTGGATGATGTGTTTGCCGACCCTTTCACCCCTTCCTCTCCTATACTTCCCTCACATAGTTTCTGTTGCGACCAAATTATCATGAAAGTGACTAACGTTGAGTTACATCCAGGCATCATCAAACTCAACAAGCCAACCCATCCCCATTCTCCCACCCCCTCCTGCCCCTCTCAGCCTAGGGCCGTCTCGCGCTCGACGGCAGCTGGCAGCACGGCTCGCTCTGCAGAAACAGCAGGCCGCCGAGAATGGCGGCAACGAGGGCGATGAAAACAAGCAAGGCAACCAACATGAGAATGCCGACTCTCAGTGGCCAGTCAACCCATTTGTGATTGCGGGATTGGACGACGACGGCGACGGGACGGATTCGCCCTCGAGAGCTGCTTTTTCACCCAGCGACTTCCCCGCGGTCCCTAAGGACGAACCTTTTGCATCGCCTACCTTCCCCGGGTCTGGCTTCAGTCCTCCTGATTCATTATCCACCAATTCTTCGGACGATGACGGGGAGGGAAGGGCAGGGATGAGACGCAAAGAGCGCATTCCCCTAGAAGTCGAGGACGATGAGGACGACATGGGTGAAATGGTCGGTCCCTCACTCGGGTCTGACATAATGGACTCGGATGAAGAGGATGAAGCCATTATGAATGAATCTTTAGGATACCCTGACCTCGGCCCTGGCCGCTACAAGAATTTCCGAAGGTCACAGTTTGGGCCCTCTCCATTTGGAGACGACGATGGGAATGACAGCAGTGACGGCGAAGATGATGGGCTGGTAGAAATCCTTGTCCCAGGAAGAAAACCATCTACGTCTTGACCACGATGCATGGCAAGGGGGCTTTGATTCTACATTGTTGGTCGTGCTCTCTGCTGGTTTGCCAGGTTGTATACGGGTGGTGGTTTGTGTTTGACGTTTTTTGGGCGCATAATCCTCCTTGTTCCTTCTTTCTTCTTTTTCCATGATGATGTACACTATCTGAATGTGCATGACCTTGTATATGTTTTGATGTCCGGAATGCATAGCCAAAGATCGTTGAGAGCGAAATAGAGATGATTTACTCTTGACAGCAGGCTTTCGATCTTGACTTCTATACCCCGTAAGTCACAACCACCGAGCTGAATAAACCGAAACCGAGGAAAGTCACCATGAGTAAATACTCTTGTAAAGGCACTCGAAACATTGAACTAAGAGACGCCTAACATGTTTATATTCCATTATCTGGAGTTGCTGCGCGATGTCGAGATGCCCGAGAAGGGGAAAAAAAAAAGTGGGACACCGCAGGCTGGAAGTATCCCAATCTGCCCCTCGTGCATTGTAGGAGTTTTCCTTGCGCATTGTTGTCTCGATAGTCGATACACCTCACCACAACGGTGCAGACTTTCATCTAAGAAGAGGTGTAGAGACTGCCTGATAGAAACGGTGATTTTATATCAATGATGGCTTGTAATAATTCATCGTCAATGGCGTCTTCAAGGTAGGCTTGGATTTTCGTTTGCTCCACTTCCATGGTGGCTTTCTTATACTACTGCGGACCTTGCCCTGCTCCTCCGTTATAGTGATATACTCATGTATCAAGAGAATGGAAAGGCTTTGCGCATCGGTGTGAGCATGGATTAAGCATGTTGATGTCCTCACTGTCCAAGAGCTGAGGCTGTTGCTTTTTTTCGTCTCGTCCCCTTCCCATTTTATCTATCTCTTGCGGACTATGCAAACAATCTAATTCGAGACATACAGACCATCTGAAAATGGCGATCTGGGAATTTACACATCGCTCATGGACTGGATGATCAAAAATGGCGGCTTTCTCCACGACAGCGTCCAGATCGCCAAAGACGACCAGCGCGGCGTCCACTTCAAAGTCAAGCAAGCGTGGAAAACCGGCGTGGCCAAGGATACTCACGTCATCAAGATTCCCGTGGCTGCAACCATGTCGTATCTCAACGCCGTCGAGCATCCTTTGCCTCCTAATTTGCAGAGTGCCGGAGCGGCTACATGCTCCGCGCATGGGGTGCGGCTGCCACGCGAGTTCATGGATGCTGTTGGGCCCGCTGAGACATTCATTTTCTTCTTAATCGGGCAGTATCTGCAAGGCGAGGACGGGTTTTGGTTCCCGTATATCCGGACGCTACCTCAGCCGCTTTCTTTGACGACGCCGTTGTACTACGAGGGGGATGATTTGGGGTGGTTGAAGGGGACTAGCTTGTGGCCGGCGAGGGAGCAGCGGATGGAGTTGCTGAAAGAGGCGTACGAGAATGGAGTGAGAGAGCTTCGAAAGGCTGGGTTCCAGGACGTGGACAAGTACACGTGGTACGTTAGTGGATCTCTCTCCTTTCCTTCCTGGCTAGATCCCCATTCCCACTTGGGAGAGCTTGCTCACGAGTACGCAATAGGGATCTCTACCTTTGGGCTTCATCCATGATTGTGTCGCGTGCTTTCTCGCCAAAGGTACTGGCCGAAGCGTTCGCTGATATCGATCTACCCGAGGATGGCGTTTCAGTCCTTTTGCCCTGTATCGATCTGATGAACCACCGGCCACTAGCAAAGGTAGAGTGGCGTGCTGGCAAACAAGATGTGGCCTACCTGGTGCTGGAAGATGTTGCGGCCGGGCAGGAAATCGCTAACAATTACGGACCTCGCAATAACGAACAGTGTAAGTTCAGAAACACAGCAAGTTGTCAATTTGTCGGTGTCTGACCTACAACCCAGTGATGATGAACTATGGTTTCTGCCTCCCGGACAATCCTTGCGACTACCGGATCGTGAGTCTGCGGGCGCCTCCTGGCAGCCCCCTTGACCAGGCAAGATCTTATCAGGCACAGATGTTTCCTGAGCCAGCCAAAAAGACAGAAGATCACTACTATGTTTTCAACATCTTCTATCCTCTCCTGGCTCCGGGCACTGCCATGGAGCATTCAATCTTTTCGCCGGCTCTATTCAACGCTGTTGCTGTGCTTGCAGCGAACAACAGAGAACTGGAAACACTGGAGATCACTGAACATGACGTCCGAATCCCAGAGTCATATGGCAGCTCCCGGACTGTCCTTGCCGCTTTGAGTCAGATAGTCATTGAACTGATTACACATATCGTGAAGTTAAGAGCTTCAGCAGAAGGCCTAGAGAAACCAGAAAACCTCAAGCAGATCCATGCGAAGATGTATAGGGACAGTCAGATCCGGATCTCCGAGACAGCTCTAGTTATTGCCGCGTGGACACTCAATCGCGCACGGCAGCACGGCTATGGTGGTTCCTGGGCGGAAACCAAGCAACTGCTCAGTGCCCACATGGCTCGTATACCGGCTGAGAAATTCCCCGAGGAAATTAGGTCTCGGATACAAGTGAGGGTTCTTGAGCGGGAATCACTACTTCGGAACAATGGTGAGCTATTCACTTTGAAGGAGTTATTCGATACCCTTCCTACTGAGCTGCAACAACCCTGTAGGGAATTGTTCCAAAGCGTTCTGACAAAATCGGAGAAATCCATACCAATGCTCAGAGGAAGCTCAGAGAGCTCGCCTTTTGCTTTCCCAATGTTCCTGTGTTTCATTATCGCCGCTCACACGAACAAGTCTTCTGATCAGCCTCAATTGCCCGCTAGACTGGCCAAATGGGCTAGCTTTATTCTTGAAAAGTACCCACCACCTCCTGAGGATGTGGCGTGGATGCTGGAGGAGGAAGACGATGAGCAGATGGTAAGTTTGTTTGACGAGCTGCTCGACAAGATGAGGGATAGAAGCCCAACTGTCTTCTCCAATGTCGCTCAATTCACCGGCGACTGGCAGAACGACAATTGGTGGCTGTCGCCAAACTGGCTACGCTGGGCATGGATGGCTACAGAGCAGGAATGTGTGCAGGCACCCGATGATCCTCTGGCATTGCTGGGAGTAGCGGGATCGGGGCAGGGCAAGCTGACATTGTCTACGGTGACATATCTGTACATACCGCAGTAGAGCTGACTGCGTTCTGATATTTTCAATTCTTCTGATACAACGAAAAACCATACTTGAGCGTCATTGTTCTGAAGCAGAGCCTGACATAATGCGTACATGACTAAGCAAACAGCACGTGACTATATCATAACCAATCAGCGGGCGGCCAAAGGCGGATATTCAGCAAGCGCAGGAATTGCCGCGCCGTGAAGCTCAACGACGGTGATCATCCTCAATTGACCCTTCCACCGTTCCCTCTCAATATCCTCCTCCATCTCCTATTCTCCCCACAGCCATTGGGCCACTTATCCACCATGATATCTCGAGCGGCGGCTCCCTCGCCTTCCTCTATCGCCAACCTCTCCTCCCGCTCCCTCCGAGTCTCGGGTTCGGCTGCCCGCTCCTTCGCCACTGTCCAGGACAACGCACCCCCCGTACGGCATCATGGCGGTCTACGGGATCAGGACCGGATATTCACGAACCTCTACGGACACCATGGTGCTGATTTGAAGTCGGCAATGAAGTTTGGCGACTGGCACCGGACTAAAGATATCGTCAACAAGGGTGATGACTGGGTAGGCCTGTCCGTCCTTTGAGAATTGGAGACACTTTGCGGAATCTCTGTTCGTGCTACATTTGGAATAAAGAGCCAATTGCTGACATGCTCTTTTCATTGCTTCTCTCCAGCTCATTTCCGAGATCAAGGCCTCTGGTCTGCGTGGTCGTGGTGGTGCTGGTTTCCCCTCGGGATTGAAATACGTAAGTCGTCACTTGTCAAACAATCAATCGCGTTTTTCTTTCATTTGAACTTGGGTTCTAAGCTCGGGAGCAGTCTTTCATGAACTTCAAGGGCTGGGACAAGGACCCCAGACCCCGCTACCTGGTCATCAACGCCGATGAGGGTGAGCCGGGTACCTGCAAGGACCGTGAGATTATGCGCAAGGATCCCCACAAGCTCATTGAGGGCTGCCTCGTCGTCGGCCGGGCCATGAACGCCAACGCCGCCTACATCTATATCCGTGGTGAATTCTACCACGAAGCGACCGTCCTCCAGCAGGCCATCAACGAGGCCTATCAGGCCGGCCTGATTGGCAAGAACGCCTGCGGCACCGGCTACGACTTCGATGTCTACATCCACCGCGGAATGGGTGCCTATGTCTGTGGTGAGGAGACCTCTCTCATCGAGTCTATCGAGGGCAAGGCCGGCAAGCCCCGCTTGAAGCCTCCATTCCCCGCTGCTGTCGGTCTGTTCGGCTGCCCCAGCACCGTTACCAACGTCGAGACCGTCGCCGTCTGCCCCACCATCATGCGTCGCGGTGCCAGCTGGTTCAACTCGTTCGGTGCCGAGCGCAACTCCGGCACGAAGCTGTTCTGCATCTCCGGCCACGTCAACAACCCCTGCACGGTCGAGGAGGAGATGTCCATCCCCCTGCGTGAGCTGATCGATCGTCACTGTGGTGGTGTGCGCGGCGGCTGGGACAACCTCCTTGCCGTCATTCCCGGCGGTTCTTCCACCCCCGTTCTTCCCAAAGCCGTCTGCGACGACCAGATCATGGACTTCGACTCCCTCAAGGACTCGCAGTCCGGTCTCGGTACCGCCGCCGTCATCGTCATGGACAAGTCCACCGACATCATCCGCGCCATCTCGCGTCTGTCCAAGTTCTACAAGCACGAGAGTTGCGGTCAGTGCACCCCCTGCCGCGAGGGCAGCAAGTGGACTGCCCAGATCATGGAGCGTATGGAGAAGGGCCAGGCCCGCGAGCGCGAGATCGACATGCTTCAGGAACTCACCAAGCAAGTCGAGGGCCACACCATCTGCGCTCTCGGCGAGGCCTTCGCCTGGCCCATCCAGGGTCTTATCAGACACTTCCGTCCCGAGCTGGAGGCCAGAATCAAGGAGTACGAGCAGGAGCTGGGTGGTAAGCCCTTCGCCGGCGGCTGGAGCCCCGAGAGCAAGGCCGAGGGCAAGTTGATCTCCCCCGGCATGTAAAATTACCATTTATTGTCTTCCCCCCCTCCTATCCCTGTCCGTTATCTCTCTCTCTCTCTCTCTCTCTCTCGTGTCCTCAAGCATTAAAAACAACGAGGGGTCTCTTCGAAAATGATAAGATACGGGTTTCTCTTTCTTCTAGCTTAGACTAGACCTCGTCCGTTTTTCTTCCTCTCTCTCTTTCTAGAGAGCCGTGGGAATCGTGCTTCTTTCCGCGTATCAGTGATCCTTTTCTGTTTACCCTCTATTCCTGTTCTGTTGGGTCCAGTCATGTACAGTTCTACAGTTTTCCCGGTAGCAATTCGAATAATCTCTTTTGTTAGGATCGTGTATCCTGTAGAAGTATAGCGCCGACCATGAGCGCATCAGACTTTACAACTACAGGGTATCTCCAGATAATTGTCAATTTTTGACAAGAACCACGTTTATCTAGGAAATTGCATTCTCTGAGCAAAATAGATCAAGCCATCCGTACCTGACAAGACGCAATAAGCACCCCATATCCGGTCTGAGCCATTATTATCCACTGCACTAGCCCGTCCCAATTCCGTCGACTCTTATTTAAAGCGCTGATTGAACCCGCAGAAAATATAGCAGGAAGTTTATCTTCATTTTGCAGAACCATCATTAGGACCAGAATTGGGTCCATATGCATCTTTCTTATCCTCGTTGGTTTCATCCGCCGCCTGCTGCGCTTCCTTCTCTGCTTGCTTAGCTGCCTTGATCTGGTCGAGCTTGGTCAGCCTCGCCAGCCGCCATTTCATGCCATGCCGGTACTCGAGCAACAGTAGGGCGAACCCCGCTAGCATCAGGAGACCCCAGAAGGCGAAGCACCAGCCCCATCCCATGGCACTGAGCATGTGGTCAACGACGGCGGCACCCACGGCTCCCAGCCAGCATCGAACAAGATTGCTAGCGGCAGAGGCGGTGGCTGCGCGGTCAGGGAAGAGGTCCACCATGAGCGTGTTCAGAGTATTGAGGGACGCGATGAAGGAGAATCCGATTATAAATTGCAGGATGAGCGGCGCTACCAATGGTGTGCGTTGTTGGAGAACCCAGCCGTACGGGATGAAGGCGGCCACACCGACAGCCATGATGGGGAAAAAGGTCTGCAGCCGGGTTTGCTCGATGGGGAATCCTCGCAGATCATCGCCTTTCTTCTTATCCACGGACAAGCCGAGCTTTCTAGCCGTGCGACGATAGTTGAAGTCTAGAAGTTTCCCATTCAGCACGGCTGCGATACATGAACTCACCCCAAGAGGCCTAACGATCACCAAGACAAACATGGTTAGCACTGTTTCATCACTAAAGGCTCAAAAAAGAGAAACGCACAGGAAGCAAAGACCGATCTGTAGGTCATTGAAGCCATAAAGTTTGCCAAAGAGGTTCGGAATGCTGGTCAACAGCGCTGTGTTGGAGAGCATAGCTAATCCGACATAGGAAATGATGATGAGAGCATCCTTCTCCAGCAATATGGCGAATGCCTCGAGCGGATTCGGAAACGCGATTTTCTTCTTCCCATGCTGCTGGTTCAGGCGGGCCCTCTGCTCCTCATGAACCCGGCGTTCTTCCACAGACATCTTCCTCAGTCGGCGCCGGGCACTCCAGTACTGGACAACAGACATCCTCCACGATTCCTTCGGAGGCACACTGCCATCTCCCACAATTGTCCGGGCTGTCTCCGGCACAGCAATCGTGAATACAACTAGGTAGCCACCGCTGATGATGACCAGAAACCAGAACACGCTTCGCCAGCCGAGAAACTTGGCCAAGATACCTCCAATGACCGGCCCAATAGCCGGCGCCACCATGACACCCGCTGCCATCGGACCGATATAGGAGCCCCGTTCCGCAGCCGTGGCGATGTCCGAGACAACCCCATAGCCAAAGGCCACGGTGCCGCTGCTCCCCGCGCTCTGCACACACCGGAGAATCATCAACGCCACGTAACTGTTCTGCAGCGCGAGGCCGATATTCGCCGCCGTGTATATCGCAAAAGCAAGAATGTACGCAGGACGCCGGCCCCCAGAGTCCGCAAAGGTACCCATGAAGCTCGGCGCCAGTCCCTGCAGGATCATATACGTGGTGATAGTCAGATTGATCAGCGCGGTGGTCAGATGATAGTTCTTGACGAGCGTCGGCATGACGGGGAAGTAGATCTGGCCGGACAGCGGCGAGAAGAAAGACGCCATGGAGATCATGAGGATGATGAATCGCTTCTCGTTCTGCGTGAAGGCCGAATGCGCCTGCTCCGTGTCTACCTGCAGGGTCGTCTCCTTTTGCGCTTCGAGCGCGGATGGGTCCGAGCCCGACGCTGCCTCTGCCGGCCTGTCGACGTGATGGTACTGGATCACATTGTCGCCGTCGTTGGAGGATGACGAGGCTGCGGCTCGTCCCTCCTGCACTTCGCGCACGCCAGTCGACATTCTCTCGATGGGTAATGAGGCTTGTGTGAGCGCTAAGCGAAGCAAATCCCCGTGTTAGTTTGGTGGCAGGCAGGAGACACGAGCACCGAACCAGGGCCAAGGGGGACGTACCTCCCCCAAGTGTGTTGATCTTGCGTTACTTTCCTGATTCTTTCACCTCTTTCTCTGCTCTCTCTGCTTCTCTGCCGAGCAACGATAAAACTCCTACAGACGCAGTCCGCCTCGTCCGAAATGCGCCGAGCACCGATAACACTGCGATAGTGACCACTCTAGATCCGAATCCAGGTGGTTATGGACAAACGGAAGCCCCAGTTTAATCAGTGACAGAGACAGGCACTCAAAGTAGGCGACAACACCAGACAAGGCAGAGTCATGAGAAGTCAGAGAGAGAGAGAGAGAGAGAGAGAGAGAGAGAGAGCGTGACAATGTCTCCCACTTGATGAAGCTTTTGTGTCGCCTTTGCACAACCAGGCAGAAGAGCCCAATCACAAGCAAAGCCGGAACCGGGCCTGTCGATGCCTGGACCGGAGCCTGGGGGCCATCGCTCCTTCCCCTTTGAGATGAGCACAGAATGACGAGCAGATCGGGCAGGCGCGACTCCCTACGGTTCGGGCTGAGTCAACCTGAGGCAGCAATGAGGCGGGTAGTACATCACAGATTCGATTCTCCCATTAAGTAGATCTAGTCAAAACACGCTGGTGGAGGTACATACAACCAGTAACTAACACAGGATGATCTCCATGGGAGTCCAAGCAGAAGCTTCAAGGGGGAGGGGGGAAACGGACCGCAATTCAAGAGACTGCAAAAGGAAACCTTGAGTAGATAGATCCAAGAGACAGAAAAGAAAAGAAAAAAAAAAAACAAAAAAAAATACAAACGGAGACGGAGACCACAGAGAACAAATACACACATATCTTTCATGATACAAGAAATACGCTTCTTCGTCGTTTTTTTTTTTTTTTTTTTTTTTTTAATAACCACCGGCCATGATAGTACTGTAGTATCTCCGGCTCATCTCTGCCGTTTGCATGATGCGCGCGTCGCCAGTAAGAGGCAGGTTGAGCACAGAGGGCAATTCGATCTCCTGTGATTGTTCGTCAGTTAATGCTTGCCTTAAATGGACGATTGCTCGACGCAATGGGGTTACTCACGCTGACATCCTCGTGCGCAGTCCACCCAGCAACAGCGCGGCTCATCTCCTTGAAAGCCACGCGTTCCTCTAACCCTTCCACTCCGGATCCCTTATCAATCGTCTCACTCATCGTGGCAAGCGCCTTGATCAAGCGACTCAGGCGAGCTGGATCCCGCTTCCCATTCTTGGCAGTGACAAGACGCAGGAAATCCTCGTAGATGCCACCCCTGCTTGCCCAGCCCTGGACTTTTCGCTCTGGGCCCTCGCCGAAGCCCGAGATCAAAGCCTCCAAAGTAGAATAGTCCCGTTCAATCACCGAGGTAGGACCCACGATGCGACAGAAGGTCGAGTGCGCATCGTTCCACTTCTTGCCACGAATCAAACAGTCCACCTCCCTCGCGGCATCCCCGCTATCGCGGGCGTACAGGGCCTTTGCAACCCAGATCCAGGCCTCGGGCAGCTGCAGCTCAGCTGTGAGATACTGCCATGTGGTATCTGGCGTACCCTGAGCGTTAAGCGGGTCCGGCAAGAACGCCGCAAAGCGTGCCAACGTCTCCTTGGCAGCGCGTTCACGATCAGATGGGCGAGAAAGATGGAGCAGAACGAATAGCGCATGCCTCAAATCCCCGGTGGAGCCGAGTTCGCAGGCGTAGTCCCAGACCAACTGATCAGCCCGAGCCTGATCGACCTTGAAGGTCTCATGTTCCCCAATAGCAGTCTGAAGCAGTTGGTACAACTGGAAGGTAATCCTATTGGAGAGCTTATCGCCAGTTACGGATTCGGGTAGCAGGGCAGCAGGGAATTCCATGGCCGGCAAGTCAGATTTCTTGAAACCGACAGCAGTGCCCGAGTAGACCTTGAGAAGAACCCATAGAGGAGACTCCAGCCCAAAAGTGACCGGTGTAGCTTGTGACATACCAGCTCCATCCAAATGAGAGGTAGGGTAGGGGAAAGCGGCTTCTTCTCCGCTACTAAGCTCCCGGGCAAATTTGAAAACCGCCGTCTCGATAGGCTCGTCGTCAGAAATGCCATACCACAGACGGAGGCCAAAGGCCTGAAACCAATCTAGCTCAAACCGCTCGGTGAAGGTGAAGGTCGAGGCACGATCCTCCAGCGCGCCACCAGACTTTCCCTCACTGCGAAGCGCATTTCCCGCCAACAGCTCATACAAGGCTCGAATTGGCTCCGTCATTTCCGACCAGACGTTGTGCTCGCGCCACGTCTCAATCTGCTTGGCCATGTCGAAACGGGAAGTGGGATCTCTGCCGATTTGCGAGACCAGTGTTGCCAGGTGGAGGTTTTGGCTGGCGATTAGAACCTTGCAAGCCTCTTCAACTCGGTGCGAGCATAGCAAGTGGATAGCATGCTCTTCGGGAGAACCGGCTTTGTCCAGATCATGGGCATGTCTCTCACGCACGACCCCTGCCCACATGCGACTCAATCGGTCCTTTTTAATGCGGTGAAGATATTTAGAGCGAAGTTGCGATGGCACTCCGGCAGAAATATCATCTTCAATCCCATCGTTGAAAAGAATACTAGTCAGCTGCCAAATGAGTCTCTCTTTGTCTGACTGCATAGAACTCAGTGACGTTTGTGTGAATGACCCAAAGTCAGCCTGTTTCAAATGCGCGAACGGGACTCCGTCGGTCACCTCAACGAGAGTCTGCTTTTGCTGAGCATCAAGCATTCCTCTAGGCTATGACGTTGGTCAGTCTTTGTGGAAAGCAGCGCAATAGTGGCAGATTTCCAACTAACCTCGTTGTCTTTTTTGAAAACCAGCACATCGACATCCCTTCCTTCACTGGTGATAGAGAGCTTTTCTTCCCATCGAGTGCCCGTCTGGGGTGGGTTTCCTCTCATGTCATTTCTGGCGCAGATCAAAGAGTCCATTGGACCCCATCGTGGCTTGAATGAGTGGTGAAAGGCCAGGTCGTCTTCACTTAGTTCATTCGATTCGCCAGCAAAGGTTTTGGGCTGCTGATTATAAGGCCACTATAGATATGAAGAAGAACATTAGTGATGCATTCCACTAGAATATCAGTTCTGATTCGACTATCTGGGTTGAACGCGTGTGGTAGTCAACTTCTAAGATACATGCTAATCAAAAATGCCACGGAGTAAAGAATATAACAAAGTAAGGGAGTCAAACCTCAAGACCCTTCGGCTGCACAGGTTGCACCTTGGAAGGAGATTGTCCTGGCTGCTTGCGCGGTTGCTGAAACAACGAATTCATCAAATCAATGCTTGTTGCAAACCCTTTCTGTCGACTGTCGGCCACGGCCATCTTCGGCGTGTTGTCATGAAGCGATCGATCGATGAAAGCATTTGCCTGGATCTCGCGAAGCGCATCTCGGTTTTGCTTTCTCGGACTGATCGTTCGCTGCAATTGTTCGGCCCAATCGCCGCTCCGGTCCAGTCGGACCTTGGAGGGAGTCTCCCATGGCCTCAATGAAGGCTGGGTGTTGTCAATGTAGCTGTCGGTGCTGTTGGCATCGTCGTGCTCCACGGTATGATCAAGGTTGGGAAAGGTGCCCGCCATGTCCATTTCCTCGCCTTCATCGAATTCAACGTCTGATTCGCCAGATAGCTGGCTTTCGGTGACATCGTCACCATGCTGCTCAGTAGTTGAACCCGTGGAGCCGTCCCCTAAAAAAGACTCCTCTTCTTCGGAAGCATAATCCTGATTTCCGTTTGTCTCCATTGGCTGATTGCCAAACGCCCCTGGAACCAATTTACGCTTCTTGAAATCAAAAGTGTCGTCGTCGACTCCAGCCACAGAACCGACGAAGGAGTCATCAGTTGTGAATGTGGACGTTGGCTCTGAGCCCACGGTATTCACAAAGTTGGCGGGGGTCTGGGCCTTCGGAGTCGGAGTGTCAGGAGCAGCACTGAAAGTGCTTTGGTTGAGGCTCTCACCTTCATCATCACTATCATAATCAAGGCCATAGGTGGTGAAGTGGGGCACTTTGAAGATCCATGTTCCCGTCTGTTTCTCGTAGTCGATGAATTCGGTGTTGGTTACCTTCTTCAGACGATCGACGTGTTTGTCGAAGAGAGGTCCGCTCGTGAGGGGCGAAGGCGACTTCTTGTCTCTGCCTCTAGGCCACGAGTTTTCGATGCGTAGAATAGATGGGACGTTCAGCCCCTTACCCATTGGAGGCTTGATTGCCTCGTCGGGATAGACGGTGATCTTGCGCACACCGATCTCCACAAGGCCACCGAAGATTTGGTCGAGGTCGATAGTTGTCAGGTCGACAGGTTCATCGAAGGTCACCTGGCCACAGTGTTGGCGTCCAACAGTGAAGCCAACAACATGCTTGAGATCCTCGCGGCTCATCTTATTAAGTTCAGCCCGCGATGGCTTTATCCAGTATTCGCCGGGTTTGGGATCTCCTCCAGGGACAAAGGGAAGTCGGGCAGCCCCGTCGGTAATTGCAGATTGTTCGGCATCCTCTGGAACAGCAGGGAGATCCTTACCCCGCACAGATTCCATCTCAGCACGAGCGCCATGCTCAGGAGTTGTTTTGACCCCATTGATTCCATTCACACTTCCACTCTTGCGGGTCGAGCGCAAGAATCCAAGCTCCTCAGCAGTGGGCTCCGGACTCTCAGACGTGATTGGAACGACTTCTCCACCCGTAGTAAGAGTGGCATCGAGAGCCTTGGAGGAAGAGTCAAAACTCACTCTCTTCTTCATTTTCTCGGTCGTCTGAGCGAAATCTTCACCGTTGGTAATTGCAGCTGCGGGTGTGCTTGCAGGACGCGCGAACAAATCATTGCGCAAACTACGATCGATTGTCAGGCGCTTCAGGCCACCGCTGGACAAGCGGGAAGTACCGGAAAGTGCGCCAGGAGACAAGACACTGTCGGTTTCCGGGTCGAAGGTCTTGCGAAGATTGCTGGTAGAGAAGCTCTTGCTGAAGCTACCCCTTCCAAGACTACCGCTGACACTTCCACGTAGACTGCCACCTAGGAGACTGCCGCCGAGGCCAGAGGAAGTGCTCGTCGAACTGGAGGGAGACCCGTAAGTCGAGTAGGAGAACCCGTAGCCCTGGCGCTTGGGGGGCGTAACCAGGCGGTTAGCAGCGTTGGGTGTGATCTTATAAGCAGGAAGCGGGGTCCGCTGCTTCTGCTTGATGGACGAAGAGAGAGGCGTCGCCAGGGGTCCAGGGCTAGCGGCACTAGGAGCTGGCAAACCAGAGAAAATAGACTGGTTACCATATGGATTGCCATCCAGCAAAGAGGCTTGCAAGCTGCCGGGTACTGGCTGCTGTGCCTGCTGCGGTTGCATTGGCTGTGCCTGCTGGGTGCTACCGAAGAGGCTGCTCGTGCCAAGACCTCCCTGTTGCTGCTGGTTTTGAGTGTTGCCAAAGAGCGAGGAGCCGGCGGGTTGGGCGGCTGTAGCTGGGCCTCCGAAGAGGGAACTACCTGCGCCAGTGGTGCCACCACCGAAGAGGCTGGGCTTCTGCTGCTGCTGCGCTTGACCAGCGCCAAACAGGCTACTTGTCCCCGCCTGCTGGTTCTGGGCCCCTCCGAAACCTCCAAAAGCACCGGTTCCTGCGCCTGTGCCTGTGGCGGCACCAGTTGTGCCAGCGCCAAACAAGCTCTTCTGGCCTTGCTGTTGGGCTCCACCAAAGAGTGAGCTCGTTCCAGTTTGTGGAGCATTTCCTCCAAACAATGAGCCACCTGCGGCCGGTTGCTGCGTTTGCTGGGCGTTTTGACCGAAGAGAGAGGTGCCCGTGGTGGCACCAGTACCACCGCCGCCAAAGAGACCGGGGGTGGCAGTTTGCTGCTGCTGGGTGTTGGCGCCGAATCCACCAAACAATCCTTTATTTTGTGTCTGGTTTTGTGCCTGATTCTGCTGTCCGAATCCACCAAAGGCGCTCGTTCCCGTCGCCGGCTGTTGCTGCTGCTGCTGACCGCCGAATGGAGATGAGGTTGCGGCAGTACCACCAAAGGGGCTGGCAGCACTAGTATTTTGGGCGCCAAAGCCGCCGAACCCAGTTCCAGTACCAGTGGTGGTGGTAGTGCCCCCTCCGAACAAGGGCTTGTTCTGCTGCGGTTGCTGCGGTTGCTGAGCGTTGCCGCCGAACAACGAGCCACCAGTTCCAAAACCGGTTGTGCCAGTTGGTGTGGTGCCAAACCCACCAGTCGTGGCGGTGGTGCCGCCGAACAAGCTGGGTTGAGAAGTTGTCGAGGTTCCACCTCCGAAGAGGGAGGTTGCTGGCTTGGACGCACCAAACAGAGGGTTGGTGGTGTTGCCGAATCCTCCTCCTGCCGTCTGGGTGGTACCAAAGGCCGAGGGGGCACTGGTGCCGCCACCGAATGGCGATGAAGTCGTACCGAATCCAGTGGTCGCCTGCTGCGTGCCAAAGCCAGAACCTCCGAAAGCAGAGGTGCCGAAGGCTCCAGCCTGTCCACTAGCGTTTCCATATCTCCGGCCCTGGTTATAGTCGGCCAGACGCAGTTCCTCGAAGGAATACTTGCTGTACGGTTGCATAAACGAGATGCTCTGGTAGTAATTGGTCACATTGGAGCTGCTGTCCTTTTCAGAAAAGGGACTGAACGGGGTGCCTCCGGTGCCTTCACAAAGCGGAACAGCTTGTTGAAACGCGGTTCCTGTTCCACCACCAAAGCCTGTGGTACCGGTTGTGCCGAAACCGCCGCTGCCTGCCCCAAATCCACCAGTGGTACCGGTTGTAGTGCCAAATCCACCAGCAGGCTTGTTACCGAATAGTCCTCCGCCAGCAGCGGCAGGGCTTCCGAAACCTCCAGTGGTGCCAGTGGTACCAGTAGTCCCGGTCGTACCAAAACCACCAAAGCCAGTGCCACCAGTAGTAGATGTACCGCCGCCAAAGAGACTACCACCAGATGTTGTGCCAGTGCCAAAGCCGCTAGTGCGATTTTGGCTGCCAAAGAGCGAATTTGATTGAGTTTGTGTGTTCGTGCCGAATCCTAGTCAGAGAGACGGATGTCAGTGTCTAAGAGGGAAAACAAGAAATAAACAAATAACTGATGACGATCATAAGACAAAAGCAATGTATCTTCGGACATGGGATCCCTAACGATAAGCCTAGGAATGCGGCTCTATCCAATCGCTAGAATCGAACCATATTGGACATCCAGAGATCGACGTTTGTAGGCCAGAGTCCTAGATGCTGGTTCCCGTCGATTTTGATCGCAAGTCTATGGTCGAATCGACGACTGTAGAGCGAGGAGCGAAGGCCAGAATCCATCCACGGAAGGGAATCAGACAAGAGAAGAAGCGCTTAGCTGACGGACTAAGTCATCAGCACGTACCTCCACCGGACCCAAAGCTACTGGTGTTTCCAACCAGGCCGCCACCTGGTGTGTTACCGCCCCCAAATGGAGATGAGGTGGATCCAAAGCCTAGATGACGGGGGAAGATGCGGTCAGAGACAGTAATCTCAAGCTGCGATTTCCTTCTCTTGTAGCTGCTGCATCGCCTTAGCGTGGCAAGTCGTCCGCGAAGTGGTGGCGAGGGTCCAGTTGTTCAAAGAGACCGTCATGTCGATGTCAGAAGCACAGGCAAAGTAGGAATGGTCCAAGGTCCAGGATGATACGAATGCGCTGGGGGGTAATAAACGAGAAAAAAAAAGAAGAAAAGAAAAAAAAACGCGATACGGGAAAGCTGCATCGCATGAAGACGATGGACGAAAAAAATACCTACCTCCTCCAGAAGTCGTGCCTCCAAATCCAGAGCCAGTTCCAAAGCCTGAGCTCTGCTGAGTATTCTGGCCGAAGCCACCGAATCCACCACCGAAAGACATGATGTTTTTGTTCGGTATTGCTTTCAGCCTATGGATTCATATGTTTCCGGAGCGATCGTCGATCGGCGATTCGAGTAATACTAAATGGCAAGCAAATAGTTAGAACGAGAGTCGGCCAGGACGCCTTTGCGCAAAGTGGCGACATTAGAGACGGTCTTGTTGAGTCAAGGAGGTCTCGAGGCGCAAGATGGGGGTGGGGAGCAGCTCACAGGAAGATTGTGTTTTGTTCTAGGGCCGTCTTTGCCGGGGGTCACTTGCTCTGTTTTATAAGGGAAAAGAACGTGTCCACTCCAGGAGCAGACAGACTGAAAATGCACCACCAGAGCCAGCAAGCGTCGTATTGAGAAGGATGGTGGCAATGGGGGAGGGGAGAAGTGGTGAAGGAAGAAGGGGGCAGTGGATGGAAGAAAGGGAAGTTCAAGTGACGCGCAGAAAAAGAGGAAGAAAGCTGTTGGAGAGAGAAGTGAGAGAGGGAGAGAGGTAGTGCAGTGCCAGTTGCGGTTTAGCCTCCGAGGCGGACTTGGTTTATACTGGGAACTTCACTACGGCTACCACGGACTACTCACTTCATACGACCAGTATCATTTACTGGTCCTGGACAGATAAAGGAACCGTCAAGTTCGAGATTTCACGATTACAGGACTTTAGATACACTTGAAAAGTCTTCAGGCTGGGTGGTGAGGGCCTGGTATTTATACTGGCCTGATCCCACTGTTGACTGCTGCTGATTACCGGGAGCATTGTCGACCGCAGGTCATGTGATGGTGGATGCCTGGTCAGGCACATGGCCTCTCAGCCGGGTTCAGGCACCCTGGAAACGAATGATAGATTGTAGGTCACAAAAGAGGTCAATAATCAATGTAAGATTACTTTCTTGATCACAGAGAGCTCTCGATGTAATATACCTACTGAGGGTTCCCATCAATCCAAAGTATCAGAGCAGTCCTCGACATCACCTCTCAGGCTCCGACTGTCACGTGACAAGACACTGTCTTCTGAATTCACAGTTGGACATGGAGAGAAAAGCATACCCAAAGCGGCGGTATGCTTTGCTCTTCAAGGATGGGTAACATGGTAATTGAAAAGATATATATATATATGTATATATGTATATATGTATATATGTATATGAAATGGCTATGGTTATAATAGACGCCTGAAATCCGAAGTGAGTACAGCACGGGAATCTCGAATCACCGAACAAAAAAGAAAAAACAAAATAAGAAATTGGTCCAGGTAGACATCAGATGCCTCCAGATGATCCAGAGTCGAAAACATCCATTCGACATGCTATAATTTTCCTCTGCGTCGCTTCTTCAAATCATTGCTTCTTCCTCGTTGAAAGTCGTGCATCGTACAACTTTATTTGCCTCTAGCAGCATGGACAGTCCCAATGATCTTGTCGACCACAGAAGGATCGGACAGCTAAAGATCGAGTCAGCGAATCTGGATCAATGCAACCAAAAAGGCTTGTCAATGCAAAAACTTACAGTCGAGGTGTCACCCAGGCTATCCTCTTCACCGCTCAAGATCTTGCGCAGAATACGGCGCATGATCTTACCACTGCGAGTCTTGGGAAGGTCCTCCACAACATAAACCGCCTTGGGAGCGGCGAAAGGTCCAATCGACTTGCGGACCTGCATCACAAGATCTTTGCGGACTTGCTCGCTCGACTCAGTGCCCTCCTTGAGCGAAACAAAGGCATTCACGGCCTGGCCGGTCAGCTCATCGGCAATACCAACCACTGCAGCTTCGGCAACCTGGTCTGTAGGAAACTGTTAGCACCACGACGCCACATCCTCACCTTTCGGGTGGGGTGGTGCTTACGGTGTTCAATAAGAGCGGCTTCAATCTCAGCAGTAGACAGACGGTGTCCAGAAACGTTGACAACGTCATCAACACGGCCACGAATCCAGTAGTATCCGTCGTGATCACGGCCAGCACCGTCTCCCGTGAACTATAGCAAGACAGATGTCAGTCAGATCTTCCCGAGACCCTTCAAGGTTCCTTACGTAGTAGCCCTTGTAGACATTCAGGTAGGTCTCCATATAGCGCTTGTGGGCGCCCCACACCGTCCGGGCCATGCTAGGCCAGGCCTGCTTGAAGGCAAGCACGCCCTCCACGTCGTTACCGGAAATCTCCTCGCCAGACACGGGGTCAATGATAGCGGGCTCAATGCCAAAGAAGGGCATCGAGGCACTGCCAGGCTTGGTGGGTGTAATGCCACCCAGGGGAGTGATGACGTTCGAACCGGTCTCGGTTTGCCAGTATGTCTGTCGCAGGGAGCAACGGTTAGAGACACAGAAAACTAATCCGGGTGAGGATGGCAAACTTACGTCGCAAATGTGGGCCTCCTCCTTTCCGACCTTCTCGAAGTACCACTTCCACACCTCAGCTGCGATGGGTTCACCGACCGAACCCAGGATACGCAGGTGCTCCATCTTGTGGTGGATGTGCTCGTCTCCGGCACGCTTCAGCAGACGCAGAGCAGTGGGCGCAACATAGAATTGGGTGACCTTGTGCTTCTCAATGACATCCCAGTAGCGGGAGAAGTTGGGGTAGGCGGGAGTGCTCTCGAAGACCACGGTCGAGCAACCCAAGAGCAAAGGCGCATAGACGACATAGGTGTGACCGGTAATCCAACCAACGTCACCACCGCAGAAGAAGCGATCATCGTCGTGAATGTCAAAGACGTACTTGCCAGTCATGGCCGCGCCGAGCAGGTAGCCAGCGGTAGTGTGCATGACACCCTTAGGCTTACCGGTGGAACCGGAGGTGTAGAGCAAGAAGAGAGGATCCTCGGAGTTCATGGGCTCGGCGGCAAGATAGTTGGGGTATTTCTCAACCTCCTCGTGCCACCAAACATCGCGACCCTGGGTCCAGGGAACCTCAGCCCCGGTACGCTTGTAGACGAGCACACTGGTGACATCTGGGCACTGCTTGAGAGCCTCGTCGACGATGCGCTTGGTGCCGATGACCTTGCCGCCACGCTTACCCTCATCAGTGGTGATGACGACCTTAGAGCCGGCGTCGAGAACACGGTCACGGAGGGAATCGGAAGAGAAACCGGCAAAGACGACGGAGTGAACGGCGCCAATACGGGAGCAGGCGAGGAAAGCTACAACGGCTTCGGGAATCATGGGGAGGTAGATAGCGACAGTGTCGCCCTTCTTGACGCCCTGCTGCTTCAGAACCCACGCGACGCGGGAGACCTCACGGAGCAATTCGCCATAGGTGATGATACGGCCCTCGCTGGGCTCGTCGGCCTCGTAGATGATGGCCACCTTGTTGGGGTTCTTGATCGCATGACGGTCCACACAGTTGAACGAGGCATTCAGCTGGCCCTCAACGAACCAGGCATTGTCGCCGTTCTCGAGCGAACCGATGTGAGTGGTCTGGAAGTCTTTGTCGAAAGTGAGCAGCTCGCGGGCCATGCAGGCCCAGAAAGTGTCGGGGTGCCGAATGGACTCCTCGTATAGCTTCTTGTACTCATCAAGGTCTTTCAGGTGAGGACCTGTGGGGTGCTTCTCGTAGAACGCCTTGGGAACATGGAAAGTATCGACTTCGTGGGCCTCAAGGACCTAGAGGAAAGGGGCATTAGCTGACAGGGGCCGAGAAACTGCCGAACAGAGTCCGAAGGAAAATGTCTCACCACGGCCGGCTTCCGAGGCTTAACGTCGCCGTCAGACATGATTGTGGATTCGGGGGGGGAGGGGGGTAAGAGTGTTGAGCGACGGCTGGTGCGGAATTGAAGAAGAAATGAGAAGGAAAATCGGTTGAGAACTGTAAAAGACCATACGGAGGATCCAGATCAGCATTTGTTAGGATTTAGGAACAATAAGACCATGTTCAATGCACGTGAGTGACAGCCCAAAAATTAAGCTCAGCAATTGCCAAAAAGCAGTTAGTGCAGCGCAGCTGGAGGGGGCTGCATCGGTGGGGGTAAAGCCGAATGCGACTTACCGGAGCGAAGAAGACAGGATGGGAGAGGGAAGAGAGGATGGATATGTATCAACTTTCAACACAAGAAAGGGAGAAGAAGAGAGGAGAGGAAGAAAGAAAAAAAAAAAGAAGCGGGAATCGTAGAAGAGAAAATTGGGGAGAGTAGTTATTGTCTGGAGAGGGGGGAGGGGGAAGAACTGATGGTTATATCTATGACTACTCACTATTGTTTGGTGAGAGTACCTAAATAATGTTGAGGTCCCGCTCCCCGGGTGTCCGGTGGTCGGTGGAGGCTGCGTCTAATTATCAGTTGCCTCTTGAGTCTTGATTATTATGATGCGAATTATGATTATCATTAGCCTAGACTATCTAGTGGCTACTGGCTACTGGCTAGATATCTACATTCCTACTAGTAACTATCTTGACAGGGACCTTCGAGCCTTCAAGGATTTGACTCCTTCCGAGCGACCGTGCTCGCTCCAGAACAAAAGGACTGTTACAATTATACAGTATCCTACTCCGTAGTATCTATCTATATTTCCATCATTATTATTAGTAGTAGTAGTAGTAGTAGTATTATACATCCATGTCTACTTGGTGAGGTACCTTGACCTACCAGTTTCACCACCACTCAAAACGAATTACTCAATGTATACTGATGTTTCTTCTGGTATTAGATCTAGCTCTTCCTCCTTGGGCTTGCAACGGAGGCAAATTCTCCAGATTACTCCCGTTACCCGTACCTAGTGTCCTAGTCCGATTTTCTCCAGTTCTCTCCAGATTTCCAGTGTACACTTGCTCCGAACGCATCCAGAAGGATTGGGGCTCGGCCATGCGGGGCTTAACAGGTTGCGCGTTCCGTTGCTCCGGAAAAGGAAGTTCGGAAGGTAGGAGATGGATTTATGGATATTGAACCCAAGGCTGGGACCAAGGCGGAAAGAAACGACTCGATCTTGTGTTCATTGCCTATCCCGGTGTCTTGAAATCGTGTTGTCTGGTTGAGTGACATGGTATCCGGAGTATATACCCCACCACAATCAGGTTGTCAGGCTTTCTCTTCTGGGGTATATGGGATGAGCGATATTATACTAAGAAAACATCGCCACTTACTTAGGTCCTACAGGCACCTCAGGGATACCGAGGATCATGATATTTTTGAAAGATCTTTACTTTGAGTTTTGTGCCCTCATTCCTTTGTCCTTTTTGTTAGTTAATAATTCTTTTCTTTTTTCGATCTTATTTTTCGGAAATCTTGGTCGCATTGCCCTTTTGATAGGGGGATAACTGCTTTAGAGAACCTAGGCAGCATGGATCTATACAGGGAATCCTCCGTATACCAATCGTAATCATTTGAGGAGGAACGGAAAGCACTTAAGGTACCTGGTAAGGTACCTAGATGGACATTTCATATCGCCCAACATAAGACCAATGACGCCGTAATGAAGCCTGGGAGCCATGCGGGGAGAGCCGTCTCTGACTATTGATTGCTTTCCCACTTGTCTCATTTTGTAACTAAGTACCTCATAACTCAACTATTGGCTAAGATACTAATTATCGAGGACGGAGGGCTGACTAGCCAACTGTTTCTTCCTATGAGCCATCATCTGGAATGTTTGAGGATTCATTTCATACACTCCAGCTCTGTATCAGGTTCGGCTAGGTAGACCCCTGATCGTCTTTCCTATTATGTCCATCGGAGAGAAACCAGACAAGGTCATTTCTGTCGTCTTCCGCGAACAGATATGGCGGTTCCGATTTATCCCTGTCCGACTAGGTACCTTACAGAAAGCAGCTTAAAAATCATTTAGACCATGCAGCTAGCGAATTGGAATGGACTATGGAAAGGACTAGGGAAAGTGCACATTTCAGACGGACGGTTCTGGAGAAACAGATGGTGCGCAGCTTAAACCTTACAGGCTGTACTTACCAAGATGAGGGAGACATTCTTGTGACAAGAGCAAAATTACCGAATGGCCATAGAAATGTGAGAGGGAGAGGCTTCAAGGCTTCAATCAAAGTTCACACGTTCTCTTGGTCTTCTTGGCAGAGTCACTAAACGTGGATGACATTCTCTGGAATGGCGGGGAAGAACACTTGCACCCCTCCCCTCCTCCTCCGTATGCTCGTTGATCCTCTAGTCTCCTCGGAAAAGAGGGTGGTAACTGGTAACTTGGTAAGATCGAGGGATTATCCTATCTACCCCTCAAAGCATGGAACTCATCGTCATCTGGGTATTATTATTATGATTAGGTATTCTCCATCAACGATCAGAGTTTCCGAACTGGCGAATCTGAGATAACTCGGTAGAATCTCGGTCCTGATCGCTGAGACTGAGAGACCGCTCATTCAGCTTGTCGTGCGCGAGTAGCTACTACGTAGTCATCGTCATGCTGGGTACTCCTTCTGAGATTCGAGGAAAGACTCTCCGTACTCGGCTTCAGAGAAACGGCCGCACGGAAGCTCGGGCATTCTGATCAAGTCGTGAGGACCGAGGTTATGATATCGAATATACATCAACTGGAGCTTTGGGTGGTCGGAGTATATCAAATCTGAATTCCCTCCTTTCATCCTCATTTTGTTTGGTTCCATGAGAGAACATTGCCATGACTTTTGGGGAGTTGGAATTTCCCACCTCTAGCCTCGCTGGATGGTCTGGAGTTTGGACTGTTGGTTTCTTAGCCTCTAGTTAACTATGTCATCCAGCACTTGAACAAACTGTTACACTCTACCCGACTCACTTGACACTCTTCATCTCCTACATCAACCAATGCTCCTTTCCACCCCCAATCACACTCTACAGAGCACAAAGCACAATAATGCCCACCTCATACTCCCACAACTCCCACATCCCACTGTCCCACACACCCCATGTCAGCCAAACCCACCACTAACGCTCTAGTGCCAGCCTCGGTGTCAAATGACTTTGCCTATCTCGAATTCTCGATCCAATTGATCCCGCCTCCTCCCCGGTCTACGGAGTAAGGTGTCAGGACAAGGATTGAGGAACTTCAACACTATATTGATCCCATATTTTAATTTTCACGCACTTCCACTCACACTTCCGCTCATCCGTCGCGAGTTCCATTGGCTGGCTAGGTATTGAGCCGGGATTCAGCCTCTGAACAGTAGTTTCTCCGTAGACTAAGCTTCTGGATTTGAGGACTGTCTCGTAGGGTTCGGGGGGAGAGATTCACCGATGAACTTAAATGGAAGTATGGGTGAGAATACGAAATGTGCTGAAGATAATCTATCTATCTCTCTATCTATTTATCGACGGGAAAATGATGGGTGGTATTGTCAGAATTCCGACTGTCGAACTCATCCCAAGGATTGAATGGTTACCTTGGTAGGTAAGGATATGTGGTTCCTACCTGGAGTTTTCGTAGTCTTAGTATTACTATCTTATTACCTACGCTTTAAATCGCAAAAAGCCTTGATACAGTACACACGCTGCTATCACCATGGGGCATGAATCAATGGATTTATTCGTAAGACACAAAAGAACTCAATTGAAACCACTACTGCAAAAGTCATCCCGCAAAAATAAAAGAAAACTCGCCCCTAAACAGCCATCCAATCCCGAGTCCACCAAGCACTCATCCCAAGCAGAAAGAGCACGATGCTCCCATCCTGAATCACATCCCGGAACAACTGAATCCACAGCGCCGGCCCAACCAACCCCCCACCCCTATTGCTCAGCATGATCCGCGTCCCGCCCAGCAGCAGCTCCGCAGTCGTAAACAGCACGAACGGATTCCGCGCCGTCGCAGGCGGCGGCGGCTGGCTCCCAAACGTCGCGACAGACGCCCCGAGCACCAGGAGCAGGTAGATGCCCATCGCCACCGCAAAGACCACGTGGAGCACCTTCCACGTCCGGATATCGCGCTTCTCCTCGTCCGTCTGGGGCCGCGCTGCCGCGCCGAGCCAATTCGCGGCCCACGGGGGCAGACCTAGGGAGCCGAGTGTACCGGCGAGATTGGCTTGCGAGAGACCGGCGCCGCCTGCGCTGGGGTCGGCTCCGGGAATGCCGCCGGGGATCCCGCCGGACATGAGGGTGTTGAGCAGTTTCATGGGATCATCGTCAAGGCCTGGCTCGGTTGGTGGTGGCCCGTTCTGTCGTAGAAGAGACCGGATGTACTCCTGTTGTGCTTGGAGATCTTCTGGTGGGTGATCTTCGACGCTGGCGGTCGGTCCAGGGAATTGACGGGGTGGTGGTCCCGGGAATGGCCCTGTTTCTGGCATGGAGACGGGGGCAGGAGGCTGGGGTGAGGGGGATGGAGAGGGAATCGGAGAGGTTTCTTCGCGAACTGTACAGAGAGGTTATTAGCTATTCTATGTCGCAGGTCACACATGCCAATTGCTCATACTGCTCTGTGGTGTCCGTCCGCTCAGACTGGTGATCTTGTCCAGACGCGCTGCACCACCCTCCTTGATTTTAGCCTCACGACGTTCCCGACGCAGTCTGGCTGCTCTCTGAGCCGGTGACTCTTCCGCTGAGGACATGTCTGAGTCGTGTGGTTGGAGGTGATGTAGCTGTATCAAACGTGGCGACTGGGGACTGCTTCCTTCGAGCTGCGCAACTCCAGTCGGAGGAGTCAGATCTGTTGGAGAAACTGAGTGATGGGATTGAGCTATCCAAGGTTCTCGATCACAGTACTCGAATGTAAGTGATAGCTCTGTGGAAGATTAGCGTTGGGTTAATCCGGTGTGCACAATTCACATACAGCATCTCTTTGTGTGGGTGGACACTAAAGGTTGCCAGATCACCGCCGCTGTGGCGCAGTCCTCGATGACATACTCCATACTAACAGGCCTGATTCTCGCAGCTCTACGCTTGGATCAGCTCACCACAATTCTGGAATTGCTACTGGATTTAATTTATTTAAAAGTATCATTTTAACAGTAATGTCTTTTTTTCTCAGTATTCAGTCTCATCTGTTTAGTCAATAAATTCTAAAATTGTGCAAACAGATCCCTAGTTGCCTCATTCAAAAGTGCCAGCCACAGACCCAACTGAGCATTTAATAGACCCATTCGTAGCAATCTAGTAAATCTAAAGAGGATTGTAAGCTACTATGGCTCATTTACTAACCTCTATATGGGCTACACATGGTAGAGTCCAGACCATGGGTGAAATGTGGATATCCATGTTCTATTCTATTAGCAGAGGTTCCTTGTGCTAAACAAGACAGTACAAGAACATATACTATATACTCCGCATGAATATTCTTGAATAGAATCAGATACTCAATTCTATTCTTCGAACCAAAGCAACTCAGATGAAGAAGCTATTATCTTCTTTTCAAAGCACATCGCCACAATCATCGATTGTCCCACGGGTACCTCAACATAAAGTCCCCTGTGCGGAGTGACATCACTGCGTCCGAGCTGCCTTTATAATTTCCACCTTGAATACAGAATCGCAGTATCTGTGCTACAGGGCAGCAAAGTCCTCTAGTTTGCAAGTATGATAATGATCTAGGAGCTGTTACTATTTTCCAACTGACCATAACATCAAAACGCAGTTATCCTTGATAATGAAGCATTCGATGGTGTCGTCAAACGCCAAGACAGCCAATCTGGCTGGCGAGGATGACGACGGAGCGGACAACATGCAATATCTATCTTGACGTCTATCTTTGTATTCCCCCATGCGTACAGCCAACAACAGAGCTCAATCGCATCGAGATAGAGCTACTAACCCGACGATCTCTCGTGAGATATCCTAGGGCAACTAAGTTGTCTCTCTTCGCCAATGATGGAGCCCTTCGATTGGCAGTTTGACGTTCTGGCTCGTCTCCTCCACAATGACGTAGTCTTCCCTGTACGACTACAACGACAGGGAATGGATATTTCACGGCGGGAGATCCTCTCGCATCTTTCGCTCTTGTCACTGTGTGTGTGTTCTCATTCTCTCCTCAAGGCTATTGAGGAAGCCGGTGTCCCTCAATCTACATACTAAGGCTCTTCGTGAGTTCGGACATACTAGAACTCTCACTCCTCTCTAGAATGAGACATCCTCCTCACTGAGAAACCACAGTTTCACATCAATTCTTCATTTTTGGTTAGAGGCAAATTGTTCGTCAATATGCCACCACATCCTAATAACAAGGAGACCGATTCCCCCCAGCAACATCGCATGGGAGAACATTGGAGCGGGGCCAACCCCGTCCCTACAATCTCCAAGTTCATGGAGCGTCTGGATCAGGAGAAACAGCAACAGGCGGCATATGAGAAGGCCATGACGGCCAGGGAGCGACAAGCTCAAGGGGGCCCTGTTGCTCACCAACCGCGCAAGAAACCCAAGGGGAAAACTCGCGTGGTAACGGACCCGATCACTGGCAGAGATATGGAAGTAGAAGACCAGGATGGACAGTCGATGGAAGCTGTTAAGGATCCAAAGGTGAGATCAACTCAAGCATCTTCAGCCCCTATATCAATCAACTGATGTGAATGGATATCTGCTAAACACGTTTTAGTTGGTTGTACCGAATGCCAACCTAGGAAAACCAACAGTAAGTCCGCTGAGCAAATACATGGTCAAATGGTTGCTAAGTCTCCCCGAATCCAGGATATCAAAACCGATGCCCATCAGAATCTGTCCGACTACAAGGAGAACCAAGACATCACAGCACCCCCGGACCCCATCGCCGCAGGAACCACGTCCGACGTACCGATTCACGGCGAGAAAACGAACATCCTCTTCCATCCCACGCCAACTGTGTCGTACAAGCCTATGTTTGATGAACTGGAAAAGCGCGCGTCTGCCGTCTGTGTGGGCATTCTGCTAGGAGTTATCTTCCTGGGCCGGTTGTTTGGTGGATCGCTCTGGGGACTGGCGCCCTTGGCCATCTGTACATCGGCTGGTGTGTGGTTGTGGATGAAAGAGGTCATTCGAAGTGGTCGGGAAATGGAATGGAGCAGCGAGCAGCTGCGAGGGCAAACTGTAAGTGTTTCTTATTTTCTGGGTCCGGTTTCGTCGATGCATCTGGACTCACCCATTGTCCATCTAGGCCACGGCCAATTTATTGCCGGAATCCGTCGAATGGATGAACACCTTCCTCGGCTTGGTCTGGAACCTGGCAAACCCTGAAATGCTGGCTCCGGTTGCCGACACAATTGAGGATATCATGCAAGCCTCTGCGCCTGGGGTCGTCGAAAATGTCCGCATCGCCGAAATCGATCAAGGGAACAATCCCCTTCGTATTCTGAGTATGCGCGCGCTCCCCGATGAGCACGTACAGCAACTCAAAGACAACATTCGCGAAGAGAACATGAAGAACAAAGACCCTCAAGAGGCAGCGGCTGCGGAAGAAGGTGGTAGCTACTACAATCTCGAGGCCTCGTTCGCGTACCATGCAAAACCGAGTGGTCAGAGCGCCTCGTCCAAGGCGCGCAACATGCACATGCAGATTATGTTTTATCTTGGTATTCAAGGTCTATTTGGAGTGCCCTTTCCGGTTTTCGTCGAGCTCATCGAGTTAGTGGGCACTGTGCGCTTAAGACTGCAGATGATGCCAGAGGCACCGTTCTTGAAGGAGGTCACCTACAGTCTTGTTGGCATTCCTCATGTACGGGCTGGGTGTATGCCCATGGTCAAAAGCGGTGTTAACATCCTCAATCTTCCCCTAATCTCCAACTTTGTCAACTATGCTATTGGCACCGCCTGCAGCCTGTTCGCCGCCCCCAAGTCGATGACCATGGACCTGAGTATGTTGCTCAAGGGCGATGATATCCTCAAGGAAACCCAGGCCATTGGCATCATGTGGGTTCGAATCCACCGTGCCATCGGATTAAGCAAGCAGGATAAACGCGGCAGTTACGGTGGTGGCAGTGACCCTTACATCAATCTTTCGTTCTCGAAGTACGGCAAGCCTATGTATTGCACTCGAGTCATCACCGATGATCTGAATCCGGTTTGGGAAGAGACAGCAGCTTTGCTTGTGACCCCCGAACTGATCAAGGCCGACGAAAACCTGAGCGTTGAGCTGTGGGACTCGGACCGCAACACGGCCGATGACATTGTCGGCAAGGTGGAACTTCCCATTCGCGAGATGCTCCAGCATCCCGGCCGCATGTATCCCCAAGTCTCTAAGCTGCAGGGTCTGAATGAAGGTACTGAGATGCCTGGTGAACTCCATTGGGAGGTTGGCTTCTTTGGAAAGCCGAAGCTGAGACCGGAATTGCGGACTGATGGCAAGAAGAAGGATCTCCCTGAGAATCTTCAAGACATTCCCGAATTCCAAGATGAAAAGGGCACTATCATCACTGAGGAGGAAGATGCAGTCACGCATACGCCTCCCGACCCCCTGTGGCCCAGTGGTATTCTGAGCATCGTGGTCCATCAGATTGTGAACCTGCAACTCGCCAACATCAACGGTAGCAATGGCAACCGCAAGGGCAGAGAATACGAGCCAGCGAAATCTTATGGTGAGAACACTGAGGAGCAAGGCAAGGAACTGCCCACCAGCTACTGCAAGATCCTGCTCAATGACGAACTGGTAAGATTTATCTATCTTTTGAAAGGGATCCATCCGATTGACTGACGTGTGCTCCAGGTATATCGCACCCGTGCAAAAGCAGTGAGCTCCAAGCCAATCTTCAACGCTGGAACTGAGAGGTTCGTCCGTGACTGGCGGTCAGCCATGGTTACTGTGACAGTCCGGGACCAGCGGTACCGCGAGCACGACCCAATCCTGGGCGTGGTGCAGCTGAAGCTCAGCAATCTTTTCGAAAAGAGCTCGCAGGTTACCAGATGGTATCCCCTCGATGGCGGTATTGGCTTCGGCCGGATCCGTATCTCGCTGCTCTTGCGGCACGTCGAGACCAGTTTGCCTCCGAACATGCTTGGATGGGATGTTGGCACATTCCACTTTGCCTCAGATAAAATCACCTTGCAGGGCTACAACCACAGGGCCAAGATCCGATTGCGCACCGGTGGCAGTAGTGGAAAGATCCCGCGACGCCTCTGCCATGTGGAGGGAAACAGCTCCTACTTTGACCTGAGTGACGAGAGCTTCCGACGAAGCATCCGGCTGCCTGTCAAGCACCGCTATCGCTCTCCCGTAGTATTTGAGCTCCACACGCAAGGCAAACATTCCGCGGCGGGCTACGCGATCCTCTGGCTGCAGCACCTCGTAGACAACGAAGACACCGTCATCGACTTGCCTATTTGGTCGACAAAGAACGGTGAGCGGCTGACACAGAACTACATCACTGAAGGGAACTGGAAAGCCAAGGAGAGACCTGGGCTCGAGGATCTTCACGAGATCGGCCGCCTGCAGCTCCGGGGCGTCTTCACTCCTGGTATCGACGACTCCCATGAGCAGTACGTGGTGGACAGTAACTCGCGTGAGACCTTTGAGACCTGGGAAGCATGCATGGCGGAAGGAGTGCGGCCGCACCGTATCACCGCTGAAATCCCCGAGGATCTGGAGAAGCTCCACGAAGAGTCCCTGCGGGCCGGCCGCGACGTGCTGAAGCAGAGTCACCCCCGGGAGCGCAAGCGATGGATCGACAAGCAGGGCCACGACTGGAGCGGGGCATTTGGCGACGACCCGGCCGCCTATCTCGACTCCAAAGGCCGCAAGATCGCTGAACCAGGCCGCGACCAACCCGCCTACGACCCCGTCAACCCACCCCAGACGGAAGTTGAGCAAAGCGGGGCCGCCCACCTCAGCATCAGCGAAGAATCTTCGGTTGACTCGGACAAGGAGCACCTCCCACCGCAGCCGCAGCCGCAGCCGCAATCACAGCTACAACAATCGTCACAGCAGCCGCCCCAGCAGCGACTGTCCGACCCCCAAAGCCTCACCGACAGCACCTCGACACAGTACAGCGAGGCCGGCTCAAGCGTTACCTCCTCCAAGCGGGCCGCCAAGCGCAGCGAACAGCGGCAGCAGCGCGGCATGATGCAGTGGAAGCCGGCGCGCAACGCCGTGTTCGCCCGCGACGAGGCCAAGTTTGCACTGCGGAAGGTGAAGCACAAGTTCACGGGCAGCCTGAGCGGCCGCGAGCCGGACATCGAGACCGAGACGGGGCAGTAGTCCAACCGATTCTCCCTCTTCTCGCTCCAGCCTCGTCCGACGTTTCTCTCTATCCTTTTTTTTCAGCTTTATTTTTTCCACTCTCGTCAGGGAGTATGACGAACATGATGGTGCGATGGTCCTCTTGACTGGGAAAACAGCAACAGCGTATATTGTCCCTGAATTATTGTATCTAGTCTCTACCGCCTGTATCCACCTGAACGAGTATCTATGTATTTACTTTAGTTGTCTATTCTCTGGTAATTAATCAATTCGATGTTGCATACGGATATATCATTTCAACTTTCAACATTCAATCGAACTCGCCTAACTAGTCACACTAAACCACCCTTGCTAGTAACTAGTTAGTACTTCACTACTACTAACTAGAAAGATAGTAGTAGTTAGTAGGCTAGGACTCCACGCAATCACAATCCTGGGTCATCAGTTAGTTACACTTACACGTCCCCCCCAGCAACGGAGGGGGACGCGGCCAAGGGTCTCTGCATTCTGCAAGCTGATCACAAGAGTCAAGCAATCACAGCCGCCGAATAACCTCTGCCAATGCCGACGCTAATCACTAGCATGCGCGGACTCCGTCACTATACGGCGCTGTTAGCCTGTTACTGCTTGGGAGTATGAAATACGATGAAAGCTGTTTCGACTTTCCAAGAGTCACGATGGGAAGAGGGATATTTTTTTTTTTTTGCCACTGGTTGGTTGTTGGTTGTTACTATATTTATGAATCTGTGGAGCATTGGGATGTCTTGTCTCGTATTTGGTTATGGAGATCTCTTGGGTAATTATCTAGTCTAAGTAGGGGTGCATGAGAGTGATGAGAAAGTAATTGACTGCCAGCAATCAGAGCCAGTATTAAATGAAATTGTGTAGATAGGTAATGGGGTTGGATCCTGTATCCATCCTCCCCGAGATGAAGAAGATATGTCAAGCCATGGCCGAGAAGGTGGTGGTGTAATCGTCGCAGACGACCCAGCAAATAGAAAATGACTATAAATAAGGAAAGGAAGCAGGATGCCGAAGTGCTTCTCATGTCTCCATGAAGTATGCGTGTCTGTGTCTATATGACGTAAATCGTAATCCAATCAATCAATCAATCAATCAATCAAATCATCAAATGCAAAATGGCGTCCATGATTATAGAGAACTAGTGGGGGGGGTTCGGACTCCGGCTCATGAACCTTGGGCGATTGAAATCGTTCAATATTGTCGTGGTGTGATGCGACAGATGAAGTCGGGCTGGAGAGGCGTGCCGAAGCAGGAGTATAATCCTTCTCAGAGTCACTGGATTCCGAACTCTCAGTGTCCTTGTCGACCTGCTTGCTTGCCCCGGCTGCAGATGATGTGGTCGCTGTCGTCAGAACCGTCGAACCGACATCGTTTGGCGTCTGAGGAAGCTGGATGAGCTCGTTCCGCTTGTCCAAGGGTCCCAGAGTCCACCTCCATTCGCAACGGCGCTTGGCACGATGCTGGCGCGGGGTCTGAGGAGTGGAGGCACCGGAATAGTGATCTGCCTCCAGTCCATCCAATAGTGCCACTGCACGGACCTGTCTTTCTGCACCAGCGGGTTTCCGCTTCTTCCTCTGGCGCGGAGGGGCAGAAGGATCGCGATCGTCATTGTCGGAGGAACTTGTATCAGATGATGCCAGGCTAGAGGTCGAGTCTGAATCTTCGCCAGAACCAGAGCTAGGGTCGTCGCGGGTGATCGGCTCTGGCATTACCTCGTTTGCGAGATCGGAGTGTCGCGCGACATAGTGCACGGTCTTGATCTCCTCCTCAAGCGGATACCGATAGCTCACCCGTCTCTCAGCGGGGAAGAACACCCTGCGCGAGCTCGGCCCTCCTGTGGGCCCGTTTGTGGCGACGGATATTGACCGCCGTCGAGCTGTGGGTTCCAACGGCGAGTTTCGAAGGATGCTCTTTACCCCAATGGGTTGTTGATAAGGGTTCCCCGTGGCGCTAGAGGGGTAAGGCGATGAGGGTTTGCTGAACCTCGGATTGAAAGATTTGGAAGGGGATACAGTGGCAGAGGAGGGACAGGAGACATCGTAAGCATTTCTGAAGGTGTTGCGCACCGTAGGAGAGGCTGTGACACCGGCTGCTAGAGAGAGAGACAGCCCTGTTGACGAGCTTCCGAAGGTTATGGGCAGAGATTTTGTCTGAAGGGTAAGTTTCGGTCTTGCTGGAATGGTCGCTCGCCGGTCACCCGCAGCGGTTGATGACACGCCGCCGCAGGACATATTTGTGGAATTGACTGCTGTTTGGCACGACTGCGGTCTGGCATCGGAGGACGGATGAAGATGCGACAATACGGGGGGCATGGAGGCTGCGAGCATGGCCGTGGTTTCTTAGAATCAAGTAATCGAAAGACCGTGGCACAGAAGGAAGAACGAGGAGGATAAGAATGCGAAGAATGCGCCGTCGAGAAGTGAAAGTAGATCGAACGAGAGCTGAGATGAGTGGACTGCGCCCCGCACAAACGAGGCGATGGTAGACTAGTCTACTGGGTAGAGAAGCCCACAGCTGGCCAGAACAAGGTCCAACACTAAGCTACTGAGACAGATGGAGACGTTGGGAGCCAAGCAGAGACTGTAGAGACAAACAGGACTCGGAGGATTTGATGGAAGTGCGATGGAAGAAGACGAAGAAGAAAAGAAGAAGACGACGACGACGACGACGAGATGAGAAAAGTGGGCGGTTAGAGAGAGGGTTTCCTTTTTTAGAAATGCAACGGCGGGAGGCAAAAAAAACAGACGACGACAGCAGGCAGTAACACTAACAATTGTGGAAGCCCGCTATGAGAAATCTCTTCCCAGTCAGTTCTCACTAGACTGTTAATAATTATTAGAAAAGGGAAGAGGGAATAATAAAGCCTGGAAGCAAGAGCAAAAAAAAGAAAAAAAAAAAAAAGAGAGAGAGAGAGAAGAACAGAGGATGAGTTATATCAGCACGATAGTTAATCCTCATACATACATACATACATAGTTACATACATAGTTACATACATAGTTACATACATACATACTACGTAGTTCAAGTGTTCAACACGTCTGTAAATCACCACATCTACACTAGTCGATCACACTAATATGGAGGAACTGCTGCACTAGACTATTGGACGCCAGCTGCTATTTTTGTCCTGATGTCTATCAACTAGTTATTCATCGAGGAAGACATCTATGCAAGCAACTGAACTGCTATTATTCAACACTTTGATCCAGCACGATGATCTAATTCCAAACTTCCACCTCTTGTCAGAGCAGATCCAAGACTCACGGATTTTTCTGATGATGAAACCACGTAGTGCAAAATACCGAGAGACATCTCCAGTATACCAGTTGTATTTGCGTAATTTGTACTATAAAAAGATCAGGGCACGAGGCGGTGGGGTGACTCTAAAAAAAAAAAAAAAAAAAAAAAAGTTGCGCTAGTATCAGAACGGTACCAGAACCTGTCGTCTTCGAATCCGGTACTGTAATGGTATCTAATGTTACATACATCTCGATGTTTGTGACGCATCTGGACTGCTTGGTTACTTGGTCGACACATTTGGCACTTGATATAGACAGATTGCAGGCATTTCCAAATCCCAGTCTCATCAGGGAGGTAGACTACATATGCGCTCATACATACAGAAATCGAACGTGAATACCGAACTAGCTGGCCGACGGATGTCCACGTGATGCAATTGTCCGCTGCTCTGTGACACAACACATGCTCTCACTGGGATAGAATGCAAATCTGATCTGACCTGCGATATGATATCAAGACACATGTTCTCACAGTGTTTGAAAATGCGGTGGAACAGCTGCTGGAAGTCGATCCCTACGCATTGCTCCCAAGACACAATCTTCACTGGCCAGAAGCCGTCTTCGTAAATGGATGCCATGGTCTCTCTGGTCCCTCCTTTGCTAAAACTGGAAAGCTCATGAGGCACCTTTCATCGCATCAGAGGAGAAAATCTCTTAGAGAAAGAGCTCTTACCTACATGAAGAGCCGATTCGTGGTCGATGAACCACTATATCGAATATCGAAGCGCTATGTTCGCTTCGAAGTTGATCGATTATGTTGACATTGCGTCCCGCGTCTCTGAATGAGACAGAACCAGTTTCGAAGATTGAGAAACCTGAGGGGGCCCTACAGAAAACTCCGTCTGATGACTCTAGCGAACGGACCTGAGTACATCGCCAGCTGGAACGTAGGGGGACCAGTGTACTGCACTGTGCCCGAAATCTTTGTTCTGGATCTCAGTTGAGACCTGGTATGCCACATGTACCAAAGCTGATGGTTCTATTCTCCTAGTGCTCACCTACTGATGGCTCCCACGCATAAGGATCTATCTTGGAGGTTTGATGCCAAGAGCGCAATTGGTGTAGAATATATTACCATGGATAATTCTCCAATCTGAAGGTCTAATCTTGGGCTACTTCGTCTTAGGCTTCTTCCTCAAGGGTCAAGGATAGAACTTGAGTATGTATTATTTTCATACGTCTGTATGGTCATCAACTTATCCATCGAGTCAGTGTTCGTGTTCATGGCCTTCATTTCGGGCCTGACCGAGGGACCAAACTAGGAACACTAACCAGATCTCTGAGCTCTTTCCCCGTTAAGGCACCCAGCTCCTGGAGATAGTCCGCTACAAAACGTGTTCCCGCCAGATCCAAACACGTATGTCCAGCATTTGTCAAAGCGAAGATATCACTTCCACGGCGATTTAGGAGCGCCACTGAACTGTATGTTCCTCCAGCCGCTGCAACATGTAGAGCTGTCTCGCCCCTTCCATTGCATGCTTCTATATCAGCCCCATGGTCCAACAGCACCTCCATTCCATCCCAGACCTTATCTGTAATGGCCCAGTGCAACGGCTTGTTACCAACATACAGTTCGCCAACTTCAGTATTCGCCCCGTGCTCTAGAGTCAACTCGAGCACCGCCGTTGACCTCTCCTGACAGGGGTCCTCGACTGCAAAATGAAGGGCAGACCGGCCTGCTTCATCAAGAGCATCAATGTCCGCTCCAAGCTCGAGTAGTTTGCGCGTACTCGCCTCGTAACCTTTCTGTGCTGCCTCGTGCAATGGAGTTCTTCTTTCTCCATTCACGTCTGACATGGAGTTGACGTCGGTGTTCATGCCACGAAGGATATATTCCATAAGCTGGGTATGCTGGTATGTCGTAGCCCACATCAGCATCTCAATCATAATAGGTGTACAGATCTCCTTCTTCCTGTGCTGTGCGCGTTTGTGGATTTTGCGGATCGTCGCTTCGTGACCGAGCTTTGCTGCTCGAACCAGGAGGTTTTGTTGATACTCAGACTTGGCAAGGACGCGGTCTTGGAGGACCGGATCCAGTAGCCTTGCAAAGTATGAGGCTGTCTGAATCAGAGCATTAAGGGGTTTAGAGTCTAGGTGGTCAGAAATAAGGAGAATCAGTTCTGGAGGAAGGTTGTCGAGGGACATGTTTGGGGAATAGGCTTAATCGAGACTTGAGGAGAACGAAGCATGCAATGTGCTTTGTGTTGATCGTACTTGAGGCATCTGACAAGGTCGAGAGGCGAGAGGAGAATGAGATTGACAAAATCATTCTGAAATGCACCAGATTGATCAATGTTTCCAAGACCAATAACAAATGGTAGGTGCATCCAAGCTAGCGGCCATGGCTTCATTCTGGCCTGATCAAGATAGCAAGCTTTATCAGTCCCTCATTGTACCAATTCCCTCTTATGTCAAGATGGTAGCTGTAGCCAGATCATGGTATGAATAGCCTCATTTCAAATTGTTTCTCTGTGCTACTGTCGTTTATACCTCTGACATGATCCAGATGGACGGATGTCCCATGATGAGGAGAATATACAAAGCTCTCAACTGCTTTCCTGCTGATGATGACTGTTCATGACACGTAATTATTTAGTCAATTGATACTTGGAGTGACATTACTCAGTGGAATGATGATATCTTCCAAGTTCTAGGACGTGAAGTTCCCTCCAGGTTGAAGAATTTCTCTTCTATAAAGAGCTGACTAATTATTCAGAAGCCCAGATGCGGTCACGTGTCTGATATATTGCTTCGATCCGATATTATCGCCATGCGTGCTTGTACTCTGTAAGTTTCTTGCCCTTGGTAAATATTTTCGATGTCTCTTGTTATTTCGATCATGCATACAGACAATTATTTTCACCACCTCCGAGTTCTTTGAAAATCTCAATACCGTCCATGCGAATCCCAGGCTAATATCAAATCCAGTAACTGCCACTGTAACAGGGGCGCAGCCACGATTCAAAGGAAAAGGACTTAGTAACCAACCCCATCTGTTCAGATGGCTGCGCCCCGTAGGGAAGACGGCCGAATTATAATTCACTTCGTCAGTTCATCTCCGGTCGAGCAGGAAGCCGAATGACTGGCCAGCTTGATACGGATCGTTACTGACCCTTTTTTTTCTCAAACACGCACAGGATTACGACTGCTTCTATGCCTCTGTATTCGAGGCGGAGCAGCCAGTGCTTAAGTCTCTGCCTCTGGCAGTGCAGCAGAAACAGATCGTGGTGACTTGTAACTACGAGGCGCGACGCCGGGGATTGCGCAAGCTGCAGTTGATCAAGGAAGCGAAGCAGGTCTGTCCCGAGGTGGTCATTGTTCTCGGTGAAGATCTCACCCGATTCCGCAATGCATCTAAGGAGCTTTATCTTTACCTTCGAGGTTTTGTCTGGGGAGAGAAGGTCGAGAAACTGGGCTTTGATGAGGTGCGTCGATGTGACGTTTCCCCTCCCGTTCTTCTTATGGATGGATTGAGCATAATTGTAATTGACCCAACTAGGTGTTCTTTGATGTATCCGATATGATCACATATAATGTCGAGATGCTCAACCGTAATGATCTTGAGCACTCCTTCTTTCATCTTGACCGCCGGGACCCCACCGTTGGCTTCATGTACGATGCGACTGCGTTCAAAGGCCACACCTATCCGGCGGTTCCCAACCCTGCAGCAAATTCGCAGGCTGAGTGGCTTCGTACCCGATTGCTAGTTGCATCCCATCTAGCAAATTACCTTCGGAACCAACTGGAGTACCAGAAAGGTTACACAGCCACAGTGGGCATTTCCACCTCAAAGCTCCTTGCGAAGCTAGTGGGCAATACGCATAAGCCCAACAGTCAGACCACCCTTCTCCCGCCTTACACTGCGGCGGAGCATACGGCTGAGAGCAATGTGATTGAATTCCTCGACACATATGAGATCAGAAAGATCCCCGGCATCGGCTCGAAAATTGCTCACAAACTGATGTCTTACCTCATTGCGGCAGAATCCAAGTTGAAACTACATCATGCGAGCGCTCCTGGAACTCGCACTGAAGATCGCAAGGTCACGGTCAAGAGCGTTCGTCTGTTCCCTGGGATGGGACCGCTGTTGCTAGACCGAATATTAGGCGGACCAGGCGCTCCGAAGGGAATTGGTGCACGCATATGGGGGCTTATCCACGGGGTGGATAACACCGAGGTCCTACAAGCGCGCGATCTGCCGACGCAAATCAGCATCGAAGACTCGTACGGCCGACTAGACAACTTTGAGGAAGTCAGGAGGGCGCTGGTTACCCTGACCGCCAGTTTGATCCGTCGAATGCGCGTTGATCTGACCGAAGCGGACGTTGATACCAGCACTGCCACCGGCGAAGCCCCGGCGGTCAATAGCCCTAATATACGGCCCAAGCTTCGCTGGCTGGCTCACCCTAAGACTCTCCGTCTATCAACGTGTCCTCGTCCAGCTCCTAATTCTGAGAAAGGGCAGGATCACAGCTTCAGTCGGATCTCCCGTTCCGCACCTCTTCCATCGTACATCTTTAACCTTGACGAAAATGTAGATGCGCTGGCTGAGCGGCTTGTGCAGGAGTCAGCCATGTCTATGTTCCGTAAGCTTCATCCTGAAAAGTCCGGTTGGAACCTGCGAGTCTTGAACGTTGCCGTCACCAATCTGGTCGAGACTGCAGGAGATCAAAGGAATAGCAGCGGACGTGATATTGGGAAGATGTTTCGACTGCAAGAGGCAACGCAGCAAGATGAGTTTACGTCGCAGCTGGAAGGCGCTGCCTCAAGTGGCAAGCTTCAGGAAGACGCCGAGACTCCCCATCAAGACAGAGCCGGAGCTGGCTGGGAGAGTGATGAGGATGAGGATATGCCAGCCATAGCCTGCACAATCTGTGGAGCGTGGATTCCTCAATTCGCCATGCTCGCCCATGGACAATACCACAACGCTCCCGATGATTGATTGATAGATCCTTGGCGCGGTGGAGCGGAACAGGAACGGACCGCGGTTTGAGCTGGCGAGTGTCCTGGAAGCATCATGGTTCAACGGCTAACCGGCCCTTGTCCTGACTCCTGAGTGGCGATTCACCCGGAGTGCCAGTGCAATATTGACTTCGAATTTACTCCACGCTTCCAAATTGATCATTTTTCCAAGACCCTAGTCTCAATCAGGGCAATCCACGTTAACTTGACCCATAGGTTGTCCGTCAGCCACATGCATTAATGGAGATCTTGGCGGTGGTGGATGGGACCTGGTTGTCTTGGACGACGGAACGAAGAAAGGCTATTTGCTATCAGTCGAATTTGTGAACATTCATAAATACTGTAGAAACTAGAACCAGATGCATGTACGGAGTACGGATGCCATGATCCCTTACTGTGTATGTATTCCTGTGATGTTGTTGCTGACAGGCTGACGGGCAGATCAGTGGTCACTGTGACTGGACGCTCCGAGGGCGCCTCAGGTTTCATCAACAAAGAGCCGAGCCTGAGGCCACTCAATCTCTGCTCCACCTGTGCCGCTCTCCACGGCCCAGAGAGCATTCTTCCTCTCATCTCATTATTCATTGACATTCCTCGTGTCGTCCTCCATCTCCCTCCTTGTCATCCGAATCTTTCTTTCCATCAGACTTTCGTTAATTTCATTCCTTCGCTCTTCGCTCTTCGCTCATCGCCGTTAGCTGTGCCAAGCTGCTGCGCCTCAATCACAACTGGGGTATTTCTTCGAATCCATGCTCAGCGCCCAGCGACCGTCACCCCCATTAGTTTTGTTCTAGCGGCCTCTAGCCTGCGTGGTTTACTCCATATTGTTCTATCACAAGAGTGTCTCAAGAGAGGGTTGAGCGATCGCCATTATTACCCTCCCAACACTGGGTTCTCCTTTTTGGGGCTTGACAAGACAATTCTTGATCGATGACAGAGGCACGGATCGAAATCTGAGACCTTGTCCTCTCGGCCCTGTTTCACTCGTTTTATTCTGTTGCCTGATGCTGATACAACCGACTTTCAGCGCTTAAGTGATTGAAACATCTCACACTTCCACATCCCAGTTTGACTGGAATTTGGATATTTCATCCAGGTTTTGAAGGAGATGCGGTTTCTCAAAGGCTCTTTGCCGTTTGTTGCCAGTGCACTTTCGTTATTTTCTGCTTATGCTCAAGGTTGGTTTCCTATGATTAATACTTCTCCTTTCTGAGAGGGCTCCTAACCTCCTTTTCTTGGTGGTTCGTAGCACGATCGCAAGAGCCTAGTGCTATCCAACATATCTCAATCCTCGATCATGCGGTGATCGGTACGCCTTCCCATGAGGTCGACCATCTGACAAATTTCGAAATCACATTCGACCTTGAGGATACACATCAACGGATCAAACTAGAACTGGAACCGAACCATGACATCCTAGCTGAGGATGCCTATGTACAGTACCTCGACACCGAAGGGAACGTGCACCGGGAGGAAGCAATCAAGCGGCATGAACATAAGGTCTTCAAGGGGCAATCCTTGTTAGGGAGAGCAAATGGTCTGTGGAAGCCCGTCGGATGGGCACGGATATATGTCAAGAAAGACGGCGCGCAGCCGCTGTTCGAAGGCGTCTTCAGCATCGACAATGACAATCACCATGTGGAACTCAAGTCGACCTACCTGCAGAAGAAGCGTCCCGAGGATGCCGATATCCCCGAGCGCAAGGACGACTACATGGTCGTCTACCGCGACTCTGACATGGTTCGAGAGTACCGCACGGAGCTGAAAAAGCGTTCCTTGACCAGCTACGCGTCGTCCTGCCAAGCCGACAAACTCGGCTTCAACAGCGATCCGGGGCATCCGATCTTTCGACCCGACTTCCAGGAGATGGACTCGGATATAGGTATGAGCCGATACGGTGTCATGTCCCTCAACTCATTGTTTGGCCTCAGCAAACGACAGTCGGATATTGGCGGCGTTTCCGGCAATGCTGGTGGAGTCAATTTGCAGCAGACTATTGGAAGCACGTCCGGCTGCCCAAAGACCAAGCAAGTTGCTCTAATTGGCATCGCGTCGGATTGTTCGTTTCGAGCGTCCTTCGATAGCGACGAGGCTGCGAAATCATGGATCATCAACGTGGTCAACAGCGCTTCGGATGTATATGAAAAGTCGTTCAACATCTCCATTGGACTGCGAAACCTGACCATGACCGAAAAAACCTGCCCTGATACCGCACCAGCCTCGACGCAATGGAATATGCCCTGTGATCAAGGCAACATAACACAGCGGCTGAATCTGTTTTCCAAGTGGCGCGGGCAGCAGAGCGACAACAATGCCTACTGGACTCTCATGAGCAATTGCCCCACGGGCAGCGAGGTCGGTTTGGCGTGGCTAGGACAACTTTGCAACACCGAAGTCACCGGTGACGCGAACAGCTTTGTCAGCGGTGCCAATGTTGTGGTCCGCGTTTCGGGCGGCGGCTGGCAAGTTTTTGCACATGAATCCGGTCATACCTTCGGCGCTGTCCATGACTGCGACAGTTCTACCTGTAGCCAGAAACTCGATGTGTCCTCCCAGTGCTGTCCGTACACGACAAGTGAATGCGATGCACACGCGCAGTTCATCATGAACCCGAGCACGGGGCGAGACATCACCAAGTTCTCGCCTTGCACGATTGGCAATATCTGCTCGGCACTGGGCCGCAATAGTGTCAAGTCGAGCTGTATATCCGACAATCGGAACGTCGTCACCTACACTGGCAACCAATGCGGAAACGGTATTGTGGAAGCCGGCGAAGACTGTGATTGTGGCGGAGAAGCATCCTGTGGTAACAACAGTTGCTGCGATGCCAAGACATGCAAATTCAAGAATGGAGCCGTATGCGATGATGCCAACGACAGCTGCTGCAATAAATGCAAGTTTTCCGCGGCTGGGACCGTGTGTCGGGCCAGTCGTGGGGAGTGCGATCTTCAAGAGACCTGTACTGGCAATTCCAGCACTTGTCCTGCAGACGAGTTCAAGAAAGATGGCGACGAATGCGGCAGCGTCTCTGGCTTGGCCTGCGCTAGTGGCCAATGCACTAGCCGCGACTATCAGTGCCGCAGTGTCATGGGAAGCATGATCCACGACAACGAAACTTTTGCATGCCCGGAATTCGGTTCTTCCTGCGAACTGATTTGTACATCGCCGTCCCTAGGCTTATGCTACGGCGTGAATCAGAACTTCCTTGATGGCACCCGGTGTGGTAGCGGAGGCCATTGCCGCAATGGGCGCTGCGATGGCTCCAGTGTTGCCGGCTGGGTTGCGGAACATAAGAATCTTGTGATTGGCGTCGCTTGCGGTGTCGGCGGCTTGCTTCTTCTTTCCTTCCTCTGGTGCTTGATCGGCCGCTGTCGCCAACCACGAGTGGTCGCAGCCCGGCCACCGATGACCCAGATGAGACCCTGGCCCCGGCCGATGCCCCCGCCACCGCATCCCCAGATGGGACAATGGGCGAATGGGCCTAATGGAGGTTATCAGGGTCTAGGGGGCGACCCTCCCCCGCCGCCATATCCCGGTGGACCCTATCCCGCGCGTCCGCGGTATGCCTAGTTTTGTTTCTTGGTCTTTTTTTTTTATGAATCATGCAAGTGGATTCTTGCAGCAATTGCATATTCTCACGGCCCTTTCACTTGACCTGGCATATGGTTTGACGTGAGCACAGCGGTTGTATGCATCGTCTGGGCCAAAGCATTTAGGACTATATGTGGTTTTTTATTGTGCCAGGTCAGCTTAGGTAGTGTCTCCTTCATGTTTAGTTTCAGTTGATACTGTCTGCATATAACCAGGACATTGGATTTGAATATAAGATACGGTGCTGAATTCAGAGTTGGTCCACATTAACGATCCCTTAGAACTGCCCTTGCCACCAATGTAGTCTAAGAAATTTGTCGCCGAGTATGTAGCCGACTGGGAAAGAAGATGTAGGTAAAACTAGCCAATTCAATCCTTTGATGAGATAGAAGACCAGTACTCTTGCCAGTACTCTTGCTACCTTTACAACAGGGTTGAAAGACTCTTCTACTACAGTCTCTTGGAAAGAAGGTCCCTTGATCCACGACCAGGAAGAATGAAGAGCTAATATATATTAGCACAAGTAATGTATGCCCAAGTGTCATCAGAAGATGTAGTATCATTGCCCAAAAAACCCAGACCCAAACAATGGAACCCCATATACAAAGCAACGAACAAGAAGACAAAAAAAGGATAAAACCAGCATACAATCATCACTGCCAGCAGATACTAACAAACGCCTCCCTGGTCACACCACCCACGCCCTCCAAATCAAACTCCTCAATCATCGCCCGCAGCTCCTCCTCTTCCAGCCCCGTCTCCCCCAGCTCCCTCGCAACCCGCCGTAGATCCTCAAGATCGATGTACCCTTTCCGGCCTTCATCGAAGAGCTCGAACGCCCGCAGGATCTCGTCGCGCGGATCCCGCTCCAGGATCTTCACGGCCGCCACGGCCTGGAACGCAGACAGCGGCATGAGCAGGTTGGACGGGTGCTGGGGGTTCGTCGCCGGCGTGGCCTTGGGCTGGGATCCTTGCTGGCCGGCGGACTGCTGCTGGACCTGCGGGCGGGGGACGCCGTACGTGGTGAGAAGGGAGATGAGCTCTTGTTTGGAGAGGGTGAAGCCGAGGGCGCGGAAGGCGACGCGCAGTTCGTGGTAGTCGAGGTGCCGGTCTCGGTCGAGGTCGAAGAGGGTGAACTATTTTTTCCCGGCATTCGATAACAGTCGGTCAGTTTCATATCCTTAGTTTTTTTTCTCCCCAACAGAATCCACCAGGGTGGTTTGTATTCTCCAAGTCTTGTAGGAGAGCCAGCAGGCCCCTCAGCACACAGCCAAGGTTAAAGCAAAACTTACAGCCTCATTAATCTCCTCCCGCTGCTCCTCCGTCAGCCGATTCAGCGGATTCGAGTCCTGCGACGGCCCGTGTGTCTGCGAATGCACGGGAGGAGCCGGCGCCTGCTGCGTCGACTTTGCGACCTCGCCGCCAAACTCGCCGGGCCCTGATGCTCCCAGCCCCCGGTGCCGGGAGAACGACGACGCGCTGAAGGGGATTGTATTCGCGTTCACGGATCGATCGGGGAGTTTGCCGCCTGCGTAGGAGCGCGATGCGAATGGCTGGTGGCCGGACGATGCCATGGTGATGGGTTGGACCGCGGGCCTGTCGCCGGGCGAGGGTTCAGGAACCGGGTGTTGTTCAGTGGATGATTTTCAGAGAGGCTATCATGAATATAAATTAATTGCAGCCTTCTAAGTCCCGATTGAAGAGAGCCGTGGGGTGTCTTGAGCTAGTGGGGGGATTCTGTTTCTGCTTTGGTCTGCGGAGAAACACGCTGGAGAAGTTGGACTGTAACAGACGCGAAGCGGTGGACCAAGCTTCTTGTTGTTTCGAGGGCAACGATGAAACAACTATTCTTACTACTCAACACGAAGTCGGATACTTTTTTCTTTTTTTGTGGAAAAAAAAACCCCCCCACGGAGATGTCTAGTACAGAAATGGTCTTCTTATTAAGATTGTATTATTGTGTAGATTGTTATTCCCTGTGTTCGATAATCTCCAGGTAGCTTGACTATCTCCTTGCATTGTATGTAGCCCTAGCCTCCAGCAATTTTGTAGCCAACATCACCACGAAATCAAACGTAGAACCCTTCTCTAGATTGTGTAGGAGATTAAAACAGTCGAGCACAAAAATCGCCTGTCATGTCCTCCAAGCCCGCTAAAGAATTGCCTCGTTTGCCCATCCGTAGGCACCAAGAAGGGCTGCCCAAGTCAAAGCTTTAAAGCGTGGATGGCACCTTGCACCCTTCGGCGAGTGTCATCTGCCATTCCTCACTGTCCTCGGCAGTGAAAAGGCCGTCGTCAAACGGCATGGTTTCAGCCAATTCTGCTTCCAAATCGTTCAGCCAGTTCTGACCTGTTGCCTGGGGTGCACTATTGGCCTGAGCTTCGGGACGAGCGTCAGAAGAGGGAGTGCAATCGTCAAGAATTTTTTCGAACAAAGATTCGACAGAGCACGACTCATCAGAGAACGGACTCGCTTCTCGGGGGGTGGCTGTGAGCAACTCCATCTGACTTCCCCGATATACCTCGACGGCAATATCGAAATGACGAGTCTGGATGGTCGGAATATGTTGCTCAAGTAGCTCATTGGTCATATTGTTCATGTCTGACTTGGAGTTCAAAAAGATATGCTTGAGAACGCATAGCACGCTGGCGCTGACGCTCTCCGAGCCTTCTTTGGCATCCATCAGCAACGCGGCGAGAAGTGGCCCCGCTTCAAAGCTCGCGAGACTATCAACAACCCGATAATAAAGTGCCACAGCCACCCAGACCGGCCCGAGAGACTCTAGCGAGGCATGATCATTCTCCATCTCAGCATGGCCGATGTGAGGTTCTTTCCGGCGCATCATGCCAAACACGACAGAGCAAAGTTCATCTGATAGCTCGTACAGTCGTTGGAGATGGACGTTCAACATATAGAGGACAATTGACCTTGCTCGGTCGACATCAGCTGCGGGAACATGCACCTGTGTCTTGCAGAGACATATTATCACCGAAGCCAACTTGTACATGCTCAAAGCCGTCTCGACAAGAGAGACGCCTGGAAAGAAATCTTCGAGCTTGTTCAATTGATCACAATGAACGGATCCCATACTCTGGAGGTGGAGTTGCCGATTCACCTCGTTGAGCGTATTCACATTGGCAAGGTTAAGCATGGCTGCATTGGCAGTCCAGAGATCGATTGTTCGAGAGCGAAAGCTGACAGCAATTCGCTCTGAGGCATTCTTGGACGCGTGATCCTTTAAGCAAGAAAACATTTCTCCCATTTGGTCAGGCAATCGGTTGGCATACTTCGGCGAATCTTGGACGAAGCTTAGCTGAGTATATTTTCTGATGCACTGGAGGCCCAATTTTTGGCATGTCAAGCATGCAACAACGGTTCCGCACCGCTTCTTTTTGCGGTAGCACCATATGCAGGCACCTCCCAGTGTTCTGATCAACTGATTGTCCTGCTTGGCCTGATCGAACTCTCTCTTGCTTCGTAATCTTCTCTTACGATGCTGAGATAGAATGCGAGGATCCTCCAAGACAATATTCAGTTCCTGACTGTTGGCCGATGCAAGCCCTTCATGGCCATCTTTCGTGAAAGGAGATGTGTGATTCGACGAATGCAAGTACTCAACGGGTGCTATTGGTGCAAGTTAGCAACCAGATCTTTCAGCATCAAGTGGCACTTACAACAAGGAGCATTTTGCGCAATTGCAGAGAACAGACCATTGGAACTGTTGTTCTGCCGCTCGAAAGGTATTTCCGTGCAGATATCCGGAGAAATTCTTGACCGGGGTCCAGGCTGGTATTCAAGACGAGTATTTGGTACCGAACCCTGCCTTGGAAAAGATATCTCAATTGGCACTTGTGACTGAGTGGATTGAGCGTGAGGATAAGCCTCGAAATGGTGAAGATTGTTCATCGAGCAGGTGATGGAATCCGTCGTGCTGTTCGTGAAAGGATGACTATGTTCCACAGGACCGTCAATCGGGCCTGTTGAGAGCGGATAAGTCGACCCCATAGCAAGTGTAGGTTGCGGTAGAACATGCTGTGGGTGGCCAGTATGGAAAGAGGTGTTGTATGCGACTTGGCCATGAATCATGTCATCGTGTCTTGATGGAGGAAGGCTCTCCATAGGAGGCCGAGGTAAGTAATTATTCATTGACTGATACTGAGATCCACACGTTAAGAAGAGCATGAGAGAAAAGGGGTTTATCATTAAAGGAGCATAACCTACAGGATTGAACGGGTTCTCATATTCATTATTCATGTATGATTGCTGAAACGAATTGAAGGGAGGAGCTGGATACATCTGCGATTGAATGAGGGATCGGCCTGAGCTCATATTCTGGGCCATGGAGCAGCTCGAATGCCAATTTTGAGGACAGGACGAAGTTCAAGGGTGTATATGTTTGCAATATCGAATGGCAGGCAGATGAAGGAGAGGAAGGCTTGAGGCAATCTCAGTGGATCTTATAACCAAAGGACAACATCAGGTGCGAGATCATAAGGACCGAGACGAGACAGTATATATTCACAGGACAAAATCCGGAACATAAAGAGGGATCAGGCAGACGAAGCTCTGGTGGTTGAGCGCCAGGCAGTAACCACCCAGACTTAGGTTATACTGGCCATGACGACAACAAACCCCACGACTAGACCAGCAATAGCAACCATTATCACTCGACAGCTCTTGGAGTGTGGGGAGAAATATTCACTCAAAGTGAGCAAGAATGCATGTATTAGAGAAATAGCCACAAGCATGGCCCTCGGATACAAGCCAACCTCATTGCTCTAGTGAAAGGGAGCGACGATGCTCGGAATGATTCCATGCAGAGCACTGGACATTGAAGCCTTAGGCAGAAGTTGCTTTTGTACCATAACTGTGTTTAGTTGAATCTTGTCTTCATCATTGAATGGAAGACACGGTCACAAAGGTCCAGGCGATACTATGGTCATTTATCACCACCAAAGTGAATGGAATGAGAAGATACTGGCCCTGTATGCATTAACGTGATAAGGACATAAATTCTATTCCTCGGAAGGAGCAAAGAGGTCATCATTTGTTACTCTCATCTGTTGCCTTGAATGCACTGTGCCATTTGGACGACAACACATGCATTAATCCTGTAGAGGGATTGATGCATACCCCCGTTCAAGGCTCCAGGTCTTCTTCGCCCTGCGCCATGAGATCAGGGTCAACTGCAGTGCCCAGATCACTGTCCTCCAGAAATTTTCGGCCAATCAGTGTCTCGGGAAGATAATCTTGCACAACCTGGCCTTCGAGATAGTTCGGATTGTATTTGTACTCCTTCCCATACCCCAATTCCTTCATGAGACGGGTCGGAGCGTTTCTCAGATGGATTGGTATCGGCAAGCCTGCGACTCCCGGTTCCTCAAGCGCAGCAAAAGCATTCTTCAAGCCACGATAGCTTCGAGTGCTTTTCTTGGATAGTGCCATGGCTACCGTGGCATGCGCAAGGTTGATCCGAGCTTCAGGTAGTCCAATCTTTTCGACGGCCGAATGAGTGGACATGGCCAGTGTCAGCATGCTGTTGTCCGCCAAACCGATATCTTCCGAGGCAACGACAACGAGACGGCGTGCAATGAACAGAGGATCTTCGCCCGACTGAAGCATGCGAGCGAGATAGTAGAGGGCCGCATCTGGATCGCTGCCTCTGATAGACTTGTGGAAGGCCGAGATCGTGTCATAATGCTGGTCTCCTGCACGATCATACACAAGAGTCTTGGTGAGTGACCGTTTCAATTCATCTTTGGTCATTTCAGAACGCTTGGACAGATCCATGGCCAGCTCTAACAGATTAAGAGATGTTCGGGCATCTCCATCCGCAAAGCGGGCAAGATACGATATCAATTCATCGTCTACAAGTGCGGACGGTGAATAATTCGGCCCCTCGACTCTCAAAGCTCGGTGAAGGATGGATTCGACATCTCTGTCGGTCAGTTTTGACAGCGTAAAGGTCCTGCACCTTGAAAGCAACGCATTCTGGACTTTGAAGGATGGGTTTTCCGTTGTAGCACCTATAAGCGTGACTTGTCCGCTCTCCACAGGACCCAAGAACACATCCTGCTGAGACTTGGAAAACCGATGAATCTCATCACAGAAAATGATCGTCTTCCTTCCAGTCAGATTGAGTTCACTTCTAGCTTCCGCGAAGATCTTTTTACACTCCGCAACCCCCGAACTGGTACTGTTTATTTCCACGAATCTGCTTCCCACCATCGAAGCAATGACTCTAGCAATCGTGGTTTTACCAGTTCCTGCGTGTCCCCAGAGAATCATACTGGGGACCCGATCTTGTTCGATGAGACCCCGGAGCACACCCTTCGGCCCGACAAGCTCCTGGCCACAGACTTCGTCCAAAGTCTGCGGCCGCATCCGCTCGGCCAAAGGTGCCGCCTTTTGGAGCGCATTGATCTTAGGTTTCTTCAACGGTGGTTCCCTTTGCACTTCTTCCCGAGGCGGTTTATTTCCGTTCACGGCAGGTTGTCTCTCATGCGCTATCGTTCGCTTGCCGTTGAGTATTCGCAATGGTGAGGGGGTGGATATGGAATCGCTGTGTGAGGCTGACTGAACCGCGGCTTTCCGAGCAGAAGCCGGCTGGAAGAAATTTGGGACTGGTGTTTTCTGGGAAGATTCCTGATCTCCAGAGCTCGAAGAGGGCTCGTCGATGAAACTCTCACAGTTGGAGTCTATGTGGTCGTTGATTCTCAGTGATGAGACGGAGTTCCCGCATATGGGACAGGAGACCATTTTTGCTTAACCACCCAGCCAATCCTGTGAGGAGTCCTGGCAACCGAGTTATGTTCCCCTGAAGGACAAGCTTAAACATGCCATAGAGGTCGTACAGGAAGCAACAAATTCCAAGTCAGCTCTATCGTTCGCATTATTGATTTTGACGCGTGGACGCGTCTCGCAAAAGGCACTTAATTGTGGTTAGTCATCAACCGGGAGATGACGCACGTTCGACACCTTGGTGCCTGGGAATATCTACTCCGCAGTGCAGGTGGGATATCGGAAGTCAGGAAGACAGAACAAGTGAACAACACCCGGGGAAAAGGACGTTAAGACCATGCAAGGTGGCATTCTATCTTTTGAGGAGCGCCATTCTTTGTGTATGTTCTGTGCGACACGATTCCCTGAGAATTGTCACCCCAACTGGAGGGGCGGAGCACGCAATTTTGCTAATCGGTAATCACCGCCCATGGATGTATAGTAGTAGTAATCGCAATGCCCCATAATAAACCACCCCCCCCGTCAACCAGGAACCCCACAGGATAATATATTTGAGGAGTCGCATCTCAGCATTTTCTCTTCTGTCCTTATGCTTCTTCGTACATACTCTTCTGCCTCAATAGCAGCACTGAGGAACTTCAAAGGCGCATCATCATTATCTTGTTCCAAGGCCATCCCTCCCCGATACTATAACCGAGGAGTCAGAGCGATGTCGGCGACAACACCGAAATCTGACCCTTTTCGCCCGGCGCAGAGAGTCGCCGGTCAGAGACAAGATGTCTGGTGCGAGACACTCTGTCGCATGTGCTGTTGATGAGAATGGAACCGTATCCTAATGGCTAATCAGGTCAATCGTTAATGAAGCGGCTGCCGCTTCTCCGGTTCAGCCGATTGTGAACATGGGCCAAGGCTTCTTGTGAGTGCCGGTCCCGCCTCATAGGAAAGAATGCAGCCTAATATTTCTTGGATTAATAGTGGTTATAACCCTCCTCAATTCGCTCTCGATGCGGCCAAGGAAGCCCTCGACCGGGTCGATTGTAACCAATACTCGCCTACCAAGGTACACCGGTAATCACAAGGACCGCCGCGTCAACCAGCCTCGCTTATGATGATACAGGGCCGTCCTCGTCTTAAGAAAGCTATCGCTGAAGCTTACTCTTCATCTTTCGGTCGTACCCTGAACCCTGATACGGAAATCTCCATCACCACAGGCGCAAATGAAGGTCGGGGACAATGGTGCTTATGCCGATGATAACCAGCTGATTTAAAATGCAGGAATGCTAAGTGCATTCATGGGTTTCATCGAACCCGGGGACGAAGTCATCATTTTCGAACCTTTCTTTGACCAGTAAGGAAGGCACCGGTTCTTCGACGTTGACGATCCTAATTCGGTTGAATAGATATATCAGCAACATTGAGATGCCTGGTGGCACCATTCGCTATGTGCCACTTCATCCTCCCAAGGACGGTGCGACAAGGACATCACCGGCGTCAGAGTGGACGATAGATTTCGAGGAGCTGGAAAGAACCATCAACACGAAGACAAAGATGATTGTAAGGGATCCAAGCCTTCTTGTTATACGCAGCGATATCTAATCTGTCATACAGGTCTTGAACTCACCGTAAGTGATCATATCTACACCGAATGCAGGTATAGAGTTAACAGCAGGGGCAGTCACAACCCCGTTGGAAAGGTCTTATCGCGAGACGAACTCGAACGGATTGGGGAGTTGTGTGTGAAACACAACCTCATCATCCTCTCCGATGAGGTCTACGATCGTCTGTACTACGTGCCTTTCACCCGAATTGCCACTCTGTCACCACAGCTCTGGGAGCGTACTATCACGGTTGGCTCCGCTGGAAAGGCATTCTATGCTACCGGCTGGCGTGTTGGCTATCTGATCGGACCCGAACATTTGATCAAATATGTCGCTGCTGCACACACTCGCATCTGCTATAGCAGCGTTTCTCCTCTTCAGGAGGCTGCTGCGGTTGCTTTCGAGCAGGCAGACAAGGTCGGCTTCTGGGATCAGAGCCGAGAAGAAATGAAGAAGAAAATGGAGCGCTTCTGCAAGGTCTTTGATGAACTCAATATCCCGGTAGGTTTAACAGCTGATCATGTTGCTGTTCATTGGCCTAACCGAGCATCTTTAGTACTCTGATCCCGAGGGAGGATACTTTGTTCTTGCGAACATGGCCTCTGTCAAACTCCCGGAGGATTACCCATTCCCTCCTCATGTTGCCAACCGGCCCCGCGACTTCAAGCTCTGCTGGTTCCTAATCCACGAAGTGGGAGTGGCGGCTATCCCTCCCACAGAGTTCTATACTGACGAGAATGCCCATATCGCGGAGAATTACCTTCGATTCGCAGTCTGCAAGAATGATGATGTTCTAGAAACCGCGAAGGAGCGTCTTCGTGGCTTAAAGAAGTATATCTCATAGCAAAGTCGCTACAGTAATCCGCTTGCTCGCCACAACGCTTCGATGGGAACAGGCGGTTCATTGGATATGCCTTTCACTAACCAAGGGGGCGGAGATTGATAGGATTTACCTATCAATTCTCGTGGGAAAGGGAATTATAGACGCTCTTAACTTGGTCATTCTCTTTCTGTACGTCAGATATCCCAGCGATTTGAGCTGCCATTTTCAGAGCATATATCAAGCCATTATTCAAGAATATATTGACATCACTTTTACTCTTATAGACCATCGAACCTTTGCATATTACTTATATCTTAAACTATATAAACTATCCTAAGCTTCTTCATGGCGAAGGCCAAAACACATAATTGTGTAAGGGAGTCATCGATTCATCAACTTAAAAAGCTAACAACAGGCGACTTGGTATCCTTACATCCATCAGATTGGGTCTACACTCACATGCAATCATAACCAAACAACAATGGTATCCGCGTTGGGAATTTAATGAGAAGGTGGTCATGTCTGTCCTCATAAAGCAGAGCCCAGCCTCACGCATTAATACCCTCAATTTCCATGGGTCCCGTTCCAGCACCATCCCAACCTTCTCCGCGCTGGTATATCCTCCTGTCCTCCTCCGCCACACTCACAAAACCATGCCCCCGCATGCGTGCACTTGGATCATTCACCTTCGGGTGGGTTGTCCTTGCTGCTCGTAGGATCCAATACGTTCCCTCTAGGTTATTGACGAGATGGGAGTGGCCTTTACCTTCAATTGAGCCCAGCAGGCGACGGTACTCCCCCCGACATACGGCATCCTGACAATGTCGACGGTTCTTGCCGTCCCAGTCGGTCTCGCAAGCGTGTCTTTCTCCCGTGATTTCTGGCAGAATATTGATTGCCAGCTCTGCATGTATTTGACACTTAAGCATGACCTCGACTTCCATGAACCAGATTCCTTGGGCTCGCAGCTCGTCTCTGATCAGCCGATATAAGTAGTCGGCAAGTTCGTGGACTTCGATCGTCACTGGTTCAGAATCAGGAATTAATATGCAATTTCGCGTGCTTACTATTCTTGATGGGTAATGACTTACTGAAGAGGCATGCTGCGAGGACACGACGAAATCTATCCTTCTTTTCCCTGTCTTCAATCCTGACGGTGTGGAGAACCCGATTGGCGCAACGGGTCTCGAGAGTGCTTCGTGGATAACCTGCTTGTGCCCAATCGACATAATCGGAAAATATGAAATAATCACCCTCCCGAGCCATGATGTTGAAGTACACTGCCTGGCGGTGCCGCTCAGGCGTATCGTAATGATGAAGACAGGGTATTAGAGGTGGTCCTTTCCTCACGTCTTGAGGTATCGAATTCTCACGACAAGGGTGTGTGAAAGTCAGTTGGCCGCAGGATAACCAATGCTCTTTGATATCCTCGAGGAGGTGGTCCTTGCTACAGTACCGAACCTCAGAGAATGGTCCACACTTGGGGCAGATCACAGTACTCCCATCCCAAAGATTGCACCGCTTGTCGCAACCATACTTGGCGCAGGGGAACCCGTGGCTATCAAGTTGCCAGAAGAACGCTTCCGAATTGACCTTTGTGATATCGGCTCGGGTAGGTTGAGTCGATGTTGCTGTTTCGGTTTTGGTATCAGAAGGCGAGGGATGCGCGTGGCTGGTGACTATCTTGGGAGATTCACGGTCCTCTGGATAGGCTTTGTGTTGAGAGCACTTCTTCTTTTTGACGGCCTTCGGTTGTGAGGATCCTGGCTTTGCCTTTTTATAGTTAGGAGGATGTTGAACATTAGATCCTGTGGAAAATGTGCTTAAGCCCTTCGCCGCAACCGCAGCCCAGCTCTGCGCGTTCGCGGTCGTACCCTTCCCTTCGACGTCACAAGCAGGCACATTCAAATGCTGAAGACACCCGGCCGCCTTGGGTGTGATATCTCCAGTGAAGGACCCTTTCTGTTTTTCTGAACTTGTGAGCTTGCAATCATCATGGTCGAGATCAAGATGTTGACGGAATGGCGCCAATAAAGGATTATGGGCACTTGGGGCAGGTGCGTCCTGCAAGGTAGCTAAGCTGCTTTTGTGGTCTCCAGCTGGGTTCCATGAAGGGATCCGAGTTTCTGCACTGTTTTTGGGGCCTTCTTGCTGCGGATCACTCTGTTGAGTCTCACTTCGGAACAAACTGGTGTACAAGATCTGTGACTTGGGTTGATCATTAAGAAGATCATGCTGCAAGGGAAACTGCCCCTGTTGAAGATTCTTCTGGTCCTGGGTCTCTGTCACTGTCATCATTGCTCTGTCTTTGTCATTAGAGGGCTGGGCTAATGACTCGCTCTTCATGTGGACCTGATCTTTATCCGCAGAAGTCTCACTATTCTTGTGGAATATTCGAATTTTGGGAGGCTTCTTCTTCTTCTTCTTTTTCTTCGATGCTTGTATTGGCTGCATTATCACAACTGGGCCTAGGTCTGAATATGCAGATTGCGCACTAGACGAGTGGAATGGGTCGCTGGACAGGCTGCATGTATCTCCTAAGGATGGAGCCTCTGTGGGCGACAGACGAGTGAGGGTTCTGGCACGTATCAGGTTGATGGCATTCGAGCGAGTCTGTTGCTCCTGGGGGCTGGGTTTTTGCCTTCCTTCTGTCTCTGAGGTCTTGCTTAGCGACACGTACCCATTTGTATCCATGTGGTTGTGGATGAGGTCAGAAGAGATGGAGTGGGAAGAAGGTGAATTCAGATTTCACTTACCGCAGGTCCAGCTCTCAGTTTCAGGCAAACATCTGCTCATCTCCACTGTGTAGCTGAAGGGAGATGTCTCTTTGTTGGGAGCTGAGCTGGCGCTCATGAGACAGGTGGAGTGGTCTAGCAGCAGGTAGTTTGCTTGATAGCTGTCACTCAGTTCCAGCCTGCTAAGATCTATAGGATCAGACAGGTTTCTTGGAAATCTGGCCACCGAGAATGCTTGCACCATCAGAGGTGAATGCTCGGATGCTTCGAGTATCCAGTCCTCAATGTCCTTGACTACCATGCCACCTCCTTGGCCCAATGTAGGGTCTAGGACGCCTCCAGGACGCGAAATCATGGCGCGTGGGATTTGTTTTTCTCCAGTGAAGGTATCTTCAAAGATGACTACAGTACACGCTTTTCAAAGTCACAACAGGCGACATGTGACATCTCTCTCCTTCTGAGGGACATGAATCTGTCCAAGAAGGCTTTTCAAGGGAGAAGGACACCATATGGGAGATGACTTCAGTGTGATGCTTCACTGCCATGGTGATGGTGGTTAGCAGGTTGTTCCGGAAGAATCCATCTAAGTCATCTTTATCTTTCTTGTTCTGATGCTGCACCATTATTACACAGTCAGGGCACTTTATCTAGATGTTGTTCCTAAAATCTTCAATATCGTCGCCCCTGCAGCTGCAGCTATATCCATCCACACAGCGCAGAGGATGGGAATCAAATTCGACGGCATCTTGGAATTTACCTTCGGTCTCTGTTTTGGGAGAGGGTATGAATAGTAAGGACATCTCATGTCATGTCATTATATGAAAGAGCAGGTAGATCGAAGTGATCCAATTTATGTGTCGATGTCGTTGAAGACAGGCGTCAACCACGGACTATTTGGCTGTATTACACTCCAGCCCCGTCTAGCTGAGGCTCGGACAGATTGCTCTCACAGGATTTTAACATTTAATTTGGTGCTCTCAGTATAGTCTTATTGTCGAGAACATCTCTATATATATCCCCCGCATCACGTGGAGTGTGCCATCTCGCATAAATCTTCAACCACACTCTGTCGCTCATGTTCCAGGAATACCCCAGAGACACTTATTCATCATACTGTGTCCACCAGGAGATACGAATAATTCTTTTTTTTTTTTTAAAAAAAAAAACTGCACTACCCCATGGAGCTAACCCATCTATTCCTCTGATCCAGTCGAATGACGGCCATCACTGTAACCTCTGGCAAGCCAGCGGGAACTGGAACAACAAGCGCCGCAGATGTTGAGCAGATCGAATAAAGAACCCCTGCTGATATTCTTCACTAAGCTGGGACATACAGATGCTTTGCATAAATATCGATCCGAGTGGACCTGATATCATAGTCCTTCAGACAAAGGATTGGTCGACCGGTCCTGAAGATTAAGCGCCGGCTATATTTGGCCTGCCAGCGCTCTGAAGAAGCCACTGAAAAGAGCCGCTGAGCATCTCGCGCAAGATGAAACGACCAGGCCGCAGAATATTGAGGTCTGGTGAGGTCTTGGTGCTGTTATTTCGGTCGGTTGGGCCTTGGACGGGATGGGTAGAATGCTCTTGTGTTGTCAGTGGTCTGTTCAGGCCGAGAGACCTGAAAATAGTCATATATTTGGCAAGTGCCAAGTTTTTCTGTTGACTTGTTGATCTATATGAATCGCCTACTATTAATCCATTGACAGCGCTTTATTAAGCCATTGTCTTTTCCTTTGTTGTGGTCGAGAAACGCTAACGCATCCATTCTTTGTCAAGACTGTCCTCTTTCATTCATCTGTTATAGACTCGAGCATGTGGCATGGCTTTCCGATAGATTGATCCACCATACTCATTTGAAACAGATAGTTGCTGGCCGACATCTTCTTTGTGTATCTTCACTGATTCCTCCTCTTTCAACTTCTCCCTGACGTCGACGAACCTCTTCTCTTTATTCGCATACTGCTCCCCTTTCCTGGCATTCAACCTGGTCAGCCCACTCATCCATTTTTCCTATTCCAACGAGATCCTCCAAACATGTTGTTCTCAAGGTCAGGTCACTCGATATTTCCGCTTCTACCACCTTACGCAGCCCATGCCCCGACCACCAATCAAGGCCACATCATCACCATGCCTCCGGATGGCCTCACGCCTTATCTTGGCCTCAGAGCGCGCTTGTCACAAGTATGGATCAATCGATGGACAATACTTCTGCTTCTAGTCCTGGTCAGGGTCTTGATGGCGGCTTCAGGTTTGCAGGCAGACATGGGCACGGCGAAAAGGGAGGCCCTCTCCGCTTGCTCGAGCGTGGAATCGATGGGTAGCTCGATGGCGTCTATGCCTCATTACCTTTCACAAGGCGTCAATGAACTCACAGCAAGCGGAGTTGAGACAGCTGTGAGCGGCCTCAAATCCATGCTGATGCTCACAGTCACTGGTGTTGAAGAGCTGGTCCTCTTCATCATCAAGGTGTTGTACCAGACGTACCTCTGCCTCTTTACTCTGGCAGTCAGAGGCAGTGTCCATGTCGCGGTTGGGGTGATAAAGGATGCCGCGGACTTCCTGAATTCTACTGTGAAGGAAGTTGGTGATGATATTGGCAAAGTTGTGAGCACATTCGAGGATGGCTTCAACAAGTTCCTCGACAGTGTGAACTCTGTTGCCAGTGTTTTTGGGGGCAGTGTACCCACACTAGACCTGAACAGCTCAATCAGCACTCTGGAAAACCTACAACTCCCTTCTTCAATCGACAAGGGGCTTGATAAGCTCAACAATTCGCTCCCTACATTCGACGAAGTCAATAATTTCACTCAAACGGTGTTGCGTACCCCATTTGAGGAAGTCAAGAAGCTCGTCAATCAGTCTCTGGGGACTTATACTTTCGATCGCTCTTTGCTACCGATTCCCGCAAAGGAACAGCTAAAGTTTTGTGAGGGCAACGATGGAATCGATTCCTTCTTCGACAATGTGGGAGATCTCGTTATGACTGCTCGCAAGATTTTCATCGCAGTTCTCATCCTTGCAGCAGTTCTGGCCTGCATCCCAATGGCCTGGCAAGAGATCCGCCGGTGGCGCTCAATGAAGGAGCGCTCTCAGCTCGTACGGAAGGAAGCCCATGATCCCATGGACATTGTTTATATCGTCTCTCGGCCATACACCGCTGCAGCAGGTATCAAGGCCGCGAGCAGATTCAGCAACAGCCGGCGACAGATCCTTGTACGCTGGGCAATCGCATACGCCACAACACCCGCTGCGCTGTTTGTTCTCTGTCTCGGGATAGCTGGGTTGTTCTCTTGTCTCTGTCAATATCTCCTCCTGCATGCCGTGGAAAAGACGGTGCCTGAACTGTCCACGCAAGTCGGCGCATTTGCCGATAAGGTCGTCGACAAGCTAGAGAATGCGTCGGCGGCATGGGCCAATGACGCCAACGGGGTGATCGGACATATGAACCAAGACCTAAACCAGAATGTCTTTGGCTGGGTCAACACCAGTACGACCGCGTTGAACGACACGCTGAACACCTTCGTTGACAAGACTACCGGCGTTCTCAACGAAACATTCGGCGGAACCATCCTCTACGAACCTCTCATGGACGTCTTCGGGTGTTTGATTGGACTTAAAGTTGCCGGCATTCAAAAGGGACTGACCTGGGTCCACGATCACGCCCACATTGACTTCCCCCTGCTACCGAACGATACCTTCTCCCGCGGCGCTGCGGCCAGCATCGCCAGCAATAACTCCGATGCATCCGACAGCTTTCTCGCCGATGCCGGCGACCAGACCTCGAACAAGATCACCGAAGTGGTGATAAGGGTCGTCGACAAGGTCGAAGAAGGCATCCGCATGGAGACCATCATCTCGACGGCCATCCTTCTCCTCTGGGTCTTCATCGCCCTAGTTGGCATCGTCCGCGCCCTGACGTTGTTCTGGATGCGAGACAGAAGCCGCGGAGAGGGAGGCGGTGCTCCTTCCACCAGCCATCACACCTCAGACGCTGGCGGCTTCGACGATGTGCCTTTGACTGCGATCCCGAACCCGAGCGCCCACTCAGCGCCAGCTCCTCGCTATGAGGCCACTATTAGCACCGTGGTGGCTTCCAGGGCCATCCCCACGAGCAACAGCTTCCAACATCAAGACGAGAAGATGGGATTCGCTGGAGAGAGGCAGTATGGCTCCGCGCTCAAGGTCGACGGTGCTCCGGATCTGCGGGGGAGCGCGTATGTAGAATACGGTGTGGAAAAGCACTAAGTCAAATGCCTTGGAAATATACATCGCTTGTTTACCTCTATTTGCCCTTGAATTCTTTGGTTCCTTGTGGTGCTTTGTATCTGTATAGCATTTTGGCGTTGAGCGTTGTTGGTATTCTCAGCTTTGAAAGGCGTGATAATCTTGTTGATTCCCCTGTCCACAAGTCAAGCACAAATATGCCAAATATCAATCTTTATTGTCAATAGAACCTGGCAAAAGGATAAGATGAGCTATTGAATAGGCTACAAAGCGTCCTGGTCGCTGTCACGCTGGTGATTCGTTGTATCATGTCATTCATAGACAATATAATCAGAACAGGGGGTGAATATAGAAGCCAAAAATACTCAAAACCAAGATAAAACAAGATACCGAAGATGTAATATCATATATGTTATGCATATATCGTAAATCATGAAGAAACATGGCCGACTTGAAAATCATCAGATAGCCACAAAGAAACTCTTCTCCCCCTCCTGGGGAGAAACCCTGACCCTCTCAATGATAGGATCAGCACAGCTAACACGGATCCGCTCCGGCGTTGCCGGGCTCTCCAAGCGAAGTACGTCAGTAACGTTCCACTGTCTGCGCGCCGCCTTGAGGGCGTCCCTGATAGCGAAAAAGACAGCACTGCCCATGAAAAGCGGCGGCTCGCCCACACCACGCGACCGCTGGATGGTGCGCAGGTTCTCCCACTCGACGTCTTTGAGCAGACTGACGTTGAAGACCTGCGGAATGTCTCGGAAGCCGGGGATCTTGTAGTTCCCGGGTCCCTTGGTAAATATCTGACCCGAGGCGCGGTGCCAGAGGCTCTCCTCGGTGGTGAAAAGGCCCTGACCCTGGACGAAGGCGCCTTCGATCTGGCCGTAATCGATGGAGGGGTTGATTGTGCGGCCGACGTCCATTTTGATGTCGGCGCGGAGAGGTGTCCAGTCGCCGGTTAGGGTGTCGATTTCGACTTCGGCGGCTGTCACGCCCTGCGTGAAGTAGAAGAACATCTGGCCCTCGTTTTTGCCCCACACGTAGCCAATATCAGGGGTACGGTAGAAGCCTTGCGCGGACAGGTTGACTCGGTCGAAGTATGCTGCGTGGGCGAGGTCCTTCATGCTGGCACCCGGCATTTTCTCGCGGTATGGGCGGAGACGCTCGTTGAGTTGCTCGCAGGCGTTGAAGATGGCGTAGCCGTTGAGATCTGAACTGGCGGAGGCGGCGGTGGAAGATGTGTTGGCGACGGTGTTGGTTGCTGTCTCGGAAATGAAGACGTCAGATTGAGAGACGCCGAGTGCTTCTGCCGCAATCATTGTCATCTTCGTGTGTAGCCCCTGCCCCATCTCGACACCACCATGGGCGACCAGGATACTGCCGTCATGGTAAATGTGGACCAAGGCACCAGCCTGGTTCAGGAACAATGCTGTGAACGAGATACCGAACTTGGTGGGTACGATGGCCATTCCACGCTTAGACCATTTGTGTTGCTTATTGTATTCTTCCACAGCTTTGCGGCGCTCGGCATAAGAACTCTCCTCTAGCACTTGCTTGTACATCAAGGGGACGTGCCAGTCTTTGAGCTCCTGGTTGAAATGAGTCATTTCTCCTGGCTGATACATATTCTGCAGACGAAATTCCTCCACAGAAATATCAAAATGGTCTGCAATTTCCGACATAAATGATTCGGCGAAGAACAGGCCCTGGGGGCCGCCGAAGCCACGAAATGCAGTGTTTGAAACCGTGTTTGTCTTGCAGACACGACCACGAACATTCACGTTTGGAATCTTGTATACTCCGTCGATGTGAGAGAGACTGCGCTCCACCACGGCGCCGGAAAGATCCTGCGTATGGCCACCGTTGGCATACACATCGGCATCAAGCGCAAGAAGTTTCCCGTCCTTGGTCACGCCGACCTTCCAATGACACAGGAATGGGTGGCGCTGACCCGAGGTCAAGATATCCTCGTCACGATTCAGCATGCATCGAACGGGCCGCTTCGACTTTGCAGCTGCTGTGGCACATATACCCGCTAGTTGAATTGATCGGGACTCCTTGCCTCCGAAACCACCGCCAAGTCTCTTTACTCGGGAAACTACCTTGTTGGCTGCGACACCAGTAACCTGAGCAACATAGGCTTGCCTATTTCCATGTCAGACATGATATCAATGGGGAAAATCGCGGATCGATAACTCACGTCTCTGTAGGGTTTTGGGTACTGCTCCAAACTTCCATCTCGCCATCTTCAGGTTTCGGGATGGCCACGCAGGCCTGAGTCTCAAGGTAAAAATGTTCTTGGCCACCCATCCGTGAGACTCCCTCAAAGACATGATCTGCCTCTTTGAAAGCTTTCTCAGTATCGCCACACTTGATGTAGCGGAAGTGCTCAAAGAATGACTCCGCCTCAACTGCTTCTTCCATCGTCAGGATTGCCGGCAAATCCTCATATTCAATCTTCACTGCTCTTGCACCTTCTTCGGCGATCTTGGCCGAGTTTGCAAGTATTATGCCAATGGGCTGGCCTGCAGTCGTCACTTCGTCCACTGCAAAGAACACCTCATCCCTCTTCGGAGCACCCCACCAGTTAGCTTTGGGGTCTGGGAGATCTCTGTGGTCTACATAGTCGAAGACACCAGGAATATCCAGTGCAGCAGTTGCATCGACACTGATGATCTTCGCATGTGCTTTGGTCGAGAGAACCAAGCAACCGAATAACTCATTCTGCTGCACAGGAATGTCGTCCGTATACTGAGCCTCTCCAGTCGCCTGCTTCAAAGCGGATACGTGAGGCATCGCCCTCCCTAAGATCTTTTGCTGGTATGCCACAGAGGACTCGTTGTCCTTTTGTCCGGTGGAGATCGCTCTTTCGATCTCAGCAATGACGCCCTCATCGATATCAGATTCCTTGACTTCAATTCCCGAGAGAACATCATGGTAAAAGCGGTAGAAGAAACCCAGGGCAAGCGACCTTCGGTAAGTAGCCATTCCACCAGGAACTCCAAACTTCAGATCAAAGTCGCGCTCTAGGGCACTCATGGTACCCTCGAGCGTTGCAGGGTTCGTGAACTTTTTGCCCACCAAGAAAGACTCTGCATTTCGTGCGGAGACTGTCATAGGGGCCAGGCCACCAAAAACAAGGTTCGCGCTCGTCACATCGTTGGAAGTGGAGAGGGATACACGCAAAGCAGCATTGACAATGGCGATATCGTCATCTTTCCTCTTAGATTGCTTATAAGCTCGGATATACTCGCCCTGATTGGATGCAATTGGGATTCGCAGGCTGTAAATTATAGCATCCTCTGGGAGAGCAGTTGATCGATAACCCTTGAAGAATTGGCTCATGGGGATCTCCGTATCTCCCTTGAGTGATTTCGCAATAAGGGTCGTGTTCGTTGCAACGAACACAGGGTTCAAATCGGATATAGGAGACGCAGTAGCCAGGTTTCCAGCAGGCGAGGCAACGTTCCTGATCTGCCTTCCGGCAAAATAACGAAGCTGTTTTTTAATTGCTTTGAACGGCTGCCCCTGCACAGGACCGTACTTCTCAACAGCCTCATCACAGATGGTCTCCAGATCCGTAAGGGAGACATTGGCACCAAGTTCGAGATGATCGTCCTTGAGCGTGTATTGACGAAGTTCGGGGATATCACCCACGTAGATGGAAGCGTTGTATTTCATCGCCTTGAACTTGACTTCAATCTGGGTCTCCGTGCTTCCACCAATAATTTTGGAGGTGGGATGCACGCTCTTGATTTCCAAGAGCTGCTGCAGAGTGACCGGCCTGTACCACTTCTTCTTCTTGTTACCGAATGCCACTGGTCGAAAGTCGTGTTTTTGGAGAGCCGGGGGAAAGATCAGCTCGGTGTCGGGATTGTATTTGATGAATTCAGGGGGCGTAAACTTGAGTGAACTGTCCTCCGTTGTATCGTCGACCGATGTTTGCTTGCAACATCCTCCGCCACCGTTCTGTTTCTCCATACAGCAGCCCGTTCCGCCATTGGCGCTTGCTTTCCCGCACCCAGTAACGGGTGTGAAGCTTTGGGCGGCATCCAATATAGGTCGGTATCCTGTACAACGACAGAGGTTCCCGTCGAATGCTTCCTCGACCGTATGCTGCGAAGGCTGAGGGTTGTTGCGCAGGAGGGCATAGAGGCTCTAAAAATATAATTAACTTCCCGAGTTCTTCTCATTCTTCTGGAGAAGAAAATTATACCATGACAATTCCAGGCGTACAAAAGCCACATTGACTTCCATTTCCAATCGCAAGCCGCTGTTGAATGGCGTGAGGCTTCTTCACATTGCCGATCCCCTCGACAGTCATAACATGTTTCCCATCCACACTTATCACTGGGGCGAGGCAGGCGTTGACAGATGCATGATAGAGCTTCTTAGTCGTCGGGTTGATATGTGAAATGACCTAAGTCAAGTCAGGACTACTGGGTAAGTCATCCAAAAAATGAGACTCAAAACGTACCACTGTGCAAGCTCCACAGCCTCCCTCAGCACAACCCAGCTTCGTCCCTGTGAGCCCGATACCCCGCAGGTATTCCAACAAAGTGAGCTCCGGGTTGACGGAGTCGAGTGTGACCTTAGTACCGTTGAGGTAGAAGCGAATCGTGTCGTCCCAATTCTCGGTCAGCTGGGCGAGCGAAACCGCCTTGGAGGGCGTCTCGACGATATCTGGGGATGCTAAGATACCGGGAGCCATCTTTGCAGATTCCTAGCCAGACCTCTGATGACTATGGAAAGTGAGTTATGTGAAAAGGAAGCTCGCCTCAGCTCAGGCGTCAGCTGTAGATTCGCGGAGTGAGCCCAACGAGCTGTTGTCCATGAGTCTAGATACTAGGGATGGGAAGAATTAGGCTCGAAACCGGGGCTATTCAATTTATCAGATAAAAGCAAGAGGGTAAAAGTTCATAAAATTATCACGTACGGAGTAGTAGGTAGTGATAGAAATAGGGAATAGGGATACGTGACTCGATATCGCCTCTTATCGCCCTGCTCTCCCCGCTGTTCGATATCTCTGTTGCGGGGATCGCCACTGTCCGACGCTCGATGGGCAGCTGAACAGCGGAAAGCCTCGGTCTGACCACTAAGGAGAGATCCACGGTTGAGAATGCTGCCAATCAGCTACACAAATATCTAAGGCCGAGTGATGAGGCGAGACACCAAAGAGTCTGAATGTATTCCGTTGGTTTAAGAATGCCATGTTATGATTCAAGTTTGCAGTCAGAACCGGCGATCCTGATGCCAGCCGTTCAGTAGTATGGAACAAGGAAAAAGCGTCTGGTTTTTTTTTTTGGAAAATAGAAGAAATATTTGGGAGATGAGAAAAAAGGTAGAAGAAAAGAACTATGTAGAGGAATATCCAAAAAACGAAGAAAATGAAGCACTATCAGCAGCCCCCTTCCTCTATTCCCTAACCTTAGCACCAACGAAATGCTTCTCATCTTCTTGCCACTTCTTGCGCTCGACAACGCTTCGTGCCCTAATCAAAGTAGATATTGTTAGTGAGACTGCCTCATCGCTTGATCGGGAGGTAAGATAGATATAACTCAACGTACCGATAAGCCCTGACAAATCTCCATATTTCAGTGTCTGCCAGGTTCCAAGCCTCGGCCACATCCTTGATGCCGATTCGGTTGGTCTCCTTGCTCTTCAGGACCTCTCTCGCCTTGGTAATCAGCTCGTATTCCTTTTGGATACCTTGCTTGCTTGGGTTGGCGTTCTGCATCGACTCTTTCTTATCGCCTTCTTTCTTGGGATCTGCCGGTCCCTGCCGAGGAATCTGGAAGCCAAATTGCCACTCAAACTCGTCCAGCAGCTCTGAGGGCAGAGCCTGATTGTCCCCTGATGGAAGGAACTCCACAGTCATCCACAAAGACGTGCCAATCGCTGAATCGTCTGCGACAGCTTTCTTCATCATCACAGCTCGAGCGGAACCGCCAATCTCTGCGTTCTGATCTTTGGTGACGGCATTTAGCCAAGGATCTCGCTCGGTTTCGCGGCGGATATGCCGTGTAGTCACTTCCTCAGACTCCTGTTCCAGACTGATCAGAGTGTACGGGTGAGGGAGGCTTCCAATAGTAAACACGTATGTCGAGTTCTTGTAGGTCGCAGGCTGGCTGATATGCATCGGCCGAGCAGGGTCACAAGGGTGGCATTTCTGCAGATTAGGAGGGCAGGACTCGGGCATAGGAGAGCTCGAGCATTGACCGAGGGCTTTAGCCAGACGTAGCGCAGGCTCCACTAGGGCGGTTGTGTGTTCAGGGAAAGGCTTCAAAACAGCAATACCCGCATGGAAAGAGTCCTGGAAAGTATTATGCAGATGAGAGTTGATCAGCTCCACAAGCGCAAGCCGCCCAGCCGCAGGTGACGAGACAATCTTTTCTGCTAGGGTCGGATAATGGCTGGTAATCGTGGCGGAGGTGTAAAAAGCCAGAGCACTGGGCTGTTCTACCTTGAACGTCTCCTTCGGCATGATGTCCAGCATCGATCGCGCTTTTTCGTCCACGTTCTTAAGGGCATCCTGGACAACATGTTTGAGCGCATCATTGATCCGCGTCTTCTCGCCAGCGAACAGAGCGCTACCAATATGATCAAACCGTGTGATCTGAGCAGGATCGACTCCCCGGCGCAGGTAAGAGAGCAGCGGGTCATCGTATCTCGCCATTGGGAAACAGCGGTAATCGGCGAGTAGTCCCGTTCCCATATGTCCCCAAGCAAGCCAGCGAAAGAGCTCCTGTTTCAAATCAGGGTTCACCTTCAACGTCTGCACCATCTCGTAGAGCTGATTGTTCATTGCCTCCCCGCTACCGAGCACGACGGGACGGAACCCCTGAGCGAACCAAGCCCGGCGCCAGGCGAGAAGAAGTTGGGCATCCGCGTTCTCTGCTTCCTTGTCATTACCGTTCTTCGATTCGTAGTAGGTGTAGATAAACGGCCGTTCGGGTAGCGGAGGCAGGACGGATCGGTTCTCATCTAGAGTGATGGACGACGAAAATGGGTTGATCCAGGCGAAGTCGCTGAACCATTTTGACTCGCCACTGGTGCTATTCTTCTGCTCCGGTGGTTTATGAACAGCAGGGCGGAAAAATGGCAGGTGATAGTCGCTCAGCGAAGGGAGTTTTGGCCGGGGCACATACTTGGCCGGACCGGAGACGACTTCCTCGCCAGAAGATGATGTCGTGGAGGTCGGGGAGGACGAGAAAATCACCAGTACGAGGGCGACGAAGATGATGATGGATAAGAGCGCTGTGCTCCGATGCGGAATCATCTTCCGCTAAGTTGGTGCTTGTAGGCGCCGTGTTCTGACAAGAACCCGGCTCCTACCACAGGAAGATGATGAAAGAATAGGGAGTGCTTGCGATCGTAGTCGCGGATGCCACTGACCGGAATCTTCAACCGAAGGTTTAAAGAACACAATGATTACATTTGCGATCCGTGGTAGAAGATTGAGCACTCAGGTTCAAATTGATCGTGATCATTTGAAATTAATTTCTAACTATACATCTGAGCTGTCGTCTCTCTAACAGTGGCCTTCAATACTACCTTGAAGTACCTGATACCACGGAGAGTAAGGTCGCATCCAAAACAGCCAAGTACCTAGTACCTGGTACCTGCACAGCCACATCTATGGCTGAATTCAGCCTTGAAACAGAGGTGCACTAGTCCTGCTACGGAGAGTGTGGCGGTGTAAGGACTTCTGCCTTCAAGTGCCTTACTACTACCTTGATGCCTTGACACCTTGTTGCCTGACCAGCTGTTGCTGCCCCAGGCACCAAGTTAGGCGGTGAGTGGTGGGTCAACTGCGAAATGCAATTGTGGGGCTTTTTGCAGCGAAACCGGCACTTTTTCTGTCATATGCCCCTCTTGACTGCTTGACTCATTCCATACTTCATCACTCGATATTCATTCATCGTGCGCAAGTGAAGGTCCCAACGACTTCCACGGGGCATCTTGACTGCAATCATGGGTGCTGACACAGCTTCCCTTCAAGATCGCCTTGAGCGATGGTCGCAAAGACTCCAGAATCTCACAGTGTCTCCTCTGACTCGGGACTATCCCGAGAATCAAAAGGCAGATCTCAAGAGAGCGATTGAGGCCTTTGAATCGCTCAAATTGCCCGGCGATGTGCATGCTGGGTTGCAGAAGCTCTCCGGCTCATCATCTGGATTCACTGCTTTCTTGACTGCTTTCGTTGTTCTCGTCGCTCGTTTGACCGGAGATGAGGATATCGCTGTCGGGACAAGCTCGGCGGAAGACGGCCGGCCGTTTGTCTTGCGAGTCCCCATCGATCAGTCAGAAACTTTCCAGCAGCTGTACAGCAAAGTGGAAGCAGTATGTGGGATTTATACCTGCCATCCCACCGATCAGCCTGTCTAACTACGCTATAGGCATTTAACCAGGGAGCTGCCGATATCGTCCCTCTAGGAAGCCTTCGCTCATATATTCAAGAGAAATCCAGCTCAGAACGTGCCCCGATCCTGTTCCGCTTCGCTGTTTACGATGCGCCTGCCTCCTCACAAGAATACCCTGCCAACACATTCGATACCACCGACCTGGTGGTCAACATTGCACCAGCAAGTGGATCTACTTCGGAGATGGAGCTCGGAGCATACTACAACCAGCGACTTTTCTCCAGCGCCAGAATTGCCATTATCCTGAAGCAGCTGGCGCAGATCGTTCAAAATGCCGTTAGCAACCCAGAGGAGGCAATTGGAAGGATTGATTTCATGACGGAGGAGCAGCGGTCGCTGTTGCCAGATCCCACGTCGGATCTGCACTGGTCCAAGTTCCGGGGCGCAATCCATGACATCTTTGCTCAGAATGCCGAGAAGCATCCCGACAAGTTATGCGTGGTAGAAACCAAGTCCGAGCAATCTCCTCATCGGGAATTCACCTACAGGCAGATCAATGAGGCTTCGAACATCCTGGGTCATCATCTCGTCAAGGCCGGTATTGAGAGAGGAGACGTCGTGATGGTCTATGCTTACCGTGGTGTCGACCTTGTTGTGGCCGTCATGGGTATTCTCAAAGCCGGTGCAACCTTCTCGGTCATTGACCCTGCATACCCCCCGGAAAGACAGTGCATTTACCTTGACGTTGCTCGGCCCCGGGCCCTCATTAACATCAAGAAGGCTACAAAGGAAGCCGGCGAACTGACCCAGCTCGTTCGTTCGTTCATTGACGAAAACCTTCAGTTGCGCACAGAAATCCCCGCCCTCGCTCTGCGCGATGACGGCAGTTTGGTTGGAGGATCGGTCAATGGCCAGGATGTTCTTGCCGATCAAGTCCCCTTGAAGTCCAAGCCTGTGGGCGTTGTGGTCGGTCCGGACTCTACACCCACTCTCTCATTCACCTCCGGTTCTGAGGGCAGACCCAAGGGTGTCAAGGGTCGTCATTTCTCTCTGGCATACTACTTCCCTTGGATGTCCGAGACCTTCAAGCTCAATCCCGATGACCGTTTCACAATGCTCAGTGGCATTGCTCATGACCCTATCCAGAGAGATATCTTTACACCCCTCTTCTTAGGAGCTCAGCTGCTGGTTCCGGCCCGCGAGGATATTCAGAACGAGAGACTTGCCGAGTGGATGCGCGAATATGGCGCTACGGTCACCCATTTGACCCCTGCCATGGGTCAAATCCTCGTCGGTGGTGCCTCTGCGCAATTCCCCACGCTCCATCATGCTTTCTTCGTTGGTGACATTCTCATCAAGCGAGACTGCCGTTCTCTCCAGGCGCTGGCTCCCAACGTCAACATTGTCAACATGTACGGAACCACTGAGACCCAGCGTGCTGTCAGTTACTATGAAATCCCCAGCTACTCCAGCCAAGAAGGTTACTTGGATACCATGAAGGATGTCATTCCCGCCGGCCGCGGAATGATCGACGTGCAAATGTTGGTTGTCAACCGCTTTGACCCAAGCCGCATTTGCGCGATCGGTGAGGTGGGTGAGATCTATGTCCGTGCAGGTGGTCTGGCAGAGGGCTATCTGAGCAACGATGAGCTCAACAAGAAGAAATTCCTCACAAACTGGTTTGTTGACCCTCAGGCCTGGACTGAAAAGGACAAGGCCGAATCGCAGGGCACCAACGAGCCCTGGAGACAGTTCTACGTCGGGCCCAGGGACCGCTTGTACCGCAGTGGTGATCTTGGCAGATATACTCCGTCTGGTGATGTTGAATGCTCTGGTCGTGCCGATGATCAGGTCAAGATCCGAGGTTTCCGCATCGAGCTTGGTGAGATTGATACTCATCTGTCTCGTCATCCTCTGGTCCGGGAGAATGTCACTCTGGTGCGGAGAGACAAGTTCGAGGAACCAACCTTGGTCAGCTACTTTGTGCCAGATATGAGCAAGTGGGCCTCGTGGCTTGAGAGCAAGGGTCTCAACGACGATGACTCCGCTGAAGGAATGGTGGGCATGCTCAGACGCTTCCGACCTCTTCGTGATGACGCCCGTGAACACCTGCGGAGCAAGCTCCCTGCCTATGCTGTGCCGACCGTCTTCATTCCTCTGAAGCGCATGCCTCTGAACCCCAATGGCAAGATCGACAAGCCTGCCCTGCCATTCCCTGATACTGCGGAACTCAGTGCTGCAGCCCCCCGCCGCAAGTCTTCCGTGCTGCAGGCGCTCTCCCAAACCGAGCAGACTTTGGCCCAGATTTGGGCCAATCGCATTCCCAACGTCACGTCTCGCATGATCGGACCTGACGATTCCTTCTTCGATCTCGGTGGACACAGTATCTTGGCGCAGCAGATGTTCTTTGATCTGAGACGTAAGTGGCGTGGAGTTGACATTAGCATGAATGCCATCTTCCGCAGCCCTACTCTCAGAGGGTTTGCTGCCGAAATTGATCGCTTGATCAATGCGGACTCTTTCGCAACCAGTGCTAATGAGACCGATGCCGCCGCCGACACTTCGGCCGCATCAGCTGGACCCGACGACGAGTATTCCAAGGACGCTCGCAAGCTGGTTGATCTTCTTCCTAAGTCGTTCCCTGAGCGCACGGAGCCCATTCTCTCTGGCGAGCCAACTGTCTTCCTTACTGGTGCGACTGGATTCCTGGGCGCGCATATCCTCCGCGATTTGCTCACACGCAAATCGCCCCTGGCGAAGGTTGTGGCGCTCGTGCGTGGTAAGACCGAAGAGCAGGCTCTGGATCGTGTCCGCTCTACCTGTCGCGCGTACGGTTTCTGGGATGAGGCATGGACCAGCCGGCTCCAGTGCGTCTGCGGTGATCTTGGAAAGCCGCAGTTTGGTCTGTCCGAGGCATTGTGGAAGGATTTGACCGAACGAGTGGATGCTGTGATTCACAATGGCGCTCTTGTCCACTGGGTGTACCCTTATTCTACACTCAAGCCCGCCAACGTCCTGGGTACCATCGACGCTCTGAAGCTCTGCGCTAGCGGAAAGCCCAAGCAGTTCTCCTTTGTTAGCTCGACCAGTGTGCTTGATAATGACCACTACGTGTCTGAATCGGAACGGATCATCGCGGCCGGTGGTGCCGGTATCAGCGAGGAGGACGATCTTGAGGGCAGCAGCGTGGGTCTTGGAACCGGATACGGTCAGAGCAAGTGGGCTAGCGAGTACCTCGTCCGCGAGGCCGGCCGCAGGGGGTTGAAGGGAACCGTTGTCCGTCCTGGTTATGTTCTGGGTGACTCCCAGACTGGAAGTATGCACCCTTAGCCCAAACAACCCCCCCCCCAAGACTCGAAGGATGACTAACGATTGTACTCAACTCAACTTAGCCACAAACACGGACGACTTCCTCATTCGTATGATGAAGGGTTGCATTCAGCTTTCTGCTCGTCCCAACATCCACAACACCGTCAACATGGTGCCCGTAGACCACGTCGCCCGTGTGGTCATCGCTGGTGCCTTCCAGCCTCCCTGCACGCCGATCGGAGTTGCCCAGGTCACTGGACACCCGCGGCTGCGGTTCAACCAGTTCCTGGGCGCTCTGCAGGCCTACGGATACGACGTGCCCCAGGTCGATTACGTTCCGTGGAAGATGTCTCTCGAGCACTACGTGAATGACGGAAAGCACGATGACCCCGAGTCCCAGCATGCCCTGTAAGTCCCTGTCCCGAACGGCCCGGAAGACTCCACTTGGAACCCATTTACTGACAACCCCTCACAGTATGCCGCTGTACCATTTCGTCACGGCCGACCTCCCCTCCAACACCAAAGCCCCCGAACTAGACGATGTCCATGCCGCTGCCTCCCTCCGGGCCGATGCCGCCTGGTCCGGCATCGATGCGTCCGCCGGCGCCGGTGTGACGGAGGACCTAGTCGGTTTGTACGCCTCCTACCTTGTCACGATTGGATTCTTGCCCGCACCCCCTGCCTCTGCGACCGGCGCACGGCCCTTGCCCTCGGTGCAACTCAGCGAAGACCAGAAGAAGGCTTTGACGAACGTGGGTGGACGTGGAGGTGCTTCTTGAGAAACAAGAAGAAGAAGAAAAAATAGTGACAAGTTGTTTTTTTTTTTTGTATGAGCTCGATGACATTTCATTTCATTTCATTTCCATTTCCATTTCGATCCTTTTCGGCAGGCATCAAAACGAGCGATCTGAGCAGGATTAGCAGAAAAGTCCTAGGGGGTTGAGTGTATATATAGAAGAGAGAAGGGGAATGAGGATCCAAAAGGGAACCAAAAGACAAAAATCAAGATGCGCGATTTATCCTGGTCGTGACTCCAATTCCAATTCCGATTCCGATTTTGCAGATATTATGCCATGATCTGATCGTCATCATCTCGATATCTCCTGAGTCGAAGTCGCATGTCGAGACATGAGACTATTCTCGGCTATCTACTCCGCGTGATGCCAAGTCTAGTAATCGTGAATACGCAAGCTAATATCGGCATGGATAGAGCGGCTCCAGCTAAAATGCCCCTCTTCGCTGGCGTCCGAAGGCTCAAGGCTCAAGGCTCAAGGGCTCAAGGAGTCCAGGAGTCCAGGAGTCAACTCTCAAGAATCAACCTCGTCTGCCCCACCGGTCTAACAGTAATAAGCAATACGCAGCTCGTTCGGGTGATTCTGGAATTGCTGTTGACAAGATGGTTTCCCCGTGCTCAGACTGCACGAAAATCACCAAAGCTGCTGTTTCCGGGAACATCATGCGACTACCATGGTGATCTGATGGCTGTCATGGACTCATGGTCGTATCCTCGGATGTGCTGTGTAGAGTGTAGACTTACTTGACTTCTCAGGAATGAATAGGGGGGGTGGTCGTTGGCCGCAAAGCCGCTCCCAGCACGAGTGTACTACTACTAATAATGATCACTTAAGAATTATAAGCCCGTCACCAACTGTCCACCCTCCTGCTCCCTCACGAATCTAGATATCCAGTCAAACCACCCCCAAATAGAGAGAGAGTATTTGATCTCGCTCCAACCCCCCCCGGCCCTTTGAATTCAAAACATCTCTCATCTTCTGCAAAGCCTTCTCCGTCTCATCATACATCCAGATCACTACCTTTCCTGGTGAATCAACCACTCCCATCGGCATCATGACTCACACAGGTACGTTCCTGTCCTGCTTTTTGGCGGGACCCGGTTGCTATCGCTCAACCTTGATCGACCACGGGCCTTTGCTGTGTTTCTTTCCATGACGCTTTTTCGCCTGTATTCCAAAATTGTTCCCGTTGTCGTCGTCATTTGTGTCGCGATATTACCCGTTGAACGTTCAAGCATGTTCGTGCTGCCAGTTTGCGATTGTTGGTAATCGCCGTGTTGACTGCGCAATCGTCGTCTGCTTCTTTCTTTCCTTCGTGCGAAACAATTGTTTTTTTTTTCTGTTCTCCCTTCTGTTGTCCTCGACCTTGCTCCCCTAGCAGACCCAATATGAACTTTCCAAGGCTGTTCCTGCGTTCGAAAGCTCTCTCGTGTGCGACGGCAGCGGGGCGAGTATTTCGAGGTTGCGGGGTGTTCCCACACCCATGTCCATCCTTCACCGGCAGCCCAAAATACTGCTCAACGATGCCCACTGCTGCGCCGTCGGGATCACTCGAAAATTTTGCGGAGGCGCATGCCGGTGCTAATGATACACCATTTGCAGATAAATTCTCCATCTTACTGGCCAAGAACAAGGACTGGGCGGCCCAGACCTACAAGCAGCACCCTGACCTCCTCCCCCAGCTTGCCGTGGGCCAGCATCCTGAGATCCTCTGGATCGGCTGCTCCGACTCCCGGTGTCCCGAGACCACCATCTTGGGCCTCCTACCCGGTGATGTCTTCACCCACCGCAACATCGCCAACGTCATCCACCCCGCCGATCTGAGTTCGGGCGCTGTTATCGAGTATGCCGTGCGCCATCTGCAGGTCAAGCATATCGTCATCTGCGGACACACCAAGTGCGGAGGCGTCGCCGCTGCTCTCGGCAACAAAGGCCTGGGCATCCTCGACCCCTGGCTGTTGCCTCTGCGCCAGCTCCGGGAACAACACCACACGGAACTGGAGACTCTGCCGGGCGATGAGGCCACCGTGAAGCTGGCCGAGCTCAACGTCCGCGAGGGTCTGAAGACATTGAAGCAGAAGAGCGTAGTCCTAGAGGCGATACAGGAGCGTGGATTGCAGGTGCATGGAATGATTTATGATGTTGGCTCAGGTGTCCTTCGGGAACTGGATAGCAGCGAGCCGGAGGACGCGATCAAGGCACGGTATGCATCGTTCAAGACGGAGGCTTAAGGGATCTGCGTGTGCGTGGATGTGTGTGCTCATTTCAGCGATTTTGTTTCGGTCGCAGGTTGGGAATCCTGTGACTGTTGATTGTCAGCGACATGGTTATCCTGTTAGACCATAGTCGGTCAAAGGGTTGTATATATAATTGATTATACCTGAAGATATAAGAGGCAGACGGGTGCAAGTAAATGCAAAGCAACGACTCTTGAGTCATCCATCCATGATCAGAGTAAAACCACAGGCTAGTGATAGTTGTAGAGATGCCATTATCATAGAGTGCTAGGTAGGCGCTCCAGTACACTATCTTCAATCCACAGCCATGACAGACAGAAAGAATAATGGAAGGATATGAAAAACGCACAATGGAAAATCTGAGAGCGAGACATGGAAGAAGGAAAACAAGCGAGATGGTACTACTAACTTCTTAGGCAGTAATAACTTCTCCTGCTCCTAAATAATGACTTGATGATGCCAATCAGATGTCACCTGCGCCCGTTTCGCGCCTAACACTTACCGTTTCCGGTATAGTCTCGGCCGAAGCGGCAGATGCTGTCGGGTCCGGAAGTGCTGCCTGAGTGCCTGAGTGCCTGAGTGCCTGAGCAGTCGGGCAGGGATCAGGCATCCTGCATCATATCATCATCCATCATCTCTGTGGAAGACCATCAGAATCAACACAGGATGCATATCATCAATAATCAAGCTCAACCGACGACTGTCTGGACCGAAAACTGGCTCCAGCAGTGTAGAGTCCCGTAAACCTCTTTGGTCGGTTACTCATCGGCTCAGATCTATCTTCGCTTCAAAATTCTCGGCAAATGTCTCATGAGTCAAACAAACTACGGGGGCGGACAACCCTACGTCAACGCCGGTGAAGGAGCTTAAGAACATCAGAGAATTTATAGAGAGCTTTCTTTGAACTTTCTTGACAACACTTTCGCGCTTCAGCTGGTGAGTACTGTGTATATCCAATCACCTTCTAATCCATCATAGTGGGTTGGACTGATTGGAAGAATAGAATTCGCTAGACCTTAACACAACATGGCAGCCAATACGGAAATGAAATATGTCCGGTATACTGCTCTTCTCTTCGCGCCTTGACGGACTCCCCCCCCCCTCCAGCTGACAGGAAGCCAACAGGCTGGGCAACTCGGGCCTCAAAATCTCCAAGATTATCCTAGGATGCATGTCCTACGGCTCCAAGGAATGGCAGGACTGGGTGCTGAACGAAGACGAGGCCCTTCCACTGATTGAGCATGCCTACAAGCGCGGCATCAACACGTGGGATACGGTGAGTGGCCTCACCAGCGACACAAGCACAGTTTCTGACACCAAAAAAAAAGGCAGATATCTACTCCCACGGCCTCTCTGAAGAAATCCTCGGCAAGGCTCTGCGGAAGTACTCGATCCCGCGCCACCGCGTGGTCATCCTCACCAAATGTTACTTCGGCGTCGACGACATGGGCAACATGCCGCCGATCTCCGCCTGCGGCCGCAACGACGGCGACTGGGTGAACCGCGTCGGGCTGTCGCGCAAACACATCTTCGACGCGGTCGACGCCAGCGTCAAGCGCCTCGGCACGTACATCGACGTGCTGCAGATCCACCGGCTGGACCGCGACACCCCGCGCGAGGAGATCATGAAGGCGCTGAACGACGTCGTCGACAGCGGCAAGGTGCGCTACATTGGCGCCAGCACTGTTCGTTTCCTTTCCCTTCTTTTCCCTTCCCCTCTGGAAACCAACAAGCACACCCCCTAACAAGCCCCGTGCAGATGGCAGCCTGGGAATTCCAAGCCCTCCAGAACATCGCCGCCCGCAACGGCTGGCACCAGTTCATCTCCATGCAGAACTACCACAATTTGCTCGCCCGCGAGGAAGAGCGCGAGATGATCCCCTACTGCCTCGACGCGGGCGTCGGCCTCATCCCCTGGTCGCCCATGGCGCGCGGGGTCCTCGCCCGCCCCTGGGCCGCCCGCGCCTCCGTGCGCGAGTCCACCGACGCCGCGCTGAAGCTGCTCGTGCGCGGCCGCGAGTCCGACTCCGACCGCGCCATCGTCGAGCGCGTCGAGGAGATCGCGCGCCGCAGGGGCGTCACCATGGCCCAGGTGGCGATCGCCTGGGTGCTCAGCCATCCCAATGAGAATCCGATTCTGGGGCTGGCGAGTAAGGAGCGGATTGATGAGGCTGTTGCCGCGGTGGAGCTACGGCTGGAGCCGGACGAGATTGCGTATCTTGAGGAGCCGTATGTTCCGAAGACGTTGACGGCTCTGGAGCGGTGAATTTTCCCCCACCTCTCTGTGTGATGGAACGGGTTAGTAGCTTCGTGCTTGGATTACAGTAACGACCTAAGTCCTTCCTTTCGTAAGTATGTGAATGAATGATACAGTATATTTACATCCTCCGACAGGTGGCGCCTGTTTACGAATCTATCTCTCTATGTACAGGTTACTCAGGATCAGCATGTTTAGCATGCATCCAACGGGAGATACTAATAAAGAAAGAAAAAAAACGCGAAGCTGGTCTTCAAGATCATGGATATCATAAACGCTAGTGTCAGAATGAGATGGGAGGTTTGAAATGATGCGGTCATGTATGAAGAAGGACCCTGCCAGACGACCAGAACCTGGCAGTATCACAGAGAAACGTCGAATCCCGTGAGGCCAGCACGGGATAAGGGGTTCTGTAGGGGCCCCCTGAAAGTCTATTGCATTGCAGAGCGCCATCTAGGGATGTCCGCTCTTCCTCGTGAAAAAGTCGAAGAAGCCGCTGAAGCGATGGCGTCGTTTTCCCTTCGAGGGCGCTGGGTCTACGCCCTGGGAACCAAGCGGTTTGTTGCTTTTCTCGGTGGACGCGGTCGATTGTTTTCGGGACCGACCGGTTGATACGGCAGGCTTGTCGATCGCTCGGTCTGGCTTCCCTGTATCTCTCGGGTCGACACTCTGAGAAGGAGAAGACAACCCCCGAGAAGAACGGGGATCCTCGGCTACCGCTCGATCCGATTCCTGCGCGATGGGAAGCATGCTGTGTCTCTGCGGTTGGTTTTCCGACGCCGACGCGCTCCGTCGGTTAGACCGCTCGATGAATGCTGCTCCTGTGGACTTGGATCGTCGCGGCAGGCTGGCGTACTTCGTTGATCTGGCCCACTCGGATGAATTTGATGAATGAGAAGGGAATGTAGTTGAGCCGGGGAGTCGATTTCGAATACTGTTCAGCGAAGGACCATCGGGATACTTGTCTCTGTCCTCGGACAGCAGCTCATCCGCTCCCCGCACGGCTACCGGTGAACTTTGACGGGATGCGGCAGGCGAACAAATCGCTTTGGAATTCAGCGACAGCACCGTATCGTCGTAAGTGAAATTTCGCGACCAGCCCTCTCTGAACGCGACCCATATGGACGTGATGATAATGATGGCCCGAAGATCGTCACCCGTTTTCACCATATCTCGATCCACAGGAGTATCCAACTCGGAAGAATCGCTGACCACGGACATACCACAAGTGGGCGTCGTAGGGAGGTCGCCTTGGGGGAACGTCGTTGAATACTCGTCATACACCTCGAGGACATTGCGTGTCATGGCCGCAATGACTGGATGACGACGCGTGTTGGGGTCAATCACACTGAATGTAAACCGTTTGGCATCTTCCTGCAAGGGAGAGCCTGGAGGCGCAGACACCCGACGGGATTTTCCGCCGCGGGAAACCCACCGCAAAACCTGCACTCCCTGATCGGTGTTGGCTCTGAACTCATACGAGCCGTTTGCAAGGGGGGTCGCCTCCCAGACCGGTCCCTGGATCAGACAGATCTCTGCCTTACCCTGAGAGAGGGCCCCATCCTCCTTGGGCATTTGGCAGATGGTCGCGACAACCTCGCGGTGCTCGTTGTCCTCGTCGTTCGGGCCGAGATACTTGCTCGCAATGTCGCCGGGCGTCCGTTCATACAAGTCACTCATCACGATGATCAAATCGTACGGTCCCAGGCCTTTCTTTCCCCGGAAGATCGTCGGGAACCTGCGAGCTAGCCGCGGCAGGAACACCGTCGATGGCAACACATCCAAGATCGGGAGCGGGCGTGTTGACGGGGAGACTCGCTGCAACTGCAGAAGGAGCTTCGGCCGAAATTTCAAGCGCCGATGACGCGCATGCGACGCTGGGTGAGCTAATTGGTAGGTTGTCTTTGGTCGCGAGGGTTGTTTCTTGACTGATTGAGAGCGAGTAGCGCGGGTTCGACCTGGAGCTGGGGCCACTGTGGAATGGTCGTCGTCGTCAGACGCGAGCGAGTCGACCGGCGTTAGTGACATTCTCCGCAGCGGTGGTCGATGTGGTTTGTTGCTTTCGGAGCCTCTGTACCGAGTATATAGTTCCCCCAACCCCAAGGAAGATAAAGTCGGAATCGATATGGTTGCGGAGGGAAAGGGAACGGGACGGGGGCGTTGTGATTCTGAAGGGGAGGTAACCAAGTCGTTCTCATGGGCAGCAGCAGCATCAGCTGTCCAGCCAAGATTGAGCAGCATTCTATCATGCAAAGAAGACAGTCCACGACCAACCCATGAAGAACGACATCGACCAGGAAGAGGCGAAAATGCAGGGGTAGCTAGCGTAGCTTGTGATGTAATCGCCAAGGATCGATAAATTGCAGGCGATGCAAGATCCGACAGAGCTGAATCCTTCCCGGTGAATCTCGACTAAGCCTGGCCTTGGACCTTGAGGGGAGGTGAAGGCGGGGGTAGGAAGTGGTCTCAGAGCTGGAAGAACGAGGTGTGGACGACAGGGAGAAGGGGAATTGAACTGATAGAAGAGAAAGGAGAGTGAAGATGCAGATGCCAGAGGTTGTATTGTATGATAGGAAACCGTGGGTGTATTGTGTGACCTGCACAGCTCAAATGATGTTGGTCGCGAACCAAGCTTGATACTTGAGAGTGAAGAGAATAAGAAGAACAAGAAGAACAAGAAGAGAGGCAGTTGGAATAGAGTGCCAGTGATGCAAGGAGAAGTGGCTGAAACTGCTTTGAGTCTATGTATCTATCTAGCTGGAATGTGAAGGAAACCAGCTAGGTATCCAGAGTAGGTGATTCTTGTTGACTAAGAAGAAGGAACAGTTTTGTAGCAAAGGCCAGAAGGAAGAATGGAAGGCTGTATGATGATGCATCTATTTGTATCATATAAGAAGCGAGAGAAGGAAGTAAGTATGCAGGCTGGGCTGGTCAGATGGCGGTCAACTAACTAACTAGAGAAATTTTTCCCAGAATCCACCAGAAGGGATCCATCTGGCTCTGCTTCTTGTGATTAATGATTGAAGTATAATCATAATAATCATCATAATCACGATCAGGGTCATTCATCTGTGTACCTGCAACTCCCGTTCCTTAGTCCTCTCCGTCCTTCGTCCTTCGTCCCTAGTACTTAGTACCGAATACCGATCCATGGACAACCGCATCCGTAGTTCGCATCCATGACCCGAACCAGTCTAGACGGCGATCTTCGGGGTGAAACTGAACGAAAAAGCCCGACCTCTTCTTGTCTAAGTTCATATTCGCGAGGAAACTGCATTAACTGTGCATATTCTGTTCGTATTTTCATCAGCCCAGAGTCCCCATTCCCTCGGACTGCGGAGCAATTCAGCCACGCTTCCCGCGAGCGACAAACTCCGACAAGGCAACAATAAACCAGCCGATGGTCCGTTCATTTCTGATTCGTGTGATTTAATATCAACTCGAGGATCAGTCATAAATCGTAATACGGTCGTGTAGTAGTAATCAGTACTATGGAGTAGAATATCTAACTACCAGAGCTACGTTCTCTTGTCCAGGCATCACCATAACCATACTTCGTATTTTGAAAATCTGTCGTGGTCTTGGCCCTAACCATGATTACTTACCTACCTTCCTTCCTTACCTAGGTACCGTTGATTTACGGAACACTTACTAAGGAAAACTCATTGGGGGAAAAAAAAATAAAAAAAAAAAAAAAAAAAAAAAAAGAAAGAAAGAAAAGATATTTGATCCAATCAAAACCCTGCGCTCGGGGGGCGGAGGTCCCCAGCTCCGAGTTGCTGGTAAGGTTCCCGTACGGCTCGGTAACACAGTAGTACTCCGTATGAGCAGGTAGGTAGTGAATCATCGTTTCGGGTTGACACTACTTCTACTCCTAGAGAGTACCTACCTAGACATTTGGCCACTTGGCCTCCACTGGATCATCCGGTTGGCCGTTGGCTGACATGTCTGCCGAACAGATGAGCTGTTGTCCTAGACTGTGGGAAGAGTACTAGTCACGGAGGTCAAGCAAGGGAAAAGAACTACATAAGGGGAGCATAGTCGCCAGTTGCCACTATTCACAGAGTGGAGGGGCAGATGGGTCCTCTGCAGTCCTACATTCATGTCTGCAAGACTCTAAATTCCTGGTGCCACTGCCTCAGTAGTCAGTACTGTAGTCATAATGCATAATTCATGCATTCGATAGCTTACCCACTCAGATACAGATCTCTACCAGTTCCATAAAACCAGCAGTGGATATCCATGTCTCGTTACTCCCTGGTTATTCCTATTTCCCTGGCCACCAAACCTCCAGAGTCCAGAGAGTAAGACTACATCAACTTAAAAAGGTCTGCAAGGCTAATGATCATTTCCACATAACCTAAATACGATGGATGTCATCATCATCTAGCACGATAATAGCTCGGATTAAGATACATCCTGGTCCCCAAAATCCTTTACCTGATGCTTGTGTACTTGAGAGATGCCGTTGCAACCTACCACTAGACCCAGCCGCTGCACACACTCTCGCTTGCCGATTCCAATTTGAACATCCTTGATCCCTCTCGGATTCAACCGTTGTATCATGCAGCTTTCATAAAGATCCATTTCCTGAGTACTAGAACCCAGCAGTCATTTCCACACTGAATTCGATTGCGGGTTCCTTGAATCACATGAGGGGACGGGATAGAGCCTATGGCTTATGTGAAACTGAGTACCTACACAGTATGTGTTATCCAAAATAGGGCAGCACAACATACTGCATACTTGTGTTCTAGTCTTAGAGGTTTTCCTGCAACTACTGTGTACAACCGAGACCACTCCATAGGGCTGATTGGGCCCGGTGGCCAGACCATCAGGATGGGGCGTTTTAGCTATCTACTTACCTTACCAAAGAATCTTGTCTACTGATCTGCCCAACCAGTTGAGAGTGAGGATTTCACATCTCATCACCTCGAAACGCAGCCATAAAGACTGCCACTTGATCTGCGTAGACTAAGGCCAGGTGCCCCTACTCAAATGCCGCTCCGCTGAATCAGCGGGGCTGTTTTACTTTTATGCGAGCCGAAGCCGAACAATCCGATCCGCCTCAAGCCTTGGCAGTTAGCTGCTTTGTAAGTTTGTAGCTATGACTACGGACTACGGAGTAACTTTCTTACCAAGGCTGGATTGTCACTAATCACTAACTGATTATTACTCATTACTATTAATTAGTTCGTTAGTAGTACTCCCTGATGGCTGACGGATCAGGGCTGACCGCAATTGAGTACATCCAGAGGAGTAGGTAGTCAAAGTCTCTAGATGTTACTAGATACTGACTAGACTACCTCGGTAACGAACAATTGACTGCTTCATTTTCGTGGCCTTGATTGCGATATCCTTGCCACGGCAACCGTCTAGGCTGTGAATGGGCCCATGGTCTCGCAAACCTGCAACTTCTAGCATCAGCAGACAGACCCATCCGCAGCGTTACCGGGTCCCTGATCCATAGTGACGTGCACCTCGTGTGTGTCGGTGTGTTGTCCTTTGTCCCCCAACGGCGATGAGTTCGCCGTCCCGATTCGATGTTGTTCAATCGGCGTTCTCGCCTCGTCATCCTGTCAAAAGCTTGTCCATTGCCTTTGCGCTATGGAAGGCTCTCATCTTTCTGGTTGTAGTCACCTGCCCTGGGCCTGGCTATGATACCTCTACAAGCCTACTACCCTATCAGGCTGAGGGCTTATCTGATGTCATATCCTCAACCCATAAGCATCGGATACGGTCTTCATACCTCGCTTTACCGTTGAGGTTTGTGAGATGGGATTCGATCTACTACGTCCATGCTGCTGAGCATGGCTATGTATTTGAGCAAGAATGGGCCTTTGGCTACGGCTATACCAGGATCATAGCTTTGCTCTTATCGGGTAAATCCATCATTCAATCTATCGATCAAAAGTCCCTTCAGCAAACATGCTAACATTCAGTATCAGTCTTCCCTCGCGCAGTTGGTCTAGGGGATTCGGCTCATGTGGCATTAGTAGCGATCGTCCTCTCCCATTTATCGCATTACGTCTCAGTCTTGGTTCTATACAAGCTTTCCATTCATATCTTTGGTAGTCACAGTCCCAAGCAACGATTCCTTTGCCTTCTCTCCGCAGCTCTGCATATCATCAGCCCTGCTGGCGCGTTCCTTTCCGCACCCTATGGAGAAGCCTTGTTTTCGCTTTTAAACATCTCTGGTTTCTACCTCTACTCGTCATCCGTCCTCGACGGCGGCGCAAATAAGCGAGTATCAAGGGATTTGAAACTACTCGCAGCGGCGACACTATTCTTCGCGGCTACAACGGTCCGCAGCAATGGAATTTTCGGGGGGATTCTGTTCGCATTTGATGCTGTTCAACAGCTGTGGAAGATCGTGTGCGGCGGTTTGTCGTGGCATGCGATTAGACGTTTGGGTGTCATCGTCGTCGGTGGCTGTGTCGTAGGTCTGGGAATGATTGTGCCTCAAGTTATTGCTTACAGGGAATACTGTATGGTGGCACACGTCTCTCGTCCATGGTGCGAATGGATCATTCCGAGCATATATGGCTGGGTTCAAGAACAATACTGGTAAGCCAAGTGATGCAAGTCTCTTTTTCACAGCGTTTGCTAAGTCCTTTGCAGGAATGTGGGCTTTTTACGCTACTGGACCGTACCGAATATCCCCTTGTTCTTACTAGCCATGCCCATGTTGGCATTGCTCCTGTGGTCGTCTCTCTGGGGATTACGACTATCATCCGTCGTCCGTAAAGATTCGAATGATGTTGCTCCGACAATGACAACCGCCACCGTGACTTCGCTCTTGACCCGACTGTCAGTAGTTCAAGGTGTGCTTGCGGTTCTAGCCCTGACAAGTTACCATGTCCAGATCATCAACCGGATATCTTCTGGGTATCCCTTATGGTATTGGTACCTTGCGGCTCAGCTTGTAGGCGATGCTACAGATTCTTCAGCCACTAGCAAACGCAACAGGCTTCCTGCGGTTCTCATGCAGACAATGATGATCTATGGTTTGATACAGGCTATTCTTTTCGGCTCGTTTCTTCCACCCGCCTGACTCTTACCGTTTGCTTTTGGCGGATATCTTCCTTTTTTCATTCAGCGCACTAGGCAGGTTTGCGGCTGAGCCTGTCTTAAGAATTCATTTATTGTGTCCCTCAATTATTGAGAATATGTGATAGTTATGGAGAGTGGGAAACAATGATAGAGACAGTTCAAGGGAGAATATGAGATCAGAATGCCTTCTCAACCGCTTCTGATACTATCAGCAAAAGCTACTTACATCCTCTTTCAGCGTTTCTATCCTATAGGCTTCTAAATCTTCTACTCTCGCCTTCCTTAGGCTTCTGGTGAATGTTCTGGCGATTAGCTTTTTAGGCTGCGGTGCTGTTACGTAGAATTATGTCATCAGTAATCCGTCGGGACGACAGAACTCCACTGATAACTTCCACTTGACTGCTTCGCTTGAGCTCCCAATATTATCAACTACAAAGCTGCTATCAAAGATAGGCAGCGAATGCTGACGACTTTTCCTCTTTATTTAATAAGACACCGTATACTGCTTCATCCATCTCTTCCTCTTTCCCCAATATCCCACGCTTTTTTCCTCGCTGTCGGTCGCTTCTCTATTAGAATCAAGCCCAAGTAAGCTGTCCATGCGAACAGAATTGGCAGCAGCTGACTGCTTGGTTCAACGCAACCTGTAAAGGCCGCTGTCTGATTTCGATCTTCATGACCGGTGTACAGTTACCTGTACTTTTTTCTTCGCTAGCCTGGGATGCTTTCTAGAAAAATGAAACTGACGTTTGCTTCACTTAGAGCTCTTCCGGCCCATCTCCACATTCAACCTCTACGCCGCTGTAAACGATCGCACATCCCACACGATTATGGACACCTCAGGGCCCAAGGCAATTCTCACCCAGAACTTCCACCACATACATGAAATTTCACGGGCCACCTCTCCCGGTGGGGAGCCGTCGGGCATAAATGGGGAAGGCGAGCCCAAGGCACGAGTCCGTCCTCGCACCTATCCTTACTTCAAATACCTACCATATCCGATCGAAGATGAAACGGAGCGGAAGCGGAATCTGCGAGAAATATTGAATCAGCTCTACATCGCAGTGGAAGCGGGAGATTTCAGTCCCGGCGCGGTCCACTGGACACGAGAGTTGAGAGGATGGCTGTCGCTCAAATTCGATCCGACTCGCACAGAGCGGATCAACTTGGTGAAGCTTTATTACGAGCTTTCACTGGCTCCAGGGATTGATCCCAACATCTCGGAGCGGTTCGCTAGCATGTTCATGCTTCTCACAAAGTGAGTGCTTTCGCACGTGTGGTGTCTTCTGGCTAATCTCAAGCACTGACGTAATTTTGCAGGCGTAAGCACTATCTCAGACCGGTGAAAGACCTCATCCTCGACTGGAAACCTCTTTACAAGGAATTGAAGGCTTTTGTTCTGCCGACAGAATCGGGTCTGGTCCATTCGACCAACCTGAAGCGCAATGTCAAGACGCTCACGAAACTCTGTGCATTTGTCCAGCTCTACATCGATCCATGTGAGCTGCCGGCTATGCTCGAGGAGTTTCTTCCTCACTTTACAACTTCGTTCTCGGAAGGCGCCTTTGTTGTTGTCGGGTTGATCAATCTACTCCTTCCGACCTCGCCGCCCCCGCAGGACAGAGGAGATCTTCTACCGCAGCACTATCTACCCACGTATTTCCACTTGTGGTCGCTCGTCAATCGCTCAAAGACATTTGATATGACTTTCTTGGACTATTTGTCGCGCCTGGCTCGAGATTCGCTGCCTGCAGAACATATACCATTTTCTGCGTATGGCCTCTTCACCAAAGAGCAGTCGGCGCTCATCTTTACTGCTATCTTGAGATTGTTGGAGATCCCTGTGGGGCAGTCAACGTCCCCATACAGTGCCCTTGTTGATATATCATCGGGCCTGGGAATCATGCTTGACCGGGATGCTCGAAAGCACCCTGTGGCACACCACATTGCTAGATGGGTCGTGATGTCCCTCTCACCGGATTGCGCCGAGGCCGAAGAGTCGATTCTGACCCAACTCGAGGGTCTCATCCAGGCTGTAGAAACTTTCTTCCACCCCTCCAATTCTGGAGGTTGGACTAAGACTCTGTCTCAGCTGGTCTACTATCTCTCTGACTTCTTCCTCATGCGGTGGAATCGCGAGCAGAGCGGCGAGATGGAGGTCCCGGAAGACCGAAAATTGACGGAGCCTCTAAAGCGCCGTTTCGTGCTCTGTCTGCGAGACGTGGTTTTCATGGGTATCTATGCGAAGAGTGGCACGGCCATCAGCTTCTCATTGTCAACTCTGCAAAATCTCGCGTTTCTGGAGCCACATCTGATCCTCCCAGGAGCTTTACAGAGAATATACCCATCTCTCCAGGGTCTCGTTGAGGTTCATCGCACGGCTTCGTCTCTTCGAGCCCTCCAAGTACTATCAAGAGTCATTTCACGGACAAAAGGGTACCGGTGCCATATGACCACCCTGCTCGGGCTCGCTTTGCCAGGCATCGATGCCAACGACCTAGAGAAATCGCTACATGCCTTGTCATTCATACAATCAGCCTGTTACAACATCCCCTTGGTTGATCTCACTCGCGGCAGAGATGACGTCAATTGTGACATGCTGGCAATGCAATGGGTTTCTGGCGAAATGGCAAGGATGGAAGCAGAGGGTGAAGAAGTTCAGCTAAACTACGATACAGAGTTGAGTGACGAAAACGAGGAAATGATATTGCGCTCCTCAACATGTGGCTTTGGTGACTTTATTGTCTCTTTCCTTGGCCGTGTCTTTACCCTCTTGGAGAACCTTCCAGATGTGAGCAGGGTACGGAATGGATCTCCCGAAGAGAATATTGTGAATACTCTTCCTGCTACCTTCATGCCACTTCTGTCTTCTCTTTCCCCCGAGTATTACGATATCGCCCTGTCAAAGGTCGTTGATTTTGTTTCAAATCATGTTATTCATCAAGCACGAGATGCAATGGCATTCATCTGCAATTCTGTGTGCAAGGTGAATCCGGAAAAGGCTTTGAAGCACTTTATCCCAGTCTTAACACAGGCCATCCGGACTGAAATCGATGATAATGGCGCTGGGTCCACTAGAACCACTGGAACCGATGTCCTTCCTCGTGATCGTGGTTTGGTGTGGAATATCAGTATGCTGAGCATGTGTGTCGTCCATGTTGGAGATGCCGTACTAGCTCACAGGAAGGAGCTCTTCGATATTGCGGTTTACATGCAGCAGAAATGCAGGGGAATCCCTACAGTTCACATCTCAAACTTCATTCACCATCTTCTTCTCAACCTCACTGGAACATACACCACTGATTATTCGCTCTACGAGCCTTCCGCCCTTGCCAACGGATACACCCCTGAGCTCTGGAGCTATCAGCCAGATCCATACAATCTCGCAGTGAAATGGCACGTCCCGAAGCGTGAAGAACTTGAGTTCGCTGTCGAGCTCTTCCGGAATCAATCAGAAACTGCTTTGAAGCAGCTCAGGGCTCTCACCGACGGGACAGCCAGCGTCAAGCGGGATGGCAGTGGCAAAGACTGGTCAGATGAGGTTTCCAGAAACCTTGTTCTACTACGGCTCATTATCTCTGGTATTTCCGTTCTCTTTGACCGTCCAGCAGTGTCTCGAACGAAGGACGAGGGAGTAGACGGAATAGCGAGTGATGTTGAGATGGCAGATGCAAAAGACCTACCCACCCAGGATGGTATCGGAGATGAGGATCCCGACGCATCACTTGATAGCTCCGATGATGCGACCGTCAGGGAGGTCTTCACCTATCCTACCGGTTACCCTTTGAAGGATGATGACCCACTCTACGCTTGCATCCATGATATTCGGGAAAGAGCGGGTTGGGTCCTTCACGACGTCCACAGGTTCTTGTCTGATAAGCAAGAGGACGATGTGCCTTGCTTTGCCGCTCTATATTCAGCATTCCGCTCGTGGTTCATAGACGTCGGTATTGAACGGTCTGCTCATGTGCTCGACAGGGTTACCCGCCTTCTCGCAGCGGATATTCATCCTTATAAGATGAGCGGTACTCGGAAGGATTACCCACGCCCGCTGCTGGTGCGGAGGGCTAATGTCTACCACTTGCAGCGGTTAAGGCACAACTCCGCTCCGAGACCGAGGTCACGGCTTGATGGTATTTTACTCCTTGATCTTGCCGAATCCTGCGTTTCACTCTACACGGAAACTCGTCGTAACGCTCAGAGCGCCGGCGAGTCAGCCCTCAAGGCTATCTGGGGCTCTCGTCTTCTTGTGATTCCTCCTTTGCTCAAAGCCCTCCAGAAAGGTATCAAGGAAAATGATCACGCACGGATCAAAGGTGCACTATTTTCCCTTTTGTTAAGCAGCGTTGCGAAGACTGTTGGACGTCATTGGAAGTTTGCGCCAACTCTGATCAGAACGTTCATCGACGCAAGTGCGGTTGATAAACCATCTGTGCAGAAGATCTGCTCGAGTGCTGTTTTCCAGATCATGGACTATGGCCGTGCAATGGAGAGGATGGCGGTGCTTGATAGGAACATTGTGGAGGCGATCGCACCCAAGGAGGACGTCCAAGATGAGATCTCGCGAAAGCGCAAAGCTATCAACAACAAACGCGTGGTTATTGAGAAGAAGAAGGCCGACCTGTCCGAAGAGTTGGTCAATCTGGCCCGAGTTTCTCATTGGAAGGTTGCTAGCCGAGCAGCCACCATTGTCATCACAATGGGCCTCAGGTTCGATTACATTGCCAGCAGCAACCTTATAGATCTGGTCACTCTCGGGTCTATCGATGATCATCCTGGTTTGCGTGGGATGTACTCCCAGGCCCTCATCGCGGTGTTTACGATGATAGACGTTAGGGCGATCTGCAGCCATGATTACAAGAATTATATCCTCGGCAACCAGTATTTCCCAGCCAAGATCAGAGTTGCGACTAAGCGATACGAAAATGGTTGGACAGAGGAGTATCTGGCCAGCTTCGCTAAGCCAGAAGCCGAGTATTATATTGATCATGATTTTCCTGGATGGCTTGTCTGGTCAGATAGCATGCCTGCATATAAAGCCAACCTGGAGCGTGATATCGATTATGATGAGGTGGAATGGAAGGTTCGCACACACATGGGTAAACTGTTCGACCGAGGATGGTTCTCCAAGTTCTTCATGTATCTGAAGCAAGAGCCACGAGACCCGTCATCGGACAAATTCCGTATGCCCTGCGCCATGATGCTTCTCTACGCCTTTGAGCTGATGCTGCGCGATGGCCTCACCACAGCTACTTTCAAAGACGTTCAAGAAGAGATCGAGGCAGTCTTTGAGGACGGTAGTGATAAGCACCAACACAGAGCTACCGCAGAGATTCTTGGTGCTTTAATCAGCTCTGTTGCGGATAGTAGTGTGGAAAAGCGGACAATGATTTGGGAATATGCTTTCCCGATCGTGCAGAAGATCTTCACCGATGGTTTGACTCCAGAGAATTCTGGGTACTGGACAACGTTTCTCCATATGGTCCTTCAATGTCGGGACCCTCGGAGAGCTTGGCCTTTGGTTGATTGGCTTGCGAGCTTCCGGTTAGATATGGCAACCAATGCAGCCTTCAAAGAAAGCTCAAAGATCAACCTGTTGCATCAATGTATCATTGATGCCGGCTGGCACTTCCAGCTTGAGAAACCGATTGTTGAGAATTTCCTCGCACATCTCGATCATCCGTACAAGGGAGTCCGCGAGGCAATGGGGCAAACTCTTGCCACAATATATCGCACACGGTATCACGAGTCGTATGCGGATCTCAAACGCCTTCTTCAAGCACAGGAGACATCTTCCTCTGTTGGTTCATATGCATACCTACCTAGCGAGCAGTTCTCCGCAATGATGCGCAATGTGTTTAATCAGATCGAGGAGTGGCGCCAGAAGCGAACGCCTGGCCAGCAGACACCATCTTCCTACACTTCTGGCAGCAAGACGGTCCTCCTCTGGCTTGACTCCACTCTGTCGTCTCATGAGTGCATTCAGCTAGTTCCTTTCTTTCCCGATGTTTTTACCGGACAACTCCTGCACATGATGGACGTCAAAGAAGATCCAGAGCTGCAGTCGTTGGCGTACCATGTCTTCCGCCATCTACCAAACATCCCTTATCCGGCCGAAAAGGATTCCGGTTTCATCAAGTCTCTCATACATATTGGACAGACATCACCGTCTTGGCATCAGCGCTTGCGAGTTATGATCAACATTCAGATCATATACTTCCGCCGTCTGTTTTTGCTCTCTCCAGCGGATCGAGAAAAACTGTTCGACTGCATCGCAACCATGCTCGAGGATCCACAGCATGAAGTCAGGGCGGGAGCATCCGCTACACTTTCTGGTATGATTCGCTGCTCGCCTGTATTCCTGCGCCGGCAGATGGTCGGCAAACTCCTCGAGCGCTTTACCAGGATTCTGGTCGAAAACCCATTCCCCAAGAAGCCCAAGCGCGTAGCCCGTTCTGCTATTGCCTCTCCGGTCTCCTCGCGAGCCGGTACACCAACTCCCGAACACACCAGACTCATCATTGTCAGGCACGGTGCGGTGCTAGGACTTGGAGCTCTGATTCAGGCCTTCCCATACGACAGTCCACCTCCCAGGTGGATGCCAGAGGCCTTGACAGCTCTCAGCATTCGTGCCGCAAATGACCCTGGTATTGTTGGTTCAAGCGTCAAGTCCATCATCAGCGAGTTCAAGAAGACTCGACAGGATACTTGGCATATAGATCAAAAGGTAAGACTCAAAAGTCAAAGCGAAGTCAATATATGAATGCTGACCATATCATCCAGGCTTTCACGTCAGATCAGCTCGAAGACCTCTCGGGTGTTCTCTGGAAGAGCTACTTTGCGTAGAATGTGGCAGGTACTGTCAGTACTCAGTATATCTTGAAACAGTGAAACATTCTTGATTATGCTTGATCGATAGGATAGAATCCCACTCTTCGAAAATTGGGTCTAAATCGGCCTGAAGTATTAAATTTTCTGTCTCAAAGTTTTTTCCTGTATATAATAACAAACAAGTCTGGCATTGTTTAACAATTCATGGTCATGATTCAACCTGGTCATTTTATAGTGATTATTCCGTTCAACATGTCTGCTGTACTTGGGAAGATGGTTATATATTTCCCTTATCTCAGACACTGGGTGGTGGTCTACAGCTAGAGAGCTAGAGATCGTAGGATTAGTCCTTTCGCATTGATTCAAACCCAGGTCGAAAATCTCAAACTACAGCTTCGAACTGAACTACACAATCACATATATCCCGTCATCCCTAGAATTGAACAATATTCTACTGATGCACTTGTAGTCAAAGGCAGGTGTTGCTAACAATAAGCCGGCTTAGATAATCCGATGACATAAAGGTCACGTGCTTTATAGCAGCCACGCGGCTCTCCGGATTGAAGCCTCCCAGTGCATCACCGACGGAGCGTTGAATGCTGCCTCCAGCTAGCGGCATCTTTCTTTTTATCATTCATTTTTGTCGTTATTCCTATCATTAGCGGACGAAGGAGTTGGAGCAATATATAAAATACTTTTTTCGGGGTCTTCGCGCAAGAAATTATCCCTTTGGTGAAAAGAGCCTGCTGCAGGCAGCTTCGCTTTCACCATGGCTCCGAGGGACACCTTCTTCCGCTCGTCGGATATGAGCTTGACGCAGCTCTATATCGCCAACGAGATCGGACGAGAGGTTGTCAGTGCCCTAGGAGAACTTGGACAGGTTCAGTTTAGAGATGTGAGTTCGATGCGGATGGATGGGTTGTGGATTGTGTTGGGGGTCCAGGGGATGCTAACAAGTGGTTGATAGCTGAATCCCGACACCAATGCCTTTCAGCGGACGTTTACCAAGGAGATTCGGCGGTTGGATAATGTGGAGAGACAGTTGCGTATGTGCCAGACCTTGGAGTTGGAGTGCCGAGGGTCTTAGGATGTGGCTTTTAGCTGATACGTTTGTCTTTGGCAGGTTACTTCCATGCGCAGATGGATAAGGCAGGGATCCCGATGAGATCCTCCTCCGAGTTCTCCGACACGCTGGCCGCCCCTCTGGCATCAGAAATTGATGAACTCGCCGAGCGAAGTGAGAGTCTCGAGCAAAGAATCGCCTCTTTGAACGATAGCTACGAGACCCTGAAGAAGCGCGAGGTGGAGCTTACTGAGTGGCGCTGGGTTCTTAGAGAAGCCGGCGGCTTCTTCGACCGTGCCCACACCCACACGGACGAAATTCGCCAGTCGTTCGAAAATGACGAAGCCCCCCTCCTGCGTGACGTTGAACACCAGCCTCATCGCGGGGGGCCGAACGGCGACACCCAGGCCCAGCAGTCGTTCCTGGAGATGAACATTGGCTTTGTTGCGGGTGTGATCCCTCGCGACCGCATCGGGGCCTTTGAGCGGATCCTTTGGCGAACCCTGCGCGGTAACCTGTACATGAACCAGTCGGAGATTCCCGAGCCGATCATCGATCCGGCTACCAACGAGGAGTCGCACAAGAACGTTTTCGTGATCTTTGCTCACGGCAAGCACATCATTGCGAAGATCAGGAAGATTTCTGAATCACTCGGTGCTTCATTGTATGGTGTCGACGAGAACAGCGAACTGAGACGGGACCAGGTCCACGAGGTCAACACGCGGCTGAGTGATGTGGGCAATGTACTGCGCAATACCAAGAACACGCTGGATGCGGAACTTACGCAGATTGCTCGCTCGCTCGCGGCTTGGATGATTATCGTTAGGAAGGAGAAGGCTGTGTACGACACACTCAACAAGTGCTCCTATGATCAGGCGAGGAAGACACTCATTGCGGAGGCCTGGTGTCCGACCAACTCCTTGCCGTTGATCAAGTCGACCTTGCAAGATGTCAATGATCGTGCTGGACTGAGCGTTCCTACCATTGTCAACCAAATCCGCACCAACAAGACCCCGCCTACCTACGTTAGGACAAACAAGTTCACAGAGGCTTTTCAGACGATTGTCAATGCTTATGGTATCCCGAAGTATTCGGAAGCCAATCCTGGATTGTATACCATCGTCACATTTCCGTTCCTATTCGCGGTCATGTTTGGTGACTTTGGCCACGGTTTTTTGATGGCCATGGCCGCGGCCGCTATGATCTTCTGGGAAAGAAAGCTGCACAAGACTAAGCTGGACGAACTGACCTACATGGCTTTCTATGGTCGCTACATTATGTTGATGATGGGTCTCTTCTCCATGTACACTGGCTTGATCTACAACGATGTCTTCTCCAAGTCGTTCACCGTCTTCAACAGTCAGTGGCAGTGGCCCGATCATATCAAGCCGAGACAGACGGTCGAGGCGTCGCTGAAGGACGGCTACCGCTTCCCTTTTGGCCTGGATTGGAACTGGCATGAAGCCGAAAACTCGCTTCTTTTCACGAACAGCTTGAAGATGAAGATGAGTATCATTCTGGGTTGGTCGCACGTACGTGTCTTCTTTTCCTTTGGTTTTCACTGGCGATTGATTTAGGAATCGTACAAATACTGACTTTCCCCTCCTAGATGACCTATGCTCTCTGCCTGCAGTATGTCAATGCTCGGCATTTCAAGTCAAAGGTTGACATTATTGGCAACTTCATCCCGGGCATGATCTTCTTCCAGTCGATCTTTGGATACCTCGTCCTCACCATTGTGTACAAATGGTCTGTGAATTGGGAAGCCATCGGCCGATCCCCTCCCGGTCTTTTGAACATGCTCATCTTCATGTTCCTATCTCCTGGAACTGTGGAAGAGGAACTGTACAAGGGCCAAGCTGGGGTGCAAGTTGTGCTGCTCCTGCTTGCTGTCATTCAAGTCCCCATCATGCTTTTCTTCAAGCCCTTCTACCTCCGTCGGGAACACAACCGTGCTCGTGCTCTGGGATACAGAGGCCTTGGAGAGCAGTCCCGCGTGAGCGCATTGGATGAGGACCACGACGTGGACGGCGGGCTTCTTGGAGTCCGTGATAGCATGGCAAGCGATGGCGAGGGCGTTGCGATGATCGCGCAAGATCTTGGCGACGAAGAGCATGAGGAATTCGACTTCTCTGAGATCATGATCCACCAGGTCATCCATACCATCGAATTCTGCCTCAATTGTATCTCGCATACCGCATCTTACCTCCGTCTGTGGGCTCTCTCTCTCGCTCACCAGCAACTCTCTATTGTCCTGTGGGACATGACCCTCGGCGGCGCCTTTGATCAGGAATCGCACATCCTTCGCGTCATCATGATCGTCGTGACGTTCTACATGTGGTTCACGCTGACCATCGCCATCCTGTGTGTCATGGAGGGCACCAGTGCCATGCTCCACTCGCTCCGTCTCCACTGGGTGGAGGCAATGAGCAAGCACTTCATGGGCGACGGCATACCGTTTGCTCCGTTCAGCTTTAAAACGCTCCTTGAAGAGGATCCAGTGGACTAAAGTCTGGATTGTACATTCTCTATTCTCGTTGTTCTTTTTAACTTAACTTAGATCTATACCTCTATGAGGAATCAATTGGCTTCTAGAGTATTTCCGGGTTGATTGTAGATATGGCCGTGGGGTTACTGTAGTTCTTGTAGAGGGGAAGTGCTCTTGGGATATATAGGTTCCTTTCATTCAAGTGGGTTTCTTTTGTTTTCATTACAGGACTCCGTCCATGCAGATCATGAAAGTCTTAACGCCGCTCGTCAGACTTATAATGACGTCATATCCTAGGAACAATAAAAATCAAAATAAAAAAAATAAAATAGAATAAAATAATAATAATAAAGGAAACTCCTTGCCCGACCGGCGACCCGCTCGTTTCAGTTCAGAAGCATGAGAGAAGGATTAAATCAATCGATTCGATCTACTTCTTGCTCTTGTTGCAGGCATCAATGACCTTCTGGACCTCATCCTTGGAGCCCAGGAACACACCGCTGCGGTCGTGGATGTTCTCGGGGACGACCTCGAGCAGACGCTCGGCGCGCGAGTTGATGGCCAGGCCGCCGGCGTTCTCGAAGATCATGGCCATGGGGGCGCACTCGTACAGGATACGCAGCTTGCCCTTGGTGCTCTTCTTGTCGGCGGGGTAGGCGAAGATGCCACCGTAGAGTAGGGTGCGGTAGGCGTCGGCGACCATGGAGCCGATGTAACGGGCGCTGTAGGGCTTCTGGCCCTCGCCGGGGAACTTGAGGGAGTGGAAGTAGTCGTTGACCCAGTCGTCCCAGTACATGCTGTTGCCCTCGTTGACGGAGTAGATGGCGCGCTTGGCGGGGAGGCGCATGTTGGGGTGGGTGAGGATGAACTCGCCGAGGGAGTTCTCCATGGTGAAGCCGTTGACGCTGCCGTTCTGCATGGTGATGACGAGCTGGGCGGAGGCGCCGTACATGGTGAAGCCGGAGGCGACCATCTCGGTACCGGGGCGGAGCAGGTCGTCGGCGGTGACCTTCTTGTTGAGGCCGAGGGACTCGTCAGGGAGCTTGAAGATGCCGAAGATGGTGCCTACCGAGACGCCCGCGTCCAGGTTGGAGGATCCGTCGATCGGGTCGCAAACCACGGCGTACCGCGCGTTCGGGTGCTCGTCGAACACGATCACCTCCTCCTCCTCTTCGGAGACGAGTATGCGGCATTTGCCGGAGCCGCGCATGGCGGAGATGAAGATGTCATTGCCGATCACGTCGAGCTTCTTCTGGTCATCACCGGTGGTGTTAGACGAGCCCGCCAGGCCGGTGAGGTTGATCAGCGATGCCCGACGGATGTAGTAGGCAATGGACTTGAAGGCGAACTGGAGAGCGTGGCAGAGTAGTCTATGCGGAGCCGCGAGGGCCTGTTAGTTTCTGGACGAGTGACTCCAGGACTCCCCAACAGGTCCAACTTACGTGAAATCACCAGTGGCTTCCGGTACCTTGGCCTGCTCTTCTGTAAGGAATCGTGTGAGAGTGACGATGTCTGGGTTGATGTTCTCCTGACCCACAGGAGGGGCACCGCTGTTTCCGTTCAAAGACATGTTGTATATGTATGTGTCTGTGTATGTATGTAGAGAAGGGTGGATGATGTGTAGGAGAGAAGAGCAGAGGCAGAGAGGATGACAAGAGAGAGAGAGAGCAAAGACGATGGTAAGCCTTTAAGAGTTTAATGTACAACCTCGGTTCGACGGAGAAACAAGGAGAGTCTTGAGAGTCGGTATAGTTCGAAGCGGCCGGAAGAGAAGGTATACCGGGACGGGGGTGGATGATGATAGATAGGTAGATAGATAGGAAAGGTAGGAAGATAGCAATGAGAACAATCTATTAACGACAGGTATACTAGCAGTCCGGATGATTCCCTTCTTTATATATCTATCTAGACCTAGAGACAGAGGAAGAAGCAATTAATTCTTTGCCGGTGGATCACGAGAAACGTCAGAGCCCGGCGGATGGGGAGAACAGGAGAACAGGAGAACAGGAGAACAGGGCAGAACCGGTCACTGCGAGGATCATTGAAAGTGATTTGACGCAATGGAGATATGGATCTAGCTCTTAGTCAGAACCATTGTGAGTTTTCCCCCCCGCACTCAATAATAATAATAATTAATGATTGTCAATCCTTAAGCAGATCGAGGACAGAGGACAGAGGACAGAGGACATGGACAGACATGGAGAAGAGATACGTAAGAGCTCCATCTGTTGGATCATCGATGGTCTTCGTCATTACCCGTACTAGACTGTACTAAACCGTACTAGACCCGTACTAAACGCTACTCGGTAAAAGTCACTACCCTACAGAATAAGTAGGTAGTAGGTACATAGACTACCCCCCGCAGTGCCTGCCCTCGTCTGCTTTCGGTCATCTGCCGGCTTTTCTTCTTCCTCTGTCCGATCTGCCCCGACCTCCCCCGCGCTTTGAATGCTTGACTATGGAGTATGGAATAGTTAACCCTCGAGATGGGCCGATGCTATGCGGATGAGATCCGCTATTGATATTGATATTGATATTGATATTGATTAAATTGGTGACCAGGTTCCGGGTAGATAGGGTAGGACTGCATGGCATGAACCCTTCTCCCGAGATCAGTGTACTCTGTCCCAACTTCCAAGTACAGCTCTCTCCTGGCTTCTGCCCAATGTTATGATTGTTATCCTCATAAGTCATAACTAGTTTCTCCCCCCGTAAATCGTAAATCACTCACCAGATCAATCAAGTGGATCAACAGGGTCAGCAGATATGCAAATTTGATACATACTCCTAGTCTCCTACTGTTCTCTGCGACTATTCAAGTCTCGCCCGTTCTGTTCCTATTTCGGGTTCCCGAATTAAGGAAGGTCATGCGGGCCGGAACAAAGAATTTCCTCCATTGATGCGCGCCGGTTGTACGGATCAGCTGACCCGGCCTAGAGGGTAGAATGCTTACCTAAGCATCGACACACCCTAGCCCTCTTTGGCTTAGGTTTCGCTCGGTAAAATTAGCTCCGGTTGGTCGAGCTTGAAAAACTTCGCAACGAACTTTTTTCTTCTTAACCTTTTCCCACGCACCACACTCACAGCGCCATCAATACACACACCAAATGCCATCGGCATCCTTTCAGGGAGCATGGCTTGACCTCTTCATGCTTGAGGAATATCACTTCTTGTGGTGCTGACCATTGCTTCATTGCATTTGCTCACTTCGCATTTTGTGCTGACTCGACAGTTGCCAGAAACCATGTAGCCTGGTGAGTTCTAATTCCATAAACCGATACCCTTGCACACCCCTCTCCCCTAGCATGATGAAACCTACAACCTTTTTCAAACTAGAGTCTTTGACCTTTTTGGGAATGAAAACTCGGTTTTGCACGTCAGTCTGATGTTCTTCATAATCTTGTTGCTCGGATCGATATGGATTGGTCTGGTTGCAGTGTGCTAATTCGTCACTGTAGGACTAACCCTTGATTCTCAGCTCTCCGTAGAGCGCTCATACTGGATATTTTTAATGGTATGGTTCTGATCACTTTCCCCCACACTCATCTCTACCCACATCATATGATGCTTTGTGTATTTTATACGCTGGAAATTACCGACTGAGACCTTCCGGTCTTCGACGATATCAAATGGCTATTTCTGATTTGATGTTCAAATGATTTTTTTCCCCGCATTTTCATCATATCTTTGGCTTGAGACTAATAGCGAGCAGTTTCTCACAGGATTCTTCAATGGGAAATTTCCCTCTCATGTCAATGGTAAGCATCTCTCTGGAGCTTGCTATTCCCAACATTTCAATGATGAAGCGGCACTGGGCTCCGACGGGCGTTAAAAAACGCTCGGTCTTGATGGATATGCCTCATTTGCGGCAGGCCTAGAAAACCTCGCCCACTGATTACCTGTTGAAAACGTGAATTCACTGCCAAATCTTGCTTGGCTCGATGCTGATGTTCTCGATCAGCATCTAGATATCTCGATAATAAAAGTCCATTTGACCTTGGAAAAGGTAATTTGCAACTCTCCTTGTTCAAAATGTTCATACCCGTACCGTGATGATTCCCTAGATGACGAGTCTTATTCGAGTTATCGATGCAGACAACATCTTTTTTTATACCATTCATGCAAAACTGACTCGCATTTCTGCTTCTGAAATATCTTATTTGAAACGGTTAGACCATGGCTAATTCCATGACAGCTCTTCTTTTATAGAACCAATATTACCGACGACCATGGTGCGCCCAAATACAGGAACTGTATGTAGGTTCCTCATCTCGCCTTCACTCCCAAAATGATGATTCGACATAAAACAAAGACAAGCATATGTCCAAGTCAGCATCGCTGATGACGACGACAACTGTCATGACTGATTAGTCGCAACACTTGGCTTATATCTGCTACACCGAGGAAGCATTTGATACTGACCAACTGTCCGCTTAGTTAGATTGGCATCTCCCCCGGAGACGTCATGAGTGTGGCATCTCTAGAAGACACATTGTGTGCTGACTGTGAGTACTACTCTTCTTTTCTTGTTTCTGCCTACCCCCTCTTTTCAATGATGATTTACTTTATTTTTAATCACGACGGTCAACATAATCATTCATTGATGACCACCGCCTGTGACAGGGCATTGATCTGAAATCAATCCATTTCCCATATCCACTTTTTGCATGCCACGTTCGCGTATAACAGTGCTAACAGCTTAAAAAGGATCTCACAGGTCTTCCGATGCTGGTCCTCTGGTTCACCTTCGTAGAGTACATTTAGTACATGGTTTTTTTCCGGGTTGGATACATGGCTCAGGGCAATCGTTTTGTCCGCATGGACCTTTGAACCCATCAGTAGTCGAAGTTTAGTCGAACCCAAATTACAATATTTTATTTTGCTGAAGTCCATCTTGCTTTTTATAAGGTGTCGTTGGGCATATCCTTGTGCCTGTGAATCTATTTTGAGTATTTCCACCCTGGAGCCTACCTCCCCATGTTTGAGCTATCGCCAATTTAGTTTGACCTCGGACAATCTTATAAGATTACGGTCAACCCCCAGTGTGATAGGGGCTTTCATTTGTTCATGGCGATAGCTGCTTGGCATGGAGAGACTGGGGTGTGGACCTGTAAGAGAGCCTGGATCCCCTGCTATAAGCGCCAACACCACGCCGCGTGTGACGGGCGCCCCAATGCTGCATATCGTGGGAGCATCAGGTCAAAGACCAACCATGCCGGATTCTGCAGACGATCTGTAGCCTCGTTCATCCCGGCCGATGGTGCCAAAGGCCCAGGTCCTTGTTGTTATTTTTATCTTCTTTCCCACCCCTCCCAATGGTGGATCCGACGAGTTATGCCCGTTGAACGGCCGATTGTTCTTTTGCGTGCAAGCCTCCTCCATGGCGGGTGGCACTAGTCTAAGTGTTGCAAAGAATAGAAATCGGAGTCGCTCTCTCGCATCCTTTCGATGACCTGTCGCGTCTGGTAGGTTCAGGGTCTGTGGTCTTCGCTCTTGGATCTGATCCCATTCCTGCGCGCGGCTCTGAAACCATGGCCTCACCTCTCGTTGCCTTTTGATTCTTACTGCCAGTATGAATAGGTGCGCGGGCCCCTCTTCTTGAATGCTTACTTGGTCCTCTTTTCTGCGTCTCCAAGAGGGCTACCAGGAAACTGATTGCTTGGTTGTTCTACAGCTGGTTGCCGTCAAGTAATGTTGGTCACGAGCCGCCGCTGACTTCCTATCCTCACTCCGGCTGGCCGTCAATTCATCCCAACACCAGCAATCAGCTGTCTCCGGGCCGTCGAGAACATGCTGTGCAGCCGCCTCCTCTAACGACCTCTTTGAGCCCTCATCAGGTACAGGGGCTTGCGGTCGTCCTCGGGGCAGGATACGCATCGACGCCTCTGTCAACCACCTCGCTTTCGAGTCCATTCATACAAGGTCACTCCTCCGCTGTTGCCTCGCCAGCCAGCGCAACAATAGGACCGTCTCCCATGGCGTCCAGACAGTATAATGTGCCCTACAATCCTCAGGATTGGGGCCCAGTTCACGGGGGTCCTTTGACCACAGGCCATGCTTCGTATCCTCAGACGAACAATATGCTTCGTATTGTTCCACATTCGCGACAGACTGCACCTCATACAGGTCTGTACTTGCCTCCTTCCTTTCTTCAATCCTACCCCACTTGGTTGTCGGTGTATCATCATTAGCTCGGGGAATGCTGGAACTAAATTCGGATCTAACTCTCAGCAGAGGATTCCTTATCACCCCCTCCGCCGCCCTACTCACCCCCAAGCCAGCAGCAACAGCAACAACATCAACAACCACAACCGCCAAGAGAACATCTGAATCACCATGGCTCGACTAGAAGCTCTGCGTCCCCTTCGGCTGTACCGTCATACAACGTTGAACCTTCAGTGGAATATCGACAACGACCTATTCCCCGTACTCGTCCTATTTCGATGGTTCATCCGGGCGATGGGGGACACAACAGGCAAATGTCCCTTCCTCCGCCTCCTCCTTTGCCACAAGGTGTTCAAGGGTCCAGGTCTGTTTCTCACAGCCGGGCGGATACGTACCGCGATCGAGGTTCCTTCGGGACAGGACCTAGACCGTTCATTACGGTGTCACAGGAGAGCCTTCAAACATCATCATCGTCCAGCGATTACCATCAGCTTTCTACCCCCACTCCTCAATTCGACGGGTTGTCTCGTCCTCCAAGCTCGAAAAGAGCTGTTTCTGCTGGTCCGGTGGTGGGTAGTGCAAGCTCTTCCAGGGCTACAAGCCAATCTCGTAGTCACTCCCCATCGGGACCTGGCTGGGAACCGGGCATGCCGCTTCCACCACCTCCTCCCGGACCACCCCCGACCGGAAGGTCACAGAGTGTGAATGGCCTGTCGGAGGCCTCAGGGATGCGCAATTCACAATTACTGACACGGAGAACACGACCCCCGCCAGTTATGGGCACAGGCCTGGATAGCATCCCGCCCACCCCAGCTGGCTGGGTGGATGAAGGTTCAGTGGAGAGCAGGCAGAGACGGGATAGGGAGCTTCCCAGCATCGATACGTCCAGCGCTGCCCTATCTAGTCCCGCAGGCCCTATTTCAGGAACCAGGGAATCTTCTCATACATCGCAAAACTCAGCTAATGGGGGGCTTTTCCGCAGCCCAGCTATTCGGGATGCTAGTGCGAAGGGCATCCGCGAAAGGCGCATTGAACGCAGAAACAGACAGAGTCAGGTATTCGATGATTATAGCGCGGTGTCGACCAGCAGCAACCCTTGGGCAGAGGCGCTGGATCAGGTGAAGCCTTCAAACCTCGTTCTTGAAAACTCAAATACCACACCCGACAACGGACGACACCTGAATTCCACAAAGTTTACACCTCGGAGCAACGCTAGTGCCGGTTCGGATGGGCAGCAGGGGATTACCCGGTCGAGGGCGTCCTCCACCGGACTATTCTCAGGTCGTTCCTCGTTTTCCACTCCAAGAGCCGAACCCAGTCCAGCTGCACCCTCCCGAATGTTTGCACAAACTCCGCCCTTTTCACCAGGTACAGAAAACACATCCCCAACTCTTGGCAAGGCTCCAGCGACTCAGGCTCTACCACCAAAGGCTCTTCCTACACCCCCGCTGCATTCGGGGCAGGATGTGCGGCCGCCTTCTCGTCGGGCTCCGAGTGAGGAGCGTCCCGTATCCCACATATTACACTTACCCAATGAGTCTATCTCTGCGGTGGCCGCGTTATCCCCTCGCCGTGTCGTCGCACAACAGAGCTCTTCTCTGGACTCTGTCCTCAGCCAAGATCTGGGATTCATCCGGGATGCCATGCAAAGACACAAGGAGTTCATAGAGAAGGAGGCCAGTGCTGTCAATGACAGCGAAGCGCTGCGGATCTTTACTGAATACATCATCGCCGAGTCTCAGCTGAGACGAGAAAAATATGCCAAGGTGTGGGAGTATGGCACCTTTGACCTTGATCCCGTGCACCGTAAACTGTTCGAGCTGCCACCAAAACCGATAACTCCACCTGAGGAAAGTAATGCAGCCCCCGCGTCACTTTCGCGGCGGCCCTCGCGAGGACCTCGGGCGGTACCACCGCTAGATATCCCTTCAAGCCGCCCCGAGTCCGCATGGTGGAGCAACTATAAGCCTTGTCTTTCGCCGATCGCGAGCATGAGCATGAGCAACGACGAAATGAGCTCAAGAGGCCGTGCCCCCAGCCGTTGGTGGGAATCGAAGACTGGCTCCGAGAGCGAAGGCGGCGAAAGAAAGGTTCAGCGTTCGAAGCGAGAATCCAAGTACATGGGGGTGCCTCGCGAGGCCATGCAATGGGCACAGGGACAGGAGACTATTGGAGCGAACCTATCAAGCTATGGATCGAATACGGCGAGTCAGTACGCTGCCTACGGCCCAGACGAGTATCCCCCCGAAAAGGTCGGATGGCATGAAGATGCTGAGCCCACTCCATTAGGCCTTCCTGGCTCCACGTCTCACTTCGGGATCGGACGCAACAGGGAAGTCCAGAAATTGGACGTCTCAAGATTGATCACGCTCCCACCACCGTATCCTCGCCATCATCCTGCAGTCAACAATAGCCACCCAGACCTTGTCACTTACCGAACATTGGTTCGATCGATCAGCGATCTCGCGGAGATCAAAGCATCCAGGCAGCGGCACAGTTCGGATGTCGAACATCTACTGCAGAGCCATCGCGAGAGGGCCGAAGAAGGTCGCCGACAGTTCAACGCCAACATCCAAAGTCAAATCCAGCAAGGCAGCATCACGTTTGCGGAAGCCGCAGAAGCCGAAGCTGCTCTGATCGAGGAAGAGAATCGACTCGACCGAGAGCTGGCCAAGAAGGAACTAGACATGTACCAGGAATCCGTCCTGAACCCGGTGCATACCGTGCTCACCGACCGGATCAATCGCGCTACTACCTGCATCGACGAGCTGATCGGAAAATTATTCGATGATGCGCAGCATGAGACTCCGGATCAAACCCAAGAGGAGGGCGATGAGAAGCCGGAGCTACTTGAAAAACTCACGCAGCTCAAGTGGCTCTTTGAGGCTCGGGAACAGCTACATCGCGAAGCTTACGATTTGATCGGCGGCCGCGATGAAAAGTACAAGGCGGCTGTCCTACTTCCCTATCGGCAGAAGGCGAATGAGGACAAGATCCGGGAGACGACCGCGTTCTTCACCAAAGATGCTCTAGACCGTCGGGTCACTTTTGAAGCCCAAGCGTTGTCTCGGCTGGAGTCCTTCTTGAGCGTGATCGAAGAGAACGTGATTCGAGGCGTCGAGGTGCAGCTGTCCGCCTTTTGGGATATTGCCCCATCCCTCCTGGCCCTGATCCAGCAAGTCCCCGCTGAATTCCGCGGGTTTCACATTCAGATCCCTGCCAACGAGTATGAAGAGAACCCCAGCTACCACGAACACCCGCTCCAGTATCTCTACACGTTGGTGTCGCACGCAGAGAAATCGAGCTACCAGTTCATCGAATCGCAAATCAATCTCTTCTGCTTGCTGCACGAAGTCAAATCCGCGGTCATGAAAGCCAACTGTAAGCTGATGGAGGCCCAGCGGATTCGCCAGGGCGAGGCCGAGGATGATGTGCGACGCGAGATGCAGGAATCTCGTGCTGACGAGGAACGCGCTCTGACCAACGATCTTAAGGACAAAGTCGCTACGGTGGAAGGTCAATGGAATGATGCTCTTGGAATCCAGATTCAGCACCTGCGAGACCGGGTGAAAGCGCAGCTTGTTGCTGAAAATGGATGGGATGAACTGGAACAGCTTGAACAAGCATGAGGTCTTTTGGGCCTATTGTCCCTTTCCTTCTTTCTTTCTCTTTTTTTCCCCCTTGTTTGTTTACTATTAGCAAGATACCCATATACGTTCGCTATGAGATATATAAAATGACCCGACTACAAATACTATCCAGTATCACCAAACAAGTCCTCTCCCATTGACACAGACTGACTCCATACTGTGTCCACTTTTCTCCCCGCGGCTCACGTGACCACTTAGCTTCTAGAGCTTTCCTTTTGAATCCGTTCGCTGTCGAACTTTTTCCTTCTCTCTTCTTCCTCCTTGTACTTCGCTTCCGAGGGCAGAACCTCTATTAAAGAACTTCTCTCCCACTCTTCCCTTCCCCCAATTAACGGTATCTTCCCTGGACTACCACTACTACTTCTTTAGGACAGAGTATATCAGCAGTAAGAAGGGATTAATTGATTCTACATCTTCTGCAGCGTCTTTGATTCGAGACATCACTGTCACTGTAAGTTGCTGACTCTCCCCCCCTTTCTGTCCACTCCATGTTGCCCTCTCCTTCGCTCCCATTGATCCTCGAGCCTCAATGGCTTTGTGGGTGAGGTGTGAACTCTTGCTTTACATGATGAGATATCATAGCTGGCACCAGTCAGACGGGAGTGATGATTCATCATTTCCCACTGCTGATTAGCTGTGGTCCGGGAACGCTACCCGAGATCCCTGACAAGCAAAGCTTTCCTGCTTGAGATTGTGGAATTCGTGACTTTCTGTATATTTGAAGTCGATTACTAATTCAAATCTCGTCGCAGAACCTAGCACTCGGGGAAAAGCTTTGCTTGTGATTTCTTAAATCTACCGAACGAAAACAATCCCTCGTTTATAAGACTTGTTATTCCTAGTCACCGTTCATCATGGTTCTTCACAATCCCAACAACTGGCACTGGGTGAATAAGGATGTCTCGGCATGGGCCAAGGACTACTTGAAGGGAAAACTCTGCGTGCTCTCCGCTGAGGAGGATGGTGTTTCAGCCAAAGTTTCGAACGTACTTACTATGGATGGCGACGTAGACGTCAGCCAGAGGAAGGGCAAGGTCATCACTTTGTTCGATGTCAAGTTACAGTTAGAGTATGAAGGTTCGTAAGACTCTTGCGGCTTAGCTACCCGGAGAGTATCACTAATAGCTCCCTAATAGGTAAGACGAAGGATGAGGAGTCCGTTAGTGGCACAATTACTATTCCTGAGGTCGCCCACGACACTGAGGAAGACGAGTACGTCGTATGTTCCCTTTATAACCTGCCCATAAATAACCCTACTGGCTTCGTGTCTGGAGAGTTAACATAAATATCTTCGTTCTGGTAGTTCGAGATCGAAAACTACTCTGATTCCCCTTCGAAGCAATCCGTGAAGAGCCTTGTTCGGTCAAAGCTTGTCCCTCAGATCAGACGGGAGCTTGTGGGACTTGCTCCTGCCTTGATTACTGAGCATGGAAAGGACATCCAGCATGCTCCCGGCGTCAACCCTTCAAGTGGTTTCACTGCTCCAGCCTCGTACCCCCAAATTTCCAAGCCAGCCAGCTCCGCTCCTAAGACCACGACAAGCACCAGCAAGGTTGCTGTCAACACCACCACTGTCACTGCCACGGATGAGTTCCGTACAACCGCCGAGGAGTTGTACATCACCTTCACGGATCCCCAGCGGATCGCGGCCTTCACCCGTGGCGCACCCCGTCAATTCGACGGAGCGCAGGTCGGCGGCAAGTTCTCCATCTTCGACGGCAACGTCACCGGCGAGTACGTGAAGCTCGACCGGCCCAAGCAGGTTGTCCAGAAGTGGCGTCTGGCGCAGTGGCCCGAAGGCCACTTCAGCACTCTGGAGATCAACTTCGATCAGAACGACGTCGACGCAGTTACCCTGATGCGTGTCACTTGGACCGGTGTGCCTGTCGGCCAGGAAGACGTGACCAAGCAGAACTGGGAGGTCTACTACGTCCGCAGCATCAAGCAGACTTTCGGGTACGTTTTTTCTTCGTCTTTATTACACCCTTTGTTTTTGCCAATTCTCAATTGCATCCCTTACCGTCGTGTTCTTTTCAGATCCCGTTCTAGTTCTCTCACTTGGAAACAGCTGCTGATTGCTTTGTGCGTTCTTCTGCTCGCTGTAGGTTTGGCACTATCCTCTAATCGCATCCGCCGATATCTGGCCTTCGCATATTGAATTGGATATTTCATGGTTGGGCTACGGTCACGACAACACACCTGGATTTGGTTGGTGTTGCCGGTGGAAATCGACGTCGGGCGCGGGTTTTTTTTAGACCCAGGCATTAATTCCTGCCTTTTTCTCGATTGCAGCTCCTTTTGATCATTCCGATCCCCTCCCGCTCCATGTTCACGGGGGTATGTCTCAATGATTTTACGATAGAAAGTGATGCCACAAACTGCAATGTACAGACGAATTAAAATAATGAAAATACCAGCTTGCTCTTTGTAGTGTACTACCATTGTCCCTGGAGAATATGGACTGCTAAAAGCTTTTTGGTATTTTTGTCTCAGATCGTAAGATCATAATCATTCTTCTTGAAATAGATGTGTCTAGTATTCGCATGTGTGAGTGTTTTAGAGGGTCTTTTCGATCATCTCGATGTCATAGTCCTCCTTGAGGGTCCTGAGCAGAGGCTCGCAGATCTCCCAGGACATGGGGGCGAGAACACCCTGGAATGCGGTTAGTATTTAGGATATTGAATTCAGCGACTTGAACGCAGGATGTAAAGACTCACCTTCTGGCTGATAGTGCCATCGAGGACCAGCTTGACGGCAACACCACAGGGAACGCCGACGGTCTTGGCCATGGCGGAGTATCCGTCGGGGACACCGTACTCGAGCAGGGTGCTGGTGCGGGTCTCCTTGGAGCCGTCCTTGTGCTCGATCTCGAACCTGTGCTGGAGCATGACCATGTCGCGCTCGTTGGGGCCGTACTGCATCTTGCGCTCGAGGGTGGCGCAGAGGGTGTCGAGCGGGTTGCCGCGCGGGGTGATCTGCTCCTCGGAGAAGAGGCCGATCCAGCGCAGGCCGGAGATGAGGCGGTTGCGCTCGTCATTGTCGGCGAAGCTGGTCTTGGAGGTAATGGCCCACTCGAGGTCCTTCTCGTCCGAGGAGGTGGCGCCCAGAATCTTCTGGGTGGCTTCCTTCCAGGTGATAGGGGAGTTGAGGTAGTCCTGCGCCTCGTCACTGAGGAATCCAGTGTCCACCAGCACCTTGATCATCTCAGGGAAGCCTTGGTAGCGCAGGGTGCCGCGGATGACGGTCTCGGCCTCGGGGATCTGGTAGCGCTCGCGGTAGGGGCAGGAGTCGCGGTTGGGGTAGGCAACGAAGGCGTAGCCGGGGTAGATGAAGTAGGGCTTGGCGACGGCCATGAGTTCTGGGCCGGCGACACTGAACTCCTTACCGTCCTTGTAGAACTTGGCGGCATTTCTGAGGGCGAGGAGGACACCACGGCTGGACCATGAGAACTTGTAGCCCAGCGGGTTGTCGGAGCACTCGGGGGCGGGGAGACCACCGCAGTAGGAGAGGAAAGAAGTGATCTTACCACCAGCGGCGTGCACCTGCGCAATGTGAGTCAGATGAATTGTCCCTGCCGATGTTTCGTCCGCGTCTCAGCACTTACCTCGGAGATGGTCTTGACGGCGTACAGGTGGTCGATACCCTAATTCCAGTCAGAACCATAATTCGCAATCCAGAGCTATATGCCTTCCAAATAGAGGCAGGACATACCGGGTCCAGACCAATCTCGTTCATGACCGTGATGCCAGCCTTCTTGCACTCCTCGTCCAACTCCATCATGGCAGGGGAGACGTAGGAGGTCGTGACGACATGCTTCTTTGTGCGGATGGCGGACTTGACGACGAGGGCGTGGAAGGTGTAAGGGATCAGGGAGATGACAAGGTCGACCTGCTCGAGGGCCTTGTCCAGGGCAGTGGCATCGTTGACATCGAGGGCGATGGCATTGGTGTGGGCGAAGCCTTCACAAAGCTTCTGGGCACTCTCGAGGGTTCTGCAAGCTGCACGCACACAAGAGATGAAATTGTCAGTCTTCTATCTCATCGCATTTCTACTACCGATAACCTCGAGTGCGGATGGAAGACGGAAGAAGCTCGAGATAACGCTCCAGCCGGGACGCAGGGAAACGGAATTAGATAGACATACCGACGGTGACATTGACGCCAGCCTTGCTGAGAACGTCAACGGTGGGCTTGGTGACTGCGAATGTATCAGCCAAAAAAGAAGCCCAGCGGAATGCGGGGGCTCCATGTCTATCCTGATGGGAGACATGGAGCTTCTCAAGGGGAAAGGAATCCTACCGAAGCCCGAACCGAGCAGGAGAACCTTGGAACCGGCGATTTGCTTGACCATTTTGACGATTGGAGATGATCAGATCAAGATGAAAGGAATTGAGTGCTGGATAGCAAAAAGGCTTGAATCCCTGTGGCATCGCGTTCCCACTCCCACTTCCTCCCCCGCCATCGCTCGGGCCGGGTGAGTCATGTGCTGTCACGTGCTCTCCACATTCTAGTGATCAAAGCTGCGAGATCGGAGCTGTGCTATTGGGTACATGGATGTGCATGTATATGCATGATGATATGGGTGGGTAACATATGCTGAGTGAAATATTATTATATACACAACAGGACAGTCTTGTGATATAGTGTCAATCCGTTAAACAGACTCCGAACTCCCAACTGCCCCATGCGACGTCTCCGTTACAAGCCCTTGAGCTTCCCAGGAGCATTGGCCACCATCCCGTCGGCTTCCGCTTCGGATGTTTCAGGCGATTCCCCGTCAAAGTTTCCTTCGGCATCTGGATTCTTCTTAGACTTGGCAATCCTCCTCTGCCAGCCCAGTAGAACGGGGAGGAAATGCCATAGATCAAACTCAGGCCACAAGACATCCAGAAACACAATCTCGGTTTCCTCGTGGCATTGCCAGAGCATGAAATCACTCAGGCGCTCCACCCCAGATGTGCGGACGAGCAAATCAAGCGGGGGGTTGCCCTTGGTCAACATATGATCTGATAGTGTCTGACGAGTAATGGTCTCCGGGGAGACAAAGAGCGCTTTGTCGGATTCGGACGAGTTCCCAGACTCCGATGCCTTCCCGTGCGCGCCGTCCGGATGACCACCGAGGTGCAGGGTGGTAGAGGAGGAGAATCCCGAGCCTGACTCGTAGACCTTGTTTGGAGCATCCGTTCTGTCACTCGTATCCTCTTCGTGAGCCGACGATTCCGAAGAAGACTCGTTATCGCTGGTGGGAGTAATTTCTGTCTTGGCATGCTTGGACTGTGCACGGATGTTGAGTGCGATATGGGTTTCAGAAAAGGGCGTCCGTGTGGAGGAGTGCGAACGGACGGGTTTCAGGGGCGTGCTATAGTCAGCCACGGTGTCTCGGATAGCTCCGGTGATTTCATCGCGCGACGTATAGGGAAAGCAGATATTCAGGACACGGTCTCCATTGCGGCTTGTCATGTCCACGGCCCGGTTCACAGCAGCAAGGACATCGGGCTTCAGAAGATCGAGGCGACCCAACACCCGCACCCTTGCGCCATAGCGATCAAGCAGATCTCCATGCTGAGCCATCTGTTGCAGTTTGACCTTTGCCATCTCCATCAGGGCATCCACCTCGAATTTTGAGCGTTTGAAGTTCTCGATGCTGAACGCATAGATCGTGACGACTTTCACTCCGCACTTGTAGCACACCTCGAGGATCTAAACAAACGTTGACCGAAGTGTCAGTCCAAGTAACACTGCAACAGAGCCGTCCCAAAAACCACCATTGACGTTGCCCTTGAGATCTACAAGAGGACCAAGGAAAAGGGGTCAACTCACCCTCGCCAACGCCTCAAACCCCAGATTATGACCCTCCACCGTCTCAATGCGATGTGATCTTGCAAATCTCCGGTTCCCATCCATCACAAACGCAATATGCTGGGGCACCGGCCCCTGCCTGAGTGCTCCGATCAACAACTCGCGCAGCCGAGCAATGGTGACCTCGATGGGAGGAGACGCGAGGAACCATTTCCGGAGCCGCGATAGATGCATTGACGTAGCCATGGTGGAGTTAAATATAATGTCGACCGCTGATTTTGTGTTTCAAAAAGTGATATTGAGGGGGAGAACAACCCGAAGTCGCTGTGTAGTTGATGATAGTCTCGGACGTAGGGGGGTAGGAGAGGCGATGAACTAGTAGGGAAGCGACGCCAGTAATAATCCCAAGAAAAGCAGGAGAATACCCCCAGCGCCGAAAAACTCTGAATTATGATGCTGGTAACGTGCACAGAAGCTCGCCGGGTATCGATTCTGAGCGGTATAGGATGAGATCCGTCTCCTGGTAAGCCTGTTTCTGTCAGGCTACACTATTTTTCTGGCCAGCGCGGAATCGATCTAAATTTGGCCGCAACCGGGCGGTGATGGTGTCGATGAGCGAGGGAGGCGAGATCGCCGAGCTGCACAGAGGACGATAAGAAGGATGCCTAGGATATGAAATGCAATGTGAGAATGAAAGAATCGTATAATTCGTTGAAAATGGCAGATCGCCGAGAATGATGTATTGCGCTGGACAGCTACACTCTCCAGTGGCCCACGTGTAAACTCTGGTACACAAACCCGAGGTCTTGGCCAGAGCAACTAACAGTCGATCCAGAGGCGTGCTTGTCAAGTTTCTACGCTTTCTGGTCATCCCATATGGAAATATTTTTTTTCATAACAGTTGGTCATACATAAACTAGGTAATTTGGCGCATTAAATACATACTGGCTGATGCCTCAGGCGTCCGTTAAGAAGGCGATAACTGCTCAGAAAGGACTCAAAAAGATGCTGCGTCGACTAAGAATGCTCCCCCAATATTGCCCACATGAACTTTGTTGTACATGATTCGTCAAAGGTCCTTTGGGTTTTCTTCGCTTGAAGGCGTGCCAGAACCAGAGCTGGCCATGTCCCAGCTGCCATCCTCGCTTCTCCGGCGTCTCCGCTCACCCCGTTCCCGCATCGCGTCACGAATCTTCGAACTGACTTCCTCGAGCCCATCTTTCGATGTCACCGGGCTCAAAGGCTTCAGCTGGTGCCCCGAGGAGCCGGGGCGACCACCAGACGAACTACTGCGGCTTCGGGTGCGGCTAGAAGGCCGTGTAGAGAAAAAGCCAATGTTGGCAAGGTTGTGGAACGACTCGTTGCGGGGAAGGGGTTCTTGAGATGGGGAGCCGTGCTCCAGCTCTGCTGCACCTGTTCTCCTGATTTCAGGAATGGATCCATGGCTGGCGTCTGCCTTCTCGGAAGTTCGGCGGCTGTCACGGAAAGGATCCGTAACAATCCGCGCAGCGTCGAAGTCTGGAAACAATTCGGGTCCCAGGGTGTTGATCACCTCCGTGACCTGTTGGGCGAGTGCAGCACGTCTCTCACGCAGTTTCAACAAACTGTTGGCTGATGAGGGATTGAGAGACAGCACAAGTGGTCGCAGAGATTTCACAATGTCCATGCCGACTTCGCCGATTCGAAGTGCTGCAAAGGTGATAGTCGGGAACAAGATCATCCCAATGGGGATAATCATCCATAAAGGCATCCAGTCGGGCACAAATCCATAAATGCGATTGCGGTATGCGAGGTAAGTGAAGGCAGCCGTGTAGGATGCATATACTGCGGGGGCGAACGCAAGGGCAACGAGCAGCTTCCAGGTTGCCATGACATCACGTCCTTGAAGTTTGACGGTAGAAGCAGCCAGTGCCTCTCTCGACTTCTTGTTCGAAATAGATTTAGTCGCGATGAAAACAGGTGCAAATAGAAGCAACCCAGGCAGAGTTCCAATAGTCAGGAGAGCCAGCTTGCCCAGACGGTAGATCAATGTACAGATGACCTGGAACCATGAGAACTTCGCATACTCAACCTGGTGATCACGGATGCCCAGGATACGTATCTGCTGGTTGTAATTGGCGACAGATTTTCTGAGTTGTACCACACGGGGATCATCCTTGAAATGCGTATATCCTTGGACAAGTCGGCGGTTGAGCTCAACCACCATGGGAAGTGGAAGCTTCTTTCCTTTGGTGTTGTAGAGACGACGAGCTGCTTGAATGACCTTGAGGCCCGTTAACTACCAGCGTTACAGTCCGGAGGGGAAGTTAGACTACTGACCATCAAAGTATCGAAATCCGGGCTCGTCACAGTCACAGATACAAGACCCTGGTAAATAGTGTCGAGCAATGCGCCAACGGCTTCTCTTCTTTCTCCTCGCCGGAACTGATCAACGACCTCTCGTGGTACTTCAATGGGGTTTCCAAACTCAATCACAGCCCTTGAACGGAATTTATGCGCGTGGAAATAGTTCATGCCACATGGCACAATCTTCAAGCCACAGCCCGGGTTGTCTGCAAGTGTTCCCAGGGCCATCAAGGCCACACCAGCTGGATAGAGGTTTAGCCGAGGTCTTTGGAAAGGAAAAGCAATCAAGTGAAGAAGCATACCTTTCAATGGAAGCAAATCGGGGCGATCATGGCTACCACCTTCGGGGAAGATACCAACACAGCCGCCTGCATTAAGTCTGCCGAATACCGCTTGATAAACCGCTGTCTGATCCACATGTGGAGAAACCTTAAACTTGGAGCCCTTGAAGTTGGGGTCTTTGGCGGATCCATCTCCGGTAAATTTCCCATCATCACTGATATCATCCCGTCCTGTCAGTTGGACGAGCGCGTCCTTGGCTTTGAATGGTTTCTTCAGAATCAATTCTTCGGGACCGCGTATCTCGGCGATGGTAGTACTATGTGCGGTGCCATTGATCGTCGGGAGTGAGATTGTGCCTTCCTTTTCGAATCCGGGTCCTTCAAAGTTTGTCCCAACGCCACGGAGGAGGGTCGGCTGGTTGATAGGATCGGGCAAGTAGATCGTTCCTACCCCGGGCTTCAGATTATCCATTGCGCGGGCCACCGGAACAGTGCCGATAGCCTTCGCCAGTGTCCCGATGAACTTGCGCTTGAACGATTTGTCCGCGATAAGCCACGAAATACGACGATGAGCTTCGTTGCGCATAACACGCATGAGGATCAATGAATCGACGAACTATTCGCAAGAGAACAGGTTAAAAATGAGATAATAAGGTGACCAGCCCAAACGATCGATCAACGAGGAGTAGAAGCAAGCGCAAGCGCTGTCACATACCTGGTTTGCATGAGGCGCTGCGACCAAGATCAGCGGGCCCCTTCGAGGGATCTTCCATGAGCCACGGGGATGGACCTCTCGGAAGAAGAGGTCGACAAGCACCGAGAATGACCATAAAACGAGGTCATACAACCACCCGATCAGGGGCGGGATATACAGTTGTTTCGCACCCATGGTGTTGTAGAATAGCTAGCTGTATTGTGACCCTAGCTACGCAAATGGCATCAAAGGCCAGGGGAAGACGAGGAAAGCCCGATGTCAAGCTCGCAGGCCGAGAGGGTTGCGAAGTTTCCGCCCGTTTCTTGTGTCTCTTATCGTGGGTTGATGAAGCCAGAAGCGCGCGTGGAAGTGGTTGAACCAGACATGGGTTGTCACAACATCGGTATTTCAATCTTTTTTTCCCCAGATGATATTGATTTATCATGCGCAATTCCTAGCAGATCCGAAAACGATGAGGAATGAAGTAGTGAACTTCAGTGTTCATGAGACTGGAGGCAAAAAAAAAAAAAAGAAGAATGGAATAGATAGAATGAGCTGCTGGAAAGTTCAAAGTCGAGCCATGTGACACTGACACACCACTTGGCTTTTTTTCCCTCAACTCAAGTGGGGGGACCAGCAAAAACTCCCAAAATCCTGCCGGCAGTGCACGGACAGCACGCCAGACGGAGACTTCCGTTCAAGCGACGCTTCTAGAACCCGGTACTTCAACTTGATAGCACCTCATATCTCGCGATTATTGCTCCTCTGATTGCAAAAGCAGGATTTTGAAGAACCTGGCAGCTGTTCATTCCTACTACTTCAAAAGAAGAAAGGAGTCTTACAGAGTTGACCAGCTGTCATTGCATCAAAAACACTTGAAGTGGAATGCTGTCAGATTGCACACAGCTAAGCTGTCGGCCTGTTAATTGCCTCTGGCTCTATCCATGGGTCAAACACCATTCTGCGGGGACATCCGACATCCCTAACGGCGTCAGAAAACTAAAAGGCTGCTCAAATCATGAGAGCAAGACACTTTCAGATATGGCATTGTCTGATCTGACTTTTGAGATAACCAGTTCAGGATGCAAGGGAACGAGTATAGAGTGCTGCTGTCTCTAGATGATGCATCTTGCGTTACACTAATGCACCTGCCACAGTCACCTTATCTTGGTTATTCTCATGGTTGTGGTTACATAGTTAACCACCTGAAATGCATAAGATATAAGCTATAGAGGCTCAAAATAATGCTGATTAAGCACGCTTTCGAGGAATGCCTGTCGATGGCAAGGTAGATATTTGTTATGTACTTACTTGGAGGCTATAGCGGCTTACGTCGGGAACTTGGTGGGCAACACCAAGAAGATCCTCGCCAGGCTGCCCATAAACTTATGACTGGAAGTCGGTAGCTAAATATTGCTGAGCACTATCTAGATAGTAGTAGAGAAAAACTAGATCTAGCATTCGTCAGTCGGAGGAAGTTAGTCTTGATATCTACCCTGAGATTGGCTCGTATTTCTCTCATCCGCGGAGTAGTTATAGATTGATGTCGAGCCTGAGGTGTCCTTTTTTCTCCCCGCCTTGACACTTGTCTTGACTCTTGACAGTCTGCCCCACGAAAGCCTTCTCAGACTGTGGATCCGTCATTGCAACAGTACGAAGTAGCCTACTCAGTTCAGAGTTCCAGAGTCCAGATGAGATACGGAACAACGACAGAACATCACGCAGCCTCAGTTCATGAATGTGAGCACTGATATCGGTTGCTTTTTTGATCTCAAAGAATATCCAGCTTTCGGTTTCTGCCCCGCGACCTCAACTCCCAGAGCGCGCCGCTAGTGACTTGTCGAATTGCAGGGTCCAAGAATCCGACCCGCATATTCATTCTATCTGCAGTCTTAGTATCAGTTCGTCAGTCAGTTGGATAGTATCCATTTTATAACTGTTAGTCTCTTTCCAAAGACTATCTACCTCTTTTGCCCAAATTCGAAGACTCTTTGAACTTCGAGGCGTCGGCTGCAACTGCAGATCGCGAGTCAGATCACTGGGATTTACCTGTTGAACATCGATCTAGCTGCTGGGCTGTTCTATTCCACTTTGGCCTCTCAGTGCGATATTGCTCCAAGAACCTTATCAAATAAGCCCTTCTTCGTGATTTCATATCTGGAGGCCAATCAATCTCTCTTTCCCGCGACAAGACAAGATGTCGATCAAGTATGTGAATGACCCCAAAGTCTTGACCTCGTCTCTTTGTTTGCATATAAGCCTCCTCTACCTCAAAATTTCTGTTTAGCCCTCGCTGTGTCTTCATGCTCGTGGAGTATCTTGTTGCATACAAAGATGGTCCGTCACTATGCCCCAGATATTATCAGATTCTCACGAAAGCTACGAAACTGATGCCGGGTGTCTCTGACTTTCCTCGCAGCTGGGTTATGCTCCATGACCAGGAAGGTTTCGTCAGACTTCCAAATGAGCAATCCATCTATACTTCTCCGCCTCGCACAAGTCTTTCCTTACAACCACTCGGTTCCTACAAGGGAAATGATTCGATATCGCTGCAGAGCAGCGCGGGGCAAATCTACCTGACGAACCAGCGGGTCAGACTGTCCATCTTCCCTATCTTTTCCAAAAACTGCACGCTGACATCGGCCGTCAGGTTGTATACATCCCCGCTCAAAAGTCAGCCGAGTTTCAGTCTTTCTCAGCTCCTCTTCTCAACATCCATGATTCGCACGTCACTGCGCCTTTCTTTGGCCCGAATGTGTGGATATCTCTCGTCCAACCAGTGCCCGGAGGAGGAATTCCTCCATCCTTGCCTGCCGTTCAGTTGAAGGTGACTTTCAAAGAAGGTGGTGCATTTGACTTTTCGAATCATTTTGAGAGGATCAAAGAACGTGTTCAACAAGCTGTTGAGCTCTCCCAGGAAAGCGGCCGAGGGACGAGAACCGTCGACATTTCCTCAGTCCATCTGGAAGAGTTGCCTGCCTATACAGGTCCACAGAACGCCGCGGCGGACGCTCCCCCATATGATCATAGCGTACGTTCGAACACGCACCACGACCGGGGCAACTCAGGACCAGAATTAGAACCTCTGGAACCACCACCGGGATATGAAGAGGTTCAGCAGCAGAGTGTGGCCAATGAACTCGAAGAGAGGCTGCGTCGTACCAGTTGATCCTAGGGTGCAGGATTCTGGGTGCTATTAATTTGCAATATTTCAGTACAGCTGTGTTGCTTTTTCTTTCTACATCACTATTTGTACATAGCATTTTTCTATTATTGCATGATATTCGCGACTTTCATGTACAATAACCGAGCGGATTACTTAATGATTCAGCCCAGGCATAGGGCAAAGGCAGGTCCAACTCCGGATGTGGTCATTGGAGCTTAATATAGAGGACAGCACTCCTGCGTAATAATAATGATTCTATACCTAGGCTATATACAGGTGCATAGTATTAACTATGGGTATCTATTTAACAACAACAAAGGTGAACAACGATGATGCCAAGAGAAATCCCCGACCGAAGTCATCGGCCAATCACGTGTGCGACAATTCGACCTCTCCGGCGCCGGGGTGTTCCGATTTTCCTGGACGGTTAGAGCCAAAGCTTCGTAAAACCACCATCCTCATCAAATCTCGCTCGCTGCCACCGCAAAACACCCCCACCCACACAGTCTCTCTCCTCAATTTATATTCCCACACGGTCAGGATGGGTCTCGCCGACTTTTTCTCCGATATGATCTCCTCCCTGAGCTTCCCCGAGGCCCAGGCTGAGGCTCCCGCCGAGACCGTCGAGCAGACCAGCCAGGAGGCTGAGACCGAGGACAAGGCCGACGAAGAGACCTCCGAGAGCACTGAGGAATCTGGTGAGGAGACTCCTGCCGAGGAGGCTTCCGAGGGCGGCGAGGAGGAGCCGGAGCAAGAAGAGGAAGAGGAGGAAGAGGAGGAGGAGGAAGAGGAGGAGGCTGAGGACATCAAGCCCAAGCTTGAGGAGGGTGAGTCGCTCGATCTGGATCTTTTAGTTCTTTCGATCTCCGTTGGCGGTGTTGGATTCCTCCGTCGTGTATTCGTTTGAATTGATCGATGCTACACATGTTCGGATATCCATTTGTCCGCTTTCCGTCCTGGGTTATCTCGGACGGCGGCGCACTGCCTTGCGTCTTTTCGGATGCATTTGTACTCAATTGCTGTTTGACATTTACTGACTGGGACATGAAGACTGCGCCAACTCTCCCCAGTGCGCCCCCTACAAGCACCACTACGATGAGTGCGTTGAGCGCGTAACCCGGCAGGAGGAGGATGCCGACTACAAGGGCCCCAAGGAGGACTGTGTTGAGGAGTGTAAGTGACAACAATTGCCCTTAGTCGTTCGATACGCCTGCCCTTGAGGGCATTCTTGGCTATCCCTATCGATCATCACATCCGGCTGTGCTCGGTCATGACTAATTGCCATTTTTCCACTGATACACAGTCTTCCACCTCGCCCACTGCGCCACCCAGTGCGCTGCTCCCCAGCTCTGGAAGACCCTCGCCTAAAGGACTCGCTTCGCGGTTCGACACTCGCCACCGCTCTTCTCACACGTCGGATGACAAGCGAAAGTTCGACATCACCCACGTTTCTACCTAGATCCCGATAGAAGAGAATGTGGAAGGAGTCCCTCTCGCCAAGGCTGAGCAACATGATGGCTGACATGGAGCATGTCAGCCTGCCGATATAGAACCCGGCATGGAAAATTGGGGGGTTCGGCCCCTGATCATTCATGTCGGCCATTATTTTATGTTATGTTATGGTATGGAGGATGGAAAAATGGCAATCCCGTTGTGCCTGTATGTACAGATAGCTGGTCTCCGCCTGTTTGAAACTGTGCTTTTTAATCTCTTTTCTCTTTGTTTTAGAATGAATGTTTTTTCCGTGGATTAGACTTTGTTTGTGCGGAGCATTTGACTGGAAGTTGTAGATTACTGTCGTCGGATACGGTGAACGTACTTGGTCAACACGATGCTCTCTAGGAAGAACCCAGTTGGTTTGGAATACTTCATTATCATAAACACATGCTAGCAACATTAATTATCATGATTACTTCCCCGGTGCCCTGTGAGATATATGCAAGGGAACACCATCATGTCGTAAAGCAAAAACACGGCAAACCCCCAATATCCAATTCCTCCAAAACACAACCCCAACAGAACCTAAAGGTTCAGATCTCAAGATGCCTCCGCCGGCGGGGAGACCTTCCCAATCTCCTTCGACGTCGGCCCCAGCTCCGGATCCCCCGCAGCCCGTCCCGCAACCATCGCATCCTCCAGCGCCACGCCGCGGTCCACCTCCAGACGACGGCGGCGGACATCCCGCCCAAAGAGACCGATGCAGATGGGGAACGGGGCCGCGACCGCCGCCACGACGGCGGCGAAGATGAGGGCGTTGCGCATATTCAGCGGCGGCGACGCGGCCGCGGAGGCCTTCAGCGCGTCCTGGATGAGGATGAAGACGGCGCCGAGCAGCTGGCCGCCGGTCCAGCAGATGGTGCTCCCGATCTCCGGGGAGAACGGATAGGTGATTTCGACGAGGTACTCGAGGACGATGGGGAGGAGGCCGAAGGAGGCGGCGCCGAGGAGGGCGCAGACGACGTAGGCGGGGGCGATGCCGGCGGGGGAGGCGGGGGCGAAGATGAGGCCGATGTAGGCGGCTGCGACGATGGCGACGAGGATGCGGATGGTGGCGAGGTAGTGCTTGAAGCGGTCGGTGATGGGGGAGATGATGGCGGAGGAGACGAGGCCGACGACGATAAGGATGCCGCCGGCGATGCCGGCGTCGGTTTCGGAGAAGCCGTAGGGCTCGAGAATTTGGTTGAGCAGGGAGGAGATGCTGTTGAAGAAGCCGACGTAGATGGAGAAGGGGATCAGGATGAGCCAGAACTCGAGGGTCTGGAGGAGCTGGGTGAGCCCGGGGCGGAGCGGTGTTTTGAGACTGGCGGAGGAGGGGCTCGGCGGCGTTGGGGGAGCGCCGGGGATGAAGAAGGATGGGATGGATGCGATGGTTGCCTGTTGGTGTTTTGTCAACGCCATGGGCTGTCAGTTGTCTGGTCTTGTCTTGTCTCCTCATCTTGTCACTGGGTCGTGTCATCCCGGAGGGGCTGGCTTACCATGATGGATATGTACAGCACCATGTTTGGTACCTCGTCCGGGGTCGTTGCCCAGAAGGAGTTGATAAACTGGCCTAGGGCTGCCCCGAGTGGGTTCGCCAGCGTACCCATGGCCGTCGCGCTGATCCGGCCGCGGTCCGAGAACCAGAGGTCGCTATACCTGGTCGGCGCGCTCAAACAGAAGGGCTGCGCGAGACCCATCAGAATCTGCCCGAACATGGCCAGGCCGAAGATGCCTCCTCGGGCTCTCGTCCCCGCATATCGGATCCAGTTACCTGCTAACAGGAGAGAGGATGTGATGATGATAGCGGGCTTGGGGCCTCCTTTGTTGAGCGTGAGGATCACGACTCTGACATATAGGGCAAGTTGCATAATTAGCCTGGTCCCTTGACTCGTATACAATCGTATACAATAGATGACGCTTACGGGCTGGCAACGCAAAAGGCAAAGAGATAGCCGGTGCTCATCCAATTGATCGCACTCTCAGAGACCCCGAAATGCTGTGATGCAGTCGTTGATATCGAAGAGAAGGTGAGCCACTGTACCACGAGGAGTCAGCCATGGTCTCTTTTTTATTACGTCCAACAAGATACTCTCTGCCAATCGGCACTCACATCCCAGCTGACGATGATATTCAGCAAGACCAGTTGCCCCAAACCCCAGAAGCGTCGTTTATAGACCTTGTACATCACCTCAGAGGAGGATCCGTCTGGCGATACGATCTCATCTTGAGAGCCAGCCTGGTCTGCAGAGTGATTGGTGGTCATATTGGACAGCTGCGATATCAAATAGTCGTCCTCGCGACCATGGGGGGGGTTTTTTTTTCCCAGACAAGAGGAGGTGTTGAGAACTGGAATATTATTAGTTATTATTTGAATGTACTGGGATGAATGGGCCAAGACAGGTTAACCCATCATCACATGGTTGAACGAGGTCATTGCTCCTCATAAGGATTTAATACATCAGTTAGTTGCTGTTTAGTTTCGTTTGATCTCCCCAGTTCACCTTCTCCCGAGGTTAATAATCTCTAGGGCAGTTTGGTGACTTTGACATGGGGGGATCATCATCATAATATCAATATCAAATGATTCTCATCATCCCATCCGATGAGCTGGACTCGAGTTCAACTGTGGGGTTGGGGGCAGTTATAAGTTAATCGTTGCATCTGGGATCGCGTCGAGATACTATAGAAGGCATGATGATGAGGGAACTAGAAAGTAGGTAATTAGCGTATACTCCGTAGACAATGGTTCTTTCATTTGAATGTCTATCTGGATATTCAAGATGTTCTTCTCTATTCCCGCATTCGGTCGCTGGTGCGTATATCACAAAGCAGTATAGGCCATTGCAAGGCACCCTAAACATCAGTGCTCCAGACAGTTCATGTATGTTGTAGGTCATGAATGTCATGAATGTCATTAATGTCATTAATGTCATTAATTGTCCGAGAACTCGAGAACGAGATCTATGGCGAAACTCGATCTTCCACAGAGTGCTCTCCAGTATCTATCCATTCTCCATTCTCCATTCTCCCTTAAGCGAACGACCGAGTGGTGCAGCCTTGCGGTTTAAATTCAGGGGAAATCAATCCATCATCATAGTTGAACCAGGCGACAGACTATGACTATTATGACTATCGCAATTCGCAACAGATATCCAAGTTCATATGATGTTCGATTGTTGCTGATGGATAGACTGTCGAAATGTCCCACTGCTCTTACCACCGTCGGTCTCTGTATGTATGAGATGGATCATGTTGAATCTAGCAGAATAATCTCTCGTAGCGACAGAACTAAAATGATAAAAACTATCATGACTGATCCATCATATTATTCTTATGGCTCGCGAGCTGGTTTTCTCTTCAGCTGCAGGATCCTCCTCGTCTTCCCTCTTCTTCTTCTTCTTCTTCTTCTTCTTCTTCTTCTTCTTCTTCTTCTTCTCCCTTGAACTCGTCAATAATCAACAATCAATATTCTACACCTTCACCCTCACTTCCTTACCCACTCCATCCCTCTCTCTCTCTCTCTCTCTCTCTCTCTTTTCCCCGTCCCTCTCGATATATTTCCTTCTTTCCTTACCTCCCTAGAATCTCATTATTCACCCTTGCTTGACCTCAGTGATATGAAAAACGACTGCTTTATGAGGATGATCGTTCCGCCGTGACGGTCAGTCTCCTGAGACAAATCTCCACTGTCAACCGCCCCCCCCCAAGTCCGCATTCCTGCAAGTCTGACGTCCGGAATTCTGGATAATTCCTATCCGCCGTTCGAGAACTACAACATGATGAATGATCACGATCGCTTCAGTCAATCGTCCTATGGCGACCCGAGGTATCTGTCGTCGACCTCCTTTGAGAGCCCTTCGGCACCGCCAACCAGGGTTCTTATGGATGGCTACCGGGAGGCCTTGAATCCTCATAATGCGGAGAAGTCGCGATATGATCCAGTATGTTGGGGCCCTCGATCAAATCCCCCTTCTCTTTTTCTGCGATATTTCTAACCACATGAGATTGTCCGTATAGCTCAACCTGACTCTACCCCGAAGCCCAGCTCTGTTGAATCCCAATGACCCCGTCGCCATGTACCTGCTCACTGAAACCGCCATCGGCGACAGTATGAATTACGAGATTCTATCGTTGGAGGAAGTCGAAGCTCTGAAGAAGGAATACACCGTCTTGTCCAGTCGCCTCAATGCGACCAAACGGAAATTGGCGCTGGAGATGAAGCTACGCGATGCGGCTCTGTCGCTCAGCAGACTATACACTCCAACCGGCACGAGAGACAGCGAACAATACTACTCGAGCACTTCGCCGGAGTCTCATCGCGGTGACTTCGAACGCGGCCCTCTCGACAAAACGGACGAGGAGCTGGCTGTGAGCACGCGGAAATGCGAGAATCTGGCCCATGAAATCTGGAACTTGGAACGCAAGGCGCAGCATCTACGTCAGAGATTGGTGGAGCATACCGCCGGCGTCCTGCAGATGACACATAAAGGCTTGAAGAAGAACATGAAGGATGTCCCGCATACCCCGGAGAGCCTGTCCAGCCACAATACCCGCGCGAGCGTCGACGAGTTTGACGACCGAAGCCTATACAAGACGTCCGACAACCTCGACGAACTAGCTGGGTTTGGGGCACGGGAATTGCTTGGGTCCGATGCTATCCACGACACGGAGAAGAAACTGCAGGTATTGAGTGAACGACTGCGTGACACGATTCTCCAGCTTCATCCCGAGGCTGATCATGGCCCAATTCCGCAACCTTCGAGTGACAGAGGCCCAGTCAGCTCAACGGCGACGGTCGAAGCCCATTTGGCTTATATCGAGAACGGGTTGAGCATCGTCGCGGCAAACCCAAGCGAAACACCTCGCGCTCTAGAGCAGGACCCTGGTACGGAAAATGATCTGAGAGAGATCAACACCCGACTACACCACGTCGTAGGACAATCGGGGTTGTCTCGGTCGCAGGCCCTTGTTCCTCCACCAGATTCATCCTCTGACGGGCTCAAAGCCCAACTCGACTATCTGAGTCTCAGTATCGATGATATTCACAAACAAATCGAGAAGCTTCTTGAACAAAAAAGCATCTTGACCACCCAGATTCAACAGCAGCGGGAACTGAACTCCAAATCAGATGCGGAGCGAGACGCACACATTGCTGATCTGGTCGAGCAAATAGCTCATATTCGGAGGGATCTCGAGCTATCAGAACAAGAAGGCCAGAAAGCAAAGCAAGAGTTGGAATTGACCATTCAACAAATAGCTCATACTCGGAAGGATCTCGAGTTATCAGAACAAGAAGGCCAGAAGTCAAAGCAAGAGTTGGAATTGACCATTCAACAAATAGCTCATACTCGGAAGGATCTCGAGTTATCAGAACAAGAAGGCCAGAAGTCAAAACAAGAGCTGGAGTTGGCCATTCAACAGTTAGACGAGCTGCGCCGCGAAAATGCCGGTCTACAACAACACAAAAGCGTCGCTGACGATCAGGCGACCGCCTTGGCCTTCGAGAAACAAGCTCGAGCACAGGCTGAAGCTGAAATGGCAAGTCTCCAGGCCATCGTACATGGTCTGCAGCAGCAGAAGGGTGCCCAGGGAGAGGCCCATGAGGCCCGTGTGCAAGCTGAACAAGAGGCTGCTCGTTTAGAATCCCAACTCGAACAGCTTCGGTCGGAGACTGTTTCTCATACAGAAGAACTCACTGCTGCTCGCCTCAAGGCAGATAGTGAAGTGGCGCGTCTGCAGAACGTGATCGACCAACTTCATCAGGAGGCAGATGCCAGGGCGGAAGAGGCTACTGAGGCCCGCGATCGTGCAGAGCAACAAATACTCCAGCTTGAGGAGACCATACAGCATGTCCGCGACGAGGCTGATACACGGGTGACAGATGCTCTAGAATCTCGTGCTGTCGCGGAAGGCGAAGTCGCCCGTCTGGATGCTTCGATCCAACAGCTCCGGACAGGCATGGAGTCTCAGATCAGAGAATCATCGGAGGCGCGCGCACATGCAGAGGAGCGTTCGACTCACCTGCAGGCCGAGTTGGCCGCGGCAGAAGGCGAACTGTCCCGGCTGCAGGGTACTATGGAACAACTTCAGAAAGACATGCAGACACAGCTCAATGATGCAAATGAGACACGCACAACCGCGCAAGACAGCGCGAAGCGCCTACAGACCGAACTTACGGAGATGGAAGGCGAACTGGTCAGGGTACAGACGGAGTTGACGATGGCGAAGGCGGAGCTTGATGGAGCATACGGTAGCAGATCCGAACGAGCAGCAAAAGTAGCTGTCAACCCAGCGATCCAGAAGGAATTGGATGCTTTGAACACCAGGAATCTGGAGCTCGCAGAGGAGCTGGCAGCTCTGAAGGCCGGAAAACCTGGCAGTAGCGATCTGCAGCAGCGGGTGCAGATGCTGGAACGAGAGCTCCGAGAAACTATCGACGACTACGAAGTCATGACCAAGGCCAGCATTGAGTTCGAGAAAGAACGTGAGAGGTATGAGGGTATGATTGACGGGCTACGGGACCGCTGCGAGCAGTTGGAGACGCAGCTCAACGAGGAGCGGATCAACTGGATGGGCATGATGAATAACGCAGTGGGACAAAACGGCACTTACGAGACCACGTCCACAATGGTGCTGAAGAACGAGTTCAAGAAGATGATGCGGGATACTCGTATCGAGAATATGAAGATCCTCAAGGTAAGTCCAGCAACATTTGACCTCTCAAAGCATCCCTTTATTAATCTATACCCACAGGCGGAGCAAGAGGAACGGAGGAGACTCGAGGCTTTCATTCGGACACTGAAGAAAGAACAAACAGCGAGCAACGGCAAGTCGAGTCTCAACCACGGCGTCACGGCCTTATGATCACGATATCTCTCTGGTTTTTTTGGCCTTCCTTTTTCTCATGCCATTTATCGTTCCCATCCGGTTGCATTTGTCCAGTACCTATACTATTCTATGTCCATATTAATCACTCTAATTCCCCATTGTGTATTGTGCCATGTCTTTTATGTCTATACGCGCCCACATCTGAGTCCGCACATATGAGGAGATAAACAATACATACTTCTATTTGCCTATTCTCCTGCTTGTCTGTGTCCCTTTCTGGTCTACTTACTTCTTGTCCTTCGCTCCTGCGTTTCTGTCGAAAACCATCGCAACAAACGCTTCTAGGGAAGGTGCATGGTGCAATGAGGTTTGTCGCGAGCATCGCATTGCATGTCTGTACATCCTAACGCCCACTCAGGCATCGGGGTGTCTATTACAGTCTTATTGTACATGGGTCATTGGTCCATCACTCACATCTTTTGATACCCAACATGTCAGTCCGCTGTCGCGCCGCTTCGAGCACGTCCGTGGCTTCCGACGAACAGTCTTTTCTCACCGGGCGACAGACATACCGCGAAGATGTCGGATTTCTGCCCTCAGGGCTGTCAATGCCAATTGCAAGCGACGAGAGCTCCATCTATAACGCAGTCAGAGCAAGTTCAGACACCGACCGTTATTCCCTCACTCGTGGCACGGACAACCCAATGGACGAGATTCTAGTTGGTGGCATGGCAGCGAATCTGGCGATGTTCATTCCTTTGGCGTCTAGTTCAAACGACTCTCACCCGCAGTTCATGTCACCAAGACATAAGTCCAAAAGTCGCTGGTGGCGCACGCATCTACTATCGGACAATTGTCTTCCGTCATCTTCGAATGTCGATAAGCATCCAGATAACTCCCGCGTGATTGAAGTGGAAGAGGTAAAAGAATCGCACGATGAGGCACGGCATCGTAAAGCGGCCAGTCTTAACGATGCAGACGGTAGTCTTCGAATATCAAAGTGGCCGGGACGTCGCCTGTCACCAGTGCGTCCTGCCATCCCGAAATTTCCTCCTCCTGTGAGATCGCCTACTCCTCCCGGTCTGCCAACATTTGGAACGCAGGAAGCGATGTGTTACTCTACCCAGTTCTTTGTCCGCTCGTTCGCCCGTGGGGGTCAATCACAACGGGGACATCCACTACCCCCAGATGCTCGTGCAGTGAACGGTATTGGAACATCATACAGGGAAACTCTGCGCAGACTCATCGGATTCTCTTCGCCCACCCCTACGCCGCCACTTAGAAAACCCATTCCCATAATAAGGGCTGAGGATGGCACCGCCGTGCTAGGACGTTTTCCCTATCGACAAAGTGGTCACGGTACGAATCCGACCAGAAGACTGGATGATCATCCATATCACCATAGAACTCTTCCCACAGCTCACTGTGATGTTGATCAGGAGCGTACAAGGCTCGCCAAACCCAGATGCCCTGTCCGGACTGAGGCATTAAACTCGTGTACGCCAACTGCACCTGAGACCCGTGTCCAAGACTCTTCCAACATCGTGCAATCGGCGCCTTATCCGACTGTGACACAGTGTCCTCGAAATCCAAGCATCACTATGCTCTTCAAGTCTCAGAGACTTTCATCAGGCCAGCCCCGCCCTACTGAGCCACAGTCCAGCCGGAATTTGATAAGCAATAACGAGCCCTACGTTCGGGGTCCCGGTAGAGTCGATGAGCCGTCTCAGATCGGAGCCACGGTGCGCTCTCCGAATCCAAGTGGTATCGCCGCGGAACCCCGGGGCTCTTGGTTGCAGTACTGGAAGAGCAACACGTCTATGTGTTGTTGCCTTGGAAGTAATCATGAACAAGACGACGCCGTGTATTCTCACTCTTCGAACGAGACTTATACAACCGCAAGGAGCTGGGTTGGCAACGAGGGTGCCCTTGATGGTACATGCACCTATACTCGTCGGGCCTGTCAGACACAACGTCTTGGACAATGGTGTTCCAACGCATGGATATCCTTTCACGGCATCGCTTTTCGCAACAGTGCGACTACGCAGCCCCCGGCGGCTTGACGCACCTTTGACCTGGCGGACTGATTGGTAATTTGTATCACTGTCTTTCTATAGAACTTCCTGTGACGCGTCGGCAAAAATGAAACCTACTATGTCGTTGCATACTTCAATCAAGCGGGGCAAACTGCGCTGCATTGGAAAGCAAGGGAGGCTAAACTTCATTCAACTATCCGAGACGGTTTCTTATTATCCATACAGTGTATTAAGCTTCCTCTGGCGTCACCTTATAGTCATGAATAATCAATTTCCGTATCTGTATCATTATTTCCTTCCTTCCTTAGGAGCAGAAAAAGAACCAACTGAAATAACCAGGCTGCTATGTTGTAAACCAGACAACTCCGTTGCTCACATGCAATATATGCGTGAAGGGAAGGCTATCATACGAAGTATACGCGCTTGCCAATATGCAAGAATCATTAAAAAGAAAAGAAGAGAAAAAAGGGAAGGGGAAGGCCGAAAAAAAGGGGGTAAAAGCCGAGATGCTGAGAGCTCCAAGACGCAGACAAGATATGGCACAGGGAGAAACGTTACAATAGGAAGCAATATCACACAGCGGAAGGGAGAAGAAAAGAAAGATAGAGAAAAGGTGGGGTGAGGAAAGGACTGCTTCGGAGAGGCGAGGAAAAGGTACCCGCACGTATATCATAGACCGGTAAAGAACTGGCACGCTTCGTTGAGCTCTTCGTCGTCGCCGACAAAATCCCAGCCCACGATGACGGGATCCTGGCTCGCGCAGATAATTTTGCGGGCATCGAATTGGAGCTTGAAGATTCTGGATGTGGGATGGCCGGGATGGTTGGCCATGCGAGCCCGGCGCATCTGGTGCTGCTGGTAAGGAGAAGGTTGGAGCGGGTTTGCTGCTACTCCTGCTCCTGCCCCTCCTCCTCCTGCCGCTGCTGCTGCTGTGGCTCCGGTTGGTGGGTTTTGCACGAGCTGATACCATGGCTCTACGAGCATCGGGTTGACGCTGTTCAAGTTTGCAGTAGGTGGTTGTTGGGTTGGTGTGGCCTGCGAACCGGTGTTTTGCTGATTGGTCTGGCTGGGCGTGGGCGCGAGTGTGACATTGGGGGGGAAAAGGATGCGGTTGCCGCGCGGCATGGCCGCCTGTGCTTGGGAGATAGCCATTGGACCCCCCGCCGTTTGAAGAAGGGCTTCCCGTCTGGTGTTGACGATGGCATCGGACTGGCGCAGCCGCTGACCGATGACCCATCGCCCTTCGCTATCTTTCTTCCAGATTATAATTGTTTCGTCGTAAGACCCCGAAACGATCCGGCCCCATTGGCTGCCCCCTCCACCGGGCGGGATTTTGGCTCCCAGAGCCTTAATGTCTCGGGGATCTCGGGACCCGGCTGTGTTTTGTTGGTGTCCAGCCCGCCGGAGCGCGCTGGGACCGAGGTCGACAGGCGCTCCAGAGCGCTGGGCGTCCCAGAATTCGTTTTCGATAGCCAAAGCTTCCAATCTCATAGCTTCTTCGGCGCCGGGGGGATCGCCAAATCCAGCCTGCACGGTTCTCACTAGGTTTCCGTGTCCGTGGAGGCAAGCGACTTCGGCACCGGAGGCATGATCGAAGATCCGAACCGTGTCATCATTGCTTCCGCTGATGATACGTCGGTTATCGAACTGCACGCACGCAATGCCCTTTTCGTGTCCCATCAGGGTTTTCTTACACACACCGGTGCGCACGTTCCATATTTTGATAAGACGGTCGCCGGACGCAGAAACAATCTCATCCTCGTTCATTTGTATAGCGTTAACGGCAGCCCCATGTCCATCCAGTGTCATCAGAAGGGTATACGGTTCCAGGCTTCGGATATGGTTCCTGGCAAGCTCTGCCTCCAGGATAGGTAAGGGGATCTCACTCGTGTCAATTATATAGGATGGATATGTGACGCCGGATCCCTCTTGTACGCTAGGATAGTTCTTGTCGAGCGGTGTGAGCTCGCGACGATTCCAGACTTTGATGAGCTTATCCTTGGAGCATGTCACAAGATACCGTTCATCGAAACGCAAGTTCAAGACTGAATCGCTGTGTGCCTCTTCAATCTCATGGATCTTTTCGCCAGTGGAGAACCGCCAGATAATGACATTCTTGTCACTGCTGCCCGAAATGATGACATCTTCAGATGGTCGTGGATCGAATTGGAGGCATAGCACCGATTTAGTGTGGCCGACAAGAGGACGATGCCACAATCGTTTGGTTTCCAGATTCCACACGCGAACCGTCCGGTCTCGACTGCCGCTGACAAGCCACTTTCCCGAAAACTGGATGGCGTAGACACATTCCAGGTGCGCCTCCTCTGGATGTGAGGGATGCGGTAGTTGAAAGTTGGTGTATCGACCTTTAGTCCAATTATCCTCCAATCGTCTTCGAAGTTTGTAGAGATGCGGCCAGTTGAGCTTCGTAGCGCCATTCGGCATACGAACCGTGATTGAGGACCTGAAGCGGGTGAGGGACGGCTGTCCAATCGACTTCGGGAGAAAGACGGACTGGGAATCGCGTCTGTTATTGGGAGACAGTGGTGAAGGTCTAGAAGCCCAGGATACGGCCTGATCTCCCAGCGCATCGCTCATCCGGTGGTCTCCATCGTTAACTGCTTCGATTGGTGCTCGCAGTCCGTCTTCACGTGCCGTGGTGCCCTCCCTCAATAACTCCGTAGCACGCGAGTCCAGCCATCCTTGTGGGACCCTTTTCTTGTTCTTCGGCTCGCCTGCATCCGGGTCGGTATATCTTGACCGGGATTTACGACTTTGGGGCGATGAAAATGAGGAGTGCTCTTGTTCGAATGTGCGAATTGCGTTGATGTCGACGCGCCAGCCTTCGGCGATATAGAGGTCTCTCCAAAGTCGGGTGTCGAGGATACGGCTGTGCCAGGAACGCGACGCTAAACAGGCAGTCAACAGGGTCTGTGGGTCGAGGTAGGAAAAAATCTCGGAGGTGATCTCAGGCGGAAGCTTTTGGACGGGGTCCATATGCAATAGAGGAGCCAGTCGGTCCACCACTTTGGCAACAGTCGAGGTACGTAGAGTTTGAAGGAGATTAAAGGCAAATTCTGCGCACCAGGAGAAAGATAAAAAAAAATTGATTAGTTTCCATTGTCACTATTTCCGCAATGATCGCAAGCTCCGCGTAACTCACCCGCTTTGTCCGCCTCACTGAGCGCGAGAAGCCAATCTGGTAGAGACATCGCGTCTCCCGATGGCGGATTCATACATTCATTATCCGATTGGCTTTTCGTCTCGTCGGCATAACCCTCATCAAGCTTGAAGGCTGCCGCCGATAATGATGGGGCGGTGAAGTCGGAGGTGCGACTGGGGTCCTGGAGCCGCATGGGGTGAGGAATGGTAGCTTCTGCCGTAGCGGGCTCTTGATCCATCGAGTACTGTTGCTGCCGATGTCCAGACGTCAGATCAATTTCATGTGGCGGTAGTGGTGGTGGTAGTTGATCTGGCTGCCCTGGATGCGCAGAGCCTACGCAGAGCTCTAGTATAGAAAGCAGGGAGGAGCAAACTGGTACGTAGTAGATAGCAGTGGGCAAGTTTGAGTGTCTGACAGATAGATGATAGATAGTATCTAGTAGTTACTCCGTAGTCTGGGACTCTGGGAGTCAATAACAATGAATGGGGTACGGGAGGCCGTGCGCAGAGGATTAGATAGGAAGGCGGACAAAAAGAATAGACACCTCAGGCAGTCACAAGGGCTGGGCAGAATTAAATGACTTGGCCGATCATGTGATGATACGGCTTATCATCCGTAGCTTATCACTCGAACTATGAGTATTTCTTTGCTCTGCCTCAATCTCAGGCGCAATATGAAACCTACGGCATCAAGGCACAAAGATAAAGCCTATCTATGTCATCAAAGATTTCCTCGAGCATGAAAAAGCTGAATGCTGGGGGTAGACGAGCAGTCCACCCTGACTTCAGCGAATCTAGCCTCCTCAGCCACTGGACACTCCAAGGAAACAGGCGCCATCAAAGCCGAAGAGAAACTCGCGACGGGCCTTGGCTTCTTCCAGGATATCGATCACAGGTTGGGTCATATCCAGACTACGGTTATGTTAGCCATCACATATACATCATGTCATTCTTGTTTCTTTCTCAGGTCACATACTCGGAGTTCTTCTCATCTCCCCCACCAACCTCGTCCCATTCCACCTGCGCAAGGTCCCTGCAACCGGTACAGTACTCCAGATACACAGGCCACATATTGCGAGCCCGTCGACGGAAGGATTTCCGGACTTGGCCGTTGCGCTTGACTCGACGATGGTGATGTGGCCTGTATCCAGATCATCCGCCGTAACCAGGAACCAAGGACATAGCCGTCTCATGAACAGGACCGTGCCTCGTCGGGTCATAGTCACGGCATCATAGTTGGCCATTTCGGGGATGGCCCGTGGCAGCACGTCGGTGATCTGGACTGTGGGGGGTCGGAAAGTGTCGCAGGGTTGGGATCAATGCCACCATGATCAGACCCGTAGCGGTCAAGGCAGTGTCCCATTTCACCGTCCAACCGGCAGGAGATAATGTAAGCTTGATCCATTTGGACCGGTTGGATTGGTAGGATGGGCCCAGCGGTGCTAGGCACATGAAACTGGGAGAGTCGTAGTAATGGTGGGCATTCTCCAGGATCTTTATGGCGTAGTCCAGTACGTTCCTCAATGGGGCTCGCTGATGATATGACTGTAGTTTATTTACTTTTTAATTTATAATTAAGAAGTTACTTATAATAAAAGGGGTACTTTAGAGATAGGATTATTATATTAATAATAAAAAAATAATAATTATTATTATTAACTATAAGAGCCTCTAGTACCTTATAAATATAATTAAATATTTAAAATAATTAGCTTAGTAGATAGAAGAATTCTAGAGTTATAATCTAGAGATCTAGTATTAAAAAAATAATAAAGCTATTATACTAGATATAATTAGCTAGTGCCCTAACTTTATAGAAGAAGGACTAACTAATATTACTAAAAGAATATTACTTAATATACTAAAGATATAAAGACTATAAAAACTAGATACTTTAAGTGTTATGGTCCTACCACATACGACCACGAGGAGTGGGTCAGTCATGTGACATAATAAGATATCCCTACAGTGGAAGCCATAGTAAAATAATCATCTTTCATCCATTAACTAAATCCATCACTACCTATCATAGTTTTACAACTATCATCATAATAATTTAGTAGCACATCCTTTTTTCCTTCTAGGGCCCCCTGGGTTAGTCCCTAACTATCTTCCCAGCTATTTTATGTGAGTAACTAAGCATTAAACTAATCTTAATTAACTATATAGGACTCCTGCAGAAGTATTATCCTTAAACTACTTTTTCTTATATTCTTTTATTATAATTCACCCCTTTTTTTATTAGAATTTATCTAAATTTATCTAGTTCTATATCAATCCCTCTTCCCCTAATATAAGGATCTATGATCCGCGAGAATTAGAAACTAGTGTGAAAGAAGAATGGTCATGAATAGATTTAAATATAGGTGTCCTTATTTAAAGAGATTATTATTAAACTTTAGAGTTTAGTAGTTATAGGCAGGGTTTATATCTTTATAGATTATATAATTATTTATATATCCTCTTATAAGGAGCCTTCTTATTAGTAGGTTCCTCTATAAAGATAGCTTTAATATAATATATAATAGATCTTTATAATCCTTATAACTACTCCCCCTTCTTAAAAGACCTTAGCCTCTAAGATCTATCTAAGATTTCTTATTTATAATAGGATGTACTAGTAAAAACCTTTATTTAATAAAAAAAATCTTTTTTTATAAAAGAAAAATTATAAATAATAAAAAAGGTTTACTATCTCCTTCTTTTATAAACTTATATTTATTTATTTTTTCATAAAGACTTAGTTATAGGTAGACCCCTTTAATTATAATATCTTTATTATTATTAAAATCTTCTTATAGTATATTTTAGATTTATATTACTTATTCTTATAATACTCCTATAAATCCCTTAATAGGTATATTATATAAAATTTCTATAGAGTAAGGTTTAAGATAATAATAATTTTTATAAAGTATATAAGCTCTTCTTTTCTTTATCTTTTATATTTTTTTAGTTTTTATTATAAAAGTTTTAGTAAGGGACCTTCTATAATTTATAATATTTAGAAAAAGATAGTTAATATATTATAAGATATTTTATAAAAAAATATCTTTTTATATCTCCTTCTTTATATCTCTATTCTTATCTATCCTCTCTAATCTCTTAGAGATAAGTAGAGGCTTATAAGTCTATAGTATTCTTACTAATAGTTCTTATAAAAGAAGGAGGAGATAGTCTTTATATTATTATTACTACCTATTATATCCCTTCCCTCTATATCTATTACTACTACTACCCCTACTACTACTACTACTATTATTATTACTACTACTATAGCTCCTCCTATCTCTCTTTTCCTTATTCCTATAGAGGCCTTCCTCCCCCTATATAAGGTTATATATAGGCTTTTTTTTATTAATCTAATAAGAGTGTAGCTAGCCCTTATTATAAGGGGAGCCTCTATCTTTAAGCTATTACTACCTCTAGTAGGCACTCCTAGAACTAACTAGGATACCTCTATACCTATTATTAATAATATTACTACCTAGGCTTCTAACCTAATAATAGAGCTACCCCTAGATACCTAGTTCCTTCTCTACTTATAGGAGAATCTAATAGTAGTTATAGGGCTCTTATCCTAGATAGGATTATAATCCCTATTAGGCTAGGAGTAAGTATAAATTACTAAAATCCTACTCTACTCTATTAACTAATATAGCTTTAATATATCTAGTTAGCTAAGAGTCTATATCTAGCTCTATAAGATTATTCTTATAACTAGAGCTAGGATAAGACCTTCTACTAGCTAGAAGTATAGTATCTATTATAACCTAAGTATAAGCTTAGTATTTATAGTATATATTTCTAGTAGGCTAGCTAGGAAGTATAATAACTATCTCTACTATAGCTATAAGAACTACTTCTTTAAGTATCCTTAGATCTAGTAGCTATCTTCTTAGCCCTATAAACTATATTATACTTATACTTAATATTAGGTATCTTTATAATAGTAAGTTTAGGAGTTAAGGATTTTTATATTTTTTTATTTATTATTTTATCTTTTTCTTAATAAAGATAAGTTTCCCCTCCTTATAGGGTTCCTTATATAATCTTTATAGATCTATAAGTAATATAGGTTCTTTATAGATTCCTAAGTATTATCTTTCTTGGTATATCCCTTCTATTAAATATAATACTCTATAGATTACTCATCCTCTTATAAGTCTAAGATTACCTCTAGATAGTATTTATAGTCCTCTTCTATAGCTTTATAAGTAAGGAAGTATTCCTATAAGTTTACCCCTTCTATCTCCTTATATTTATAGAGTATAGAGATATAGAATATATTATATATCTTAAGGCCTAGTAGTAGATTTATATAGTAGGCTAGGTTACCTATATATTCTATAATTTATACTAGACTAGTATTTAACTAATCTAACTTTATAGTTAGTCTAATCCATAATATATTCTTAGTAGAGATCTAGACTTAGTCTCTTACTTAAAATATCTTTATAATATATTTCTTATTATAATATTTCTTTTAGTAGGCTTAGGCCTTTACTAGAGCCCTCTTTATATATTTATAAGTATATTCTAGCTTAGTTAGTCTCTTTATAACTAACTCTTCTATAATCTTACCCTTTAGTTAGTTTATAGAATCTATTATTATCATGGAAGGGTTAATACCTATAATTATATAGAAAGATATATTCTTAATAGATATCTAGTATATATTATTATAAGTAAACTCTATAATAAAGAGATAATTAACCTAGTCTTTCTAACTAAAGTTAATATAGGCTTATAAGTACTATTCTAGTACACTATTTAGGTATTCTATCTAGTTATTTATCTATAGATAGTAGGCTATGGAAAGACCCTTATAAATTAGGAGATAAAATATAAAATCTACTTAGAAATCTTTTATAAAGATAGAACCCCAGTCTATAATAACCTTTTCTAAGATTCTATAAAGTTAGAAGATCTTATAAATAAGAGTTATTACTAACTTCTCCCTACTAAAGATAGTCTAGATAGATATAAAATAACCTATCTTACTAAATTAGTCTACCACTACTAAGATATTATTAAAAGCTTCTTATAAATTTACTATAGAAGTACTTATAGGGAGATCTATAATTAGATTTATAGTAATTTAGATCTAGATATTTATAGAGATAGATATAGGCTTTAGTAAGCCTTATTACTTATCTTAGATCTATTATAATCCTTAGTATACCCTATAAGCTATATAGTATTTATAGATAAGATTCTTTACTTCTAGTTATTAAAAGTATCTTAGGACTAACTTTCTTATTCTTTATTCTATAATATAGCCTATATAGAGATTATTATAGAGTTTTATAAGAATACTTAATCTTAAGCTATAATAGTCTAAGATATAAAGTAAGCCCTTATAATAGAGGAGCTTTTTATAGCTTATCTAATATAATAATTTATTCTTTATATAGTAAGACTATAATAATTCCTCTATAGCTCCTACTTATACTATATAAACCTTCTTTATAAGTTTATCTTATATAAGTAATCTTAGTAGTAAAGCCTAAATTTCTATAGAGGAGTCTCTTATATAAGAGCCTAATCTTTAGATACTCTTATAAATATTAGCTCCTTAAGCTAGTCCTTTTTATAAGTTTATTATCTCTTAGACTAGTATTATATAAACCTTCTATTTTATATTCTCTAGGGTTTTTACTTTAGTATATTTTTATTTATAAAGTATTAACTATTATCTTAGTATATTAGGATCTCTACTCTTTTAGCCCTAGGTATTAATCTTTATAGTCTCTCTCTTATAATTAATTCTCTATAAGGGTCTATCTATAGGGTTCTTCTTTCTTATATAGAAGATTATCTTAAAATTAAATATTATAAGTATTTATAACTACCTTATTTATCTTTATAATAGTTAGAGTATAGTTCTAAAGTAATAAAGACTATTATAATTAATAATAACTTTAATAATTTTTTATAAATGCTTTAGGTAGTAGTACTACTCCCTAAAGAATTCTATTATTATAAGGAGTTCCTAATTATAAATACTATAGTTCTTCTCTATAGGTTATATCTTCTATAAGAAGAAGACTATTAACTACTAATAACCCTCCTTACTTAGCTATAATAGTATCCTATAGATAGTATATTTAGATATATTTTTTTTTATTTATAAGTAGTACTTCTTATAAAAGTAGATAAATACTATCTACTCTATAAATACTTTCTTTAATCTATTAAAAATATTTACTACTTCTAGGGTTAGGAACTCCTTCCCTAAAGT